TTGGTTATCTCCTGATTGTTTTCCTTTCCGTTTCTTGTTTCTTGGTGGCTGATAAGAAGATGAAGGGTCAATCACGTGGCCATTTTCACTGTCTTCAAACATTTCTTTTCCTATTTTTTTGGCTTTTTGAAGCTGCCTGGCATGTTGCCTTCGCTTGCGTTCAGCGAAGGAGGATCCGTTTCCTGGTGCCGGGATACCTTCCTTGTAGGATTCTAGTTGTTTCTCCAAAACTAGAGTGTCACGGACATCCGCGTGACAGACGTCGAGAAGGCTTAGGTTCGGTGAATCCCTGTGTGCCCACCTAGCATGTATTACTTCTGCTTTGTTCATTTCGGGGGCATCTTTTGGGGCGAAAGCTCTAAAAATGAACCCGCGTCTGTCGTGCCACCAAGATACCTATGTTTTTAAGAAGGCGTAATCCTCACTCTCTTCGATGAATGCGTCCATGGCAGCTTTACTTTTGGCGTAGCCATCTTCGGTTTCACTCGTTAGAAGAAGGTTACACAGTTCCTTAAAACGGCCGCTATTTTCATTGTCCAGTCTCTGTGCTTTCTTGTTTCGTTGATCTTTAAAGTGAAATTCGCAGGACTTAATACGTGACGCAGCCTCCTCACCAAACACTGTGATTAGTGCCGCGAAGTTGGCCCCCGCCATGTCGGTGCACCAGCCAAGGGGATTAAATTTATACTCTTTATGACCGGAAACTTTTTGTAGAACTTCATTAAAGAGTGTCCAAAAGAGTTCGATGTTGGTTGTGTCCTCTTTTTCAGCTTCCATTACAGCAAGAGGAACTTGTTTTTGTAATAAGCCGTAATATACACTTGCCGTGAGAGTGACAAAACCTCGACAGCGTTTTCTTTTGCCATAAAAAAAACAAAACTCTTCCTTCATGAAGTGATTGCCATCTTTATCCATGTTGATGGCCATTTTAGCTTTTTGAGTCCCCATTTTAAAAACAAAGGAAGGTCTGTCCGGGTTTCCTCTTCGGTCGTTGATTTTGTATACATGATAATTGTCCTTCTTATCACAGTACTGTTTGTATGTCACAACAGCTTCAAAGTCATGACCGAAAGGCTCGGTATCTCGCTTTATTTGCTTCTTTTCATTTGCTAGCCATTGTCGATCTAGGGTAGCCTCCACCTCCTTCTCTACTGTTGCCCAGTCTGCTTTCTCGCGAAAAGCAGACATTATACATGCTGACTGAATTTCCGAGGGCTTTATCTTGGGGTTGTCTTTAATAAGTTGTCTGACCTGATCCTTGTTTTTTCTTAAGGGCTTAATTACAGGACACGTATGATTGCCGCAGTAAAATATTTTGGTGAACGAGGGGCCATAACTTATGTAACGTCGTGCTAGGCATTCAACATATTCAGGTTGCTGATTGCAAGCACTGCATATTACGCCACCGTCTTTCATGTTCTTAAACTGTGTTGTATTTACAACACCGAACTCCAGTTTCTCCCGTCTTTAAAAATATTTTTGCCTTCATTTTTAAGAGATTCTGATGGTATCTTGAACACTCTCAGTCCGTCAACTCCCTCAGGTAAATGTTTCACCGACTCTGCTTTTATTCCAGACCACATTTCCTCTGTAATTTTTCTCTGATTCTGCTTCGTTTCAAAAACTGAGTCTAGTAAATCGTCGTCATCGCCTTCACTGTGACTGTCGATTTCAGCGTGCCTCTCACTGTTGTCGTCACTGCTGTTTGAGCCCTCCTCTTTTTCGTTGTTCTCGTTTTCAGCCCTAGATTTGTTCTCCGTCGGCTTTTGCAGGTCAGCGGTATCAAAATTCCTGCTGGAATTAATAAAGAAATTCTTGCTGGTTAGTGTGTCCGGGATGTCTGGAGAGTGGGGCTAGTGTCAGCGAAATCTCCCGGGGAAGAAGGGGACGGAATGTTGACCGAAAACCAGCTATCTTATTCTTACCGCTGTGCAACTCAGTTGTTAACAAAAAATTACCTGCCATTCCGATTACTGCTTGCGCACATGAACACTGACACCCAACCTGCCCTAAACATCTATGATGACGACTTACGTATCTCAGCGTTTACATACGAAGTGAGTAGATTATAATGGAATTAGATCAGGTTAGAAAGAAAATTCCTTTTTATTTCATCTTACGCAAGCACGTATTTTATTCACCACTGCCAAGTAAATTGTCTTGTTCTATTCAGAAAATAATCAACTCATTTTCATTCGTAGTATACTCCTCTACGACACTCTGAAATGATGTCATAGAAAAATTGGAAGGTCTCCAGCACGCTAATGCACTAAAAGGATGTAAATCTGTGATTTTTGTTTAACCGTCTCGCTACAACAACATGAAAGTAATGACATTCTTTAGGTTTTTTTTTTTCAACTAAAAACATTAATCTACATATTTTAATTACGTAATAATATATATACCTTGGTTAAGATCAGACCATGATTCTTTCAGTCGTTAAAAGATGATGAAACCAAAAGGGAATTAAAAAACAAAAAAACAAAAAACAAAATGAACAAAAAACAAAACAAACACCACACAAAAAAAAAACAGCGAAAAAAAGGGAAGAACCCTGATTCTAACTCTAACCCCGTGAGAATTTTTTGCTATTCCCCTCATTTGATTGTTTTATTGCTATAATTAGGTATTGCTTTCAAATTAGAACTCTCTCTTAAATTGTCAGATATGCGCTATACCTCTCTTAAGACAAGTCGTGTAGGAATGTAAATGAGGTTGCATTAGTAAGCTCCCCTGTTAGGTCTTGTTAGTTTTTATGCCATCGCTCGAGGTTGATGATATAGCCGTACGATTATTAATTAATAGACAGCTCGTGTATATAGTAATTAGGGGTCTGATACTAAAGCTCGATGAGGGGAAGAGGGGATAGGACTTATTTGGCAGCGAATTTTAACTCTATCGCAGATCGTGAAAAGTAAGTTAATTTTACCACTTTTTTATTTTGCAGGAGTAGGCTGATACAGCACAATCCATTTAACCGACTGATAGCAGGGAGGAGTGGTCAGAGATCCTTTGTTTGAAAAAAACGACGTCCCAGACAGATCAGTTAGTGCTGGCACCAAAGTGCACATACTCAAGATTACCGGGATCTTAACATCCTCATATCTCAAAGAAATTTTCAACTTTATCACTCTCTCAGTTTTTTTTCTTCTTTTAATTATTATTATGTAAAGATAATCAAGAAATATTCCCCGCGAAATTGCAACTTGAAATTTTGATATTTTTCATTCTCAATTCTTCAAGAGATTTTGTTTAATGGAGGTGTTGGCCATTCTGTCCAAAACACGAAGAGTGCTAAAAAGCCAGATAGTTTACATCTTGCAAGACGCTTCCTTTGTGGAGCAGCAGTGTGCTCTTGGTTGATTGAAAACATGAATAAAACCTCAAGCTCCATTTATCATAACTAAAACATGGGTCAGAAAAATGTCGAAAATTATTAGAAAAAAGAGATTGAAAATACAGAGCGGGAAAAAGGGTTTGGAAGGCATTCTAGCTCATCAGTCTTCAGTCTAGGGTCACAACAACAACAACAACAACCACAAAAACAGACAAACAAACAAACATGGAGCTAGGGAGTAAAAACATTTGAAAGTAGTTTAACCTGGCTCAGTAACTTTCCTCATTCGTCAGCCAACCTCAATAACCTCAAATTTTTTCTGCGAAAATTTTCTCTCATATTTTAAAAAGTAAATGATGAATTGCAGCCTAATTTCTTGATTTATCTTAAAAACAGCAACAAGGTAAAAAATTAAATAGTTCTTACTTTAAGGAACACGCCCATTACGGTCAGGTCATCACTCTTGTCGGCTACTTTTTTGAAATCTTTGTATTTTATATTAAAAATACCAAATGAAGCTGCTGGAGGAAACGCGAAAATCTGAGTAAAAACTTTGTTAATAAAATCACTGACTGCACTTCTCAACGAAGGTTTTTATTAGGAACCTTTATTTTGTTATTAGTTTTTCACTCGTTATTTCGTTCGATCTAATTCTGCTCAGTCCGTTTCGCCCATTTCAGTCCAGTTCAGTACAGTTCAGTCTGGTCCAATCCATTCAGTCCGATCCAGCTCGGTCCAGTTCAGTCCAGTTCAGTCCAGTTCAGTCCAGCCCAATCCAGTCTAGTTTAGTCAATTCTAATCTACCCTCGTCCAGTCGAATCCAGTTTAGTCGAGTCGAGTTCAGATCAGTTCAGTCCAGTCTTTTGATACCGTTTACACATTTTCATGAACATTCAGTATCGTGACAGCTGCTATTTCCTTTGTGAGGAAAAATACCAAGTCGATCTATGCCCACTCCTTATAAGAAAGGCTGTGGTTGATCGTTAACCACTAGAATGGAAAGACTGGAACCCGATCGAGTACAGTGCGATCATTCTTACATCTTCGGAAACTTATATTTGTCTTTATCTTTCTCCATTGTTTTGTGTTTTTTTTAAAGTAATTAATTAATTTTTTTAGGTTCGGTGCGCGAGGACTTAATTGAATTTTCTTAAGGGTTCTTTTTTCGAGGGTATACATACATAATTCATAATATCGACAATATTCACCATGATTCATGCTGAACACAATACTTTTGTTCAAGATGATTCTACGTTTGGTTTCTCTAATGTACTGTTTGTACTTGGTTGAGTGCTGCCACCCAGACAGAGGCTGTAAATAAGGAAAACAGAGTTCGATCACAACCTACGGTTCATTTGGTAAAAAAAACGGACATTTCAACCGTCAGTTAAGCAGAATATGAGCTTCCAAGTGTGGTTTACTGAGATATTTCACTGAAATATGAGCTGAGGGGGGAAAGAGGGCATGTAAAGTTAGTAATTTTCACCCATTAATATCATCGTATCGAAACAATATTCCTGGTCTTCTGTTAATTGCTCGATATTTCAGTTTTAAGAAAAAATTATTTTACACATGAGAAGCTTCTGGTTTTAGTAAAAATGAAGCGGTGCTTTATTTAACATTCAACATATCTAATAACTATTGTGAATTTGAAAGAGTGTCGCTCTGATTAACTTGCACCAAATAAACTTAAAAGAAGGTTTGTTTACACTTACAGTAGTTTCATTATGCACAATAGCTGTGAATGTATTGTACCTCCATATCTAGTTGCGAATTTGTGGCGCCAATAATGTATCAGTATATTGGCGACTGTTCTAATATGATGCGAAGTAGTTTCTCTCAGACATGTGGATTGATTACGATACAAAAGTGCAAGTGGATGTTTCAAAAAGAGAGAGCTTTTTGTTGGTAAAGTTATTTGGCTTATCGAGAGGCCACGAAAATATTAAGCAAAGGCCTTTGAAGTCGCCTTATCATAAGCTGCTCTTTTATACCCTTAAACAGGGCTGGACGCGACGAGTTTTTTGCATGAACAAAATAATGTTTTGTTTTAGTTACCCGGATGTTCGAGCACATGCCTTCGTTTTTTAGTTGCAAGGTTAAGTGTGTAACCTTTCGGAGATTTTACGGTTTTGAAAATTAATTATTTGAATACAAAAGAGGGTAAGTTTCTAAAGAAACTGTGTGGCTGCGTTAGTGGGGGATATACAGAAAGACGAAGCTACGTTATCGGTGGGAACGGGGTTGGTTGAAAAACACAAGCGTATTTACTCTTGAAATGACTGAAAATGAAAATGTTGCACATTTTGTCCTTTTACGAAATCGTTTTCTCTGTTTTGTCGCAGCCGGTCTATAATGTTTCAGAATGCTTAGAAAGAAATGGTGATACGTCTTTTAAAGCAGAGTGGTTGTTATGAACTCGTAAGCAGCTATCCCATGTACCCGCGAATGACACGGCCATTTAGCGGTTGAGGGGGCCTGGAACCGTTGCACAAGGAGTGTCCCTCTTGATTTCGCAGACTTCTCATGACGTCCATCTGAAAATCAACAAATAGCAAGTAAATGAAAAAAAACAGCGAATTGATTAATGTTGATAAAAAATTAAAAATGACTGAATAAAAATCAAGAATAGCGGAAGAAGGAAGAAGGTGAATCAGTGCGGTTTTAAGCCTTTGACCCCAAAGGGTGACTAATATTTAATTTCTTCCAACAAAATCAGCCCTGTATCACACAAAAAGGTCACAAGAATAAAGGAAATTATCACCACGTGAAGAGACTCTTGGTTATTACTGAAATTCCTCTTGAAGGTGCCATGAGAAACGTAAAGAGAACAGTATGGAGATCTTGGATCCTGATGTTAGGGTGGGAAGAGTTAATTGTAAGGTTATCATGTAATCTCACCACGTAGGTACTTGCCGGGATGAACTGACCGAGTACAATCCAGTTAACAGACTGATAACAGGGAGGGGTTGTCAGAGATCCCTTGTACGAGAAAAATGGTGTCATAGACAGATCCGTCAGCTGTGGCACCAGAGAGTACAGATTTAGATCCAGTAAATTCCTTTCGTTTTCCTCTAAAAAGATAAGGGAGAAAAAGATAGCACAATTTTTAAAAAAATAAATGATGGCTGTCTGTATGTATTTTTCTATCTTTTAACATTGTCAGTCAACATTACAATCGATTACAATTATAATCAAACAAGTAAAAGTCACGTGTCGTGCAAAGAGTTAGTAACATCCCTTCACACATCTTGCGAAGACAAAAATAATACAGATTTGGATGTTTTATTTTATAATAGGTCGCTCTTCCTGCAGCTCTAATTTTTCTTTACGACTGAGGTCACAAGCTCATGACGAGGTACTCACTGTATGTACAGAGACCATACACTTTAATTTGATTGCCTCACCACACGAGTTTGAATTATGACGTTTAGACGTAAAGTATATCATTAACACTCGACTTTTATATAAAAAATGTAACAAACGTGCTTTATTTCTTAAAATCAAAAAAGAAACTAAATTGATCTTACGAAATAACAACAACAACAACAATAACAATGATAACAACGATAATAACAACAAAACAAAGCAAAGTGGAAGATTAGAAGCCATAATCACACCTCGATCGCCTCTGGCCATGTTCCTCAACAAATGTGCTATCTTTCCAAGTTCCGGATTTGATACGCCCAAACGATTTTGCTATATTTTAAAGCGAAATAGTAAAGAGCAAGTTGCAGAAGAATCTGCTTTACTTTAATAAAAAAAGGGGTAATTGCAAGGGAATACATTGACATCGCTGATCCTAGCAGTATCTTAGCAGTATGCAAGACACGTGTCATATGAACTTCGTAATAGGCCTCGCTTACCATAGAGTCTCTGTGGCTCAGTGGTAGAGCATCGGAGCGCGGAATCCGAAGGTGTTGATATTCGATTCCTTATGAGGATTCAGAATTTTTTCTTTCTCCTACGCTTGTGACAGGACATAAAACATCCTTCTCTAGAAGGGAATATTTACCTCCAGAAAAGCGGCGATGACAGTTAAACCATCTGGCTTGTCAGCGGCAGCGTCAAAGTCAGCGTACTTTATGTTATAAAACACCAAATGAAGCTGAAATTGAGAAAAAAAAGATAGGATCAAAAGCAAATTAACGCCTCTATATGCAAAAATAGGATAAAATGTTGTGTGATTTTTCTGCTGGAGTTTTGCAGTTTGGTTGAGGGACTCAACGCTTGTACTAAATCAAATTTGTTTTGACGTTGTTCATTTGCCTGTCTCAGAGTCTGTGTAACAAGCTTTGCCATAATTTTTCACGAGAGGTAATCGATAATCAGATTCTGACGACTGCGTCTACCCAAGAATCCTACCGTTGAAAGAGCATTGGGACAAAAATTTCCAAGAAAATTTTCATGGTAAGGGTAAGGCTAGAGCTGATGCTGGTGATAGTGAAGACGATTTTGTAGCCTACTTACCTCACCCGAGAATGGCATACCATCTAGAGTATGCTCTGAACCTCCTGGGTTAGACTTACAACCAAAGTGGAGATGAAGTTGAGCAAGTCTATAGCGGGCGCTTCCCCAGGGACCCCCGGAGAGTAGACCGAAACCGGCCTCAATCTTAATAGTAGGTGCATGACCATTGTTGAATAATCTGCCTCTCAGACTTCTCCACATGTTTGCAATCTTGAAGCTGAACCCTTTTAGGAAAGTTAATTTTTCAAAACTATTTGTTTGGACAGTATCGATATTGATGGGAGACTGGGCTCTCTCTCCACAGTGATGTGAGACTTGGACCCAATCCCTCGGGCCATAAACTGTCTGGTGTCCACTGTGCACTAAAATTTATAAGTGTAAATAAATAAATAATGAACAGATTAAAAAAACAAATCAATAAAGAATTTGATAACAGAAATGATGAAAAAACCGTATAATCAATTAATCGGTTAATGAAAAAATGATAGACTGTAGAAAATTGGATGGTCATTACTACATATTCTTCATAGACTCTAAATCTATTGGACTGTGCTATTTCATTTTAACAGCCTCTTACTGAACCTGTGTTTCCATACTTCCATGGTGTTCCTATAGAGAGATAAATGAAGACAAGGAATATTATTATCTATACCTTAACTAGTGAAAATAAATTGATGAATGTATAGTGAAAAATGAATCAATAAATAAAAGTGTGCGAGTAGCCCTCATTATTAGCACTGGAGGACGCTGGTTATTTCGCACGCGGAAAGATTTAAGGTAATTAATAGTTGATTCAGCCATCTTCCTTATCAATTATTACACGATAGAAAGTTCGAGCTAGCGAGGAGTCAGCCAATGCGATTGCAGAATTTATTATAAAGCCCTAGTAGATTTATACCAAAGCTAAGTATTATTATTTTCGTGTATCACTGGGAATAAAACGCGCGTCCCCTAAAAAAAACAACAACAAGAAGAACAAAACAATACTATTTACGCTCAGAGCATTGCTTTTCTTCAATGCGATTTATATCGTTAAATCGGATTTCGATTGTTCCCTATCATCTCTAGTCATTAATTACGTATATTTATCGTTGTGAATCACCACATTCATCTGTAAATATTGGTTTGGTTTCCGGTGATCGATTTTTGCCGTAATGCAATGTTGAAGCCGAGAAGATACGGTATCAGTAAATTTGATCGCCTTTGATGTTGCCCTCTGCGAATCGATCAAATGCAAATAATATGTTTGCTGTTATTACAAAGTAAAAGAATGAATTATTTGAGGTTTTAAGTTTATTTCATAGAGGTATTTATTGGGAAGAAAGACAGAAAATGTACTCACTACAAGATGATGATGAATCCCTAATGGTAACACAAAGTAATGGCGCAAAAAAATGATCATTTTCTTACGCATGGATTCCTTTTGTATCATTTATTCGATTTCCTTCGATTGAGGAACTACATTCTCACTATTTTTCTTTCGCGCAGAGTTCAACTTTGTATTTATTCAAAGTGGACAGTAATTCAATTTGCTTTCCTCTCGGCATTCTATTTGTATCAACTGAGTCTCTCCAATCAAGAAGTTCGCCCCTAACATCCAGGAGCCCATCACTGATGGGCTCCTGTAACATCGTAATATTTCAATTCACAGGTCAAATCGTAATAGGTACTCTGTAAGTATTTGCCATTCATAAATATAACTGGATTATTTAGTTCTATGGTTTCAGAAATATTTCTATGTTCCGAAAGAAATTAATAAAATAAAATGAAAAGAAAGGAAAAGGGATGGGTCTTGGAGCACCCCTTTGGTTCTTGTGATAGAAAATTATATTTTTGTTCTATTTTCATCATCACATGAGTGTAATATCTTTCAGTTGGCAATAGAGTAAATATTACAGTTGGAATCTAAAATAACGGCAGCGGAAAGCAGTTTAAGATTGATTTAAGCATCTTAATTTCCAGAAGTGGTTTATCTCCCCAAATTGAGGGAAAAAATTAACTAAAATTAGGCTTACTGAGAGGCGAAAAGATGCAATATCTAACGAATGTTTAAGTGATGTTTACAAGATAACTCAACATGCAAAATATTTGTTTTTCTTTCAATGCGAGCACGCTAATGACAGCAACGCCCAAGTTACCTCAGTGATTCATTTATTTTTAAATCTTTTGCTTCATTTTGTTTGTCTGAAGGTTAACCGCGATCAAGAGAGCGCTTCCTTTTCTCTTGCCAAGACTTAATCCATCATATAATACTTCTAATTTCATGCATCGCTCAATTACCGGGGGTTCAAGTTTCTACTATATCCAATCAAGTGGAACAACTAGAAAACCTGAAGTTTGCCCGATAGAATTAATGTTTGTTAATGTCAGAAAAAGGGGTAACACATGTAGAACATGTTAAAATAATCCACCTATGGTGCTCAGTTTTGAAAGGTGTCGATAAAGTTGAATTATCTAGAGCCAATTCTACAAACTCGAATAAGGCAGAATAATAATTTTCTTAACTAGGAAAGATACAGCATAGAAAGCTAGCTTAGAATAAAATCCAATAAAAGTTCATAACATGAAATACTCACCATGGCTAGCAGCAAGAAAGCAGGGAAGAAAAGAGACCAAAACTACAAGGATTTTACCGAGCATAATACCTTGTTATCATCAAGCTAGGTCAGTTGCAAAGATTGAGCGATGTTATGTGATGCTGATAATTTATTGGTTTCAGTCGTAAGCTGATATCTGCTCGCAAACGAATAGCGAGCCCATTTTAACTTCGTACAGCTCTTTTTCGATCGATTATACACGCATCTGATGCTGTCCTTATCGCCCTTGTTGTTGCTATCACAGTTGGTCTTGCTTTATGTGAGCGCACATTTAATTTGCTTTATGCAAGATGGTTTAATTTGTTGAAAGTTCATCCCAAAACTTCTTTTGCACTAAAATTTTCATGAATATTTTCTTAGTTGGTATGCTTTTGATTTCAATGTTTTGAGAATACGCGCCAAGTAAAATTCACAGTTATGCGCCTTGGAGGCGAGGCTTGGGTATGCTGACGCAAGCAGATTAAATCTCAGGCATACCGTCCCAGAAAAGCTGTTGTACTTGAGAGAAAAAAAAGATGCTTCTTCAATCTTAATCCACTGCTTATTCAGGGGTGACGCTAGTGAAATTGATAAAAGAGAAGTACTCTACGATCTAAGTTACAGTATGTGTTTAGATATCAGTTTCACAACACCACATCGATCTCGCTGCTCGGTTGCTACGCGTACAATATTTCAATGTAAAACACAGGATATCACTCTTCTTAATTACAATAGGTAAAACCATATTTATGTGGACTCTACACGCGATAAGTTGATTTTGATTTTTACTTTTCGGCTGGTAGAATAAAGAAAATCTTTGAAAGTCGAAAAATCTTCGAAACAGCACGACTTTAGTACGTAAATATAGCGAGAAGTATCTTGAAATTTTAAGCTTACCTAAAGATGGTCCAAAACCGACTTAGATGGCAAAAAGGGAATTATTAAGAGTTATAATTTTCAGCTGTTCATAAATTGAGATTTCTACCTGGTAATATATGATAACTGGACAAAACAGTACGACTTTAGCACGAAAATGTGACGAGAAGTATGTTACAATTTTAAGGTTACCTAACTAAACCAAAACCGACTTTACATTTTTAGATTACAAAAAAAGGAATTATTCAGAGTTATTAATTTTGAACTGTTCATAAATTGACATTTCTACCGAGTGATATATGATAACTATTGGCATATGCTAGATTGACGCTGCATTTTTCCCTATCTTAGTGTTCAAATAACTCTTGCCAGTAACTATCAGACTTCCTGTTTGGTGTCCGTTTCATGAGCCGAATTGATGGGTCACGGAAAGGTTACGCCTTTTCTGTCCGGTTCTCAATCAAAGAGCTATTTTTGATCACGTGTTGCGCCTCAAATCATGATGATGCACATTCTTTCTGATTATTTTCGACGAGTGGGTTGTATTTTTTTTCTTTAAGTTTTACTTGAATAAAAGTTTGACTCCATATTGTGAAAGCTTTTTCCGATATTCAAACGGTTAAAAAAGTCGGCGGACATCTCTAAATTTTCTCATTAGACTGCTAACGTTCTTGCTTGGATGAAGCAGAGTAATTTGTTCAATGATCTACAGTTTGCGCGACTGGGAAATAAGTTGCAGAAAAATTGTTTAACACCAACCTTATAGACGAGAAAAGCGAGACAACAGTAACAGATCGGTTTGGCGTTTCTTACTTGAGAGATAGATAGATAGATAGGTTATTTATCCACATAACTCCTAGGAGCATTAAGCATACTCGTTTACAATGCGCACATGCAATTACAAAATACTGAAAATAATGAAAATTACATAAGTATAAAAGACTATAAACAATCATATGCAGGGCACAGTAACAAATTCCTACTATGGTGCTTAGCGATAAATAAACGGTACAAGGTTTAATTTGTCTATTATACTTCTAAAAGTATTACATTACCAGCAATTCCTGAGCCTCTAAGATTATAATTGATTGTACGAAGTTTAAAGAAATCTTTAATATAAGTAGGACCCTACTCAATGAAACTTTTAAAAGGTAGGATCAAAACATAAAAAAACCTCCTTAGTTCTAGTGTACGCGTGTTAATTAATTTAAGAATATTATCATACGAAGTGGACTTAGGTAAAACCTAATAACGTTCTGAGAATATAGTAATTTGCATCTTCCAATTTATCCGATAAAGATTTAGTTATTCCAATAAGTATTGGGCCACATGAGAGGATAAAGCCAACGCATGTCCGGCATATCCGCAACCTATCCCGTATTTTCCCTTTCATGTATTAGCCCTACACACTCCTTCCTAATTTCATCAAAACTTTCGACAGATCGAAATGTTTTGCTCATAGGAGAGAATTGATGCTATACAAATTAATAAACAAAACAACAGGCGACAGCTGTCAGGGCACTCTGTAGATAATAAGACAAAATTTTTAAGCAACGTTCAATCAAGAGAAATCGAACTGCAGTCATCGAGTAATTCAGAATAACATTGCCAAGTCAGGCTGACAATTTCTCACTTCCTAGACAAATTAAGACAAAATTATCTTGGCTATGTTTTCACTAGGACAATTTTGGCTAGACAAAATCGGAAAGTCCGGAAATTCAGTGAAAACAGTTCGTCTTGAGTTTAGCGAGCTAAGAATGTTAACGCGTTATTGCCTCGGAAGTCAGAAATTAACACCCTTAATTGGCAATGTTACCATGACTTTCATAATCCCTGAAAAAGGTGAGAAAAACAATAGGTAATCCCGCCAGCATGTGTTCCATTGCCACATTAAGCTCCCTTTTTCGTTTTAACTTCCGACAGGAAAAAAAATAGCGGCACAACTCTGATATTAATTATTTCCCCTATCAGAAGTGTGGCTTGTATCCAGACAATTGACGTATAATTGACCTTAACGTTACGTGCATATCTTAGCAACCAAACGAGACTGAAGGAAACAGTTCAAATATATATTTCAAAAGATTCTAACCAGGGTCGTTCATTTCTTACTGAGAAAGATTGTGACGCATCAAGAAACACCTTCCGAGCTCTTTATTTTCAGATAATAGCAAAAATAAGGGACCCCAGGAGAAAATAATATCCCCCAATTTTTTCTTAGAGACACCTATATATACAGCCAAGGTTTACATCTCCTTACTCATTTTTTTAAAAAAACTTAGTCATGTATCTATTTATTTACTCAAATATATTGATATGAACTACGAGATACGACTGATTCTTCATTACGGAGATTGAGGCCAATTATTAAGTCCCTACCCGCTAATCATTTCAGATGCAGACAGCTAAAATTTCCAATACAAGCATACAAAAACACAGTTATTTATTTTTATTTTTTATTTTTTTGCCAGGGTTTATCTTAAAAAAAGGAATTATCTAACCCTTTGACGTGATATTTGGACGTAAGAGTTCGAAATCTCTTGGCAACCTTGTAAACAAAATGACACAACGTTATGAATCAGGGGCAGCAAAGCGTATCTAAAGGAATTGATTTTGTTGCAATTCCGGTATATTGTTCAACATCCGAATTTTGCGGTTTACTTCCAAGTTCCTTTTATGAATAAGATATCGCCAGGATATCATGGCTTTTCCACTGCAAATTATGAGTAGAGAGGCCCCGTGATGGATGTGAATTTGATACGACAAGAATCTACGCGATAATCTGGAACGACGCGGCCATTTGGTAAAAAAGAAAGCCGTGTTTAACTGCACGTCAAGCGTGATGCAAGACCTCGATCGTTGAATTATGTAACGCAATTTCGTGAGCGTTGTATTAAATTCCGTTTTAAAAAAAAATTAGTTAATCATACCCCAATAAAGGCAATATCTTATATACGTAGGAGGTGATACTTCCTTACGAGTTCCGTCGACATGACCACCGTCAAACCATAAGTAGAAGTCGGTTAGACTAAAAGAAATCTTAATCCTTCATTCCAAGTGAACATTTTCACCCTCTCAAATGAACAACTTGAAATATTTGACCCTGGGCGCTTGTCGAGATTGCACTAACGTTTTCCACAATTTTGGAATTTTGCTTTAAGTATCGAATATCTACTATCTAACTGATAACTTACACTCCTGACTAACATGTAACTCTAAACAGAACAAAAAGGGAAATAAAATATCACGCGATTATTTTGTTGTGCCGCTGCCACTATTTGAGTTATCTTGACTGCTTGCGTTGACACTTTCTTTTAAAGCATATAATGAGACTGAAAGTAAGAACTAGGATAAAATGTCAATCTTTCTTTCGATGATTGTCGTTTCCATCAAAGGCAACGTAGGAATTCCTGACTAGCAGTGATTAAGCGATTGTTCAAAGTTCCGAACGTAACTCTATGCGTGCTACCCGTCCACACTTTCTCGGGTGTGCAGGAAGTCAGTAATAATTTCGCTCCCACCGCATCGTATAGTTTACGGTTAAGCATCACTTCTTGCGTCACGTAACGGATGTACTTATAACAAAGGCTTTTAGCAGCACTCATTCTTGTTCAACGGGCCGTTTAGAAAAGGAAAAATCCTGTTTCCTGGGAGTCAGTAGACAACGAATTGACGTTGAGTATTTAGCGGTTCAGTCCGCCCATAGTACGTAGGACTGAATATCAAAACAAAAATAGACTTTAGATATCCTTTTACATATGAGTCATCCGAGAACTATACTATATAAATAGGGGGAGACCAAAGCTTACTGATCAAAGACGGTTGGACAAACTTTACGCTGCACTGTTACAAGATTTTTTTCAGGATAAGAACTGAGTCAGCCAAGTTGCATCTTGTTTAATTTTCAAGGTAAGGGATTGTATTTCATATTGTTATCAGAAACTTTTTTGGTCGCTCATCAATATTACCTTCTTTTCTCTTGAAGAAGTTAAATCTAACAGTAAAACGCAAAATGCTGAATACACACTTGGAAGACAATAACTTCATTGTCAACAGTCTGCCAGTCGAGTGCCACTTTGCATTTATCAGCCTACCTAAAAAGTGGGCGTTCGTCAAAAGCTATGAGCTGTTTATTCAGGCTGAGTTTTATGAGTTTCAAGGCAGTCTGAACAGTTTTATTACCCAAGCCTTTCCTTTGGCGATCATTTCAATGGGGCGATTGAGGCCGAACAATCTGTTTACTTCTCAGCATGATAATCACATCAAATTTATTTTTGCTTGGCCTTTCGTAAAACACAACAACACAATTTTTTTTCAATTTCGTTTTGTTTAACGTGAATCTCATATGAACCCCTGGATTTACTGAATTTCGTAAAAAATTAAATCGAATCGATTTCTACACGCCTGACTTTATACCTATCTTCAAAATAATTTTTATTTGTAGTACACTTAATTCTCCTCATTTGCGTCATAGTTCCATGCAGTTTAAGCTCTTTTTGCAGTTTTACAATTTTCTAGCTCCAGCAAGAACTGAATAGGTTTTACTTCAATACGCAGACTTCAAGACCCATTTGAGTAAAATAATGATGTACAGCCCACTGACATTTGTGCTGTTTGTTGCCCTGACCTTTCAAAGCACTGGTAAGCATAAGTGACTTTTCAATGAATTTGCTTATCAATCATTTAAAGTGCAATGTAACGTGATCAATTAATGAATCATCAAATCATGCGCTGTGATTGGTTTAGGATTTCTTCTGTTCCCGCTAAAATAACAAGTGAATTTTCCCTCTCTCTCTCTCGACGGATATGACAAACTCAGGCGGAAAACTGATGTACCTTTTTAGCGAGGGCAGATTAAAACAATGATCAATTAACTTGTTGACCTGTAAATTTAGTAAAACTCACAAGATGGTAAGGTTCAATGTTAGAAAATATTCCCAATTTGATCTAAATCGATTTTATTTGCTATTTTATTTGTTATTTATTTACGAAAAAATGACATGTTACATCCTGAATGTAAATGTTACGTGGCTCTTTTGATTTGCAGTCGCAATAGAATATTCGCGGATTGGTTGCTACAGGGATACTCTGGTAAAGCCAAGACCTCTTCCAGAGCTGATAGAAAACTTCCGAGGTGGTCGGGTAGACTGGAATAATTTGAACAATACCATAGCTGCTTGTGCTGAAGCAGCCAAGAAAAAGGGATATCTTTACTTTGGACTTCAATTCTACGGCGAGTGTTGGAGTGGCCCACAGGCTCAATTGACCTATGCTAGAGATGGTCCTTCCAAGAATTGTAGCAAAGGTGTTGGAGAAGAGCGAGCAAATTTCGTGTACAAGATTAAGCTTTTAGAGAAAGGTGAGCGACTAAGTAAAGAAATACATTAGAATTTCCCCATTTAAATCTTACAAAGAATTTACGAAATGGTGATCATTGTGAAAGGAAAACAAGTTCAAGAGGATAGAATATTCAAGATTTCCGATCCCAATGATGGTGGCCAATAACTAACTAGACTAATGGTCAGTAGTTTGTATATTTAAAAAAAGTTATTACCACGGCATGCTGCACGAGACCGGCCATAACCAAAGAGAAAACAGACAAGAAAGCAAAAGAAAATAAAACAACAGCAAAAAGAATAACAACAACACACAAAAATAATATGAAGAAGACAAAGAAAAAAGCGATGTTGAAAATAAAATAGAAATGCAAAAATTATAGCAAAGATAATCACTTACAGTTGCTCTTAAGAATAACTATCTAATGTATTTTTTCCACAGAAAATGAATGCACCACTTATCGTGTTCTGGACTCAGCAGACAGGTCAAAGACAAACGTCAACACTGTCTCCCAAGGAGACAAGTGCGACCATTGGAACTCTGGGTTCGTAAGAAATGCCTGGTACAGGTTCACCGGCGCGGCTGGGCAAACCATGGCGGATGAGTGTGTGCAGGCAGGCAGTTGCCAGACCACAATGGCTGGATGGATGAATGGAACACATCCCAAGGTTTGTTGTGACGTTAAGCCCAAAGGCGTGTAGCTTTGATGTTTATGGATATTATAAAAAGGTATTAGAGTGGACCTTTATCTTGTTTGGCATTCGTAATCCTGGGCTGATACAACTCTTACCTTTATCACATTTAGAAAGGGCTGTCACTTCCCTGACATTTCTATCTAAATATTTTAATGAAACCTCTCATTGGAAATACGTTCGCAAGACATAACCAAAATCGGGCCCTTTTCGAATTGCACCCATTCTCCCCTTCTATCTCATTGTTCCTAAGGAGGATTTTCATTGCGAATGTCTGAAGTGTTGCTGATTTTTTGTTTTTAATTTAGGTTTTTGATGGAATTCAAAGAAGAACAGCTTGTTTTAGCTCGGAAAGTAATCCTTATAAACGCCAGAATAATAATTGTTGTAAACGCCAGATTTATATTCACGTCAGAAACTGTGGTGAATTTTATGTCTACAAGCTTCCAAGCACACCTGGCTGTTATCTTCGATACTGTGGGAGCGGTAAGCATTTAGACATCATCTACACATAAATATTGATTTCAATTAAGGTTAAGTTAAGGTTGTTGTTAAATCAGCTCGTTTGTACGATCAGTAATAGGATTTGGGAAGCAAATAATTTTCTGTTTTGTAAATGTTGATATTAACTGGTTCATTCATAAATTCGTTCGTTCGTTTGATAATGTATTTTTCATTATTTATTTATGCATTTACCCCTTATCTATCTGCCTTATTGTATATTCACTTAAATATCTATTATTTCTTGCAGGTGTCAGCCAGAACAAGAATGCGTGATTGATTGGAGTGACATTAAATGGTTGTGCCTTGCAAAAAAAATTTTTTTGGTAAAGCTTTGGAAGATTAAATAACAATTTATACTGCATCACTTTGAATTGACAAAGAAACAAGCTGGCCGAACATTAACAGCGAAAAAACTTAAAAAATTAAAAGAGACTTGGTCAGTATCTCTGTGGCGAATGAATTATTTTTTGTTGTTGTTATTTACTAGTCTTAGAAGACTTCAAAAGCTAAATGTGTTGTGAAATGATTTACCGAGAGGATTTAGAGCATTCATTTTTAAGTTATAGCTATGATTCGACATAAAGAGGAAAAGAAAATTGTAATGTTTTAGGTATTACTTAATTTATATTTTGACGAAATAAACAATGTAAAAATATAATTGCCTAAATTTCACTTTGCATTCTCACAGTAGCTATAGTCATTTAAAAAAAAAATTTTGATCTTTGTCGTTTGTCAATAAATTCCAGTTAATGATTAAACATGCAAGTTGATTATTCATCTTAGTTAAACCCCATACAAATGGCCCCTCTTTTAAAGTCTTCCTAGGGAAAATGCTCAAATGCGCCCACAACGTTGAACCCTGTCTTTAGGTTTCCATGTCGCTATTCCTAAATTTCACTTTGCATTCTCACAGTAGCTATAGTCATTTAAATTTTTCGCCTTTTTTCGCAAGTCGGTAAACCCCATACAGGCCCTCTTATCTTAGGGAGCTCAAATGCGCTATTGCTCTGTCTGGTAATGTTATCTTTAAGGAGTCACTCAGGGAACTGAGCCTTAGCGAGACGACCAATTTCTTCGGCTGATCGACGAAAAAAATTGTGTCTCGGAAATGCAATATTTAATGTAATATTTTCGTTTTATATCAGCTCCAAAACTCCAATTCTGAGCTTCTCTATCGTCATTTAACAGACTTTTGTTTAGATTCCAAGGTTTCCTAAAATCAGTCTTATTTTTAGTGTCAATATCTTTGAGGTGAAATGTTTTAACAATCCTCATTATTCGAGTCACTGTTTTTCGCTTGCCTAAATAAATTCCAATTACTTTCAGCTTGCCTTTTTCTAGTTGAAATTCAGTGCTTTGCCATTTTAGCCGAGAATTTTATTCTCTTCTCTTTGACAAGGAGGTACTCATCTTTAATGCCATAGAAGATGTTATACCAGGCGTCGACCGTGTCAGTAGTGTCCTCGAACGCAAAGCGCACAATCCCAGGATACCTTGTCCAACGATGAAACAAATTGCTTATTGTTAAGACTCCTTAAATCTCGACAGGTTATTGTTGTAAGTTGATCTTCATTGCTCCTTGCGCATTTAAATCTCCTGGTAACAATGTTACAATAATTGGAAGGTATCGGATATCCCAGAGGACATAAACTTTACATTGTGAAGTCACTCCGGGTGACTGCACCGTATGTGATCAAGACAGCAATTTTGCGTGACACGGGCCTGGTAATTTCATGGACGGGTTAAATTAGTCGTTTTCGTACTCTTTCCGGATCTTAGCAGGACGTTTTGACAATTGTTATTTCCCGAGTTATCTATTTTAGTGTAATGCCCAATTACAAATCGTTGGTAATAAGAGGGCATCCTAGAATAATTTTGAACGCCGGATACATGAGACGTACACGGAAATTACCTTTACAAACATGCAATTTTTGCATTTAATTTGAAAAGTTCTTGAAAGGCTCCATAAAAAACGGAGGTAGCTTACCTTTTAGAGCATGTGCCAATGTCTTTACCCAGCCTGTCATATGACATTCACACGTAACCAGTCAATATTTTCTGTTTTTACAATTTAAATCAGCCTCGCTGAGAATTTGACTTCACTTTTTTTAGTCGTCGAAGAAAGGTGGCTCACCCATGTGATTCCGAGTAATTGTTTCTATCATTCTCATTTATTTCCCCTTTCAACTAACTTGGGTAATTACACAAGGAGCATCGACATTATCTTTTTCAGTTTTGTACGTTCTGAACATGGTTTTCAAGACTATCGTTTGCATTCTGCTTGCGAGTCAAGTATTCAGCATCGGTAGGTCTCTTCCTATATTTATTCCATTGTTTGAGGATGCTCTTCTTAAATATTTCCAAATGTTTTAGCCGGTAACCGATTTTTTATTTGTTCTGCTCGTTGCATACTCCATGGTTTTTTTTTCTGTGTTCTCTAATCGAGAATTTCGAGTTTTCGGGTAGATTTTTCATTCGATAAGAAAAGAATTGACAACTAGCTGCTTCATGGTGGAGCCTATTTATTAATTTTTTTTTGTTTCAGGTTATTTTATCTCTCCTCTCTAAAGTTCTCCTTGATGATAGTCCGCTATTTTCTCTGTCAATTTTCCATTCCCTCAATATTCCAAAGAGTTTTTGACCAAACAAAACGAGTTTCTCACCACACTTATTGGATATTTCATAGTACCTTGGCTTATTACTTCTCCTCTTTGCTTGTGCTATTTTTTCGTTTAATTTGCGTCTGATTCTTCTTAGTTGTTTTTAATTTTTTTCGTTTTGTATCTTTTTTTACAATTCTTTATTTTTACTAATCCCAGCATGTTTCGGGATCTTTTGCTCTAAAATCACTCATGGTCATGTAGAAAAGTCACTCCTAAATGAAATAACTTACAATTTGTGGGTCATTTCTTGTTTACAGACGTCATAGACTACGTACCCGTCGGATGTTACAAGGACATACGCTTAAATAGAGCCTTGCCTACTTTGCTCGCAAACTACCGCGTGAAAAACGCAAAATGGTCAGATATCTTGGACTGGACTGATTTGGAAAACTCTGTCATTAAAAAATGCGCCACTAAGGTTTGCCTGATTATTATTGTTGACATTGTTGTCGTTGTTGATGTTTTTCATAATAGTTGCAAAGAAAAAAAAATGGCGAAGGTACTTGCACAGACATCTCTCTTAATTCACCACGGTACTTACGGTCGTCTCGGTAACTTTATTTTCTTTCTACGCATACAGCTCTGTAAGAAGCCTGTTACACTGAACTGACGTTTTTCAAAGTTTTATACGAGAAATATGACGAGCATTTTTTGTCCTATTCAGGCTAAAGAGAGGGGCTATTCATTTTTCGGGATCCAATTCTATGGAGAGTGTTGGAGTGGATCAGCAAGTCAAAGTACCTATGCTAAACACGGTTTATCCAAGAGATGCACCACGGCGGCTCCATATGTGGGAAAGGATCACGCCAACTTCGTTTACATGCTTACTGAAGGTTAGCACTTACTAGGAAAGATTTACATTGATGCTTGTTGTACTTGTGTACATCTGTAAGCGACTAATTGATTACTGGAACTGATTCTCCTCCTATTTCGGTTAATCAACATGTGGCGGGTGGATTAAAGACTCCATTGTACCCAGCCGTTACGCGGAAGGCACGTGCTTTAGTCAAGTCAAAGCCTTGTTTCCTTATTTTCATTAACTTTTTTTGTTATTCTTGTTGCTTTCAAAGAACTGTTTGTTCTGTTTTTTACTTATAAAGGTCGATTTGTCTTCTTGATCTTTTAATACTGTGCCGAGTTGGACCCAAACGACCTCTTGCTCAAGACCTCGATAGTTAAAAATTTTGTTTTCATGGGTTTGATTTTGTGCGTGAAGTATTATTGCGCGAAATATTATTAAACAACATCATAGTAAGAGTCACAGACAACGGGCGAAAGAAAAAGCAGACGAAGAAAATAGATTACAGGTAGGTACGCGTGCGGTCTAGCACAATTGTCATCGCAATGTGGTACGGTTTGGATACTAAAGCGTCCTTACGCGATTTTGTAACAGTATACCAATATTTTCTCTGTTGTGTATACTTCATGCAAATTCTGCTGTTGTTCTTATTCAGAAAATGAATGTAAAAGCTACAAAATTTTTGACGACGCCTCCAGATCTCAGTTTCATGTAACTAACTATGGACGCCCGATTAGATGCGACAATGGACAGTTGGATGAAAACCGCTGGTATAGATTTACTGGCCGAGCAGGTAGTGCCATGGCAGACCAATGTGTCCCATCCAGCAGGTGTCAGACGTTTGGTACAGGATGGTACAGCGGATCTTATCCTCAGGTAAATCTTCAGTTTAAATTTGGATTATCTCTTTGTTTCATATTGGCCCATTATTTTTCGTGACCATCTGTATAATGAGGGAGTGGCTTGTTTACTCAAAGTAAAATGTCAACACATGGGAAATGGTCAGGTAGCAGTGGTAACTATATTATCCACTACCACTCATTAGTCAAAAGTAGTCAATTTCGCTTAGGGCATTCTTTTGAAGAGAAGATCTCTTCACCTTAAGATTAACATTCATTAACCAAAGCATCTATTCCACATTTCATGTTGAAAGTTAATGAACTAACTTGTACTAACTCCAAACTTTGTATCTCTGTCAGTCGTATTCCTTGTTAAAACAAATTCAAACCAAACCAATGGAATGAACACTAGGAATGCCATATCAATACGCATTAACCAGTTTCCATCTATTTTCTTTCTGGTTTTTTTTTTTGTAAATTGAAGGTTTCAGACGGAATTCAAGAAGGAGATGTTTGCTTCAAATGGGATGGCAATTGCTGTAGCAAAAAAGTCAACATTCGGATTCGAAACTGTTCATCTTTTTTCGTTTACAAGCTGAACAACAAGATCAGCTGCCAGTATGCATATTGCGGAAACGGGCAGTGATTAGGAGAGGTCTTCAGTAATGAAACGGGTAGTGAACTGACCCACTGTATCAGCCAGTCATTTTTAACATTATTATCTGCTCAACACAGCTGATATCAAGATAACATATTCATTTATAACATTCTATCAAGGTTTTAAATTTCTGACCACCCTTTGCGTTATCAATGTCGCCTTTTAAAGCGATAACACGTTCCCCTGACCTTGCATATATCATTTTCGTATTTGTTTTTACTATCTCCCTCTTCATTCCTTGTTGTATCCCGAAGGTCAATCACAATCACCTGTTACCTTCTTTAATCACTTATGTGTCCTTTCCGTCTTTCCGTGATGCAGTACAATTCACCTTCCATTCCTCTTTTCCCTTCCCAATTGCGTTTTACTTTTCAAATCAAGGTGTGTTTTCCCGTGCCTTTCCTTTTAGTTCGCAGTTGAAGTTTCTTGAACGAGGGGATAAGTTTGTAGAGAAACTGTGGGGTTGCATCGCTGGAAGAGCATAACAGGGTAATTTAGTATTATCAAACGAGTTGATAACGTAAATTGGCCACTGTAAAAAGTTTCAAAGCTGACGTTAAGAGCGTTGGCCCTTTGTCAGAGCGAAGGCCATTCGCTCTGACGTATTGACTCTCGAAACGTCAGCATTGAAACTTTTTATGGTGGCCAATTTACGTTATCAACTTAGTTGATAATATTAAATTATCCTGAAGTTTCTTGAGCTTTCTTTTGTGTTGCTTAGATCATTTTTTTTCCCAGTATTCCTCAGTGCAAACTCCACTGAAAATGTTTACAATTTCCATTGATGGTCATGGTCGTTTCTTCGTCCGACAGAGTATTGTATCAATTTTTTTCTCGGTAATTGCTTCATTCACGGCTGAAAGATAGCTTTCTAGAGTCGGAATTGAAAAAATTTCTGCCAAAAAAATTGGCCGTTGGCCGAAAAAAATTGACAAATTTCAATGATTAGTCGCAAAAAAAGTTAACCATAAAAAAAAATTCTAGTGATTACAATGGAAATATATCAACTGTTAGCCGTAGATTGGCCAAAATTTTTAACCGTAAGCCGTAAAATCCTTAAACTCACTGGGACCCTCGTTTAAACATAGCTACCCACTGTGGACAAACATATTCGTTTCAGAATTAAGAATATTTACTCGTGAATGCATTGCATTTTGACGAAGAAATTTCGGCGTATTGAGTGCTAGTCGCAAAGTGAAAAACCGAATTTCCGTTCAGATTATTAATGTTGATTCTTCAGGTTAACAGACATAGTTTGCTTACGATGAGTAAAAACGTGTCCGGTTCATCTGTGTCCGATTTTAATGTTTTTAATAAAGTTTGTTTCCACAGCTGAGGCGGACTGTCTGTCAGAATGGCTTTGTTATTCACATCCAACCACTCTGTGGCCACTCCTCTGTCAAAGATTATATTAGCGAAAGAAAAGGAACATATCTCAAAAATTCATGTTCTAACGTAAAGAGTTATCAAAACAATATTGATGATGATGATCAGCTAGGCTAATAATCACCGCGGTTTTGAGTTGTTATTTTCAGTCCTCAGAACAAATTTTTCATTATTCAGTCAAATTTCTACCATTTAATTAAATAAAAACGCTATAAGGGTGACATCGACATGTGCCACTGAACATTTGGAGTGCTTAGTCAACAGTATGTTATTAGCAGCTGTCGTGTTGACACTTTCAAGATCTCTTTGTAAAACTAACTTCTTTCAATGCTCTCTAGACAATGTCAACTACCAAAATACTGTGGCAATGTAAACAATATTGTGTTGGCGGTTTTGTTTGTTGATCATGTTCGAGTTGAACAAAATAATATCGGTTTGAAGGCGCAAAAAGGATCAGACCTTGACAGAGCTTTGTTGCAGCCCAAAGAACAATGGTCACGCCTCGGTTTCTTCTGTTGCAGTTCTTCCTTAGTTGTTTAATAGCGGCAGAGGAGAATGAGAAAATTAATTTATTCCGGGATGAAGAAGGTAAAGACTATTGATAGCACTGTGCGTAAAAGAAAAAAATAATAATCTTCGAGATAAAAAGCATGCGCGCTTTCTTCAAGAAACTTTAGTTTAACCTTAGAATTTTAATCTTACGCAGCACGATTCTGATTCATAATATATACGTAAATAGCCAAAGGACTTTAAACCCCAAGGACAGTCAAAAAGTTCAATATGGAGAGCTTTCCTTTGTTTCGAAATAATCTTTACTTGTATGAAACTGGTCGTTGTAGATGTTTTACTACGTGCTTACTAAAAACGACTCCTGTTTAAATGCAGTTGACGATCTGTTTTTGTTTTTACGCTAAACTCTCTTTCGTTTCTACATTACCGATAACTCTGTCCTGTGTGGCTAATCAATTTACGAATTATGCCTTTAAAAATTAATAAATTGTCCAATGCGATCCATCCACCCAAGTGACCAGCGTTAAACGCCAGAGAGATGAACTAGTTTCATAAATCTATGGCGCTCGTAAATTTCTTTTCTAGTCAAGTTACAGTTCAGTGGCTAGCTTCAGTGGTTAGCTTTCTTTAATGTAATTTTTTTCTTTTTCTTTCAAAAAACATTCCAACGAGGGTGTATTCGGAAAAATTATCTGCCGGGGTTCTTCCAAACCGAAGTTAATTTGGATGGCAATCAGATTTTCATTCAGTCGCTGTATTTGTTCAAAAGATTCAATGCCTTTTCTTTTTTGCTTATGTCATATTACAGGTTACATGGTATTTCTTTTCAAATATGATAGGTTGGCATGTTTTGATAGCAATATGTATTCAGCAGCTTCCCCGCGGTTGGCTGTTTTTCTTCTCTTTTGTTATGACATGTTATCTAAAGTAAGAAAGCTAACTAAAGTAATGAGTTTCGCCACGTAGTTAAGCTTGGCATCGTGAATATTTTGCGAAACTTTTTTTTTCTCTAATAAAGTTAACTCTGATAGTAAAAGAGACAACCAAAGATTGTTAAATAAGGATGGCTTGGGCTGGAAGGAATTAAAATGGATTGATAATGAGGATGAGGAAATTTAAAATACAGATTGAGGAACCACACAAGGCAGACTAAAACTCCTTTGATATATGTTGCAACTGGCGGATCATCTTGCTGAGGAAATTTCAATACCAAATGTCACTGTAACTTATAAATAAACCAGTCAAACTGCGAGGCTTATAATGTGACAAAGAGCATCGTTGATAGACCAATATTTATATTATTTATACCTTTACTGGGGCCCGTTTCCTCAAAAGTCCCGGTAACGGGTCCAAAGCCGTATTTTAAAATCAAAATTTTAAGAATAGAGAAGCATGTTCTGGCAAACGAACCAGTCCATGTTGTTTTTCTAGCTGATAGTTTCATTGCATAATTTTCAAAATTTTTGTGACCCTCATCTTGAATGAACACAGAACCACTTTACGAGCCCGTTAAGTTACCTGGGCCTTCGAGAAACGGACCCCTGGAACAACCAATTTTTTTCAGGGGCGATGCTATATCCAAAAAAAATCATTAGTTTCTTTGTTTGTTTATATGCGTATTGTTTTTGTCTTGACAATTTTGTTTTGTTTTCGAATATTCTAGACTTTCATTACGAACCAATTGGTTGTTTTGGGGACAAATTGGACGTACCAAGGCCACTACCCCTTCTAGTCAGGAATTATCGCTCCAGGCCCTATCGAGTTGATTGGAATAACATTAATAACACGATACAAGCCTGTGCCAAAGAAGTAAAAAAGGCCGGCTATGTGTACTTTGGTCTTCAGTTCTACGGTGAATGCTGGAGTGGACCACATGCACATTTGACTTATGACGAGGATGGAAAGTCGACCCGATGTGTAAATGGTGTTGGAAAGCGAATGGCTAATTTTGTGTACCGGCTCGTTTTTAAAGGTGATAGTTTTTGCCACAGCTGATAGAGAGCATTTAATTTTGATGAAGTGTCATAGAACGTAACCCAAAGCGATCACCGCGGCCAATCCTAGACGTAAGGATAATCGGACAAGGAACGAATAAAATCCGAAATTAAAGCGGAGAAAATAGATTTTTTGAAACGCAGCAAGACTCGACTGAAAAGGGATTTTTATCAAGTTATTTCCTTAGCATTGACTTATCGAAGTGCTGTTGCTGTACGAGTTAGTTATTTGCTCTCTTGCAAACTTTGTCTTTTTCCAGAATGTAAAGAATACCGAATTCTCCAAGCACCAGACCGGTCGATTCATCACCCTTACACCCCTTCTGCTCCGTGCGATTTCAATCTCAAGCCTTCGTGGTATCGATTCGAAGGCCGTGCGGGCACGGCTATGGCCAACAGTTGCCCCAGTAGGTTCAAATGCGGGACTATTGTACCTGGATGGCTAAACGGGCCACTTCCTTCCGTTCAAGATGGAATTGTGTCTCGAAAAATTTGCTTTAATCAAGACAGAGACTGCTGTTTCACGTCCACCCAAGCTAAAGTTCGTAATTGCGCAGGATTTTACGTCTTCTATCTTCGATCGGCGCCATATTGTCAGTTGAGATACTGTGGCAACGGAAGAATAGTAAGTTACAACATCGATCAATTTGTTTATTGGTTTTCTTTTTCTTTCCTCGCGTTACTTTCTCTTTGATTTCTTTTGAGTCCTTCTATTTGTTTATGTTTGTTGAGGTGTTTTGCCAAATGTAGTTATGGGCTAAACCGCATATTTACGCTTGCTTAGAGAACGTGTTTCATGGGTGTTTGACATTTTGTTCTGGCTTTCAAGAAAGAAACTCTAGTAGTTTAAGTAGTTCACGTGTCCTTTTTTTAAATAGTCTCGCCGGTCAAATGAGGTTCGAATCCGATATCATATGTAATTTGACAAGAATCACAATTGCGTTTTGGGATTGATACAAGGCTTTAATGTAATATGGTGTTATGAGAAACTTAATTTCGAACCGTTTGAAAATGTTTAGACTAATAATTTGTTTATTTATATTCTTTTAGGGCTGACGATTCCTGTATAATGAATAGGACTCGCATAGGATGTGATACTCAAAGAAGTAAATTATTGGCTTGGAATTTTTGTTTTCATTTTTTTCTTTTTTCATTCATTTATTTATTTATCTTTTTTTTAGTGAATTTCATAAAACAGAATAAAGTTGCTGTTGAAATGGGACGGTTTATCTCCATACGATGCAAGCACAAGTCCCCTCGCAATAGCCCGTTTGCTACTAAACTAATTGTTACGTCACTATTTTGCTTCTCCTGTAATCTATTTACGAATTCGCTTGGCTGATTTGCATTGTTTTCCCATCAGTGCTGCCTCGCGGTCCCGGCGGAAGATAATGAAAATACAGCTTGGTAATCAAGGAATTTCATTAGATATGTGTATAAGAACGTTCAGAAATCTGCAATCCTGCTCATAAACCAACAAAATATTCGCATCAATGACAATGTGACACCCTTTAAAATAGCGACGTAGAGGAGAATTCGGTTTTACCATTAAAAAAAAATTAAGGCTTGAATTTTTCGAAAGCACAATCAGATGACAGAACAATATAATTCGACAACGATGTTTGAACGACCATCAAAAATACATGGTTGCGGAAACGCTTTGAAGGACTGTTGTACACTTCTGAAATAGACAAGTGGTACAGTCGTAAGTGTGATAGCTACGCCGATGATAAGCACATGAAATAAGAGCAGAACGTAAAAAGTAGTACTCATTTAATCCAGCAATATTTTTGGATTTATTGATATTTCCTGATAAATGTACGTTTATGATACCTGTGCTTCAAATATATGCAGTTTATTTTTGGCGCATCTTTACTTTCACATCGCAAAGACCCTTACCTCGAGATTTACCGCGTGATTACAGGGCAAGCAATAGTTAGTTACGAACATGAAGTAAAGTGCTAGATCCCTCAAAACAAACTTGAAAGAAGTGATCATTACAAGTATACATTTCTCTCAGTGTTATTGTCGATCTGATTCCAATTGAAGAAAGGCTAACGCTCAAAACTTCAGCTTTAGAAATCCCTACGGTGGCCAATCTACGTTATCAACTCAGATGATAAAACCAAATGATCCTATAAAAATTTATTTTCAAAGATAAAATCCTCATAAAATGGTGGTAAGAAAAAACGGTTAAAATTGACAGGTATGTATTTATAAACATAAATTATACCTTTCCGTAAACAGATGGACGCTTCCCACTTAGCTATTTAATCGAAAAGAGTGTTCTTTTCGGAAACTAAATTATTGTATTTATTACTTTATAGTCATATTCAAAGCTGCTTGTGAAATCACAAAGATTAGCTTAAATGATTTACATTTCAAAAGCTAGACACAGCCTCACGCTTTCCCTATGAGAGTTTTAAATCAGCGTCATATTTGGTTATATAGAAATAAATGAAAAAGAAAACCATTGTCTGGAAAATTTCTCCGAAACTTTCTCGAGACTTCTGAATTAATTATTCGGTTTTATAGACTGAGAAGATGATGTAAGTTGGCCTCTGTGGATAGTTTCTAAGGCTGACGTTTCACTGTTAGGTCTTTGCTCTGACGAAGGGCTAACGCTGGGAACATTTTCTCTTTATATAATGCACAAAAATACTCTTTGCGGTGACCAATTTACATTATCAACCCAGCTGATAAAACCAGATTATCCTGAAATGCCTTTATCGACGCAGCGCCACATTTTCACCAGAACAGTACCCCCTTAATTCATTTATGCATATAATGTATTATATTTCATCTGACTTCATTTTATTTGTAATGACATTTCAGTTTGTAGCTCGGATACAGGCAGAACATAATGGCTAATTTCTAGGTTTTTTTTTCCTCAAGTTGGTCTCATTTCGGGCGAATTTCTGTATTAAACCCCCCAAAGAATCTTATATTATGCTTTATGAAAAAAGAATCCTCTTACCCTCAGCAAGTTAAAATGGTAAATGTGATGTATTGCAATATTGAGAACAATAATTACTGCAAGTCTAATTAATATGTTTGTTCCGAAAGGCGGGAAATTCATATCGCATCTTTTGATTTTCTTTATCATATAGATAATCGCTACCACGCGGCAAGCGATGGAGTCCTCACTTTGTCCAAGTACATTAAAATGTTTGTTTTACAGCTGTTAAGTTCTTGAGATAATTCAATAATTGGAATTATATAACCATTCATAAGGAACAAGTTGGGCATTTTACCGCGTCCTTTTTTAAAGAGGGGAAGAGCATTGAGGAAACAGGTTAGCATAACTTCGCCTTAAGGTGTTCTCTGCGTATCTATAGGTAATATAGAATCATGGCAATTTAAGAATGCAACTAGGATTAGTGAATTCATTGCGCAATACACGTAAATAATTTTTTTCCTGTATACTTTAATTGCGGCCTTTTTAAGTTTCTGATTAAAAAAAAAATTCGATGCGAAACAGCTAAATCACTAAGACCTTGCCACCTATTGTTAACTGTCTTAAACGAGCCTCTCTAAAGGCCGCACTTCTGGAAATTTTGTTGAAATCTCTGAAGAAAAGGATTCCGCTTCTCGTCACTTCAAATTACTTAGAAAAAGAGCAGGAGAAAAAAAGAGATTATGTTCCAGTTTTTGCTCCAATTCGTTTTAGCATGAAAAAAACTTGGGTCATGCATACCCTTTCCATATTTCATCAATAGCAAAAAGTCCTAGGTGTGTAGCTTTAAAAAATTTAATGCAATCGCTGTAAGAGGGTTAACATGTGATAGATTTTTTTTTGCAAAGATTTTCATCCTTTTGGGAGTAAAAAGGGAAATGATAATAATAATAATAATAATAATAATAATAATAATAATAATAATAATAATAATAAAGCAACGTCAACAACAGTAAACCAGACCAAACAAAATAAAAGTAAAAGAAAGAAACAGTTGAACAATTGAAAACAGTAAGAAAACACCTAAACAGTAGAAGGAAAAAAAAAAGGCTTAGAAAAGTGACAGTGTTAATCGTGACAGCAAACCTAGCTGAGACAAAACCTTTTAATTTTTTGATTTTTAAGGTTTTTCTTCCTCTGGGCGTTATCTTAACCAAAACTGTATTCTATCTTATCTTTCTGGAAAAGCGTTACACAAGTGAAGCTGATCCGTAAGCTAAGTGAATACTCTCTCGGCCATCGCAAGACAAAGAAACATTTAGATCGATGGTTTGAACTAAATCACTGAGAACGCCAGAAGTACTTTGTGATCAGTGTTGTTTAGACTATTATATTTGCTTAGTATAACAAAGCTTTGCGATTCAAGCTAAGATTAAGATTAGGGCAATCTATTCATTGTTTACTTAGTGGGCTGGCAAATGACAAGAAACCTCATGAGCATTGAGTATTTAAGTTTTTTAAAAAAATACCACTCTTAAAGTTCTGTGGCAGATCGGATTTGACGCAAAGCGCAGTAGACTTCAGTAGACTTCAACTTTAAACAGTTCACTTTAAGCTGATCGTTTACGGAAACATGATTCTTCTATTCTCTCTATCAGAATTAATTTTAAAAGGTTTGCTGTCAGCTGACAAGTTACCCACGATCCACACCGACATTTAACACCTGTCACCGTCTCTACGTTACCCTCAAGCCACGATTTAAAGAAAGTAAATCCCGCTACAAGGAAGAAAATATGAATTTACTAGTCTTATGCTCTGTATTTCTCCTGTACTTTGGATATTACACATGCTGTGCAGGTCTGTAATGAATCTTACTTCAGATTTTTTTTTAATCAAATGCCTCTAATTTGATTCGATTCAAATCACTCGGAAACAGAACCATCAGTGCTGCCTGTTTTGACAGAATTGGGAAGTAAGCATACTCTTCAAAAAAAAAAACACTGATCCGGAAATTGTTTTGCTGTTTCATCCTGGGGTAAATTAACTCTCTAAACTCTCTATAGCCTGTGAGACGTTTCTTTTCGGCTGTTTTCTCCGTGATTGTATTGACTATTTTAGAATTTCGCTACGTTTCCTTTAAGCATTTGAGAGCTATCATTTTCTTCTTCTGAGAATTGATAAAGCACATTGCTAAAAATTCTTAAGAAATACATGCTGCCCTGAGCTGATGAACTCTAAGGTATGGGTCCAACTTACTAACCACAGCTGGTTGAAACATTTGCATGACAAAATTATTCTTCCGACAGCTAGTCTGAAATTCACTGATTGTCAATGGCTAACCTTCAATTGCCATGTTTCCGTTTCTCCTCCATTTAGTAGGAGATAGAGAATTATTGGTCTTTCCTTTTTTTTCTTTTTTTTGTAACTTGAGAATATTCGGCGGCAGTGCTAAGTTGCATATGCCAATTTATCCCATTAAACAGAAGCAGTTAAAATCTTACGATTTTGTTTGCCTTCACGTGGACAGTTTATTCAGAACGCGTATGAATAGCAAAGTCGGCTTACAATAGAATAGTGACATTTTACAGACGCTGACAAAAGGACAACGCAGTAGGCAAAAGGAACCCTAAAATTTGGGAATCTGACAGTTTTCTGCTATTATACTTCCAGCCATTTTTTTGATTTAAAAATTAAAGATTCACTCGAAGCTAAAACCTGTGTCTGGAATGGAAAATAAATAAATAATAAAATAAACTATTGATCTCTTAAGATCGATGTGTGTCTTTTCACAGTTCAGATTGTACAGTTACAGTTAAGACAGTATTCTCGGTCTATTCATTTTCCAGAATAAAGAATTTTTAGTTTTCCTGAAAAAACAAGAAAGGGAAACGTGAAACCAAAAGAGAAAAAAAAAGGTAATAATATGATCTCCTTATGTAAGTTGGTAAAAAAACAAGAGCAATTCCAACGAGTTGCCAGTGAGCACTTTTCCAGTCGAGTGGAGAGATCACGAATGATTTTTCTTTCTTCTTTTCCTCTCAGATGCATCTCAATATGTCAAGGTTGGCTGTTTTAGGGACAAGTTGAGTCCAAGAGCTAGGGCTCTTCCCGAACTATTGGCAAATTATCGAGGAAATATCAATTGGAACAATCTGATGGAAGTGGTTGAGAAATGTGCAAAGAAAGCGAAAGAAAAGAATTACATGTATTTCGCGTGAGTACTAGTCAGGGATATCACTTATACCTGAGAGACCATAGACTGCAGAAAAATTTAATCGCAAGATGCAGGAGTATTCTATCCACAGTCTTCAAAGCTCATAAAACAGATGTAGCATCCTTTCGAATGGTTGTTTCAAACAATCTTGTTCAGGGTTGTCAGCTTCCACGAATTCTGATTCTTTAGTTAATTCAAAGCTTTTTTTGTCTTAGAATTCAATTCTACGGGGAGTGTTGGAGTGGTGCCACCGCTCCTAAGACATACGACCGCTATGGAAGATCTTCTCCGTGTACGTCTAAATCTGTAGTTGGTACAGCACTCACCAATGTCGTCTACAGATTTGCAGGAGATGGTTCGTAGAATAATCGCCTCATCGTTCTATTTGTGTGTCAGTTTGTCTGTCTTTGGTTAGTGGGCCCTTTAATAACCAGTCCTATTATTATGTGTTACCGTAATTTAATTAGATTCGTCGATGTTCATGCATTATTAGCACTGAAGGTGAGAACACTCCATTGAAGAGTCAAGTATTCTTTCCTTTCTGCAGAACAAGAGTGCGTCAAATACGAGGAACTAAACAAAGTTGATCGCTCGGAGTCATCACGCCTAATCAGTGGAACTTCTCCTGCCTGCGATAAGGAACTCAAGCCTGGGTGGTACCGTTTCCAAAAACCCGCTGGGAATCTAATGGCTTCTAAGTGTCTTCCGTCGGCGAGATGTGGAACAGTGGTTACGGGATGGCTGAGCTCCTCACATCCAAAAATGACTGATGGCATTGTTAATGGGAAAGTATGCTACAGTTGGAAATCAGACTGCTGTAAATGGGATCAAGACATCAAGCTTAGAAACTGCGGTAGATTCTATGTCTATAAATTAGCGGGTACACAGGCTTGTCCCATGGGCTTTTGTGGAAGTGCAGCATCGGGTAAGTTTTACGATTAAAGACTGTTCATATTTTCTCGTGCCCACATCACCTCATGTCATATTTGTGCAAATATCTGATATCATACTCAGGTTTCAAGTTGGAGCTGAGACAAGATCAGAAGTCAAGTATTTGTCGGTTTATGGAGGTCCCACCACATTGCAAGTTCGCCCACTACCTCATTTGCGAGTTCTCTCTCTGAAACGAAACATGTCCGCCCCCACCTTTACCAATTTCCTCCGCCCTCCATTACTAATGCGTCAATTCATTTCCTTAACGCAGAACATATTCCTTTTCGAAATCATAACATGTTCCAATCTACAAATTACTCATTCTGAAAGGTCACTGGGTGATACACTCTTTATCTTTAATAAAGTCCTAACAGCGAGGTCCCACATTAGTGCTAAATAAATCTAACATACTTAATGGTCAAAGTACTTTAAAGTTTTTCATAGAAAACTGACTTTTATCCCGTTTTTTTCTATTTATATCGGCAGTTTAACGGTGTTTGAAGACCTAGGACGCTTTGACACAAGGAAAAGAGTGGAGGCTAAGTCGAGCGTGAATTTTATTCCAGTGTTAGGGTTTCAATTGTCAAAAGATATTGAAATCATGAAATAAAAAAAAAAAGGTGTGCGTATCTTTAGTCCACTCTTCAGCTACTTGACCTACTGCTTCAGGCGCGCCATCCCTTTTATCTTGATCACGTATAAATTTCCTTCTCTTGTTGCTTGCTGTCGATTGTTCTATTATGGACCGGAGATAGAGAAAGAACGGAATAAATCTTGTCTTGGTTTGATTCGTTCTGGCGTCTGATGATTTACATCTTCTATCATCGTTTTCAGACCGATAAAGTCCTACCAACTACGCTATAGTCTAAGATTTTGAACTCGATCGCAACCCTCGTTATAATAATGTGTCTTCGTGAAGACGTTCTCCCACATGTATGTGGCTTAAAGAAAATCGAGAGGTTGTATAAATATTGCCCAATTCTTAAACACAAACAAAGGAATGTAACTTGAAAGCTACGTAGAATATTGAACCAGCAGCAGTAACGCCTCCTTTACATTTCAAAGCTAGTCAGTGAAAATAATCATATTTTATCAATATTGCTTGCGACAGCTGCCGAAGCGTTTATATTTACCAGCGCTGTTAATTTAAAAACCCAATCGAACACCTTCAGCTTTCTATTCTGCTTACTTCTGCGACGCTGAAAACAATGCGCTCATAAACTTGCCCTAAAACAGCTTACACTTCTACAACAATGAAATTGAAGACTTTGGCTGCAGTTGCTTTCTTGTGTCTCGAATACAGCTTAAGCTTAACAGGTTCGTGCAACATTTTACTCTTTGTGTCCTAGGTTTTGAAATTTCGAGGACATCACAACGAAGCTTAGTGCAGTAGTCGGCTTTGTTTTAAACGAACCATGAAAATCCACGTTCACAAATAAATGATGTCATGGAAAACATGTATCGGTGAAAGAGATACATTTCAAAAGAGGAACGATCTACGACGTTTAGTTGGGTTTGTGAAAATTTAACAAGGCAGCTCACGCAGCAAAAAGGAAAAAAAAATAGCTAGACTCTCGTTCGAACTACTCCTCGTCGATTGCTGTAACGTTAAATCTCGCATTCAGACATTAGTTTACCGATTATACCCCTTTTCTTAGAATTCATAACATCGTTTATCGGTTATATTTCTCCGAATTTTTTGAAAACCTTAATCCGATTAGCGCATAAAATATCTCTGTAGTTGAGAGGATGTTTCCGGTGCTTCGTGATTATCATCAATGATAAAGAACTTGTCAATTGGATAAGTTGCGTGAAAAGAACGATCAAACTTTTCGCTGAATGAATTCCTGCCACAAAGATCTAATTGCGATCTTAGCATGTCAAATTGGAAACACGCTTCAAGTAAATACCATGTGACAGGTCAGTTCTTACACTGTAATAAGAAGATTGAACAACTCGGTTGACTTGATGTAGACAGCGCACGTGCGTGAGGTATCAGCATTTACGTTTAAAATGATACAGGGAATAAGAGAAAGAAAACAACGAAAAAAAAAAAATACGTTTAAAAAGTTTGATAAAGAAATGAGAAGCTAGATACCATATTAAAAGCACTATCCAACGAAGTTATTAGATGCAGATTTTCATTTGCGCAGAGAAAACATTTTTTTTTCCTGATTAATCGTAATCAGCGGGTTTGTAAGCTTTTCGAACAACTTACTACAATATCATTGGTTAACGAAATTCTCTTTGTGAACCGCACGGGTGATAGCGTGCGTTGAAAATAAAAAAAAAAAAATTATATATATGTATATATATATATATATATATATATAAAGCATTTCCAACACTAATAAGGAAATGGGCAAAAATATGGAAAAAGCGCATCTTTTCTTCAATTGTGGAAACTAGCTTGCGTTATTAGGTCACTTTAGAGAAGTTCAGTTTTTTGGTAATTATTTTTAGTTGTCAAATCTTAACTACACAACACGCTTAATTATTCGGGGTCACGTCCATTTGGAGTGCTGGATGGCCCATATAATTCTTACAGCTTTTTGTTAGAAATTAACGCTGCAACCCCAATAGGTCACAGAACAGATTCATTTATTTGTAAATAGTAGCCTCTATTTGGCTTGAGATATTTTTAAGGATTTGTCTGCGGACACGACATGTATATTTCTATAGAAGCTAACAGCTTTTCCAAAAACGAAGCCTACAGTTGCAGATAATGGCCAAGGACAAATTTACGAGCATATTTTCCAGCCAAATGGAGGTTATTTCGGTCATGATCCTTCAAAAATATAGAAAAAAATGTATGCATGTGCTCTTGTATGTATGTGTAAACACCGTAGGTGTATTTGGTTATCATATTACAGTATGTATATACTCTCGATACTTAGGTAGAACAATTTTTTTTTTATTTTCTAAGTTTTACACTTTAATGCATGGCACAATGTCAAAGTTGCAACATAAAAAGGAAATGTTGATTGAAAAATATGATAAAAAAGCCTAAGGCATGATCACTTAAGGTCAGTTAACAAACACAAACAAACAAATGTACAAACAAAATAAAAATTCCAAAAAGATGCTGAACATTTATCCAGTTGAGTGGAAAGATTTCATACACTTTTCTAGTTTCATGAAAGAAATTAATGAAATCAAACGAAAGCAGGAAAGATATTGATCCCTGGCAAATGCACATATTAACTGATTTAGAAAAAAGAAACTTATGAAACATGTTTAAACTTTTCTTCACAGACGCATCTCAATTTGTCAAGGTTGGCTGTTTTAAGGACAAGAGGAGTCCAAGAGCTAGAGCTCTTCCAGAACTAATAGCAAATTATCGAGGAAATATTGATTGGAACAACACGATGGAAGTGGTCGACAAATGTGCTAAGAGAGCGAAAGAAAAGAATTATATGTATTTTGGGTAGGTAAACTAAATAGACAAACGACTCTATTGAAGACTTTAATTAACAGAGTTGTTTTAATAGCCGACAGAGTCAATAAATTTTTTTGAATATTTATGGAGCTTTCTAAGGATATTTTCCATTGGGAGAATTAGTAAATGTCTTGTTTTTCTGAACGTAAATATATCACCGCGTGACCTGTAAAATTAATAACAAAAAAATTGTACCTGCCAATTTTATTTTTGATTCTTTCCTTTAGTATTCAGTTTTATGGAGAATGCTGGAGTGGTGCTACTGCCCCATTAACGTATGACCGCTACGGTGGGTCTCTACATTGCACCTCTGAAGTCGGCGGCATGCACGCTAATCTAGTTTACAGATTTGTAGGAGAAGGTCGGTGGGGCTGTCTGTTTATAATTTTTTTTTACTTTTATGTGAGTCTCCTTTCGTCATCGAACCCGTGATTGGTGGCGGTGATTCAAATTTGCCTTCTCTGTTTCCATATGTTATGATTATCTTTACCTTGCCTTCCAACCGATTATACATACATGTATAGATTGGTATGAAGAAATTGCCGCAAAGCATCGATATACTAAATGCAGTTTCACAGGTTAACTGCTAACGGAAGAAGGTTCAGTCGGAGAGAGAAAACGGGGAGTCCGGCAAATATTTTGAAACGCTTAGTAAAGAAATTCACATAAACATGAATGGCAAAATGAAACGAATTTTTGGCGAGGATTCATACGAATCTGAAAGCGAAAACTCGTGGCAAAAGAATTAGTTGACTTTATATTTACCTAAGGTGCCTTTTTCTGAACACATAAATAATTCGAATCTGGCTTAATCTTTCAAGATAACTAATGTTTTTTTAATCGTCATTATTATTTTTTATTATAATACCACGGCATTAAACCTTCGATCTTGCCACAGAAAGCGAATGCCTCCAATATTTGCAACTTAGCACAAGGGATCGCTCCGTCGAGTCCGATCCTCCTGAGGGATTGGCAGCCATTTGTGACAATAGCCTCTCCCCACGATGGTATCGCTTCTTGCGTCCCGCTGGAGACAAAATGGCTTCTAAATGTGTTCCAACCCAAAAGTGCGGAACAGCAGTCACTGGTTGGTTAAGCTCCCCTCATCCTGAAGTAAGTGACGGAATTGTAAATGGAAAAGTTTGCTTTCACTGGCTCAATGAATGCTGTTTCCGTGATCAAGTCATCAAGGTGCGAAACTGCGGCAGGTTTTTTGTGTATAAGCTGAACAAGCCGGAAGGTTGTCCGATGCGTTTTTGCGGGAGTAATGTTGGTAAATTGAGTGTCTTTCTTTTCATTTACATTGGAACCCAAGAGTAAAACTATTTATCGCTACTAACGTAAACGTTTATTTTTTTATTCCCAGAGTAATTCCGACTGCTGGTAAGAAGATTGAACAACAACGATTAAATTTAATCTTTACTAATGTTTAGGCTAGTCAATACTCAACAGCCTAAGGTTTCTAAAATACTCAATAAATAAAACGAGAAAAAAAGTTAAAGGTTTTTGTTTGACTTGTCTGCGTAAAAGTAAAAAAGTCACGTTCTGAGGCAGCGTTAGCTCAATCATAATAGCACTCTGCTCCTGCATCATTCGAGTGGTCACAATTATCAACATTTCCCCATCCAGCGTTTTCACATCTGAAGATCGAGTCTTCAGTCCCAATACACTTGACGTCGCTGAGCCATATTGGACCTGAACCTTGGCCATACTTTGGAGTGGCCCTGGCGCCGGCGTAAGCCAGCATCCGACAAAAAATTCCTGCATCAATGAGATCCCAGCCCATGTCGCAAATTGTCCCCCACTTCCGATCATGATAAACCTCTACTCGGCCTTCACTGCGACTGTTTCCTCCCATGAGACGATCTGACATTTGAAAGACATTGAAGTTAGAACAGTTCATAAAATTAAATTATCCTCCTCGTCTGTATCTCCTCCGACTGGTATTTCTGTTATAGTAACAGTTGGACTGAGTTGCCAACCGTAGAGAGTTTCTAAGGCTGACTTTTCGAATGTTAGCCCATCGTCACTCTGACGCCGGTTATCAGGGGCCAATTTACAATAACAACTCCGTTAATCGAAAAAAAAAAACAAATTTTATATTCCCCAACGACGTAACGCTCCTGTTCCTTACCCCCTTTTACTCAATTGCTTGTTTGATCTATCGAAGTTTAGGTGTTAATTTCCAAACGAGGGAGAGTCTGTTAACATATGCATATGTTCAATCTCCTTTCTCTCTGAAGAGCATTGGGACCAAGAGAAAAATATACAGGATAAATCTTTGTCTCCCAGGAGGAATCGCACTCGAACCTTCTGACTCCGCGGCTTACACTGTACAGTGGAGCAACATGAAATTACTTGGTCAGGAAGACCAGTTTTCCTTACTTTTGTTATATGTACCTTTTATCCTTTCGTTTTCTATAGAGTCTGGGAGTTAATGAAAGCATCTTCTTGCTTTCAGGTTATAAGAGAAATCCAGGAAAGATCTTGTAGAGCTTGAACATAAAACTTTATATTCATCAAGTGAATATTGAATTGCAAATTAGATTAGAGGAATTCATAGCAAGCTTCAAGTTATTCGTGATACGATTTGAAGTGTTTTCTGTACTTACAAGGTATCCGTGGTTGGATCGAATCTGATACTGATCTGCATTTCACTCCTGCTTCTCCTGACTGTGAGCAGACGCTGTAATCTTTGTATGGACAGAAAGCAAGATTCTCCTCGTTTCCATTACACTGTACATCTCCAAGTCGCACACGACCTTTTCCTGATCTATATCTGTCATCCTGATAGGCATTTAGAGCACCTGGATAACCTAACATACGGCACACAACATCTGCATCGCGTATGTCCCATTCTTTGCCGCACACTGCGCCCCAGCTTCCTCGGTGGAAAACTTCTACACGGCCACTTCTTGAGCTCGACCCATTTGCCAGACGCGCGTTTATTTCTGGGAGAGAAATGATATTGTTTATATATTATATATTATTATATATTATATTATATTATTATTATCGTAAACTTCAATAATAATTAAGGTACAGATAATGGTTTCTCACCCTAACAGGAGCACGCAACCGTTGCCTCATGATTGATCTTAGACGAATAAATTTTGGGACCGTTCCGAGAAAAATTACGATTGTGTAATTGTGAAGACGGAAACCAGTGCGGCAACTTCTTAGATTTTAGAGAAAAATAAACATCTGAAAGTGTTTAAGACCATGTTAAACGGAAATTAATTTCCACGCCAAGACGCTCGCCCTGACATCTGGGTACTAATTTTCTAGCTTCTCTATCATCCCAGTTCATTTTTTTCTTAATTTAGTTTAAATCTCACTGGTTGTAATAGTTTGGTCTGAAAGGGTGTACAAATATATTTCAAACTTGGCCTCATTCCTTTCAAAATTCCTGACACCTAATAAATGTTCCAGTATAGTGAATATCTCTCTCCAGTTTATCCTAAATTTTTGCTCCGAAGATGTTGACCTCTTTAGAATAGCAATTATTTTTGTTAGTATTCTATAATTTGATAATTAAGCTGTACCTTTCACCACAAAAGCATACACGAAATTGGCCTTTCTCTCTCCAAGGCCTCTGAAGCAGTTTTTAGAGGTTCCTTGCTTGTTATAAGTAAGTTCAGCATTCTCCCCACTCCAACATTCGCCATAAAACTGAATACCAAAGAAACGGAAACCCTTTGAGTTGACTCGTCGAGCACAATCCAGCACGGTTTTATTCAGATTATGCCAATCAATGTTACCACGGAAATTAGCAACCAGCTTGGGGATTGGTCGAGGTATTGCACCGCTATCCACGAAACAGCCAATTGGCCTAAATTCAGGAATCGGCGTGAGTTGCTTCGACTGAGGTTCTGAGTCGCGCACTTTGAAGGAAAAATAAGAAAATGCTTAAAACATTTTTAAGGACTGCATAATTGAAGCAAACTTATTTTACCTTGCTATAACCATTATTATTATTTTTATCACTATCATTATTATTTTAATAATTATTATCATTGAGTTATCATTATTATTATTATTGTTATCATCATTTTAATTATCATAATAATTATTATTATTATTATTACCATTATTACTATTATCATTGTAATCATTGTAATCATTGCAATAACTATTATCGTCATTTTTACTGTTGTCGTTTTTAGCACTATTGCTGGTTTGTCTTTTTTTTTTTTCATTGTTATCACTTTTATCATCATGATCCTTGTGATTGTTGCACCATCATCCTTATTGCAATTTTTTTTGCCATTATTATCAGACTCGTTAATTCCACCACGGATCTCAAGCCCTCTTTCTACTGCACATAATTCTCGCCAAAGTGTGTGGACTTATCTTTGGCCCCAGAATTTTTCAATCTAAGGAAAGTTATGTTGATCATCTGTTTTTTCCCCTCTGTTTCCACTATGGTGTCCAGTACTAGTGATCGGACATTGTTTCTTTGTATTTGCTAGGGTTCAGTTTGAACAGATCGGAGAGAGTGGTGCAACAGTTGCACACAGTAAAAGGTGAGATATCCGTCATTGGGGAGAATTATGATCTACGGATTTAAAAAGAAATTAACTGAAAGTAGAAAACGAAACATTTTAAGTCAGCAAAGTATTAAAATTTACCTGCAACCTCTTGCGAATGAGAGGACGACACCAGTGCTATAGAAACCATTATCAACGCCTTGGACTTCACTCCGATGTTATACTAGTGGGAAATTATAGAATTATGAAATACATGCTCAACGCGAAATAAAAATGTAAACAATGGGGCAAAACAGTGCCGTGATTAAAGTTTTAAAAACGTGAACCTTAAACTGGAAGGCTTCTTTTCCTTGTTTTTTCAGTTTTGAGAAGAAATTGCATCTTATCGTGAATGGTTAAGCAACAACATCTGTAGGCCATCTTATCGTAATCAAATTATTTTCCAGAATAACGTCGGGCTGTGGGAATCTTATTTTGATAGTTGGTAGTTAATATTCTTAAATCTCGAAAGGGACACTGTAATTTCCTCACCCTCTGCTGTGACGAAGCCATGAAAGCTATAAATACACTTCGAATTCAGCTCTAAGATCCAGGAAAGAGACAATTGTCTTCACAGTAGTTAACAACAACAACGCACGCGCCTGAAGAGATACTTGAATTTTCAATTTCGGCAGGAAGAAGATGATATTTCTGAGGGTTTCGGAGCGTGTATTCACCTGTTAAGCAGGATGATAGGTACTTACGTCTCAAAAGAGAAAACCTGATGTTTGTCATATGACAATCTCTTACACAATTTTACAATTGACTCGACGAAAGTAATATAGTAGATTCAACCTGAGTCAATAACGGTTACCAAATATATTTGCTTTGTTTAAGCTGAAAATGCTCCTGTTTCAAAAGGGAAAGGAAAAAAATAAAATGTTATCCTTGATGAAAGCCACGTTAATTTCGAAAATAAATTGATTACAAGTGGCACACGTATTTTTATGGTGTTCCTTTTTCGACAGAAGGGGAATGAGAAAAAAAGAAAAAAATCAGAAAAAAAGGGAAAAGGCTGTCACCCTCAGCTGCTTTCTCAGATCAAATATTGATACCATGGCAAACAATAGAATGCACCAGACTCAACAACAGCCACTCTTTGGAGTTTACTCGAGAGGAGAGGGGGAGGAACGTGGGCTCCTTTTCCTGAAAAGCGGCTGCTAGGTCCTCGCTTAAGAAAAGTGATGGGTATTTATTTTCTTTTGAGCTTTTTCAAGAAAGTCGTTTTCACCCTTACATCGGTGTGCATATTCTTTGCACTGCTCTCGATCCTTTTCAGGACAATTTAAGGGCTTATTTTAAGGGTAATTATTTCATTTAATCTGATGACCCTAACGTTTGCTTAAACAGTCACACTTTAAGAAGAAATGAGATACTGGTCACTGTCAGGGGTTAAATAATTTTCATATCTCCAATAAGACAAGCTGAAGGCTGGCCACCTGTTATTGCACGTTCACACATGCGCAGACGTTTGACCGCTGTTTTTGAAAACATACGCTATTGCCTATCTCGTAGGTTTTTTTTGGCCACCCTGGCACGCTCGCTGAATGATTTTGTCATTTTTTTCCATCAATTTTCATTATATATTGCTGATTAAAGAGTGGATGTATGGCGTTTACCCCAGGTCATATTCGAACCTCGTACAGGTGTAGTGATAAGTAATAAGATCAACCTCAGTCTCAAGGGGAAAGTAGAGATAACAATGCATTTATTGTTGATGTCACGTAATATTGTTTCCCTACAATCGACATGCGTTTAAAACTTTACAATTTCCATCTAACCCATCACCTTGCCTCTACCGCACGCCGAATCTAGAAGAGAAAGAAGAAACACTAATACAGTTTTATTCAAAATTCTATGATTGAGTTCGCCCTATTTATTTGATGAATTCTAATTAATTACTTGGTCATTTGTCCATAAAGAGAACGATTTTCGAGATATCGAGACCATGTTTCCTGTTAGAACACGAAAGCACACTTTCGGCGTATATTTACTTTTTTACGTTTTATTATGAGCTGATTCATTTTTTTAAAGTTTGTCTTTACTTGCTTTTTACACTTTACATTCCCTGCTGTAATAGTACAACATATATAAAATCAAAGATAATAAAACAAATGCAAAGATTTCGATTATGTCGCTCTGCCGCAGAGAAGCTAAGTGAGACTTCACGACAAATTTGTCATTATTTTGAGCCTGATGACACCTTTGGTCTCTGACAATGTTGTTCCTTTTTTGCGGAAAAAGAATCATTTAATTGAACAGAAATCAAACTTGCAGATCAAACAACCAAAACAATCAAAATTCAAAGCAAAACAAAGAAGTGCAGTAAAATTTACCTGGTTTTTGAGAATCACTCTTTGCCTGTTTCATCTGCTTGATTGTGCGTGCCTTCAATTTCTAGGAAAGAAGAGCAAATATTTTGAAATCCTCGTCAATGGCTTTGTACGAGGGTAAGAGGAATTACAAAATAATTAACAATGTGAAGTTATGTAAAGCACCTTGAACATTGAATCAAAACTGGTTTGTTCCAATGGAAGCCTTACTTTCATCCCAGCTTTTTAAACCGCGATAATTTACGTTCTGTACAATATCTTTACGTCTTAATTACCTATCATTCGACAACACTTAAACTTCTCAAGACAGTACAGCTTGTCACATTCCCCTCTAAATATTCCAGCCATGTAGTAGCCCTTTCGCTTGCACTCGCTAAGTCCTTTACCATCAAACGAGCTCCAAACATTCTCATCATAGCAATCTGCATATTTTGCTGGCAACCCCACCGGCTTACAGCATCGAGCCTCTTCGATGTTATGCAGCCAAGAGTCTTTCCCTGTCCTATAAAGACCTCCCATGAAGTATCCATCAGGACAGGTTGCCCACTTGTTGGTGCTATCCGGCAAAAAAATGAAATAAAAAATAGAAAAAGAAGAAGAAAATTAGGTAAGAACTAAAGACTTCAATGTGGCAAAAAAGTTTTGATTTTTAACCATGAAATAATACAGTCTAAACACTTCTCGCCAACTTACCCATCAAGAACTTTCCACCAATTGGCTTTCTTGCAGGATGCTGGTATGTCTTGCGCATGTACTCCGTAAGGGGCGAAACAACACTTAGCATGCTCTATGAGATAGATACCATCATTTGACCCCTTGTTATCATTCCTCCAAAGACCAGTTATGTATTGATTTTCCCTCTCGGTCAAAATAAGACCATCCCTCTCTGGCTGCAAAGCCAAAAAAAAATGATCAATATGAACATGATGCCAATTTGTTGACATTCTTCTTTGTGAGAACACGTCTGGAAACTGAATAACAATCCATTCAAGAGACAAAACTAGTCTCCAGCAACATTTGAAAAAATGATCAATTAAGGAACTGGTTTGCAAAAAAACTTTCCAAGATATTGAATACATGGCGGGTTCTATACATCTGTTTCTTTTACCATGATAGGAGCCAGTAACCTTCACGTCTGAAGATAAAATTCAAGACTTGCTCATTGTTGACGTACCTATATATAAAGATGCTAAGGAGTTATTTTCTTTCTAAGAATGCCAATTTCTAGCAACACAAATGGTACTTTATGTGAGTTTAAGTAGTTAATTCATAGATTTAGCCAGCTGTAAGAGACATTCTTCGTGTGACTTCTAAACCTTCTATGAAAGAGTTCTCAAATTTAACGAGAGTACGGAAATTCAATTGATCATTTTTTGTTTTACTCCTGTCGTTAGAAGGAAAGAAGGGATCTAAATAACTCTCAGAAATGGCTCCTCAGGTGTGAGTCAAAGCCTAACATTCCTCAATTAAAATAGTTAAAGAAGTAATCTCAACAGTTTATGAATTTCACACGTTTGAGATCCCAGAAGTTTTTAATTGCCGAACTTACTTTGTGCCATTTCACTTACTAATTTTTCGATTACTCACATTGCCATTTCGCTTCGAATGAAAGAGCTCAATGTAGCCCATGCGAAATTGGCTGTCACGCGAACCTCGATATCTGTAGTTATTCTTAACAGAATACATGGGTCAAAATCTTGGGAAAAGTTGTGGGTGTCATGTATTATCACTGCGGATACATAGAAGCTAAGATCACAACATACGAACAATCTCGCAAATTTATGCCGAAGAGAAACCTACCTTCCAAGCTTTACTTTGATTTACACTTGGGACATTCTACGCGAAGTATTTATTGACAATTTGATTTATTTCGAACGAGAAGTAAAATTGGCAATCTCTGCGTAAATAACACTTATCTGGTTCATAATAAAAGGCAGGTGAATAAATAGAGAGCTGACAATTTAATGAGGCTAATAAAATTTTTAATCATCATTATCAACACTGTCAAGGTTTTCTAATTAATTTTTTGAAAATAAGACAATCTGAAGCTTGTTAAAGCATCATGATTTCTCAACCGCCAAGATCCTTCTGAAAGTTAAAACGCTGGCCTAGCTCCCTTAATGATCAAACTAACTCTACTTAAGAGAGAGTGCATTTATAGCGCTTAAATGCTTTCGATTGTAATGGCCATGTAGATAAGTCGCATAGACCTGTAGAAAATGATCGTTCAAGTAATTAATGAAAACCTGAAACTAAGATAACAATCCAATACAGGTGATAAAAAATGTGACAAATCACTTGGGCTAATATATAGGTTTCTAACCTCTAAGCTGAAGAAAGTGATTAACAACGTGCCAAACTGATGATTTTAGTAAACATTTCTTACCTACTGCTATTTTGTTACTTTTTGCATTGAGAATGGGATCATCTCGTGTCTGTTAAGGAGTACCAATTTCTAAGCTGGCAAGATCATTTGCAAAAGTAAAACGTTGTCTCGGCTCCTCTAAAAAATAAAAGCAAAGGAAAATGCTTTTATGGAAATGGAGTCACCCCAAGCATAAGGACGCATCGTGATTTCTAACCTGCAAGATCCCTCGCAGAGGTGAGACTATAGAATTATCAAAAAATTAAAATAAAATGAAGTGAAGAAAGAAATGAATAAAATTATATGAAATAAAGTAATAAATAGCAGAGATTACTTACTATTGAAATTCTTTACATCTTTTAAGCTCTTCAAGACGATGTAGCAAGTCAAAATCGTCTATGCATATTCCAGCCATGAAGCCGTATGACTATGTTCAATTGCACTATGTTCGATATTGATACTTTTATACTTTGGATATTCAACAATGCTTGATAAATTGCTCTTTTTGTCATCGTAATTGTTATCGTTATTGTAGAGCACACCATCGAAGGCGAGATATATATCAGTCACTGCATACAACATTTATTCTTTAGATTAAACGAAGAAAGGAATAAAATTGAAATGGTCTTTACTTCGATGTTATACTCAGTGGGAAATTACAAAATCGACTTCATGAAATACATTGTGAAATCGCATCTCGTCGTGGATGTTTTAGCTCGACAGCGATATCAGATTCTGTTGCCAATCTTATTATCATCAAATTGGATATTTTCAGCATAACTTCGGGTTGTAGAAATGTTATCTTGATAGGTTGTATTTGAGGATCCTAAATCTTGGAAGAGACAATGGAACACGACAATCTCTTAAAAATAATTAAACTAATTTGGTGAAAGTGATACCTGTTGACGAATAAGTTTGCTTTGCTCAAATTGAAACTTTTTCTTTTCTCAAAAGGAAATGAAAATGATTAACGAAACCCTCGTAAATAGTGATAATAAATTGATTATGTTTGACAGAAGTGGTGCACGTATATTTCATGGTGTTCCTCTTTTGAGAGAAAGAGAATAAGAATTAAAAAAAAAAGAAAAAAAAATCCTTTCACTTGGCTTCCTCAGATCAAATGTTGATACCCTGCTAAACCAAAATGTATCACACTCTAGAACAGCCGCTTTTTTTAATCCGCTCGAGAGGAGAGGGGAAAAGAGTCGGCTCATTTGCTGAACAGCGGCTGCTAGGTCCTCGCCTTACAAAAATGGTTGGGTACAGGAAAAACTTGAGACTTCCCGAACATAAAGCTTTTTACTTTGTGGGTATCTGATGATCAACCTTTCGTTGCGACCGTTATCAAGAAAAATTTTTTTTTTTTTTTTATGAGAAGCCTGAGAGTCACCTGCTATTACAAGTTCACACATGCACAGAAGTTTGACCGCTGTATTTGAAAACACACGACCAAGGTTATAACGTGCAGGTTTAGAAATACTTATAGTAAAACAACATTCTTACAACGAAATTTGAAGTAACACTACGTTTATTGTTGATGCCATGCAACACCGTTCCTTTATCATAGACGTACGTTCAAAACTTTTGCGTTAACAATTTCCATCTAACCCTTCACCTAGCCTCTACCGCACGCGGAATCTAGAAGAGAGAGAGGAAACCTAAATAAAATTATGTTCAGAATTCTACGATTGAGCTCGCCCTATTTATTTGAATGGTTTGTCAAATTTAATTCCTTATTCAGTTGTTCATTCAGAAACGATTTCCATAGTTATGAGCATGACGCCACACAAAGTCTTTAACAATGTTTTTCCTCTTTTCGGAGAAAACTTCATTGTATTTAAAAGAACCCAAAGTCAAAGCAAAAGGGATAAAAGAATTAAAATTTACCTGGTTCTTCGGAATTACTCTTTGCTTTTTGTTTCATCAGCTTGCATGGGCGGGCCTTCAATAGCTAAGAAAGTAAAGGAAATGTCTTGAGCTCCACAAAATGGCTTTGCATTAGAATAAGTGAGATTAAATTCGAATTCATCAAATAGTTAACAGTGCGCAGTCATGTGTGGAGCTGTAATGGGATAATTTGACATCAAAGAAGTATGCAAGAGTGGGGCGTAGCACCTTGAACATTGGATTTAGGCTGGTTTGTATGAATAATGACCACGATGCCTTGCTATCATCCCAGCATATTCACCCGCGGTAATTTCCCCACGATGATCAACCCGCTTTATGATATCATCGCGTTTTAATTACCTATCATTCGACAACATTTAAACTCCTCAAGACAGTACAGCTTGTCACAATCCCCTCTGAATATTCCAGCCATATAGTAGCCCTCTCGCCTGCACTCGCTAAGTCCTTTACCATCAAACGAACCCCAAACATTTTCAATATAGCAGTCCGCATATCTATCTGGCAAGCCTTCTGGCTTACAACATCGAGCCTCTTCGATGTTGTGCAGCCAAGGGTCGTCTACTGTCCTATAAAGACCTCCCATGAAGTATCCATCTGGACAGGTTGCCCACTTGTTATTGCTATCGTTAAAAAAAAAGGAGAGTGAGGTAGAAAATAAAAACTTAAGAAAGGTATTAATCTCTTTAACGTAAGAATGAATGAGCCTAAAAATTCCTTGCCAAATTACCTATCAAGAACTCCCCACCAGTTGGCTGTCTTGCAGGATGCTGGTACATCTTTCATGCCGTAAGGCGCAACACAACACTTAGCATACTCTATGAGATAGATACCATCATCTGAACCTTTAGCATCATTCCTCCAAAGGCCAGTCATGTATTGGTTTTTGTGGTCACAATAAGACCATCCCTCTCAGTCGAAAGAAATCCACCAATTTGCAGTCGAGCACGTCTGGCTGCAGCAGGTGTCAGCCATAAAAAGGATGATCAACAAGGAGTAAATTGCGCTTTTCATATTCCCTCAGTTGACGTCCCTAGAAAAACAACAAAATATGCACACATTTTTAGAACAGACAAAATGATTAATAAAGAATCCCGCAGCAACGTCATTGATTGTTAACCCATACTATCAATCGCCGCTTATTTAGATTTCTGAACTGATCAGCCATTGACCGAAAAACATTCTTGCAAAATTGAAGACTGGGAGTTAACGTAGGAGGAGGGGAGGAGTCAGTAATCCTTCAACTGTTTATGGGGCACTACAGACAGTTGACTGCAAGTTAACCACCAGTGAGGGAGGAGGGGGGTTATAAAAATATGAAAGAGCCCTTTTGGGGGGATCGGATAAATTTTGTTTTGACACAGCCAAAATCTTCCGACTTCCCCAGGTGATACATGAATGACCAGAATGAAAGAGTTATTCCTCGGCTGACTTCCAAGATGATCGGTGAAAAAAATTATCTTATTTAAAAGAGTAATGAGGCAAGAAACACGAAGAGATGTAAATTACTTGTTCAAATGTTTTTTTCGGTCCAAGTCAAAGCCTGACATTGTTCATAAAGATGGTTTTAAAAATAATCGCACCAAAAGGCGTGGATTTCACACTTGCGAAATTCCAGACATTTCAAGTTACTGAGCTCCTGTCTCTAAGACTGAAGTCACTCTAAATGAAATATATCGGTCAACATTGAGGAAAAACCTGTTGGAATTCCCTATGATGACTGCATATACATTGATAAAAGGAAGTAAGGCTGTATACGAACAATCTCGCGAACTTATGCCAAAAGGAAACATACCTTCCAAGCTCTGCTCCCAAGACGTTACGGTCTGCACGAAGTGTAGATTTTTAATTTGATTTATATCGAACCAGGAAAGAAAGTTGGCAATCTCTGTGTAAATAACACCTGTGAAGTTCACATGCTAAGTCAGGTGAATAAATAGCTGACAGTTAAACTAACGTTAACATGATTTTATAATTTACTTTTTGGAAATGAGACAATCTAAAGCTTGTTAAGTCATCTTGATTTCTTAACTAGCAAGATCTCTCTCAAAGTTCAAACGCTGGACTAGTTCTTTTAATTACCAAACTTAAGGAGAGAATATATTTAGAATGCTCAAATTGGTAGGATTGCAATGGTTACAGAGTAGCATAAACAAACCGTCCATGGTTATCGATCTCATGAATGAAAGTAGGCGAAAAAATAAATACTTAAACTACAATAATTAAGCCTCTAACCTTCAAGCTGAGGCAGGGAATAACTACGTGGAAAATAATGAAAATGATTAATTTACTCCCCACTACTATCAATATCATCATATTTTGATAATTTTTGATTTAAGAGTAGGGAATCCTTGAGCATGCGAAGGCATAGAAATTTCTAAGCTGGCAAGATCATTTCCTCCTTTAAAGACTAAAAGCGAGTGGAAGTGCATTAATGAGAGTGGAATCATCTTAAGCATGTTGTTAACATTGTCACTGGTAAGGATTATTATCTCATTGTATAGGGATATTCGGGGAGCTTTAGGCCTTCGCTCGCAAGGTTCAAAAGTTTATTTTAATTTCGCATCACCAAGAATGAATGAAAAACATATCAAGGCTCCCTAAAGGTTCTGTTGCAATTATAGTACATCACGTAAGTGCTTTAAAAGCTAAGCAGCAATAAGTTATTTCGAAATCAACGATTACCGTAGTTAAAAAGGTTTTTGGGGCAAAGGATGGTAACGCTACAAATTTGATCACCTAATTGTGTTTCTTCTAGGGACAGTGCTTCTTTATTCATAATGTATGTGACAATGACGACAACTCAGTCCCTACGCTCGCTTTTAGACACTAGAGCGAGACGTTTTCTCTAAGGTGATTCCTCAGTATTGCACGTGCATCCTCTACTGCGCATAAAATAACGTAATCAGGCGAATAAGTTCACGCACATTCCGTGAACACGGAATTGTTTAATTGTTCAATCAATGGACCAGGTAAAGAGGAACGATTGTCTTTAGCTCTTGAACGAGCACGGTGACCTATATATATATATATATATATATTTTTGTTTTGTTTTGTTTTGTTTTGTTTTGTTTTGTTTTTGTTTTTGTTTTTGTTTTTGTTTTTGTTTTTGTTTTTGTTTTTGTTTTGTTTTGTATTGTTTTTGTTTTGTTTTGTTTTGTATTGTTTTTGTTTTGTTTTGTTTTTTTTGGGCATAATTTGGTGTACAATTTACCCCCCCCCCCCTTCCTCCTTTAAATTGGGGAAATCACTGCAACGGTGGTTGATATTTCCCGTTAAGAATAAGCAGTGGGAGAAACAAATAAGGTTTTTACTGTAGCTGCCCCAGAGCTTTTCAGACGACAGCAGCGGAAAAAACAGCAACACGAGATATGATTTCAAAAGCCATTTTATCGTTAACATAATAAAAGGTTTTTGATAATGCTATTGTAGAGGAGTTTTTAAACACTTGCGCGATATCTTCCATCTATGTCTGACCTATACTGTATTGCAATGATATCCTGGAGATGATAAAATGAACAAAAATGAAAATTAGAAGGAATAGCATCAAACAAACAAAATAGCAGCAATCATCACCTCTATCTTGTAACATCTCTTTCCCTTAAGGTGGTATTGATCAGTTTTAATGCCATGAAATTTATCATGGTGACAGTATTACCTGTCACAAGCAACACCTTTACACATAATTTCTGCTCTAAGCTCAATTCTAATGGCTTCAAGAGGAGCGAATTTTTCTTAATCATCATCATCATCGCCATCGTCATCGTCGTCGTCGACATGTTATTCTACTTATTGAACAGTAATTAGCAAATGAAATTACAGCTTTCTCTGCTGGAGAGGGAAAAATAAACGTATTCTCTCTAAACTGTTTTCAATATATTTCCTAGGGTACTGACGAAGAACATTTGTTTTACAGTGAGGAGCTTCTTTGGTTGACGATAATTTTCATGACCTTCATGTCGATAGTGTGAGAAGAAAGATAGCTCCATTTTGAAACGGATTGGTCGAGCGTTCATCAATGTCTGAAAATAAAAGACAGTACATTTAATATCCAATCCAATCCCCACATTTAAGGTTGCTTTGGACATAACCCTCTTCAGCTCTTCAAATAATATATTTGAAGCAAAAGGGTTCAAAATGCAGTAATTCGACACAGCTCTAAAAGTTGTTTCCTCCGTATCCAGGTATACAATCGCAGCGATTCACCCAAAAAGTTCCCTTTTAGCGCTGTTTTAACTTTTATCTTCTTTTCACTCAACAATGTCTTGTGTTTCCCTTTGAATTCTTACTGCTTTAGCCGCTTCCTGCGTGCTTTACAATAGAACACAGCTTGGTTGAGACTTGAAGTAGTTAAAGATCTCTCTTGTCCTTTTATTTCATTATTCATCATTTAGTTGTTTCTTGTTTCATGTTTCTTTCATAAGGCTTCTTTCGCAAATAAATTAAAAAGCGTACATAAAAAGAATGCTGAGTCAAATATAATGAATAAACATCTGCTATATTTTTTAGCGTGACCTCTTTGGGAAAATCGTGTACATGTACTTATAACAACTTAAAAAAGGACGTATTGTATATTATAAAGTCATAATTGATATAATGAGTAAGTGACTCGTAACTAGTGCATCTAACTTATTTTCGCTCTGGAAACGTAGTACCTCAATTTCTTTTCAAATAAACCCCTTTACCCGGTACCTAACTTACTAGCGTTAACTGACTAACTGAGTAATCAAAGGTAATTGCGCTCCCGTTTCACAGTTGTTTCTAATGTATCCAGTTTTAAAATCGCAGCGATAGTTTCCTGGGAGGTTGACACATTTGACTCCGATCTTACATGGATCGTTATATCTAATACATTTGGACGATATTGATACCTTTACACCTTGGATATTCAACAAAGTTGATAAATTTATTCGTTTTGTCATCGTAACTGTTGTCTGTATAATGTATTGCAATGATATCCTGGAGATGATAAAATGAACAAAAATGAAAATAAGAAGGATTAATGTCCCAAAAAGAAAACTTGATGTTAGTTGGAACATGAAAATCTCTTGAAAAAAAAAAAAAGGAATTTATTAATTTGGAGAAAGTGATATGAAATATTCAATCCGAGGCAATACCTGTTGACAAATAAGTTCGCTTTGCTCAAATTGATAATTTTTCTTTTCTCAAAAGGAAATGAAAAAGACTAAAATCTCATTCCCAATGAAACCCACGTAAGAGGCTTCCACTCGGCTTCCTCAGATCAACTGTTGCGTTACCCTGGCAAACCAAAATGTACCAGACTCGACAACAGCCGCTCTTTTGAATCCGCTCGAGAGGAGAGGGGAAAGAGTCGGCTCATTTGCTGAATAGCAGCTGTTAGGTCCTCGCCTAACAAAAATGGTTGGGTAAAAGAAAAACTCTAGACTTCCCGAAAATAAAGCTTTTTTCCCGGTGGGTATCTATTGATCAAATTTTGTTTTGACCGGTATCAAGAAAAATGTTTTTACCCTAACATCGATGTTCATACTCTTTACACTGTTCTCGATACTTTTCAGGAAATTCAAGAGCTTCTTGAAAGGGCATTCATTCCATTTTCACTCTAGTGCTTGCTTTTTCACTTAAAGAAGAAATTAGACCGCAATTCTGCTCATTGTAAGGGGGTTAAATAGTTTTCATGACTCCTATGAGAGGCCTGAAAGCCACCTGCTATAACAAGTTCACACATGCGCCGAAGTTTGACCGCTGTTTTTGAAAACACACGACCAAGGTTACAACGTTCAGGTGTAGGAATACAAATAGTAAAACAACAGTCCTAAAACGAAATTTGAAATAACAACACGTTTATTGTTGATGTCATGCAACACAATTCCCATATGATAGACGTACGTTTAAAACTCTTGCGTTAACAATTTCCATCTAACCCATCACCTAGCCTCTACCGCACGCCGAATCTAGAAGAGAGAGAAGAAACCTGAATATGATTATACTCAAAATTCTATGATTGAGCTCGCCCTATTTATTTGAATGATTTATCATATTTAATTGCTTTTTCAATTGTTCATTCAGAAACGATTTTCATAGTTATGAGCCTGACGTCACACAAAGTCTTTAACAATATTTTTCCTCTTTTCAGAGAAAAACTCATTGCATTTAAAAAGAACCCTCAATCAAAGGAAAAGGGATAAAAGCAATGAAATTTACCTGGTTTTTGGGAATTACTCTTTGCTTTTTGTTTCATCAGCTTGGATGGGCGGGCCTTCAATAGCTAGGAAAGAAGAAGAAATGTCTTGATTTCCTCATTAATGGATTTGCATTAAAATAAGTGGGAATAATTATAGTTTATCAAACAGTTAACAATGTGCAGTCATGTGTGGAGCTGTAATGGATAATTTGACATCAAAGAAGTACGCAAGAGTGGAGCGTAACACTTTGAACATTGGATTTAAGCTGGCTTGTATGAATAGAGACCATGATGGCTTTACCATAATCCTATCTTATTATATAAGTTATGATATCATCGCGTTTACCTATCATTCGACAACATTTAAACTCTTCAAGACAGTACAGCTTGTCACATTTCCCTCTGAATATTCCAGCCATGTAGTAGCCCTCTCGCTTGCACTCGCTAAGTCCTTTACCATCAAACGAACCCCAAACATTCTCATTATAGCAGTCTGCATATTTATCTGGCAAGCCCTCTGGCTTACAGCATCGAGCCTCTTCGATGTTATGCAGCCAATGGTTTTTCCCTGTCCTATAAAGACCTCCCATAAAATACCCATCTGGACAGGTTGCCCACTTGTTAGTGCTATCGTGAAGTAAAAAAAGGAAAATGAGGTAGAAAATAAAAACATTAAGTGCAACAAAAAGGTAATAATTGTTTTTTAACGTAAGAATAAAAAAGCCTAAATATTCCTTGCCAAATTACCTGTCAAGAATTTTCCACCAGTTGGCTGTCTTGCAGGATGCTGGCACATCTTTCATGCCGTAAGGCGCAACACAACACTTAACATGCTCTATGAGATAGATACCATCATCTGAACCTTTAGCATCATTCCTCCAAAGACCAGTCATGTATTGATTTTTGCAGTCACAATAAGACCATCCCTCTCGGTCAAAAGTATGCCACCAATTTGCATTCGAGCACGTCTGGCTGCAGCAGGTGTCAGCCATTAAAAAAATGATCAACAAGGAGTAAAGAACTTCCATTGCGCTTTTAATATGCTCCCAGTTGATGTACCTAAATTAAAAAAACAAAAAATGCACACATTTTAAGAACAAGCAAAATGATTAAAAAGGAATCCTGCAGCAGCGTCATTGCTTGTTAACTCATGCTATTAATCGCCACTTATTTAGTTTACTTAACTGGTTAACAATTGACCGCAGAACATTCTTGAAATATTGAAGACTAGGAGCTAACGTAAGAGGAGGGGAGGAGTCAGTTATCCTCCTCGCCTGGGAATAATAATAGTGACACTGCCCTGTCACTAGAAAAGGAAACCTTCCCTCTCATATGTTATTCTGAATACATCCAGTCATTCGCGAGATTCCAACTATAAATATATTTTCATTTTTGAATCGGCGTCTTCCTTAGCGTTGCCGTCCTAACTGATAAAGGTCTATAATGACCAGTCCCGAAGAGTTCAGTATTCTTCGAGTGACTTCTAAGATGATCAGTGAAAAAAAATAATATTACGAGGAAGAGATGTAAATTACTAGCTAAAACGTTTTTTCAGTCTAAGTCGAAGCAGGAAATTGCTCAGTGGGGATAGTTGAAAAGAAAAATTATCTCATCAACAGTCCGCGAATTTCACATTTGCGACATTCCAGACGTTTTTAGTCACTGAGCATCTATTTTGTCTTTAAACGGACTCACTAAATGCATCTTACTTCACTAGCACTTCGATCCAAATCTTTATTGAAAGAGCTCAATGAAGCCAATGCGAAATTGGCCGAATCACAAACCTCTGAAGATTAAGGAAAAACCTGTAGGAATCCCTTATGGTGACTACAGATACATTGATGTAAGAAAGACTTCATACGAACAATCTCGCGAACTTATACCAAAGAAAAACATACCTTCCAAGCTCTGCTCCCAGGACGTTACGATCTGCGCGAAGAGAATATTATTTTAATTTGATTTATAAGGAACCAAAAAAGAAAGTTGGTAATTTCTGTGTAAATAACACCTGTGATGTTCACACGCTCATTCAGGTGAATAAATAGCTGAAAGTTAATTAAATAATGTTAACACGATTTTATAATTTGCTTTTTGGAAATGAGACAATTTGAAGCTTGTCAGGTCATCGTGATTTCCTGACTGTCAAAGTTCAAACGCTAGCTTATTTCTTTCAGTTACCAAACTTAAGGGGAGAATTCAGTTAGAATGCTCAAATTGGCTCGATTGCGATGGTTATGCGAGTCGCATAATCACGCCGAATGTGGTTATCGATCTCTTAAATAAAAACTGAGAAAATACCTAGGTGACAAATTAGATACTTAAGTGACAGTAAGTGACAGTTAAGCCTCCAACCTTAAAGCTGAGACAAGGGAATAACTACATGGAAAAAAAAAGAAATTAATTAGTTTACTACCTACTATTGTCAATATACTCACATTTTCAAAATTTCGATTTAAGAGAAGGAAATCCTTTGAGCATGTGAAGGCATAGAAATTTCTAAGCTGGCAAGATCATTTGCACCTTTAAAGACTTAAAGCGAGGGAAGTGCATTTATGAGAATGGAATCATTTTAAGCATGTTGAGGCGTCGTGACTTTCAAGATCCCTCGCAGAGGTGAAATGTTGTTTAAGTACCTGCAAGAACTTAAAGTGAGGAAATATACATTTGAAATACAAATATGTATACCAGAAAAAAAGACCACGAATAATTGTTTGCTTCTGCACTCAGCAACTCTTTCGAATCTAAAGGGATGAAACATCTTCATTCATAATATTGTCGCTGGTAAGGATTATTTTCCAACTGTATGGAGACATTCTGTGAGTTAAGCTGTATCGAGGCGGGGTGCCTTCGCGCGCAAGGTTTAAAAGTTTATTTTAATTTTGCAGCACCAAAAATAAATGAAAAGCATATCAAGGCTTCCTTAAAAAATACCAAGGCGCTTATTGTGATTATGCCACATTACGTAATTGCTAATTGAAAGCGAAGCAGCAATGAGATATTTAGAAATTTAATTATCTGGTTGTGTATATCTTCTGGGAACACTTCTTCTTTAGGCATAATCTGGGTGAAAATGACGACAACTTAGTCCCTACGCTCGCTTTTAGTCACTGAGGCGAGACGTTTTCTTTAAAGTGTTCCTCAGTATTGCATGGCGCACCCTCTACTGCGCATAAAAATAACGTAATCAGGCGAACAAGCGCGCGTATTCCTAGGTTATGGTATTGTTTTTCAATCAACAGACCAGGTAAAGAGGAACGATTGTTTTTAAGTCTTGAATGAGCACGATGATCTATATATATATATTTTTGTTTTTGGTTTTTTGTTTGTTTTTTGCATAATTCTTGTGTACAATTTACCTCCCTTAAATTAAGGAAATTACCGTAACGGTGACTGATATTTCCCGTTAGGAATAAAGCAGTGGGAGAAACAAGTAAGGTTTTTACTATAGCTACCCAGAGCTTTTCAGATGACAGTAGCCGCAAAAACAACAACACGAGATCTGATTTCAAAAGCCATTTTATCGTTAACATAATACACGTTTTTGATAATGCTACAGTAGAAGATTTTCTAAACACTTGTGATATATTTTCCATCTATGCCTGACCTATACTGAGTGGCAATAACTGGTCATTCCTGGAGAAGATAAAATGAACAAAAAGTGAAAATAAGAAGGAAAAACAGGAAAAAAACATAATAGCAGCAATCATCAAACCTATCTTGTAACATCTCTGTCCCTTAAGGTGGCACTGATCATTTTTGATGTCATAAAATTAACCATGATGATAGTATTACCTGCCACAAGCAACACCTTTACACGTAATTTCTGCTTTAAGTTCAGTTCTTATAGGTTCAAGAAGAGCGAATTTTTCCTAATATCATCATCGTTATCGTCATCGTCGTCGTTGACATGATGTTCTAATTATTGAACAGAAATTAGCGAATGAAATTACAGCTTTCTCTGCTGGAGAGGGAAGAAATAAGCGTATTCTATAAACTGTTCTCCATACATTTCCTAAGGTGTTGACGAAGAAAATTTGTTTTACAATGAGGAGCTTCTCTGGTTGAAGATAATTTTCTTGGATTAATATCATTATCTGGGAAACTGCCCACCTACCCCTCCTCTAACCCAACATTAACCTTAACTTGTTGTCAATTGACTGTTGTTGAGTTAGGGGAGGGGTAGGTGGACAGTTGCCCAGATACTGATATTGATCCATTTTCTTTATCCTCGTGACCTTCATGTTTGGTTCAGGTTTGATAGTGTAAAAAGAGATTAGATGCTAGTCACTCTAAGGGGTCAAAGGTTTAATACACAAAATGGCTCGAAATTCTTTCTCATATTGCAATCACAGATTTACCTGTATATGGCTTTCACTGAGAGTAATCACGTTATATTTCGCACTCCTCTATTTCGTTTTCTAAAGGATAAGTTTTGAAAAGAAATATTTTTATATGCTCTTCCGTAATAATAAAGGAATAAAACGATAAGCAATCAGATATACATTAAATGTGATTAATTATCATAATTAATTTAGACAACAAAACTCATCTCTTTTGTTCATGATTATATTACCCCACTTCATTGATTCAACAAGTAGTCATTTTTAGAAATACAGATACGAGGGGAGTCTTTTTTGCCCTTTATTCTTTGACTATAGTTTTTTTTTTTTCGAATGTCTTTTTTCATCAGCTTAACATCTTAAAATACCTTATTTCAAAAAGTAAAATTTTCAGCTGCAGGCTCAACCACATTAAAATGCTCTGTTCCTATCACATGAAACATCAGTGAGGTTTAAGGAAGCAGATTATCAACAATGAAGCCACGATGAATCACGGTCCGAAGTTGTCTCGAGTTCTAAACTGACATGCAGATTATGGAGACAAACTTTAAGGATTGTGTTTATTGATAAAGGTAATCAGTACCTGCTGCGTTTTCGCAGTTTGCTCCCTCGAACTCCGCCGGGCAATCACAGCGGAAGCTTCCAACGAGATCAACGCATGTACCTCCATTTTGGCATGGTGCCGGTGCACACTCGTTGATTTCTGGAAATTTCATTTTTGCAAAGGATAGTAAGTGAGTACTCCATCGATAACAGTGGAATAGACAAGTTTGATATAAGAGGAAAATGGCCTTTGATTATGCCTTACTATTAAGCTATACTGATGCAAAGAATCACAAGTTACAGTAAGTAGAATGGGTTGTATTAAACTCATTGTACACGGTATATTGCAAACTCCGATTGAAAGGTATTCACTACATATTCGTTGATTATGAAGGTTGGCACAGAGAGCTCCATTTTGGCATGGATTGTTGGAAAATTCATCAATGTCTGAAAATAATAGTCAGTACATTTAATATCGAATCCAATCCCCACATTTAAGGTTGCTTTAAACATAACCCTCTTCAGCTCGTCGAATAATGTATTTGAAGCAAAAGGGTTCAAAATACAATAATTGAAAACCGCTTTAAAAGTTGTTTCCTGTGTATCCACATATAAAATCGCGGCGATTCACACAGAAGTTCCTTTTTAGGCACTGTCTTAATTTCTTTTTTCTTTCCAGTAAGCAATGTCATGTGTTTCCCTTTCTTTCTGCTCTAACCGCTTCCTGCGTACTTTACAATAGAACACAGCGAGGTTGAGGCTTCAGTTATCACATAAACCTTGATGATGAAATCTAATGTCAAATGAGTAACACGAATACAAAGGAACATTTTAGCAATGAAATGCCTCCAAGTTTACCTGATTCGCAACTGCTTCCTGTATATCCACTTTTACAATCACAACGATGACCGCCCTGAATATTAACACATGTAGCCCCGTTCTTACATGGATTGTTACTGCACTCATTAACATCTGTAAGATAAAATCACAAGAAAAGAGAATAATATAAGATTGGTTATTCTTCAAATTTACACACATTCAGCCCACCTTAGGAGGCAAAATTAGCTAATTGTGCTTTTTCTATTTGTCACGCAACACGGGAGTAAGAAGCAACTCCGTACGCTTTAATTCACCCCAACAAAAATTCCCAATGTTTCTGAACAAACAAAAAAATCAAATGTAATACGTGTTATTTAATGATTCATTTAATTTTAAGTTTCAAACAAATCAATACCTGTCTCACAGTTGTTTCCAGTGTATCCAGTCTTACAATCACAGCGATAGCTTCCCTGGAGGTTGACACATGTGGCTCCGTTCTTACATGGACTATTTGAGCACTCGTTGATATCTGTTTGAAAAATAAGAATAAACCAAAAATTATTGACAGGCGTCAACTGCCACACAAGTCTTTTTGAAATGATTTTAAATGATAATTTTGCTTTACTTCAGCAACACGAACAAGGGGGAATATTTCAGCAATGAAATGCATCCAAGTTTACCTGATTCGCAACTGCTTCCTGTATATCCGCTTTTACAATCACAACGATGACCTCCCTGAAGATTAACGCATGTAGCCCCGTTTTTACATGGATTGTTACTGCACTCATTAACATCTGTAAGATAAAATCACAAGATAAGAGAAAAATATGAGGTGGTTATTCTTCAAAATTACACACGTTCAGCCCACCCTGTAAGGCAAAAAAAATTCCCTTTTGGATTTTAATAAATTCTGACTTTTCTATTTGTCACGCAACCCGGGAGAAAGGAGCAACTCCTTACGCTTCAATTCGCCCTAACAAAAATTATCATCGTCTCTAAAAAAAAAAAAAAACAGCAACAACAACAAAACCAAGACCTATGTAATACGAGTTATTTGATGAGTCATTTAACTTAAAGTTTCAAACAATTCAATACCTGTCTCACAGTTGTTTCCAGTATACCCAGTCTTACAATCACAGCGATAGCTTCCCTGGAGATTGACGCATGTGGCTCCGTTCTTACATGGACTATTGGAGCACTCGTTTATATCTGTTTGAAAAATAAGAATAAACCAAAAATTATTGACAGGCGTCAACTGCCACAAAAGTATTTTTGAACTGATTTTCAATAAAAATTTTGTTTTACTTCAGTAACACGAACAAAGAGGAACATTTTAGCAATGAAATGCATCCAAGTTTACCTGATTCGCAACTGTTTCCCGTATATCCACTTTTACAATCACAACGATGACCTCCCTGAAGATTAACACATGTAGCCCCGTTTTTACATGGATTGTTACTGCACTCATTAACATCTGTAATATAAAATAGCAACAAAAGAGAAAAATATGAGATTGGTTATTTTCAAAATTATACACGTTCAGCCCACCCTGCAAGGCAAAAACTTCCCTTTTGGATTTTAATAAATTCTGACTTTTCTATTTGTCACGCAACCCTGTAGTAAGAAGCAACTCCGTACGCTTTAATGCGCCTCAACAAAAATTCTCAATGTCTCTAAACAAACTTAAAAAAACCAAGACCAATGTAATACGCGTCATTTAATGAATCATTTAACTTTAAGTTTGAAACAAATCAATACCTGTCTCACAGTTGTTTCCAGTGTATCCAGATTTGCAATCACAGCGATAACTTCCTTGAAGATTGACACAGGTGGCTCCATTTTTGCACGGGCTTGTACTGCACTCGTTTTTATCTGTGATAATATTAGACTCAGAAATCAGATACAATTTTCAATCTACCTACTTCTCCAAGATGAGGGCGGCAATAACATACATTGCACAAATCATTTTTATACCTGACTCGCAGTGGTTTCCAGTGTATCCAGATTTGCAGTCACAACGATAACTTCCTTTAAGATTGACACATTTAGCTCCATTTTTGCATGGACTTTTCGAGCATTCATTTATGTCTGCAAGATAATGTTTCTTTCAGTTATATTCTGTCCCCCACACCTAATTAGAGCAAAAGGTCAGCTTTACTCCATAAAGGCTTTGGCAAAAAATGTGCCGCAAAATGATCTGTTATGGGGATAAGAAGCTGTCTTGCAACCGCGTTATCGAGTTTAAATGGCTTTTTTAAAAATTGTTGATTTCGCTTTTAATTCTTCATAATAAAAAAATAAAGCTTAAGCTAACTTTACCATTTGTATAGATTATTTTCGTATAGAATCCTTACGTCGCCACCCGATGACCTAACTGGACTTTCCCAGCTTTTAAGATACTTTAAATGATCACCGTGCTATTATGTGTTGGAATAACTTCTAGTCGTTTGGGAACTTCTCTTACCACTTTGGCAGTTCTTCCCTGTAAATCCAGATTTACAGGTACACTTGTACGTCCCTGGTTGATCGGAACAAGCCGCACCGTTTTGACAGGGATTCTTGGTTCTACACTCATCTACCCGTATATGTGGAAGCAAAAGCAAACAATTTTTAAGTACTGAGGTATCATATTGTTATTATTGTTGTTGTTGTTGTTGTTGTTGTTGTTGTTGTGGTTGTTGCTTCATCGAGCAAGAATTCGTTTCTCTTTTTACAAGCTTTCGTATTTTTGCACGAGGAAAGATACAGTGTACAGTGTACATTTTGAGCTGATAAACTGATCAACAAGAATAACTTATTCACAAGAATCTTTTACTCACCCACATTCATCTTACAGCATTTGAAATATTCGATACAGTACAGATAGTCACATCCTCCTCTGAAAATTCCGGCCAAATAGTAACCTTCTCTCTGACACTTGCTAAGGCCTTTATTGTCAAAAGAGGTCTTGACATTCTCGTTGTAGCAGTTTTCATATCTATCTGGAAAACCATTGGGCTTACAACATTTGCCCATCTCTAAGTGATGCAACCAAGCACCGTTATTTCGGTAAAAGCCTCTCACGAAATAGCCAGCAGGACACACAGCCCAGGAGTTTGTTCTTATAAAAGGAAAATTAAGAGGAAAGTTTATTCCTTTATAACGAATCCATATTTGTGTTATTGCAAACATATATATATATATATATATAAAGTGTAAAATTTTGACTTTCGTAAAACAGTGCTCAATACATAGGAGTAGAGCGATGTATATATTGTGGGAGGAAAAAGACAAAATAATAAGAAAATAAACTTTAACTGATTGTTTGATGTATTATTGATAACTTACTTATCGAGAACACCCCACCAATTGGCATCTCTGCAAGTCGATCCCGTGTTTTGATATGGAGGGGGAGCTGGGCAGCACTTCGCTTCTTCTAGTAGGAAGATCTTATCATTTTTGCCCCTGTTATTATTCCGATATAGCCCAGTGATGTAGTGCTTTGATGAATCACATTGGACCCAGCCTTTTTTGTCAAAAGCTTTCCACCAGTTTGCCATCTTGCAGCTATCCGGCATCATGCAGCATTTGATTTTTTCGATACATTGCAACTTGTCACAGCCTCCTCTGTAAACGCCTGTCAAGTAATGATCGCTATCACACTCACTCCAGCCTTTGTTATCAAATGATGAGGAGATGTCATGTTCATAACAGCGCAGGTAGCTACTTGGCAAGTTGTTGGGCTTACAGCAATGGCCTTCCTCTATGTTGTGAATGTTGTGGTTTTTGGAGCGGTACAACCCTTGCAAAAAATATCCAGTTGGACAAAAGGCCCAACGATTAGTCCTAGAGATGAAAATATAGGAAAATTTTCTCTCGTAAAAGAAAAACTTTAATCTTCGAATAACGTGGAAAGTTACTCTCATGTACCACACGTGTCTTTAAAAGATTAAAACAATTTAGGAACCTTAGGATGAACATGTGGGGCCAACGTCATCTGCGTTCATGGGATGAAAGGGAGTAACTTTTCTTTTCAAAATACCCTGAAACCGTCAGAAGAAATTGGATGAGATACTTACATTGTACTTCCCCAAGTTTTAACACAACCTCATCGACGGCGAAAAATACAGATTGATATAGATGAAAAATGCAAATATTTATGTTAACCTCAATTTTTACATCACCCGTCTCATTTTCTTATCAGGGACCACCGATGCTGAATAGTGTTTATCAGATGGTGGGCGAGAAATGAACAAGTAGCTGCTGAAAGTGGTATTGGCAAAGTAATCTATGTAAGAAGATACTCACTTGTCCAGTACTCCCCACCAGTTTGCATTTTTACAAGTAGACGCTTGGTTTTGATTGGGTGGAGGTGCCTTACAGCATCTTCCTTCTTCAAGCAAAGAAATTGGGTCGTTGTTGTTCTTGTTATTTCTATAAAACCCTTTCAGGTATTCAACAGAAGATCCACACTTGGACCATCCCTCTTTGTCAAACGAACCCCACCAGTTTGCTGTTCTGCACTGGCTCCAGCACTGATCCATCATCATTAGGGTGGCCATGGAAAACAGTAAAAACTTCTTCATTATGAAGTTCACCGTATCTGTGGAATAGGTCGGTAAAATAAGACCTTTTCATACCAACCCACACACATAGGTATGAAAAAAGTGGGATGGGCTGCACAAGACCAGGCTTACCAGGCATACTATGGCTGGGACATGAGGCCAACTTCGTACCCTTCAAGTTGGTGGGGTTGACGTAATCGAATTGATTTTTTTTAATATTAAGTAAATTGCAACCAGGGGAATTATATGAAGGTAGGTCTCGGCTTCCGGTTACTTGGTTACTTATGACGTCATATATCGTTGCCATGGCCGTTAAATATATTCCGCCAAAACTCATCAAACAATGCGTAGGGAACTGATTATCTAATTCTTATTACAAAAAAAATTGAAAAATTGAAATAGAATAAAAAAAGTAACAGCGCAAAAACCGGGCTCTAAAAATTAACATCTCACAGGTTAGCAATCATTCATGGTTTTCAGCAACACACGAAACCTTCCAAGAATTAATATAATCGTGCTAACACCTAGTAACAAGCGTGCCTTTTTTTATACGCTAATACCATTTTGCGAAACGATGGTCACAACATTTATTGCACGAGTTCCTTTTCGAAGCCTCGATTTCGACTATCCATTCGAGAAGAAATTCTGACCATAGACACTTGATGTTTTCCAATTTAAGAAAAACGATTGAACATTTCTTGATCTTTCCCGCTATAAGATACAGTATATTTTTTAAAGTCGAAAAAAAAGGTCTGGATCCTGATGAAAAATTGATACCGCACTAAAACGTTTAGATAGTAAAAGTTGTGTTGGCTGTTTGCCACGAAAAGGTAGCAAGGGAATTTACGCTTCACAGTGAACATCACATCTATTATTTATGAAAATGTATTTTATCAATAATCCACGCACATCCTAAGATTTTAACTTATTTTTGAGGAAACGTATTTCGATCAAGGTTGACCCGCAAATATTTGGAGTAACTTTACCTGGGATCGAATTACCTACCTTTCGTTCTTTTTTTTTTCTATCCTGCGTATGTTAGGGTAGTAGGGCGAACAAAGAATGGTTTCTGACCTTTCTAAAAACTGTGTAAAGTTAAACCCAAGATCTCGTTACCTCAATTTGTAATTTATGTTTTTTCATAGATATGCGTGTTGTATCATGTAAGCAATGAACAGTTGAATCAACATTAACGCTTTAGTACCTAATTAACTTTCATCAAATCAGTACTAAATCATGTTTCTTAAGATGCGAAACCACGAATTCAAGTATATACTTTTGATCTGAAATAGGCGGCTAAAAGAAATTCTCTCTAAGTTTATTTCTTTTCGCTTTTGACAAAATAATATTCGATTTCGCGGACAATTTATTTCACAGTTTATAATTTTATTTAATTAGGTTTGTTTCCTCCATCCTTGCTTTCATTAAAACAGTACAGCCTCAAAGCTTCGTCGCCAAGCTGCGCTAATATTTGTTATATCATCAAACTTCATTTCTGAACTTGAACTAATTCAAATCAATGACAAGTTTTGTAGAAGAAATTCTTACGACTTTGAGAGACTTGAAAAGAATAATGTTCATCCTCTGTCTATAATCTCGAGAACTCTTCTAAAGAAGAATATACCATAGTTCAAAATGGATAATGTGCTGAGAACGCTGCAAAAATACATGTAATTAGTTCAATTGTTAGTCAATAATAATTTGTAATGCATCTTTTCTGACACTTCTCTATGCATGTTTAGTACATCATTCCTTTTCTCACCTTGTTGTCTTTCTCAGTCACACATTTGGTTATTATTATTTCGTATTCATTTTTCAATATCAATTGTATTGAACTACTCATGAAACAAAAAAAAGGAAATCAGAATAATGTTGCAGCATGTGTAATCGAAGAATCTAAACAGCAACTACAGCAACATTTTTGAAAAAAGGCAACGAAAGCAGAATTTCACTTTGACAGAAAATATATGGAAACATGTCAATGACAAGAAATTGACGGGAAGTCCTAAAGAAAAAACACACGTTTCAAGCAGTACAAACAAAATTTAAACTCCCACACTACATATTATCACGTTCTAATAACACTTAACGCTGTGACATAGATCTACAAACATTTTTTCGATGTCTGAAGTCATTGTTTTTTTTTAATACTCAATAAAAACCAAAAAGATTCGTTTGGTTTTATTAACTAGATGGATGGTGAAAATTGGCCATCTTCAAGAGATTCTAAAGTTGAAGTTTCGAGCGTTAGCCCCTCGTCTGAATGAATCGAGGAATCATGGGTTCTAAGTGGTTTATATACAAAGTTAAAAATAAAAAAATCAAAATAAGCAAAAAAAAAAAAACGGTAAAAATTAAAGAAACCATTGATTGATTTAAGATATGCCGTAGATACAAGACACTTTTCAGAATTTATAATATGATTAGAAGTCGGCAGTAGTTTCATTTTAGGACGATTTTAACATTCGTTTTATGATACTTTAGTTGGAATTCATTTCAGTAACCTTAATTGGTCATAAATATCTGATAAATCGTCGTTTTTTTTTCTGTTGGTTTTCTTTTTTCTTTTTTAATGTCAAGTGTAAAAACAGACGTGAGAAATTCTCAGTTTGGTCAGGTGCTAAACGAACCGAAACGCAGTGATTTTAATACAGCGCTATGACACGAATCCTGAGTCGAGTCCTCGATAAAGGAACTTTGAGTTTCCAGCCGAAGTTAGATTCTCTGTTTATCCCATAAGCTTTCCGGAATGGTAGAAAGAGATAAAAATCAAATATTTAAGATAAAAAAAATACACAAAAAGTTGGGCCTGATGCATTCATCTTGTATTTGGTACTGACGTGCCAATTTTCCAGATCCCACTCTCCGGGTGAAGTCGAATAATGCAGTAAAAACCACATTTTTAAGGGAGGCAAGTTTTTATGGAAACTCTGGTGTCGTGTCGGTGGGAGAGTATAACAGGGTGAATAAGTATTATCAACTGAGTTGATAACGTAAAATGGCCACCGTAAAGAGTTTAAAAGCTGACGTTTCGAGCGTTAGTCCTTTTTCAATCGCTCTGACGAAGGGCTAACGCTCGAAATGTCAGCTTTTTAACTCTTTAGGGTGGCCATTTTTGTTATCAACTCAGTTGTTAATACTAAATTACCACAGTTTTAAAGGTCAGGTTCAGAGTTTTCTTTTTACTCCTTTATAGCCGCGGTTAAATTAACAATACAATGCTTTAAAAACAAAACAAAACAAAACAAGTTTATAAATATTTCGTATGTTTAAGTTAACATAACTGTACAACATTCCAGAATTAAACTTTATTCTTCTGCCTATGTGTTACAGTGCAAATTGTTCCTGCTTGTCTAACAAAAGTTTTGATTGAGATCGATGCATCCTCTATTTCCTTTCGGCTTATTCCTCGCACTCGTCCACCTCTGGTTCTAGAAATACACAGAAGATAAATGGAATATTAGACTTTAACAAGGTGCTCTAATACCTAAACAACTACCTGCCAGCCAAAGGTTCAAATATGCTCTCTGATTTTGTTGGTTCGCTAAATTTCATATGATTGTTCCTTTTTTCAATTTAACCCATGTGTTTTGTAGATCATTTGAAAACGTGAATGAAAGGCACTCAGAGCTACTTTTTTAAATCAATAAGTGAGCCATGTTCGCCATCTGATAACAATGATTAATATCTAAAGTTGTAAAAATGTACTTTGTGAATTTACATCAGCAAAGCGTTCAATTCCCTCGGAACCGACTTAGTTCACCAACATGGTTGCCGAGATATCTTGTGAAAACGATCCATGATTAAAGGACGACTCACCATCGCAAGTAATACCAAGCCATCCGGCCGCGCAATCACAACGGAAGCCATCAACAAGATCAACACACGTACCACCGTTCAAACAAGGATCCGGAGCACAGTAGTTGATAGCTATAAATCCACAAAATGGCCTTACATTTAAAGTTAGTTAAATAAAATTTCTCTCCTGTAAATGGGTTTAATGTGAACCGTCAAAATTATCCAAGACGTGATGTCACCTGCTCAAATTTAGTCCAGTCCTTTAATATATACGCTTCCCGGACAATTAAAAAATCCTTTGGAAGATTTCTTTAAAAAAATATTATGAACCATGGTAGCATTAATAGAGGTTTTGCGTGCACCAAAGCATGCGCAGCACAGCCACAAAAGGCTTAAAAAGAAGGATTCGTGCCTTCTCCGGTCATCACTTTGCGGCCACAAAACTATGAAGCGCACACGGAACCACTAGCTCCGCAAGCCAGGTATCATGGCTATTAAAAAGCAGCAAGATACTTTTTTTTCCCCTTAAAAGCCCTAAATAACCTTGAGAATTTCTAAACCAAAATATCATCTCATTCCACCTCATTCTAAGGTTCTACTGCTTCCTAAGAAAACCATGAGAACAAAAATTAACGGATCAGTTGTATACTAATAGCGGTATACGCAAAGTCGAAATCATATAGGGTGTGACTTCACATGTAAGAAAGAAAAAAGGCTCGATTGATAAGTTATTTGTATCGACCCCCAGTTACTCGTTCAATGAATTTTTCCAAATGTCATTTTCAATTTGTCCATGTGTTATGTTCACCTGTTTCGCAAGAACTCCCTGAATAACCTTTTGCGCAGTCACAGCGATGACCTCCTGAAAGATTGACACAAGTAGCTCCATTTTTGCAGGGGTTGTTTGTGCATTCGTTGACATCTGCAAAACACGAATTAAATTTATGTCAACACTAAATAAAATTATTTCGTAGTAAATCTCAATTTTCACGATGAATTAAGGTCGCAGTGGTAAGTGAATTAGTGTACCAACAAACAAAAAAAAATGGCGTCACTATCGGATTTCAAACGTTTTGGTCATTTGTTAAAAGGCTCACTGCCTATGCTTTATTTCTGTTGTTTTCAATGCCTTTCAAGTAAAACCCTACGAGAAAGACCATCTAGTTTTTCGGAAGAAGGATATTGGTAAAAGTCTGACTAAAAACCTATGAACAAAAATGCAGATAAGTGATCTACTTTAAGTAGACAGATTGCCTACTAAAAAAACAAAACACAAGTCTAAGGGATATGTTACCATTTTCACAGTTGTTTCCATCGTATCCAGATTTACAATCACAGCGGTAACTTCCCTCAAGATTGACACAGGTGGCTCCGTTCTTGCACGGGCTGTTGGAGCACTCGTTGATATCTGTAATGTTTAAATAAAACGTTCCCTCTTTTCGGTTTCATTTAATTATTTTTGAAACTTATTATTATTTTGATTGCAGATGGATTACGGCGACTAAAATAGAAAAAAAGATAGAGAAAAAAACACCCCAGGAAAAAACCACATTTGCGTGTACTTAGGCACTCTGAACGTTATAATATGGGCCCAGTTTTCGTGCAGTTTTCCAGCGTATTCTACACAAATTTTCATTTGTGCGTGAAATTTTCACAAAGAACGTCATGTGAATAGCATTTAAAAAGATTCAAAATTTTCAACTTTGGCTCCCTGTGAAGCGTCTGAGTAACAAAATAAATACAACCTTCGATAAACAGACAGAAGTACTAGAAAACTTATAAACAATTTCTTACCATTTTCGCAGTTGTTTCCATCGTATCCAGATTTACAATCACAGCGATGACTTCCCTGAAGGTTGACGCAGGTGGCTCCGTTCTTGCACGGGTTGTTGGAGCACTCGTTTATATCTGTAATATATAAATCAAACGTTTCTTCTTTTTGTTTTTCCCTAATCATTTTGAAATAAAAAAAAATTTGGACTTGGAACTAATCTATATGAAAAAATTGGACCCTTTTCTCCTTACCTTTGAACAATCCGTAAATAATACAGCAATAACAACGACTACATCAACAACAATAACAACTACAACACCAATAACAACAACAACAACTACAGCAGAAACAAAAGAAAGTTAACAAAGGTAACGAGGACACTAACAAATAAAAAAAACACCTTATTCAAATTGAATTTTACGTCAGTGTATTTGTCGTTTCCTTTGTTACCAGATTTACAGTCACAGGGATTACTTTCTTGAAGATTCACACAGATGGTTCCATTGCTTCAGTGAGGCCGTCCACAAGGGCATAAAACAACATCAACAACAAAATACGATAAAAGTAAACACAGCAAAGTAGTTCAGAAGGAAACATTACTTACCAGTCTCACAGTTATTCCCATTATATCCAGATTTACAATCACATCTATAGCTTCCCTGTAGATTTACACACGTTGCTCCGTTTTTACACGGACTGTTGGTGCACTCATTAATATCTGTAAGCAAACAAATCAAGTCAATCAATTTGCAGCTGTAGTCCGAGTTGAGTCAAGTTCCTTCCGTTCAACCAGGTAGAAGAGTGTCGTCTACCACGGTTTACAAATTTATTGGAGTTATAATCTTAATATTTTGATTGCAAATGGATTACAGTGACTAAACTGAAAAAAAATAGATAGGACGAATGCTAAATGAAACCCATATCCGCGTGTTCTTGGGCACCCCTAACGTTTTCAACTGGGCCCTGTCTTTGGGCGGCTTTCACAAGCATACAAGCGTAAAATTTCCTAAGTGAAAGGAATACGTGTTATTTGAAAACATTCCAAATTTCAACTCAGGCTTCCTGCGGAGCGCTAACGAATTAAAAAAATGTAGGTGACTTATAACCATTTTCACAGTTGTTTCCATTGTATCCAGATTTACAATCACAGCGATGACTTCCTTGAAGATTGACGCAGGTGGCTCCGTTCTTGCACGGGTTGTTGGAACACTCATTTATATCTGTAAAGCATACATAAAGTGTTTCCTTAGCCTTGATTTTTTTTACTATTGTGATTTATTTTGAAGGAGGGTAAATAGTTAGTAGTCTTTTTCTTATTTTTAACAAAGTGGTTGGAGTTACTAATCTAAATAATTTGATTTCATATGGATTACTGCGACTAAAACGAAAAAAATAAAACAAACGAAATGAAACCCATACCTTCGTGTATTTAGACACTCCTAACGTTAAAATCTGGGCGTAGTCCTTGCGCAGTTTTAACAATATTCTACGCGAATTTTCATATTGGCGTGAAATTTGCCAAAGGAAAGTCTTGTGAAAAAAGTCTAAGTAACAAAAGAAGTACCATCCTGAATAAGGAATTCTAACCATTCTCACAGTTGTTTCCATTGTATCCAGATTTACAATCACAGCGGTAACTTCCCTGAAGGTTGACGCAGGTGGCTCCGTTCTTGCACGGGCTGTTGGAGCACTCGTTTATATCTATATATATTTAAATAAAACGTTCCTTCTTTTCCGGTTTTATTCAATCAGTTTTAATCTTACTATTTTGATTACAGATGGATCACGGCGACTAAAATAGAAAAAAAGATTGAAAAAAAAACACAAGAAAAACCCGTATGTGCGGGTACGTAGGCACTCCTAACGTTATATCATGGGCCCAGTTTTCGTGCAGTTTTCCTACGTATTCTACGCAATTTTTCATAAGGTTGTGAAATTTGCAAAAAGAACGTTATGTGAAAAGCAATTAAAAAAGATTCAAAATTTTAAACTTAGGCTTCCTGTGAAGCGTCTGAACCTTAAATAAACAGACTGAAAAGTACTAGAAAACTTATAAACAATTTCTTACCATTTTCGCAGTTGTTTCCATTGTATCCAGATTTACAATCACAGCGGTAACTTCCCTGAAGGTTGACGCAGGTGGCTCCGTTCTTGCACGGGTTGTTGGAGCACTCGTTTATATCTGTAATATATAAATCAAACAATTCTTCCTTTTGGTTTATTCTTATAATTTTGAAATAGGAGAAAATATAACGTAGAATATGCTGTAAAAAAATTATTGTCGAAATTATTATATCAATATTTTGTTTGTAAATGTATTGCAGCGACTAAAATGAAAAGCAAAAACGAAAAAACAAGAGATAAACCCGCATCCATTCTACCTAGGTGCTTCTGACGTTAAAAAATCTGGGCCCAGGTCTTTTGCAGCTCTCCCCAACATTCTCCGCAAAATTTCATATACATTTAAGTAGGTCCAGTCCATTAATAGATCCGCTAATCAGACAACCAATAAATCTTTCGAAAGATTTTCTTTTGGATATTTTGAAAAAATATGTTTAGTATCATGGTAGCATTTAGAAAGGTTTTTTGTGCTCTAAAACAATGAGCAACAAGGCCGCGAAAGGTTTGAAACGGAAGATTCGTGCCTTCTCCGCTCATCACTTTGCGCCCACAAAACCGTAAACCTCATAATGAACGACCACTAACGCAAGCAAGGCGTTACCACCTTAAAAGCTAGCAAAATACGTGCTTTCTCTACATGTCTCACTCCGACCTCTCCCTAGGTTTTGTTGCTTCCTAAGAAAACTATGGGAACAAAATTGGATGAAAATTGATTAAGAACTTATGAATAAATGTGCGCATAAGTGATCTACTTTAACCTAGAAGACCACCATAATGCTAAGTTATTATCAAAAAGAAACATTTCTATAGAATATTTTACCATTCTCGCACTTGTTCCCATTATATCCAGATTTACAGTCACATCGATAGCTTCCCTGTAGATTTACACACGTTGCTCCGTTTTGACACGGACTGTTAGTGCACTCATTGATGTCTGCAAGGAAACAAATTAAGTCATTCAATTTACAGCTGTAGTCCGAGTGGAGTAAAGTTCCTTCCGTTAAACTCTGTAAAACAGCGTCGTCCAGGTCGGTTTTCATTGGTGCATCGTTTAGTTAGATATTTTGATACATTTTTACAAATCTACTGGAGTTACTTATCTAAATAATTTTGATTGCAAATGAATTACAGCTACTAAAATGAAAAATAAATATGAAAAACACGAGATGAAAGTCATGTCTGCCTGTACATAGGCGCTTTTAACGTTAAAATCTGGGCCCAGTCTTTGGGCGGCTTTCACAAGCACAAAAACGAATTCATATTCGCGTGAAATTCTCTAAATGAAAGACTTGTGACTTGCATTTGAGAACGTTCCAAATTTCAATTCAGGTTTCCCGCGAAGTGCTTGAGTAACAAAAGAAATGTAAATTTGAAGAAACAGACTCAGAAGTAATTTAAAAAATGTAGGTGACTTATAACCATTTTCACAATTGTTTCCATCGTATCCAGATTTACAATCACAGCGATGACTTCCCTGAAGATTGACGCAGGTGGCTCCGTTCTTGCACGGACTGTTGGAGCATTCGTTTATATCTGCAATATATAATTTAAGCGTTTCCTTAACCTTAGTTAGTTTGACTATTGTGATTTATTTTGAAGAAGAGTAAATAGCTAGGATAATATTTGTCTTAGTATACGTAGTTTAAAATAGTTTATTAGGTATAGATAAAAAGCGAAAACTCTTTGAACGTTCTATAGAACTACACCTTGATCGCACTGGGCTCCAGAATAACCAGGTTTACAAGTACATTGATAACCTTCCTCGACATTGCTGCAGGTAGCTCCATTCTTGCATGGATTTTGTTCACAATAATCTCTAGCTGAAAATAAAATGTGTCATTTTTCGCGGCTGTTGTTCTTGTTCAAATGACATGAGTTGTAAATGGAATAGAGTGAAAACTTACAAATATTCAATTCTTATCATGGGCACTTGTATAGAGCACAACACTAAGCGAAACATGTCGAAAAGAGCTTTAACAACTTTGTAAAAATGAACCAGTGAAGTTTCTATAAGCTTAATTGAGGGGTTTCTCGAATAATTTTAATAGGTTACGAAACTCAGTTTGCAATTTGTAGTTTTGCAATCGCCATGGATATAAGAATTAAGTTTTCCCCCTCCATTTCCCCCTGCCCCCTCCAAAAACAACCTTGTTGTTACAACATAAATAACAGCTTTTGACATCCAAATGCAAACAATTCAGAGAGGGTAACACTTCCGTAGAGCCATTAAGCTATTAGCAAGATGTGAACTTCCATCTGTAAGACTGTACCTGAACACCCATACACCTCTACCCTCATTGATATGTGGCTTTTCCAGGAGACCGGGCGGAACCGGATAAAACGTGTCAGTTTTGGTGGATTTAGTGAATGATACACGACAGTACTTCGGTCTTTGTTTGCAACAAACTCCTATAAGAAAAATCCAGGAGAAAGAAAAGCATCACTTATAACTAGGAGGGTAAGCTGGAGTAAGGAGTCTTCTGCTTCAAATATGAAGGTTTATTCACAGCATGGCTGCGGGCAAATTTCAGATTCGAGACAATTGCAAGAACCAGATGATTGAAGAACCAGCGAAAACCAAACTTAACCTTGTAAACCATAATTCCGAGTTTTTTTTTTCATATGATAAGGCTCTGCCTGTGTTGAGCAAATACCAGAACTGGTCTGAAAGCTCTTTTATAAGCAAGAAGATTTCTTACAAACTCGCCAATATCGTTACCACTAATCCTCATCAATCATTTACAATTTGACTGAAAGGTATAATTCAACAATATTCTCGGTGACAGATAGGCCTTGTTCATACATCATTCAACCAAAATAAAAAATGATTAAGTTTTTGCGATGTGTTTCTATGCATGCAGTTTTGTTTCACCTTGGCTACACTCTGCCCTGCCTCCATGTAGTAAGTAAAGGTAGCACCATCATCACTGTACTGTAGCTTGTATTTCGTCACCCACTGGTCATGGTTGGATCTTCCTTGAGTTGCGACAGCCGTCACTTTGAGCAACGCACCTAGATCAATTTGAAGCCATTGATTGGCATTATTGTGTTTAGCTGACCAGCCTCCTTGCTTCCCTGGAGGTGGTAAGTAGTGAAGTCTTCCCTGAATGGCGGCATGGTTGAGGTCCCATTCCGAGGAGGCTTTCACTTGTCCATTGGGAATTGCATAACTTGCCATGCCAAGAGCTTCTCCACAAGCTAATTAGCATTGAGGCAAAAAACAAACAAACACACAAGCAAATGAGAAAGGAAATAGCTTATGCTAAAAATATGTGTTAGTAATAGAAAATGTAAACTCCTTTCTGTAAAACTGTACCTGAACACCCATACACCTCTACCCTCATTGATATGTGGCTTTTCCAGGCGACCGGGCGGAACCGGATGAAACGTGTCACTTTTGGTGGATTTAGTGAATGATACACAATGGTACTCCGGTCTTTGTTTGCAGCAAACTCCTATAAGAAAAATCCAGGAAAAAGAAAAACACCACTTATGACTAAGAGGGTATGCTAGAGTAAGGAGTCCTCTGCTTCAAATATGAAGGTTTATTCACAGCATGGCTGCGGGCAAATTTCAGATTCGAGACGATTGCAAGAACCAGATGATTGAAGAACCAGCGAAAACCAAACTTACCCGTGTAAACCATAATTCCGAGTTTTTATTTCATATGATAAGGCTCTGCCTGTGTTGAGCAAATACCAGAACTGGTCTGAAAGCTCTTTTATAAGCAAGAAGATTTCTCACAAACTCGCCAATCTCGTTACCAATAATCCTCATCAATCATTTACAATTTGACTGAAAGGAATAATTCAACAAAATTCTCGGTGACCGATAGGCCCTGTTCATACATCATTCAACCAAATAAAAAATAATTAAGTTTTTGCGATGTGTTTCTATGCATGCAGTTTTGTTTCACCTTGGCTACACTCTGCCCTGCCTCCATGTAGTAAGTAAAGGTAGCACCATCATCACTGTACTGTAGCTGGTATTTCGTCACCCACTGGTCATAGTTGGATCTTCCTTGAGTTGCGACAGCCGTCACTTTGAGCAACGCACCTAGATCAATTTGAAGCCATTGATTGGCATTATTGTGTTTAGCTGACCAGCCTCCTTGCTTCCCTGGAGGTGGTAAGTAGTGAAGTCTTCCCTGAATGGCGGCATGGTTGGGGTCCCATTCCGAAGAGGCTTTCACTTGTCCATTGGGAATTGCATAACTTGCCATGCCAAGAGCTTCTCCACAAGCTAATTAGCATTGATCCAAAACAAAAAAACAAACAAAGACACAAGCAAATGAGAAAGGAAATAGCTTATGCTAAAAATATGTGTTAGTAATAGAAAATGTAAACTCCTTTCTGTAAAACTGTACCTGAACACCCATACACCTCTACCCTCATTGATATGTGGCTTTTCCAGGCGACCGGGCGGAACCGGATGAAACGTGTCACTTTTGGTGGATTTAGTGAATGATACACAATGGTACTCCGGTCTTTGTTTGCAGCAAACTCCTATAAGAAAAATCCAGGAAAAAGAAAAAACACCACTTATAACTAAGAGGGTATGCTGGAGTAAGGAGTCCTCTGCTTCAAATATGAAGGTTTATTCACAGCAAGGCTGCGGGCAAATTTCAGATTCGAGACAATTGCAAGAACCAGATGATTGAAGAACCAGCGAAAACCAAACTTACCCTTGTAAACCATAATTCCGAGTTTTTTTTTTTCATATGATAAGGCTCTGCCTGTGTTGAGCAAATACCAGAACTGGTCCGAAAGCTCTTTTACAAGCAAGAAGATTTCTTACAAACTCGCCAATCTCGTTACCAATAATCCTCATCAATCATTTACAATTTGACTGAAAGGAATAATTCAACAAAATTCTCGGTGACAGATAGGCCCTGTTCATACATCATTCAACCAAAATAAAAAATGATTAAGTTTTTTCGATGTGTTTCTATGCATGCAGTTTTGTTTCACCTTGGCTACACTCTGCCCTGCCTCCATGTAGTAAGTAAAGGTAGCACCATCATCACTGTACTGAAGCTTGTATTTCGTCACCCACTGGTCATAGTTGGATCTTCCTTGAGTTGCGACAGCCGTCACTTTGAGCAACGCACCTAGATCAATTTGAAGCCATTGATTGGCATTATTGTGTTTAGCTGACCAGCCTCCTTGCTTCCCTGGAGGTGGTAAGTAGTGAAGTCTTCCCTGAATGGCGGCATGGTTGGGGTCCCATTCCGAAGAGGCTTTCACTTGTCCATTGGGAATTGCATAACTTGCCATGCCAAGAGCTTCTCCACAAGCTAATTAGCATTGATCCAAAACAAAAAAACAAACAAAGACACAAGCAAATGAGAAAGGAAATAGCTTATGCTAAAAATATGTGTTAATAATAGAAAATGTAAACTCCTTTCTGTAAAACTGTACCTGAACACCCATACACCTCTACCCTCATTGATATGTGGCTTTTCCAGGCGACCGGGCGGAATCGAATAAAATGTGTCGTTTTTGGCGGATTTAGCGAATGATACACAACAGTATTCCGGTCTTTGTTTGCAACAAATTCCTATATATAAAAAATACAGGAAAAGGAAATACATTACTTTACACTAAGAAGACATGATGACAACAAAATTCTTGGTAGGCAGTTAGGCTCTGTTCAAATAAAATTCGACCAAAATAAAGAAAGGATTAAGTTTGTGTGATTTATTTCTATACATGCAGTTTGTTTCACCTTGGCTACATTCTGCCCTGCCTCCATGTAGTAAGTAAAGGTAGCACCATCATCACTGTACTGTAGCTTGTATTTCGTCACCCACTGGTCATAGTTGGATCTTCCTTGAGTTGCGACAGCCGTCACTCTGAACAACGCACCCAGATCAATTTGAAGCCATTGATTGGCATTATTGTGTTTAGCTGACCAGCCTCCTTGCTTCCCTGGAGGGGGTAAGTAGTGAAGTCTTCCCTGAATGGCGGCATGGTTGGGGTCCCATTCCGAGGAGGCTTTCACTTGTCCGTTGGGAATTGCATAACTTGCCATGCCAAGAGCTTTTCCACAAGCTTATTAGAATTAAGCCAGAAAAACAAAAACAGAAAAAAGGCAACCAAACAAATGAATAGATGAGTAAAGATGAATAAATATGAAAAGAAAGGAAAAGAAATAACTAACGTGAAACATATTCTCAATAGTAGAAAGCAGTCACCCTCTTGTAGCACAGTGACACTGTATTAAGAGAAAAGCTAGTAAAGTTCTGCAGATGAATCTTTTTCAGATATTATCTTTTTCCACTTCAGTGCCTTTTACCATGTCTAAAAAAACTTTAGGAAATCAACTCACGATATAAATGAGTGGAAAACATGCTTAAAATGAGATGAGCCGAAAAAAGACATTTTTCTTATACTACCAAACCCTTTCTGGAGATGTGACAGGCCTTCAACTGCTCTGCATCTTATCGCGACTAAAAACAATAAATTTAATGCCCCTAACCTGGTTTGGTTAGACTAAAGATTTTTTTCTTAAAGTTACTGTGTAGGATAGATGAAAATCAACACTCAAGCTTAGGATGCCTTGCTTCAAGTGTTGAGTGCTATCTTCACATTCTTCGCTAACTGTCGATAATGTCTTGCATTATTTCCCTTGGAAAGGCGATTTGTATTATTTCATCGATCATGAACGATTTATGAGCCTTTGAATTCAATCTGTTTAGAAATAAAATGTTAAATAAGAATTAAATTTCCTTATTTTCATAAAAAATGTACTACACCATGGAAAGTCTGTCCGTATGGTATTTTACGCACTCGTAGGTTTGTAGCAGAAGTCTCATTCGTTTGATTTTCGAAATCAACTCGTGCTTAAATATCACACGGACAGCCTATCCATGAAGTATTCCATATTTACGCCACATGTACTTTGCATCATGCATTTACCGGAGGGCTTATTACATATCACAGTACCTGAGCAACCATACAACTCGACTCTCATTGAGATATGCCCCGACCAAGTCACTGGTCGAAAACGGATATAACGAGCCGTAACTGGTGCGTTAAGGAAATGATAGACAACTGTATTCCGGTCCGTGTTTCCAGAAAAAACCTAAAAGAGAAGGATCGGAAGAGCATCTCTTCATTTAAAAATAAATAGCGATAAATACAGGGACTGAGAGTGCTGTTGAACTAGTCGCGGAAACGAAGTTGTGCAGCAGATTAGGGGTAGGAATGATGATCATTCAAGGAAAATAGCGAAAATATAAAGGTTAAAAGCGGAGGATAAATTCGTAAGAGTAAGAGAGAAACTAAAGCAACCCTATGAATCAACTTGAATGTCTTATTCTTTTTTACCATGTCTGCAGTTTGTCCAGGTTCTTTGTAGTAGGTGAAGGTGACACCATCATTACTGTATTGCAGCTTGTACTTCGTTACCCACTGGTCATAGTTGTATCTTCCTTGAGTTGCGACACCCGTTACTTTGATGAACGCACTTCCCAGATCAACTTGAAGCCACTGATTTATATTGTTATGTCGTGCTGACCATGCTCCTTGTTTGCCGCGAGGTGGTTTGTAATGGAGTCGTCCTTGAATGGCGGCATGGTTGGAGTCCCATTCCGAAGATGCTCGCACTTTTCCGTTGGGTATTCCATAATTTTCCATCCCAAGTGCCTTCTGACAATCTAAAATGTTTAAATGCGATTAAACTCAATTGTCCTGGAAAATCGATGATTTTGAGTTTCACCATGCACTCATCCGTGGCAAATACTCTGCAGCAACAAAATGAAAGTCTCATTTGAAATCAAATGTTGCGCGGGAATAGCTTTTTTTTTTTTTACCTGAGAGAGGAATTCTTATGGATATCTCACTCGGTCCTTTGTATCTAGGGTGCTGATCCTGTGTGACCCATGGGGGCTTATTTGCATCCGGGGTGCCAATCAGAGCATAAGATCCTCGGAATTCCACCAGGATAGGATCAATAGCACCAACCCTTCTGAGAGAGTCTAAAGCTACTCCAACGTGCGAGGCGGCCGAATCCTGCACGGCGACCAGGACTATTTTACTGAAAAGAAAAGCAAAAACACGCAATGACTGAAAAACAAAGAATAAGTACAAAAACGCTGTTTTTCAGCCGAGAATGTTGGTAAAATATGTTTGCATCAGAGAGGTTTGAATACTAAACAAGAAATATCACATGGCTTAAGGATAGCACACTACTCTTTGATAAATGTATGGGATTTAAAAGATGTTAAAGCTGTTATTGTCGGCTTTCAAGTTACAGCGATAGCCAATATCAAAAAATAAAACTAAACTTAAGCCTAAAAACTGCTTACTCTGCTCCCTGGGCGTTGAGAAAATCCTTTAGACGAGTGCCCGCTGACCCATCTCCATGAGTATCAAAGGCTTCTGATTTAAGCACTCTAGCTGCATAAAGATAAAAGAAACTGGCATCATTCCTGTCGCAAAGAAACAGGTACATGCAGTGGAGAAACGTGACAATTAACAGAAAAATGATAAGTCAACTTTTTTATTCTATGAGTTATTTCATCCTGATTAATCATTGCCACTTTATCACATTCATTTTGAAACCGCACAATCTAATCACCTCTATCCCCGAGTCTGGCCAATGCCAAAGCATAGTTTTAACAACAAATATTACGAACTTTGTCATAAAATCTAAATATATCTAGTATATCTATACTAATATATCTAGATTATAACTATCCAAGCTCTTTTTCCGTTTTAATGTAGTGGTTTTTACCTGTTTTCAGGTCCACAGTAACAACGTTATGTCCTCTACGATGAAGGGAGTGGTCCTTTCCATCGACTTTAATGTAAGCGATTCCGCACGTGTCTGGTTTTTTATTTGGATCATTGCAACCTTCGCTGCGGATATCGATATCTACAAAAGGATCTGTAAACAAACCGACAAGAGTAGGTCACTCGTTAGCAACGAAGGCCACCCTCAGTCTGTCTTAGGTTGGTAAGAGTAAGATAAACCTGCACCAGTCACAAACAAAATAGCAAATTAACATTTCAGACCATATCTGACGAAACAAAATAGTTCTCAATTGAAAAACAATCAGTTACACCAATTTAAACGTTCTTATAGAACTGATGAACGACAAGTTCTGAAATTTAATGATACATATTTTTCTTACGATAGGGTTCCAAAGGTCTTTTTAGTTTCTTTCATTTGTAAATAACACATTTAAAATACAGAGCAATCTCTTATCTGTCAATAACACATTTAAAATACAGAGCTTAGGGCAGACTGTAAAGGGTACACAGCTTGTCCATGGCGCTCTTTGTAAATCGTACAGCTGTGACAATCGGCTGAAGCATTCATCGAGAAATTGAGAGAATTGTTCAATGTCGTTCTTCAAGAAACAAAGAAAAGACAGCTCTCCTTAAGTTCGCAATAGTAGGGAGTTTATGAGCAATCCTCGCATCATTCCATGAAAAGCTCTTTCTATCTCCCGTACAAATATATCGCACAGGTTACTTTTTATTTCACTGGATAAAACTTATCAAATATATGTATAACGTACTCTTCGTGAGTGGAACAGTGGTGGAGATCACACTTGGTCCTTTGCCACCTTTGCTCTGTACTTGTTGAACATACGATGGCTTCTTCTCCCTCGAGTATCCAACAAGAGCATATGAACCTCTGTGGTCAAGAAAGCCCAGATCGTAGCCCCCAATTCTCATCAGAGCATCAAAAGCTGGTTTAAGATATCTTGAGCCCTCGTCTTGGACTGCAATCAGGATTATTTTGCTAAAATGGAAAAATTTCACACCGCAAAGGTGAGCACGTCAGTGAAATTGTATGGTATCAATGAGGTAAGTGTTCAAGGTCGCATACCACTTAAATCCAGAGTTTCACACTCACTATGAAACATTCAAATGATAGAAAATGAAAACTTTGACTTAAAAAGGATTTGAAGTAGCTTTCTGGTCCTTTTATTACTTTGCCACTAAGATTAACATTTTCACTGATCGGGTAATCTGGTCAAGGACTATTTTCTCATTAAAGCAGTGGCAACTCAAGGTCGGTTTCCTTGTTCGTCTGCCTTGTTGTGTTCAAATCTTGCGCCAAATGACAGTTGTGTGTCGCACCAATTTTTTTTAAGATTGGTTGTACTTGCCTGCGTCTGACATCTGAGGTAAATGCTTATCAGCCTTTCAAGCCAACATTTAGGCCCGATATCTTTCAATTTCTCCCTAATGTCAGGAGCCCATTACTCCTGCTAATGTATAATGGATGAGATTTTAGGACCACTTGTTTATATTTGTGACCCTCCATGGGATTTCAGGGAATAAGGTGAACATACGCTCACGGTACACTAACACGCTAAAACAAAAGAACGAGCTTTTGACACGTTAGCTGCGTGTAAGTTGCTTGCCTCATTAACTCCGCAGCCATTGTCTTGCTTCGCACGGTAGAAACAAAGGAACTTGTTAAGATATTGCTAGCAACTTTGCACGATATAACACGGTGACCGTGCCAATTTTAGAACATGCTTCTTAAAGTTAAACTTGCTTTCGATTTGTGCAAGAAGTACGTCCTAAGCTTTAAGGCTTTTTAGCTCACCGATGCGCCCGGCCGATATACGATACTCAGTATCCAGTGCAACTAATTCGCCAAACGTAAAGGAATATTTCGACTTGTTGTCCATCAAGCTTCGTTTTGCGCCGGCTAACTAGCGGCTCTTTATTTAAGAAATGCCGGTTTACTTAGAGTGACGAACAGCGACCGCTTAGGGGACAAGGAGTCGGATATCTGTTGCGAAATGATTCACAAAGATCCGGTACTGGGCTTATTAACTTCGTGAAGCGAAAAGGATTTATATATTACAAGGTAAGAATTAAGTTATAAAAAAGAAATTCATGTGTTCAAACTGAGCTCCTCTGGACCTTGTGAAACACTTCGTGCTCACTGAATTCCCGGTGAAAATCCTGGGGGAAAGAGCCGTGATTTGCCGTGAATGTTTCCTTTTTTATCACAACTTTCGGAGAGGACAGAAGGTCTTCATTTTCTCCTATATTTTTTAAGTAATACACTGTACAAACACCATTCCCACTAAGAAGCTGACAAACACAAGTAACAATGTAAGCTGGGTTATACAAGGCAAGCTAGCGTATTAAGGAACAAAGGAACCTATCGTGTTAAAAAAGAAAATCTAGCGTGTTAGAGAAACAGAGCTCTACCGTGTTAGCCCGATATGACAAAGGCTACAACATGCTTTCTAAAATCAATTGTTTTTATGCGCATATTTGCATGGTAAGCGTGTCATGCCATTAGCGTGCGAGCGTGTCATAACGTGCTTTGTGCGTGCGTTCACCTTATTCCCTGAAATCCCGTAGAGGGTCACATTAATGATAATAGATTCTGCGTAAAATTTCAAGATCTGGCCCATGTTAAATATCATTTTTAAAGGCAAAAAGATGAAAGTTTGTAGGACAAGCTAGTGCCAAGAGGATATCAACTGATATTCTCTTGCTGGTACTTACTCTCCAGCGATCCCGTTAAGAAAGTCTTTCAACTGGTTTGCAGCGACAGTACTTCCATGAGTATCGAAACTGACGGAGTGTTCCACAATTCCTGCATGGAACATTGTTTTTTTTTTGTATTTAACGGAGTAAAAGACAAAAAGGATTTTATTTCATACGTATATGGTGCTTTTTTGTATTGCTGTGCAATAATGTCTATTTTCGATCGATTATTTTTTCTCATTTGACTCGCTGCAAAAAATCAGTTCTTCTAACTACTCATTTGTAGTCTATTTCTTTTTTCCAAATTTCAAATTTTCGATGTTATTTGCACTTAAAAAACACTATTTAAGTCCTTTACCTGTTACAGCATCCACGACAACAACATTATGCCCTCTCTTTTTCTTGGAGTGTTCAACGTCATTCACCTTAATGTATGCTCTGCCGCATGTATTTGGCGTTCTTCCCGGATCATTGCAGCCTTCGCTACGGATGTCTATTCTTATCGAAGAAACTGTCAAACAACAAGAAAACAGACGATGAAACAATTCTTTGCATCGGTAAAGATAGAAGCGGTGAACTTTCTCCGAGTGACGGGTTATTCTAACAATAATTTACTTCGTCTCAGTTTTGCGCCAATTGGAGTACTACATGGGATAAGTGGAACAAAGCTGAATGAATTGAATGCTGCGTAAACGTGTTTGAGTGAAGAGGGCCCTTGCCCAGTCATATTTGTTCTCTGACTCTAAAGAATGGGGCTTAGAACTTGGATTAACGACTTTTTGACTGAGAAACTCAGTCATGGCATCGTTGAAAATGTAAAAGAAAGTTTGTGAAACAATGTACGTTTAAGCAAAGTTACCGTCTGGTACAGCTCTACGCCCTCGCGAAAGAATGCCTGAAATAGATAACAAAAGAATCAAACCAGATGGATTTTAAATGTAATTAGCAACCATTTACCGAAATTGAGGCAACTAGCGGTGGATATTTACCTCGCCGCTTCTAGATAAATATTCGTTTCAGTGAAGACCAAAACAGTGATATAGTATAGCACACCAAGACGGTTTTTACTCATTTATTCCTGCAACAATAAAAATATTTTCGAGCGCAAATTCCGCGCTTGTTGCTCCTAGGTAAATGGCAAAGGATATTCGTAGTTTGAGAAGCCAATCAGAGCGCGCTTTCAAAACCATTTACTGTTTCCGTATATATTAATGGTGGATAAACCTCTTTGCTAAGGTGATATATCAGTAGATAATTGCCGGAAGTAGGAGAAAACAAGTGTTTTTGCGGTGAAACCTCTAGAACGACTGTGAATCACCAGACGTGCGCTATTTGTTTGAGCCTTTTTTTCAGATCATAGCATCGTTTAACGAGATGTTTGTGCTTATCAACCAGCGCAAAAAGCAACAACAACCAACAACAACAAAAAGTCAAATTAGGAATTACAAAACACCCAAAGCACTTTAAATGCGAGTTTTTGATTTTCGTTTGACTTTTATGTTGACTCTTGAAATTTCCCCCCTAGATAACTTAAAACGATTACAAAAGAACAAAATAGCCTTAAACAGCTCATCTACACATTCACGAGTTTCCGCGTCTTTCAAAATTCCCTATTGTAAAGTATACAACAGAATGGGCAAACAACGTTAATTATAACAATATAACAACTTGTCTTACGAGGTTTCAAGAAAGAACGCCCGGTAGGTGGTTTTCCTACAAATTACGAAAAAACGAATTTACAGGATGAACACTCGATTGAATTCCTTTTAAAGGGAAAAAATTAAGCATCATAAACCTGAATTAGTTAGATGCACTGCAGGTAAACTTATTTTAACAACTACTTCTTAAGTAGGAAAGATTTCCGCATAACTCCATCTTATTCTTAAACAAAAAGTTCGTCCTTAAGGCAAACAAATTTATTCCCCATGGTGTTTTTATTCAAGAAAACTCCAAATGTAGCTGGGGTAGGGCTATATGGAAATCTTGCCCTTAAATATCAACTTTACATTTTACGTAACAAATACCAAATAATTATTTTTAAAAAAATAGTAAAGAGTAGATTATTTAGAGCAGAGAGTAGGACAAGATTTCCGTATAACGCTGTACTGATATTTAACTAAGGCAATCCATTGTTCACGCTACTTTTTTAAAATTTCTCTATCCAATAACTGTGGGCAGAATGAGGCATGAGGCCGTGCGGACATTTTACCAACAGTAGAGTTAGTTAAGACTAAAAATTTTACCTTCGAGTGTAGTGAAAACATCTGAAATTATCAGAGCAACCAACGAGGCAAAGAGCAGCTTCATTATACGTTCGACAACACCTATGTATAGCACAGAAGAGAATGCAGTTGCACTAACACATATTGTATCTGAAATGGAGGGGTGTAAGTGTAGGTAATGGGGAAGTATTTTCATATTGATCAATTTTTCTGCCTGCTTGTTCTGACAAAACTTTGAAAAACTGTACGATGTGATTGGTTCCGGAAAACTTTGGAATTTTTTCATCCTGTAAATGAATCCAGACTCAGTTGTTAACACTGATCTTCATTCCTCGAAATGGCAATTTTAAAATTATTTTTGATGGATATTTTATCCCGTCGATAGGTATAATGTAAACTTTTAACAGTTTCTAGCATTCGATTGACGAAAGAATCTTCAGTTCAGGACCTTAGTAAGAGTTTTGGATTGAAAATTTGCAACAGTGCGCACGTTTCTCAAAAATTGTGAAATAGTGGGCGTGACATGGCAATCGCTTTTACTATGCTAATTTTATAGGGAAATCTCATTATTTAACAGTTTTTGGGGACGGTTTTGGAAATTACTCGATCGATTTTCCCAAAAGGTTAAGATTTTCTTATTTGAGATAAAGCCTGGCTACTTAGTTAATTTCAACAAATGAATAATATTGCTAAGTTTAAAGTTGATTTAACTTAAAAATACCTGCGAAAAACAAATATAATCTATCGCATAGGACTTGATTTAAAACTCTCTCCGTAAACAGTATTATTTCGCGGCAGATAAATCTACTGTAAACTTAGGGGCATCATTGTCTTTAAACTGTTGAATTCTGTTTGTAAATTTTAACTGATCAATATTGAGGCTACACCTCACAAAAAAATTAAACAGAAGCGCTCCTAATTTTTTTAGCAATCTACAGAAATTCGATAGATGATTTCATTATTCGAATAACTTTGTTGAGATATGGGATATTGATCAAATGAAGCCTTTAAGTGCTACTGTGGTTCTTTCTTTATTCACTCCGAGCTTTCGCCGTTCTACGGCATCATCAGGGAGGACGATAAAATATATGCGCTGTGTTATTGTTGAGATAATTATCGCAAAGGATAAATTGTCCATTTTCCATCACATGCAGATATGTAGAGGTAACTTTTAAAAATAATTTTGAAATTGATTTCGACGGATTTAAAAAAGTAAGTTATAAAAAATCCCATCCTTTTACTCGGAGTTAGATAACTTTAGAATAAACAAATAGAATAGCGCAGAGGTAATAGTGCAAATTAAACCTAATTTTTTTTGTTATAATTGCTATTTTTTATCTCTGTCATTTGTTCGGTTATTATTATTAGGGCTTCGAGTTCCAACTTTAATAAAATAATTGATATTAAAGACAGCTTCATTGCTCACATTTCTACACAAAGTACATTTAATTGCTGATTGTTTTAGAGTAGTTAAAAACAGTGAAGAAAATGGAACTTAAGTGCTAAAATTCACACGATTTCGCATTGTGAGCACCTATCTTTAAGATGTATTCTTACTTTTGGATTGGATTTAAATTAGAAAAAAAAACCTGAGATCAATTACCTTTCCTGCTTCTCTATGAAGTGTATTATCGATTCTTTCCTCGGAAAAACGTCCAACAGCCCGTCTAGTACTTTCTTCAAGTGTGCGGCTTAAGAAAATACTGTGTAATTTGAATTGAGAGTGTCTGATTTACATAGTCCAACAACTAAATAAATATCTAAAAACAAAATTAATTTAACATCAGCTGTTTGTTTTTGCGTTAAAAGATTTTTATACATTGAATCACAACTGCAATTTGGAATGCGCTAAGCAGAAAATCATAGAATTCTCTTTTAGCGCAAAGATCTAGTTAAGTGACATAAATTTTTTGATCTCTGTGGATTACGCTCTTCTTTGAGCACGTGTCATCAGGGAGTTACAAGGAAATGAATTCAGAAAGCTGAGGAAACAAGGAATTGGGCTAATTACGACATGTGGTTTTAGCTTTATTTACATTAGAGCAATATCAAGGCCGTCGACACGAAAATGTCAGGGACCTTAAGCAGTCAGGACGGCAACGCCAAGGAAGACCTCGATTAAATAATGAATTTCTGCCATGTGTTTATCGACTCATACAGCGCCACATCTCAACTTCAGCATAACGTATAAAAGAAGAGTTGAGTTCCAAATGGAAATTAAAATAATTTGCCGTCGCGGTTTCGGTTCGCAGACGACGCAAATTGTGGTGATTTCACGTTGTTATTTTGCATAGGACGGCTAAGAAATGTACAAAGTTTTAAAACGCACGTGCTGAGCTATTGTTCTGCCAATCAGATCTTTTGTTTTTCCATGTTCTCGTTGTCTTCGCCGTCGAAGTTTGCTTAAGTTCCCTATTGACCGAAAATCGTGCTCTTTTGCACTTTTACTTTGAATCCACCTGAATACAATGAAGTTCATTTAGTTTTTTGACACAATTAAATTCAACAATCAATCGCTGATGGTTACCTTTGAATAAACTTTGTTATTTCCATTTTATATTTCATGCCTATGGAGTAGCGGCGTGAAAAGAAACTCAGAGAGTGAACATTTCAGAAAAACCTACGCGTTGAAAAATTCATCTAAGTGTTCATCAAGTGTTTATGAGATATTTGTATAAGCAGAGAACCGATTGACATATTCGTTTCCTCTTGCAAGTCGACAAAACGTGAGTGGACTAAAGAAGGAGACTGTCAAAAGATGAGTAGCAAGACAAGTAAGAGAGTTTGATAGATCACAGACCCAAGGGTTTCATACAATGCCCTGCTGTTTAGATTTAAAAAAAAGGTCAAAATCTATCATAACATTTCTGAATTGAATATTGAGTCTGTGAGAGGTTGGCATTGTATTTCTGTCACTCACAAACAGCCTTAGCCCTGAATTACCTCAGACACTTTTTTTTTTCTAACGTTTTCATAAATATAAATCGAATATTAAGCGTCTATATTTTTCCTCCAGTTTTCGCTTTGCGATAAAATTTGAATATGTGCTTACTAGAATTATTTTGCACTTTCTTCTTTGCCTCTGCATTACCACAGTAGGCAGTTTAACACTATATATTCCCAAATTTTCTTCTAATATTGATCAATTCTGCTGGATTTTGCCTTTTTTGCCTTGAGTGTATCATCAGAGGAAGGCCAAGATCTTTATGAAACGGTATTTTCTTGGATGCAATGAATTGTTTGGTATCAATGTTGACTTAATCTGATTAATGTTGACATCGGTTTCGTTCTGAGATTGTCGTCCAGTCTGACCACATGTACGGAATGAAAACGAAATATTTCAACATTTTCTGAAAAATTGCGCAGTGTACAGACACAAGGGTATACGATTATGCGATTTTTTGGTAGAGGAATAAAGTACACTATAAAAGCGTCTGTTCTAGGTGCGCACACCGATTTGCCCAATCATAAAACTAGCAACATACATATAGATATATTGCTTTAGCTGAGCGCTAATGAGCTGAGAGTCAGACAGTTAATTCCCAACAGAAGAAGCAAAATGGGAAATTTAATTTACAACTTTGTTCACGTAAAATATCAAAAAACTAAATAGTCCAATCATAAGGATCTATTAAATTTTGGGACAGAAGGGAAGGAGGAACTTTTCAAATGATCAAAGTATCTGTCCAGAGTAGATTTTGTTCATATTTGTTAGTTCCATTTGTCAAGTTATCTGTTATTTGTTAGATAATAATCTTGTTCTCAAGTTTATGTTGCACTGAATATAACGTCAAAAATGAAGATCAGACGAAATTAATTTAGCTCATGAAGGCACCATGGGCCTTTCCAGGTCTTCTATCATTTTATCGCGAGTTTGAACAACGTAGGTTAGTCAACGCATCAAATTGAGGTAACGCAGTGTGAAATTTTGATTTTAGCTTAAGACGACAAATTGCCACGTGGAAAAAGTGGAAAGATCAAAACGCAAATGATCGTAATTGAATTCAAGCCAGCCTCGGTCCAATTGTGTTTAAGTGCAAAATGAGGGGAAGAAATGAAAAGAAAGAACTAGACTGAAGTTGGCCATCTGAAACAAGTATGATGGAACAGAAAAAAAGCAAGTAACCTTTTGATTTTTATTTACCTTACAATCTTAATGCTTCATACATGTATCTTTGTCTTTTTTGCATTTTTTTGAGATGTATGACGACAGCTGGTTACATGCAATGGATGTCAAACGATATTGGGTTCACATTTGTCGTCCCCTTCGTCAATGACGCCTGAACAAAAACAAAGAAAAAAGATTGGTCACATCAAAAGCAATTACGAATTCAACTTCAAGTTCGAGAGTAAAGAAAACGTGCTTTGAATCATAAATGGGAAACGGAAGAAAGAATGGTACGTTTTAAAACAAACAAAGTATTGTGGATCTTCAATGGATAGGACTTGACTAAGGGATTCCTTCCTTGCACGCATTGTTGGTTGACTCGTTTAGATCTCAAATTACCCACATAAGATAAAACAGGGATTAGTCTCAATTAGAAACGACACAGCAAACAATCTCGATATCGCCTTACTGGCAGTTATTATAAACACACAGCATCTAAAAGATGAAGTTTGCTTACCAAGATTTTTCATTATGCTCTTTGGGCATTACCACTGAGTAAGTTTTTCAAACAAACAATAACATTCTGTTTACGTTAAATGAGTTATCTCTGATATGAATTCATTCCATGATTGTGACAATCATGCAGATTGCCAATTTCATTTTAAAATTACGGAAACTTAGATTTGAAATTAAGGATGTGCTTAGTGACGTTGTGTTAGGCTAAAACGATAGGTTGCTGAGACATTCATCGGAAAAATTAGTTGGAGGTCATATTATCCAAGAAACCTAAAGAAATCCTCGAACTCATGTCAAGATGGTTTCTATCTCGCGTATAAATGTATCGCATAAGGAAAATTTAAGTTTTTCACATACAAGTATTGTTTAATAATTGTATAACGTACTTATCGTAAGTGGAACTGTCATGGAGATCACACTTGGTCCCTGCCCACTCTTGCTCTGTACTTGTTTAACATAAGATGGCCTCTGCTCTCCTGGGTGTCCGACAAGAGCATATGATCCTCTATAGTCAAGAAAGCCCAGATCGTAACCTCCAATTCTTTTCAGAGCGTCAAAAGCTTGTTTGAGATGTATCGAGCCCTCGTCTTGGACTGCAATCAGAATTATTTTGCTGAAAGGGACAAGAAAATTTTGGAAATGTAGCAAATGTTTCACACGGCAAAGGTTAGCTTATCAGTGCAATCGTATCATGTCAAAGAGGTAAGTCTTCAAGATGGCATAGTAAAAACGATTAAATCCAGGGTTTCACTCACTGTTAAACATTTAAACTATAGAAAATGAAAACATGTTCTTTACATGGATTAGAAGTAACGTTCTGGCACCTTTATTACTTTAACTAAAATTAGCCTTTTCATTAAACGGTTAAATTGGTCCGTTTTCTGATTTATAAAACAAGACTAAACTAAACTAAAGCCAAAAAAACTGCTTACTCTGCTTCCTGGGCGTCGAGAAAAACTCCTAAACGATTGCCCGCTGACTCATCCCCATGAGTATCAAAGGCTTCTGATTTAAGCACACTAGCTGCATATAGAGAAAGAAATTGGCATTATTAGACGCGTATTCTCGAGATTTTCACGTTGAATATAATCAATTGAAGAAACCCACACATCCAATGCAAAAACGTGACAATTCACAGAAAAATGATAGGTCAACTTGTTCTATGAGTTATTTTATCGTGATTGATCATTGCCGCTGTATCACATTCATTTTGCAACCGCACAATCTAATCACCTCAATCCCCGAGTCTGGCCAGAGTTTTAATGACAAAATGACGAACTTTGTCATAAAATCTTTAGATCTCTTCTAGGTTTATAACTATCCAGGCTCTTTTCCTCTTTTAAGTGATGGTTTCTACCTGTTTTCTGGTCCACAATAACAACGTTATGTCCTCTGAGATGACTGGAGTGGTCCTTTCCATCGACTTTAATGTAAGCGATTCCACACGTGTCTAGTGTCTTATTGGGATCATTGCAACCTTCGCTGCGGATATCGATATCTACAAAAGGATCTATAAACAAAACGACAAGAGTAGGTCACTCGTTAGCATCGAAGGTTAATATCAGTCTCTAAGAGGTTTGCAAGCGCAGAATGAATGCTCGCCAATCACCAACGAAAAATCGAAATAAAATTTCAGATCATGTTCGACGAAAAAAAAAATGTCGATGAAAAAACAATCAGCTACACCAATTCACACGTTCATACAGAACTGATAAACGACAAATATCTAATGTTTGATAATACAGGTAATGTGACATTCGCAGTAGGAGCTACTTCCATTCTTTAGCAGTTTTAAAGAAAAAATTCAAAAACATTTTTCCTTGTACAGTCCCGTATCTGTCAATAACCCATTTAAAATACAGAGCTTAAGACGGACTAAGAAGGGTACACAGCATGTTCATGGTGCTCCTCGTACATGGGGCAATTGTGACAATCGGCTGAAGTATTCATCGAGACAACTGTTTTATGATTTTATCCAAGAAAAAAAGAAAAGACAGCTCTCCTTAAGCTTGCAATAGCAAGAAGTTTATGAGCAATCCTCGCATCATTCCATGTCTTTTTACCTTGCGTACAAACATATCACACAGGGGTTACTTGTTATTTCACGGTATAAAACTATCAAATATATGTAAAACGTACTCTTCATGAGTGGAACTGTCATGGAGATCACACTTGGTCCTTGCCCACTCTTGCTCTGTACTTGTTTAACATAAGATGGCTTCTGACGTGCAGGGTGTCCGACAAGAGCATATGATCCTCGGTAGTCAAGAAAGCCCAGATCGTAGCCTCCAACTCTTGTCAAAGCGTCAAAAGCTTGTTTAAGATGTATTGAGCCCTCGTCTTGGACTGCAATTAAGATTATTTTGCTGAAATGGACAAGGAAATTGTGGAAATGTAGCAAATGTTTCACACGGCAAAGGTTAGCTTATCAGCGCAATCGTTCAATGAGGTAAGTGTTCAAGGTCGCATGGTTAATACGATTGCATCCATAGTTTCTCTCTCTGAGAAACACCAAAAACTATAGAAAATGAAATAAAAACTTGTACTTAACATGGATTTGAAGTAACATTTGGTGCCTTTATTACTTTACCACTAAAAGTAACCTTTTCATTGAACGGGTAAACTGGTCCATTTCAGTTCTGATTAAAGCAGTGGCATGTCCACGCTTATTTCCTTGTTCATCTGACTTGTTGTGTTCAAACCTTGCGCCGAATAATCGCACAATTTTTATGATCGAGCGCGTTTGCCTGTGTATGACACCTGAGGCAAATGCTTATCAGCCTTTCATGCCAACTTTTGGGCGGGATCTTTAAAATTTCACCCTCATGAGTTTTGAGTGGAATTTGCAAGACAAGCTTGTGCCGAGAGGATGTCAACTGATATTCTCTTGTTGGTACTTACTCTCCAGTAATCCCGTTAAGAAAGCCTTTCAACTGGTTTCCAGCAGCACCATTTCCATGAGTATCGAAACTGACGGAGTGTTCCACAATTCCTGCATTGAAATTTTTTTTCTCGGTATTTAACGGAATAACAGGCAAAAAGGTTTCTATTTTATGCGTATATAGTTCTTTCTTGCATTATTATGAAATAATATGCCTATTTTCAATTTTTTTTCTCATTTTACACGCTGCAAAAATAAGTTCCTATAACTACTCATTTGTAGTCGATTTTTTTCAAAATTTCATTTTCTCAATGTTATTGGCACTTAAAAAATTTCACCACTTAAGTCCTTTACCTGTTACAGCATCCAGGACAACAACATTATGCCCTCTCTTTTTCTTAGCGTGTTCATTGTCATTCACCTTTATGTAAGCAATGCCACATGTATTTGGCGTTTTTCCCGGATCATTACAGCCTTCGCTGCGGATGTCTATTTTTATAGAAGAACCTGAGAAAAATAGTGGACAGTGCAACAGATTAAATATCTATCTGTATCGGTAAAGGTAGAAGCAAAGAACTTTCTCGAAGTGTCGAATATCTCTACCAACAATTCTTCTAATGACAGTTTTGCACCAATTTGAGTGCTACAAATGGATAAGAGGAATAAAACTGAATCAAAGTGTTCCCCCCCTCCTTGGTCTAGAAGCTGGATACACTTGATGGTGTCTTACCATTTTTATTAGTATCAGAAAAATATTTTCAGTATACGTTAAAAGATGAAGTGAAGGGTGGTACGTTGTGAGCTCAGTAATAAAATAAGGAAGTATATTTTTCAACGTGCCTCCAGCGTTGCGCGAAGTCAAAAATTATGCTATTGCAGTTTTCAAATGTCTCATTTGTTGTGGCCAATGTTTCATTTTATTTTTTTTTCTCCCAAATAGGTCTTATATTTCCTCACCCATTAATTTAACTTATTCTTTTCGCCTTTCCACCAATCATTTTTACACCATTTTTTTTTGCTTTATTTAGATTACACTGCCCATCATATATCATGTTTCACGCCCCTTTTAGCAGCGTGTCTTATTTTGTGTCCGACGAGTGTATTGTGCCTCGTATATTTACCTCGCCGCTTTGAGATAAATACTTGTTTTAGTGAAGACTAAAACAGTAAGATAATACAGTACCCCAAGATTATTTTAACTCCTTTATTTCTTCAACAGCTGAAATATTTACGGGCGCAAATTCCGCGCTTGTTGCTCTGAGGTGAATGGTAAAGGATATTCGTAGTTTGAGCAGTCAATCAGAACTAGCCTTAAACGCTATTTACTTTTTCATTAAATATTAAAGGTGGAAAAACCTCTTTGGTGAGCTGGTATATCGGTAGATGATTTCAGGAAGTGAGAAAAAAAAAACTGTCCTTGTGGTGAGACTTCCAGGGCGACTGTGAATCATCAGACGTGCGCTATATGTTTGAGCCCTTTTTAAATCATAGTATCGTTTAAATAAATGTTTGTGCTTAGAAACTGAAAGAAAAAGCAACAACAACACAACAACAAAAAGAAAAAAATCAAAAAACCTAAAAGCATTTTAAATGTGAATTCTTGTTTTTAGTTTGACTTTTGGTTGACTCTTGAACTTTCTTCCTCTGATAATTAAAAACGATTCACGTCGCTACAGCAGATAATTGCAAAGACAATAATTAAAGAGCAGATTTTTCTTTTGTCTTAAACATGGCAATAAAAAGGCAAGACTGTAAAGCAGAGCTTAAGGCAAACAATTTAAGAAGCAATGTTGTAGATACGATCATGCTCGAGCATGTCATCAACTGACAAATATCATCACCGGGAACGGCTCTAAAAGCTTAGAGCAGTTCATCTACACTATCACGAGTTTCCTTGTCTTTCAAAATTCCCTATAGTAAAATAAAAACAGAGTGGGAAAAAGAAGTTGTTTATAATAATGGAAACAACCCATCTTACAAGGTTTTAAGAAAGACCGTCCGGCAGGTAGGTTTCTTTAAAAATTACAAAGAAAAAAGGGAATCATAGGATGAACATTCGATTAAATGCTCGTACTTGCCTTGTTTAGGAAAAAAAAAGTATCCAAACGTGCATAAGATGTACTGCAGGAAAACTTATTTTAACAATTACTTTGATAGATGGAAAAGTTTTCCGTATAACTTCATCTTATTCTTAATCCTTGAGACAAACAATTTTATTCCCTATAGCTTTTTGAGTAAAAAAAGCTCTGAGCATGATATCAACTATATGTTCTACTTAGCAGCTAAAAAAATGGTAAATAGTAGGTTATTATGAGCTGAGAGAAGGAAAAGATTTCCCTACAAAGTCATGCTATGCTGATGTGCCAATGCCATGCTTTCAAAGACAATCCAGTTTTTGTGCCATTTTTTAAGGTGGGGGGAAAGGAAGGAGGGGCTGTGCGGACATTTTGCCGACGTTGTAATTAGTTAAGACTAGAAATTTTACCTTCAAGTGTGGTGAAAACATCTGCAATTATCAGAGCGACAAACGGGGCAAAGAGCAGCTTCATCATGTGTTTGCTACACCTATATATATTACAAAATAGAGAATACAAATGCACAAATACATAGTTGCTGAATGGGGAGGTGTTAGTGGAAGTTCGTACCAGAGCGTGGATAACTGGGAAAGGAAGGAGGGGCTGTGCGGACATTTTGCCGACGTTGTAATTAGTTAAGACTAGAAATTTTACCTTCAAGTGTGGTGAAAACATCTGCAATTATCAGAGCGACAAACGGGGCAAAGAGCAGCTTCATCATGTGTTTGCTACACCTATATATATTACAAAATAGAGAATACAAATGCACAAATACATAGTTGCTGAATGGGGAGGTGTTAGTGGAAGTTCGTACCAGAGCGTGGATAACTGGGGAAGCGTTTTCATTTTAACGCTTATCATTTTTCCACCTGCTTGTTCGGACAAAATCTCGAAAAACCAGACGTTGTGATTGGTTCCGGAACACTTTGGAATTGTTCACTCCTGTATTGAATCCAGACTCAATCGTTAACACTGATCTTCCTTTCTCACAATGGAAAATTTGAAAAAGTTTACTTAACTCGAGAGGACGTTGTTTGTTTGGAGTTTGGCGATTAAAAACCATTTAACTCACCATGAAATTGTAGCATTATTCAAATTATTTTTATCCCGTTGATAGGTATGACGTTATTTTATAATTACTTTGAGAATACGTGTTAACTTTGAACAGTTTCTGGCATTCGATTTGCGAGACGCGAATCTTAGGTTCAAGACCTTGCTAAGAGTTTTGAATTCAAAATTTGCAACAATGCGCAGGTTTGTCAAAAATTGTACAATAGTAAGCGTGGCATGCAATCGCTACTACTATGCTAATATTATGGGGAAATCCCGTTAAACTGTTTTTAGGGACGGTTTCAGAAATTCTTCGATAGACTTACCCAAAACTTCAGGATTTTCTTATTTGAGATAAGCCTAAGTGCTTAGTGAATTTCAACTAATTAATGATGCTGCTAAATTTATAGTTGATTTGACTTGAAAATTTGTCCAACGAAAAACAAATATAATCTATCGAACAGAGCTTAATTTAAAACTTTTTCCGTATAAAATATTATTTTGCGGCAATTAAATCAACTGTAAACTTAATGGCATCATTATTTTAAAACTGCCGAATTTAATTCATTGATTTCGACTAATTAACCTAGAGGCTACACCTCACAAATTGAGAATTCAGTTAAGGCGCCACCTATTTCATTTGGCAATTTGTTGAGTCTAATTCACAGAAACCCAATTGAAAATTAAAAATTAGAGATGATATCATCATTTAAAGACCTTTGTTGAGACAAAATTACTGCAGAGGATAAAACGTCTTCTTTTTTTCATAACTGCTATTTTTCATCTCATTATTCAGTTATCATTATCTCATTCTGTTCAGTTATCATTATTAAGGCTCCCAGTTCCAAATTTAATAGACACAGTTGATAGTAAAGACAGCTTCAACACCCAAGTTTTTTAAACAGACTACCTTTTTTTTAATTGCTGATTGTTTCAAAGTATTTTATTATAAAAAGTGAAAAAAATTGAACTTCATTGCCAAAATTCAAACGATTTCGCGTTGAGGGCGTCTATAATCGAGAATTATTCTTACTTATTTATTGGATTTAAATTGGAAAAAAAAGCTTAGGTTAAATACCTTTTCTGCTTCTTTATGAAGTATTTTATAGATTCTGTCCTCCAAAAAACGTCCAACAGCTCTTGTGAACTGCTTTTTTAAATTGTACGGCACAAGAAAATACTGCGTAATTTGAATTGTTGGTGTCTGTTTTACACAGTACAACAATTAAATAAATGTTTCAAAAATAAGAATTAATTTAACACCAGCTGTTTGTTTTTGCGTTGACAGATTTTTAGACATTGAATCACAACTGCAATTTGCCCTGCGTTAACAAAGTAATCATAGATTTCTCTTTTAGAGCAAAGATTTCTTTGAAGTGACATTAATTTTTTTGATCTCTGTGGATAACGCTTTTCTTTGAGCTCATGTCATTAAAGTTACAAAGAAATTAATTCGGAAAGCTGAGAAAACAAGGAACTGGGCTAATTTCGACATGTGGTTTTAGCTTTATTTAAATAAGAGCAATGCTAAGGCCGCCGAAATGAAATCGTTCCTGAAATTGTTTGGTATTAATGCTGACTTGAACTGATTAATGTTGACATCGGTTTCGTTCTGAGAGTGTCGTCCAGTCTGACAACATGTACGGAATGAAAACGAAATGTTTTCTAAAACATTGTGTTAGTATACAATCAAAAGAGTACATGATGAAAAATAACAAAAAAAGGTACAAATTCTCAATTTCTTTGGTACAGGAATAAAGCGCACTATAAAAGCGTATGAGCTAGGTATCAAATCATGAAAGTAGCAACATACATATACACATATTGATTCAGCTAAGCGCTAATAAGCTGAGAGTCAGACAGTTAATCCCAAACAGAGGAAGAAAAAGGAGAAATCCGATTTGCAACTTCGTTCACGCAGAATATCAGAATTACGAAATACGCCAATGGTAAGGATCTATTATATTTTGGAACAGGAGGGAAGGGGGAACTTTTCAAATGATAAGTGTCAATCACTAGTTAGATTTCGTTGGTATTTTTTAGTTCTATTTGTCCAACATCAGAGCGAGAAAAGAGAAAATCCGTTAAGTTAGTTAGATAATCAGTTATTTGTTAGATAATCATCTTGTTCTCAAGTTTATGATACACTGAATGTAACCTTTAATCTTTAATCTTTAATCGAGATACTCCTGAAACAGTAATAACTATACCAGGAGGACCTCTACCAAAACCTCAAAAATGACGAACAGACGAGATCGTCTATCATTTCGTCGCGAGTTTGACCAACGTAGGCTGGTCAACACATCGAATTGAGGAAAAGAAGTGTGAACTTTTGGGGTTTGCTAAAGACGACCAATTGCTTCGTGGAAAGAGTGGAAAGATCAAACGGAACTGATCGCAATAGGCCATTTCCGAATTACCTTTTGCCTCTTTTCCAAAACGAGGACTGGTGCTCAATCATTCGTTTGAAATGTGTTTAATTTGCATGTGAATGAAAACTTATAACAATATGAAAGGATCAGCATTAGGACTCGCTTTGAAAATGAGGCCAATGGTAATTTAGAAATTGCCTATTGAATTCTAGCGCCAGCTTCGGTCAAAATGTGTTTAAATGCAAAAGGAAGGGAGGAAATGATAAGAAGAATAGGCCACTTCCGAGTTTACGGGATTCAGTGATATGGTACCGAAATTACGGCGCAAGGACGAGGCTAAGTGCGAAGTCGTTCTCGTTGGTATAAAGAATAAAGTGTTTTGGTGGGGAAAACGAGAGAAAAATTTCTCGAAATTCAGTGTGAGAGAGTAAAAAATTATATTTAGGAGAGAGGCATTCAGCTAAGCTAACTGAAGGCGGCAATTAAAGAAAGATGCAGAGCTGTTCGAGTTATGCAAGAAAGCTGCAGCAATTAAGAAGATCCAACTAGCCGCCTTTGCTGAAGACCGAAAAAAGCTGTTAGAAGAGCAATTACAAACAAGTTAGGGCAAATTTCTAGTTCCAAAAATGTTGGATACTTGGATGCACAACCTCTGTAACTTTCCAGAGTTCTCTTCGGTGTTCACATGCAACCTGGCCAAGCCTGGCCTCAGTTTCTTCCATGTCATCATTTACTTAAAATTTAATCGTTCTTTTTTTCTTTCTGAATCGTAGCAAGGGTTTACTGTAATTAGCGAAACGATCTGAACGAAACGAATTGGAAATCTTTTACTAGCGAAGTCAACTCAAAATCTGTGATTAGCAAAATTGGAGGCTGTAATTTGCGAAGAGAAAATGTGTAATTTACGAAATGAGAATCCGTGCGGTAAACTCCATCGGCTGAGAGGATCGATGAATCGATCAGTTCGTCACTAACGTAGATTGTAAACCCAACGTAGCATATAATCTTAACTATAAATACAATTTGAGCCCCAAGCTACTTTTTTTCTGATTTCATTCCATCTTTGAATATTTTTGTCGTAAAAAAGGGCAATGGTATAAGATAACTTCTATGTTTTCGTGCTGAATATTCAAGTGAATATTTTGCAAAGTACACCACGAAAATTTTCCTTTCGTTCTTTCCCAAGTTGTTATTGCATTCAAGATTACTTATGTAAACCACGCCGGTAGTGAACTGACCGATTCACCCTTCTTGCTGGTGGCCATAAGTTTCTTTTGCACTTCTAGTGTTCTCAATTAAAGATCTACATATTTTCCATTTCGAAAATTAAAGAGTTCATTTAACAATTTACAGGTTTAAATTTAGTTTCGTTTCGTTTTGCAAACTACCGTAAGCCCTCGCTACGATTCAGCAGGGAGTAAACTACGCCAGAACAAGTGAGGCAATGCTGCCTACGGACGTCCAGCGAGAGCTCTGGAACGTTAGAAAAGTGGTACGTCCGAGCATTAAAAATTTTTTTATTGGAAATTTGTCGTCATCTGTTTGTAATTTCTCCCTCAAAAGCTTTTTGCGGTCTTTGGATGTAGAGGCAGTTTTGATCTGCTCCTTGCTTCAGCTTTCTCTCATAAATCAAACTGTTCTAGATTTTTTTCTTTTCCGCCATCACTTAACTTTCAGCCTTTCTAACGAATAATTTTTTAACTCTCCTTCAATGAATTCGAGAAATTTTCACTCGTTTTCTCTACCAAGACACTTCTTTCTGTCGATGAGAGCGACTTCGCAATTAGCTTCGTCCTCATGCCGCTGTTTTTGGATGAAGAGGCAATTTTGATCTGCTCCTTGCTACAGCTTTCTCACATAAATCAAACTGTTCTGGATTTTTTTCTTCTTTTTCCGTCATCACTTTACTTTCAGCCTTTCTAACGAATGATTATTTCACTCTCCGCCAATGAAATTTGAGAAATTTTACCAAGGCACTTCTTTCAATCGATGAGAACGACTTCGCAATTACCCTCGTCCTCACGCCGTACCTTCGTTACTAGATCACTGAACCGCGAGAACTAAGAAGTGGCCCTTTAAATTGAAGTTGACCGCCTGAAACAAGTGTGATGGGGCAGAACGAACACAGGTAACTCTTTGATTTTTATTTACCTATCAATCTGTATTGTTTCATACATATATATTTTTCTCTTTTGCATTACTTGAGATGTACTTTTTGAGACAATGGTTACGGGCTAAGCTAGGTTATCAAACTAAACTTTGCGATTTTTTTGGCAAGTGAATCCAGAAGTCCAAAAGTCCAGTCCAGTCTAATTTTCTGTCTGGTTACATGCAATGGATGTTAAACAGTATAGGGTTCACATTCGTCGTCCCACTCGTCAATGACGCCTGAACAAAAAAAAAAAAAAGGAAAAAGATGGTTGTATCAAAAGTGAACTACGAATTTAACTTCGAGATTAGAAGAAACACGCGAGGAATCATAAATGGGAAACGGAACAATGGATGGACTGACTTAAGGGGATTCCTTCCTTGCACGCATTGTTGGTTGACTCGTTTAGATCTCAAATTACCCAGATGAGATAAAACAAGGATGAGTCTCAATTAGAAACGACACAGCATACAATATCGATATTGCTTGACGGGTAGTTATTTCCACTATCACACATTTGAAATCTGAAGTTCGGTTACCTAGATTTTTATTATACTCTTTAGGCATTGTCATTGATTACGTTTTTCAAACAAACAATAAAATTCTGTTAAATGAATTATCTCTGATATGAATTCATTCCAGGAAAGCAAACAGACTTTATGATTGTGACAGTCAGATTGCCAATTACATTTTAGAATTTCAGCAACTTAGATTTCAAATTAAGGGTATGCTTAGCAACGTTGTGTTAGGCTGAAACGATGGGTTGCTGAGACATTCATCGGAAAAAATAGTGGAGGTCGTATTATCCAAGAAACGTAAAGAAATCCTAGAACACATAAAGGTATCTCATAAGGACAACTTAAACTTTTTACGTACAAATGTTGTCTAACAGTTACATAACCTACTTATCGTAAGTGGAACTGTCATGGAGATCACACTTGGTCCCTGCCCACTCTTGCTCTGTACTTGTGTAACATAAGATGGCTTCTGATCTCCTGGGTGACCGACAAGAGCATATGATCCTCGGTAGTCAAGAAAGCCCAGATCGTAGCCTCCCATTCTTGTCAGAGCATCAAAAGCTGTTTTAACATATTTTGAACCCTCGTCTTGGACTGCAACTAGGACTATCTTACTGAAGTAGAAAAAGAAATTGTTAAATGTACCAAATTTTCATAAATATTTACTAAAGGCTTACAGTTGGATCAGTGCTGATTTTGAAGCTTTCTACTCCTAAAATCAATATGATGATATTCCATGCTATTCTTAACACATTCCTTAAAGAGCTGTCAAGAAAAATAACAACGAAGAGCTTCTTAAGTTGATAATAAAATTCTTTATTCTCGGGACCTTAAAGTGCCATTTAGGGCTGATGTAGTAATGAGGAATTGGATGCTAGTCACTCTTAGGAATTAAAGGCTTAATGTTGTTAAGTCCGAAGTTTCATTCACTGTACGTGAGATACTACAATGTAAAAAAAAAACCTTTACCTAAAAAAAAAAAAAAAAGGATTTGAAGTAACATTCTGGTACATTTATCATTTTACCACTGAGCTTGACCTTTCCGAATGAAAGGGAAAACCAGTCCTAGTTTGTGAGCAAGTGAGCAGCATTTTGGAGTCGATTTGGTTGTTCGTCCGCCTTGTGATGTTCAAATCTTGCGCTGAATAACTGTCGTGATGAGCGCAAATTCTTTTATGTTTAGGTACATTTGTATGGTTAGGAAAACAGAGTGAATGCTTCGTGGTTCTTTTCGTGCTGACATTTCGGCCAGACCTTTTCAACTTTATCTTTTATAAATTTCTTATGAAATTCATAAAAGACTCCCTGTGCAATTCTGAGATTTGGCCCCATTTCAACAAGAAAATTGTGTATGCAGTTTGTAAGACAAACTGATACTTACTCTCCAGAAATCTTGTTAAGAAAGTCTTTCAACTGGTTTCCAGCGTCACTATTTCCATGAGTGTCGAATCTCACGGATTGCTCCACAATTCCTGCATTGAAAAATGTTTTTTTTTTTTTGGTATCGAAAACTACGGAGTCTTGCACACCTCCATAATTGAAAAATTACTTTCGATATTTCTTTGAATTAAAGCCGAGTAATTTAAGAGTTATAAAATGAGTTCCCTTACCTTTACTTCTATTTTCATGAGCAAGAACTCTAATATATCGTTTCATGCATTTTTAATCACTTTAGACACTATTGTAGAATACTGTTTTATTATGCTTCGATAATTCTCCTCACTACAGCTGTGATAGACATAACTTCGTGAAAATGCTTATAAGTAGTCGATCTACTTCTTTTTAACGTTTAATATTATTAAAAAAATACCAGCATTTAAGTACCAACACTGAAGTTCTTTACCTGTTACCGCATCCACGACAACAACATTATGCCCTCTGCCTTGTTTGGCGTGTTCAACGTCATTCACCTTGATGTATGCTCTGCCGCATGTATTTGGCGTTATTTCTGGATCATTACAGCCTTCGCTTCGGATGTCAATTTTTATGGAAGGACCCACTATTCAAACCAAGAGACAAACAAACAGTTTAAATTTCTATTTTAAGTATAAACTAAAAGGGTGGATAGCGTTGAAGGTGCCCTTTGATTGGTTACTCAAACTCCGAAAATCCTTCACAATCAACATCCGAGCAACGCGGCCGGGTTTTCATCCCAAAAATTTAAGCAATAGAGAGGAAAAGGAAAAAGATGGATGTATCAAAAGTGAACTACGAATTTATCTTTTTCGAGATTAGAGGAAACGCGCGAGGAATCATAAATGAGAAACGGGAAAAAAGTATACATCTATCAATAGATGGGACTAACTTATGGGGATTTTCTCCTTGCACGCACTGTTGGTTGACTCGTTTAGATCTTAAATTACCCAGATGAAATATAACAAGGATGAGTCTCAACTAGAAACGACACAGCATACAATATCGATATCGCCTGACGGGTAGTTATTTCCACTATCACACAATGAAATCTGAAGTTCGGTTACCTAGATTTTCATTATGCTCTTTGGGCATTATCATTGATTACATTTTTCAAACAATAACATTCTGTTTACGCTAATAAATTATCTCTGATATGAATTCATTCCAGGAAAGCAAACAGACTTTATGATTGTGACAGTCAGATTGCCAATTACATTTTAGAATTTCAGCAACTTAGATTTCAAATTAAGGGTATGCTTAGCAACGTTGTGTTAGGCTGAAACGATAGGTTGCTGAGACATTCATCGAAAGAAATAGTGGAGGTCGTATTATCCAAGAAACGTAAAGAAATCCTAGAACACGCAAAGGTATCGCATAAGGACAACTTAAACTTTTTACGTACAAATGTTGTCTAACAGTTATATAACCTACTTATCGTAAGTGGAACTGTCATGGAGATCACACTTGGTCCCTGCCCACTCTTGCTCTGTACTTGTGTAACATAAGATGGCTTCTGATCTCCTGGGTGACCGACAAGAGCATATGATCCTCGGTAGTCAAGAAAGCCCAGATCGTAGCCTCCCATTCTTGTCAGAGCATCAAAAGCTGTTTTAACATATTTTGAACCCTCGTCTTGGACTGCAACCAGGACTATCTTACTGAAGTAGAAAAAGAAATTGTTAAATGTACCAAATTTCCATGAACATTTACTAAAGGCTTGTTGTTGATCGGTGCTGATTTTGAAGCTTTCTACCCCTAAAATCAATATGATGATATTCATGCTATTCTTTACACATTCCTTGAAGAGCTGTCAAGAAAAATTTGCTTATCAATCAACTAAGAGCTTCTTAAGTTGATAATAAAATTCTTTTTTCTTGGGGCCTTAAAGTGTCATTTAGAGCTGATATAATAATTAGGAAATAGATGCTAGTCACTCTTAGGAATTAATGCTTAATGTTGTTAAGTCTGGAGTTTCATTCACTGTATGAGTGACACTTCAAAATTAGAAAAGAAAACCTGTACCTGAAAATAGGGATTTTAAGTAATATTCTGGTACATTTATCATTTTACCACTGAGCTTGACCTTTCCCATTGAACGGGAAAACTAGTCCTAGTTTGTGAGCAAGTGAGCAGCATTTTGGAGTCGATTTGGTTGTTCGACCGCCTTGTGATGTTCAAATCTTGCGCCGAATGACTGTCGTGATGAGCGCAACTTCTTTTATGTTCAGGTACGTTTGTATGGTCAGGAAAACCGAGTGAATGCTTTGTGGTTCTTTTCGTGCTCACATTTGGGCCAGACCTTTTCAACTTTATCCCAATGTGTTTGCAAAACTTTCGAACCCCTAGTTTATATTTCTTATAAAATTTATAAAAGACTCCCTGTGCAATTCTGAGATTTGGCCCCATTTCAAAAAAAAATTGTGTTTACATTTTGTAAGACAAACTGATACTTACTCTCCAGAAATCCCGTTAAGAAAAGCTTTCAACTGGTTTCCAGCGTCACTATTTCCATGAGTGTCGAATCTCACGGATTGCTCCACAATTCCTGCATTGAAAAATGCTTTCTTTTTTGGTATCGAAAATCACGGAGTCTTGCACACTTCCATAATTGAAAGATTACTCTCGATTTTCTTGGAATAAAAGCCGAGTAATTTAAGAGCTACAAAATGAGTTCCCTTAACTTTACTTCTATTTTCATTAGCAAGAGTTCAAATATCTCGTTTCATGCATTTTTAGTCACTTTATACACTATTGTAGAATACTGTAGAATATTATTTTATTATACTTCGATAATTCTCCTCACTCCAGCTGTGGTAGACATAACTTCGTAAAAGTGCACATAAGTAGTCAATCTACTTCTTTTCTCCAAATTTTTACGTTTTAGTATTATTAAAAAAAAAAACAGCATTTAAGTACCAACACTGAAGTTCTTTACCTGTTACCGCATCCACGACAACAACATTATGCCCTCTGCCTTGTTTAGCGTGTTCAACGTCATTCACCTTGATGTATGCTCTGCCGCATGTATTTGGCGTTTTTCCTGGATCATTACAGCCTTCGCTTCGGATGTCAATTTTTATGGAAGAGCCTGATAATCAAACCAAGAGACAAACAAACAGTTTAAATTTCTATTTTAATAATAAACTAAAAGAGTGGATAGCGTTGACGGTGCCCTCTGATTGGTTACTCAAACTCTGAAAATCCTTCGCTATTCACATCCGAGCAACGCGGCCGGGATTTCATCCCAAAAATTTAAGCGATAAAGAAACCCAGGGGGTCGTGGAAAATTAGAGAAGTTCTGCAAACCCGCAACACAATTCATATAAAAAATAGAAAACATGTTGGAGAGGAAGAAACAGAGGTTGACTCTATGTCGTGTTATCCTAAAAAGAAAAGGATTAGAATTAAAAATATCTATTTATCTACTTATCTATATACAATGAAATATTATTAGAACTGATTATTAGATGGGAAAAGATTCGAAACAGACTGATCCTTGGTGTTATGTTTGGTAAGCCTCTTTGGGTATATGATATATCATATATATATATATGATGATATAGTGGCCGGACCAGAACTAAGAGAGAACAATCGTCTTTGAAGCGAGATTTCCGGGGCGACTGTGGAATTTTGGGGAAGTTAAGGCGTCCCCCTTTTCTCGAATTATAATAAACACCTATTAAATGGCTCTAAAGAAACAATATACCCTTAATGTATGGCCCGAAGGCAACAGTTACTTTTGTATTCCCGAGAGCCCTGATGTTTCCAGACACGAAGTCGAGGGAAACATCAGGACTCGAGGGAAAAAAAACTAACTAACTAGTTTCCCGAGGGACCATACATTAAGTGCTTTGTTATATATTTAGACTTTCCCCAACAATCATATGGCCAAAACACGCTATAAAATTGCGCAGTTGTTGCGATATAATGCGTGGGCATTATAATAATAATAAAATAAGAAGAGTGAAAAGTTGAGAAATAATTAAGTGTAGCGTAATTTGAGAATGAAAATTTTACCTTGAACTGTGATGAAAATATCTCCAATCATCAGAATGACCAACACGACAAAGAGCGGCTTCATTATTAAGTGTTTGCTACACCTGTAAATTGCACAGTAAAGAATGAAACTGCACAAGTGGTCCTTATTGTCTTTAATGAGAAGGTGTAGACCGCCAACCCTGAGGTGTTAGAGGGCTTCATTGAGCTTTGAATGGTTCGTATCCGAATAAGAGAAAGAAAAGTATGCGCATATTAAAGCCATTATTTTCCTTCTTGTAATTTATTTATCAACCTTAATTTTTTTTCAATTCGATGATTTATTTACAGAAAATCCCACCCTTTGATTAGTTCAAAATTCTTGAGAGAGTATTAGAAATTGCTAAAAAACTACAAGCGATTCCAAAAAAAAAATTAAAAAATAAAGAGAAAAGTCGGTGTATACTTATTAGGGCCTTATACTTATGAAATATGCCGATAAATTATGATATAGCTTTTTGCTTTTTACTGTTACCTACAACGAAGTTACTGCAATTAGAAGTATCTTATCAGCCTGTTCACTGGAGGCTCCCACATCTACTCTTAAGTTGGTTGGTGGACAGCCTCGTAACTCAAACTGTTACACGAAGAGTACTTAAACAGTTAGGGAATTGGAACTTCACTGCCAAAATTCAATCTATTAGTATTTAAGCCTTTTAATATAAGTGGTTTCAATGGGTTTAACCGAAAGCCATATGACGGCCATATATTTCAGCTGTTAGGTGTAAAAACTGACAAATTTAATTTTTCAGTCGTAAATAAGTTAACCGTAGACGTTTCTCTTTTTAACCATATGGGAAAGAAATTAACTGTTAGTCCAAAATTGGTAAAATTTTTAACGTTTAGCCGTAAAAGCCATCACCTTATTGAGACTCTGCGGCTCGTCAAAAAGGACTAATTATTAAAATTTTATCCTGTTTTTCCATTGGGTTAAATTATAGAAAGACCCGTTACACTGAAATACCTTTAGGCGCCTCTTTGAATTGTATTAACTAGTGTTTCCTCGAAAAAGCTTTCAACAGCTCTTACCCGTTACTGCTTCGAATGCGTTTAGAAATGCTATGCACTGCGAATTAAATGAATATGTTACCCACTGAACAGCAGCTAAATAAACAAATATTACGAAAATCTTAATTTATTTACCCTCAGCCAAAAGTTTTTGCGTAGAAAGAATCAGTCTTGCAAATTTCAATACGCGGGAAAAAAAGGAAGATTTTTCCGATATTGATATTAAATTCTGATCTTGGTGGATAACGCTTTTCTTAGAGCTCGTTTAATTCGAACATTACAAGAGAGTTCAAAGCTGAGAAAATAAGCTAACAACGTGTAGGGCCGGTTATTTAAACAAAGTTTAAGTGTTGCTCAACAAAACCGTTTTCTTAACTATCTCGAATTTAGCTGAAACTTTTATCCGAACATTTATTTTTTTAGACGGTTTCATGAAGGCCGAAAGCAGGCAGTGGAAAGACATTTATTTTATAAAATAATCAAAACCCTCTTATAGAGAACACGAACGCCCACTGCTTGCGTAAACGGCGGTTTGGGTTACACTTCGTGTAAATAAGCAGCCCGTAATGTTCAGGATTTATTTTAGCTCCGTTGAGGTTACCAAGTCGAAAATCTTAATTACAAAGCTCCTTTGATGCATTTTTCACACAACCTTGTCTCTGATACGTACTGAGATGATAATTGTTTTGGTTTTTTATCGCGCCACAACGTATTTTCAGGGGTTAAATTTAGGGTCACATTTAGGGTCACATTAGTTACTGACACAGGCACATAATTAGAATTCAATTCTAATTGAAATTCAGTGCGAGTAGAAGAGCGAAATGAATAATTTGCCAAAGATAAGAATTGAGGAAATTATGGGACAGAGAAAGACAATTGTCAAGTGATCAGTATCAGTTATTCATCATTATCATATCAGGGAAAAGCGAACCTGTAGTTTATTTCATTAACAATTATAAAAAGAAAAATATGTTTTAAAAAAATGTTAGATTGATGTTTTTACAAGGTTATTGATTTCGGACATCAGCGTCTGACTTTTGATGTTGGATACTAGTTACCGATTTGTGATTTTGGACGCTTGTGTCCGATTTCGATTTTAGACACTAGTGTCCCTACTTAATAATTTGGACAGTAGAGTCCAAAATCACAAATCGAACACCAGTGTCTAAAATCATAAACTGGACACTGGTGTCCAAATAAAGAATCGGACGTTGGTGTTCAAAATCATAAATCGGACACTAGTTTCCAAAATCACAAATTGGACACGAGTGTCTACAATTACAAATCGGACACCAGTGTTCAAAATCATAAATCGGCCACTAGCGCCCAAAATCACAAATTGGACACGAGTGTCTACAATTACAAATCGGACACCAGTGTTCAAAATCATAAATCGGCCACTAGCACCCAAAATCACAAATTGGACACGAGTGTCTACAATTACAAATCGGCCACTAGTGCCCAAAATCACAAACTGCACACTTTTGTCCACAATCAAAAGTTAGATACTAATGTCCAAAATCAGTTATCTTGTCTATTAAAAGCAAAACATATCAATCGAACGATCTTCTTTCATTAATTTTTATTCCGTAAGTTTTAATGAAAGAAACGTTTTTTAACCCCCAGAGTAAAATCAAGTAAATCAATTGATCCATGCAAGTGAGCCGCAATTTAAGCAATTGCGGAATATTTCCCTGAAAAAGAACTCATATACAACAGTATAGTTAAGCGCGACTACGAACCAACGGAGTTACGAAGCCACACGTTTCGAATAGGGCACCTGTTATAGGGTTCTTCTCTCCCGTTTAGGAATCTATTCATATTTTTTTTAATGATATAAATTTAATTTGACGTAAGGATGAAAATCAAGTAAAGCCTAGTATCTGGGAGACACGTGTTTGAATCCGCAGAAGCCTAAATTTTTTAAAGGCTTATTTTCTGCAGTTGCTTAAGTTGCAGGTCTCCTGCGAGGATTACTTATTTATTTGATACATCACTTCCTTTGTTCAAGTTTATCCTCGAGATATAGGGCAAGCAAGTGACCCCTTCCACATAAGATACAGGCTAATAAGAAGGGTTAGACCTGAGGTGTTTAGATTTACCAACCATACACCTTTCTGTCAGATGACTCGTTTCGAATTCTAGCCCCTGTCTTTCAGCAAGATCAGTTGATGAGCTATATCTAGAGCTTACACATCACTGATTAATATATTCAGTTACTCTGTCCAACAGCTGAACAAAAAAAACGTTCAAACGTCACTAAATGTAGCTTAAACCAAAATTGGTTTGTAAATAGGCAAATAGACAGATAGTGATCGGACAATTAAAGGGCCCTGTGGTACAATATACAAACGGCTTTGAATCATCCGGAAGGTAATTAATATGAACTGAGGTAAAAGAAAATTTCTTTCGCGTCACGCTCTCAACCAATCAGATGCAAAACTAAAACCAATCAGAATCGTCATCCCGCGCTTAAGAGAGTTTGTTTCTCCTTTTTTTACTTTGTTCTCATTGGCCCTTAAAGATATTTTCCTTTCCTCTATTTGGCCGTTGAGATTGAGTTGATTCTGGTAAACGACGCTCAATCGAAAAGCGCTCTAAGAGAATAAGTCAGTTAATCACGCTCTTAGCTTCTCTTCCAGAATTTTATTAGATTCAAAGAAAGGTTTGCTTTAAGGAATGATTATTACAAACACACATTCGCTGAGACTTTCAATGATGGAGGACTGATTTCCTGGCCAAAAAAGGCCGCAGATCGAGAACTGATGAGCACGATAAAACTTCAGCGTAAAATATAAAAACTATGACGTGCTACCTTTTTCTCTAGAAGTAAAATTATTCTTTGCATGCGTTTGCACCTGGGAACAAAAGAGGAAGTATTAAGTGTGGTACAAATGAGTCAGTTACAAAAATCACAGACGGTTACTCGCTTTAAAGCTTACCTATCACCAGTGGTTGAGTAGTGATGAGTGGAGATGAATTGCTTAATTTTGGAGCTGTAGAAAATAACAGAACAGGAAAACGTTTTTTTTTTTTATGGATGGATATTTAAGGCGAGTTCTTAACAGTAATTTTTCATCTATTTCTCAAATTTTGTCATTGCCTTAATCTATTAACAAGACTTCACTCGTATGATTGCAGACCAAGCTGGACTCCGCTTCGTCTATTACTATTACAAATAGTGTGTACCTTTCTCGCAATCTTCTCCAGTATAGCCAGGCACACAGTCACAACGATAATCTCCAACAAGATCAACACACGTGCCTCTATTCTTGCAAGGGTTAGCTTCACACTCATTTACATCTAAGAATAAAAGATGCACATCAGCTTATCAAATTAAAACTATTAGCTAAACTGACCCCATAGCTGTACTAGATAACAAATGAAATATCTGTTTCGCAGGTTTTTCCTGAATGTCCCGTTACAAAATCACAGCGATAGCTTCCTTGAAGGTTAACACAAGTAGCTCCGTTCTTGCAAGGACTTTTGGTACATTCGTTAATATCTTAGAAAAAATGTCAGAAAAGGGAGAGATTCATAATTTACGGGACGCTTCTCGACAGACAACAGTATTAATCCTTTCAAATTATAGAGTTGAATGTTAGATCTGTTTCGCAGTTCCTTCCAGTGTATCCAGATTTGCAATCGCACCCATAATTTCCATGTTATGTGCACTCGTTCACATCTAAAGTTACACAAATAAGATTGGGATAACCTTTATTTGAGGGCCACGAATCCTTTTTAGGTTAAAATTTTTCACAGTTCTCATTGACTCAGACAGTTAATCCCAAACAGAAGAAGAGAAAGGGGAAATCTGATTTGCAACTTCGTTCACGTAGAATATCAGAATTACGAAATACGCCAATTATAAGGATCTATTAAATTTTGGGAGATCCTCTATCATTTCGTCGCGAGTTTGACCAACGCGGGCTGTTCAACACATCAAATTGAGGAAAAGAAGTGTGAACTTTTGGGGTTTGCTAAAGACGACTAATTGCCTCGTGAAAAGAGTGGAATGATCAAACGGAACTGATCGCAATAGGCCATTTCCGAATTACCTTTTGCCTCTTTTCCAAAACGAGGACTGGTGCTCAATCATTCGTTTGAAATGTGTTTAATTTGCATGTGAATGAAAACTTATAACAATATGAAAGGATCAGCATTAGGACTCGCTTTGAAAATGAGGCCAATGGTAATTTAGAAATTGCCTATTGAATTCTAGCGCCAGCTTCGGTCAAAATGTGTTTAAGTGCAAAACAAAGGGAGGAAATGATAAGAAGAATAGGCCACTTCCGAGTTTACGGGATTCAGTGATCTGGTAACGAAATTACGGCGCAAGGACGAGGCTAAGTGCGAAGTCGTTCTCGTTGGTATAAAGAAAAAGTGCTGTAGTGGGGAAAATGAGAGAAAAATTTCTCGAAATTCAGTGCGAGAGAGTAAAAAATTATTTGTGGGAGAGAGACATTCAGCTACTGTAATTTTTCAAGTCAACTAAAAATCTGTAATTAGCAAAATTGGAGGCTTTAATTTGCGAAGAGAAAATGTGTAATTTACGAAATGAGAATCCGTGCGGTAAACTCCATCGGCCGAGAGGATCGATGAATCGATCAGTTCGTCACTAACGTAGATTGTAAACCCAACGTAGCATATAATCTTAACTATAAATACAATCTGAACCCCAAGCTACTTTTTTTCTGATTTCATTCCATCTTTGAATATTTTTGTTGTAAAAAAAGGGCAATAGTATGAGATAACTTCTGTGTTTTCATGCTGAATGTTCAAGTGAATATTTTGCAAAGTACACCACGAAGATTTTCCTTTCGTTCTTTCCCAAGTTGTTATTACATGCAAGATTACTTATGTAAACCACGCCGGTGGTGAACTGACCGATTCATCCTTCTGCCTGGCGGCCATAAGTTTTTTTGCACTTCTAGTGTTGTCAATTACAGATCTACACATTTTCCATTTCGCAAATTACAGATTTCCATTTCCAAAATTTAAGAGTTTGAGTTCATTTAACAATTTAGAGGTTTAAGTTTACTTTCGTTTCGTTTTGCAAACTACAGTAAGCCCTCGCTACGATTCAGCAGGAAGTAAACTACGGTTAAATAGTGACATTAGAACAAGTGAGGCAACGCTGCATACGGACGTCCAGCGAGAGCTCTGGAACGTTAGAAAAGTGGTACGTCCAAGCATTAGAAATTTTGGTATTGGAAATTTGCCGTCACTTGTTTGGATGAAGAGGCAATTTTGACCTGCTTCTTTGCTGCAGCTTTCTTGCATAAATCAAACTGTTATGGATTATTTTCTCCGCTATCACTTTACTTTAAGCCTCTCTCACGAATAATTTTTTCACTCTCCTTCAATGAAATTCGAGAAATGTGTACTCGTTTTCTCTACCACGACGCTTCTTTATATCGATGAGAACGACTTCGCAATTAGCCTAGTCCTCACGCCGTAATTTCGGTACCAGATCACTAAACCGCGAGAACTGGAAAGTGGCCCATTAGATTGAAGTTGACGGCCTGAAACAAGTGTGATGGAGCAGAACGAACACAAGCAACTCTTTGATTTTTATTTACCTATCAATCTGTTTGCTTCATACATATCTATATTTCTTTTTTGCATTTTTTTGAGATGTATTTTTTGAGACAATGGTTACGGGCTAAGGTAGAGTATCAAACTAAGACGATAGATAGTAACTTTGCGACTCTTTTGGTAACTGAATCCAGAAGTCCAAAAGTCCAGTCCAGTCCAGTATCCTGTCTGTTTACATGCAATGGATGTCAAAAAGTATCGGGTTCACATTCGTCGTCCCACTAGTCAATGACGTCTGAACAAAAAAAAAAAAGGAAAAAGATGGTTGTATCAAAAGTGAACTGCGAATTTGACTTCTTCGAGATTAGAGGAAACGCGCCAGGAATCATTGATGAGAAACGGGAAAAAATGATTCGTTTTCAAACGAACACAAAGTATTCATCTATCAATAGATGTGACTAAATTAAGGGGATTCCTTCCTTGCACGCATTGTTGGTTGACTCGTTTAGATCTCAAATTACCCAGATGAGATGAAACAAGGATGAGTCTCAATTAGAAACGACACAGCGTACAATATCGATATCGCCTGACGGGTAGTTATTTCCACTATCACACATTTGAAATCTGAAGTTCGGTTACCTAGATTTTCTTTATGCTCTTTGGGCATTATCATTGATTACGTTTTTCAAACAATAACATTCTGTTAACGTTTAATGAATTATCTCTAATGTGAATTCATTCCAGGAAAGCAAACAAACTCTATGATTGTGACAATCAGACTGCCAACATTTTAGAATTTTAGCAACTTAGATTTGAAATTAAGGGTATGCTTAGCAACGTTGTGTTAGGCTGAAACGATACGTTGCTGAGACATTCATCGGAAAAAATAGTGGGGGTCGTATTATCCAAGAAACGTAAAGAAATCCCAGAATACATACAGGTATCGCATAAGGACAACTTAAACTTTTCACGTACAAATGTTATGTAATAGTTATATAACCTACTTATCGTAAGTGGAACTGTCATGGAGATCACACTTGGTCCCTGCCCACTCTTGCTCTGTACTTGTGTAACATAAGATGGCTTCTGATCTCCTGGGTGTCCGACAAGAGCATATGATCCTCGGTAGTCAAGAAAGCCCAGATCGTAGCCTCCCATTCTTGTCAGAGCATCAAAAGCTGTTTGAACATATCTAGAACCCTCGTCTTGGACTGCAACCAGGACTATCTTACTGAAGTAGAAAAAGAAATTGTTAAATGTACCAAATTTTCATAAACATTTACTAGAGGCTTACTGTTGGATCTGATGTGCTGATTTTAAAGCTTTCTACCCCTAAAATCAAGATGATGATATTCCACGCTATTCTTTACACATTCCTTGAAGAGCTGTCAAGAAAAATTTGTTTAACAATCAGCTAAGAGCCTCTTAAGTTGATGATGATATTCTTTATTCTCGGGGCCTTAAAGTATCATTTAGAGCTGATATAATAATGAGGAATTAGATGCTAGTCACTCTTAGGAATTAAATGCTTAATGCTGTTAAGTCTGGAGTTTCATTCACTGTATGTGTAACACTTCAAACTTAGAAAAGAAAGCCTGTACCTGAAAAAAAGGATTTCAAGTAATATTCTGGTACATTTATCATTTTGCCACTGAGCTTCACCTTTCCCATTGAGCGGGAAAACTAGTCCTAGTTTGTGAGCAAGTGAGCAGCATTTTGGAGTCGATTTGGTTGTTCGTCCGCATTGCGATGTTCAAATCTTACGCCGAATGATTGTCGTGATGAGCGCAAATTCTTTCATGTTTAGGTGCGTTTGTATGGTCAGGAAAACCGAGTGAATGCTTTGTGGGTCTTTTCGTGCTAACATTTAGGCCAGACCTTTTCAACTTTATCCTAATGTGTTTGCAAAATTTTCGAACCCCAAGTTTAAATTTCTTATGAAATTTATAAGACTCCCTATGCAATTCTGAGATTTGGCTCCACTTAAAAAAAAAAATTGTGTTTGCAATTTGTAAGACAAACTGATACTTACTCTCCAGAAATCCCGTTAAGAAAGCCTTTCAACTGGTTTCCAGCGTCACTATTTCCATGAGTGTCGAATCTCACAGAGTGTTCCACAATTCCTGCATTGAAAAATATATTTTTTTTTGGCATCGAAAACCACGGAGTCTTGCACACCTCCTTAATTGAAAGATTACGTTCGATATTTCTTGGAATAAAAGCCGAGTAATTTAAGAGCTATAAAATGAGTTACCTTACCTTTTTTTCTATTTTCATGAGCAAGAGTTTAAATATCTCGTTTCGTGCATTTTTAATGACTTTCGACAGTATTGTAGAATACTGTAGAATACCGTTTCATTATACTTCGATAATTCTCCTCACTTCAGCTGTGGTAGACATAACTTCGTAAAAATGCTCATAAGTAGTCGATCTACTTCTTTTCTCCAAATTTTAACGTTTTATTGTTATTAAAAAAATAGCAGCATTTAAATACTAACACTGAAGATCTTTACCTGTTACCGCATCCAGGACAACAACATTATGCCCTCTGCCTTGTTTAGCGTGTTCAACGTCATTCACCTTGATGTATGCTCTGCCGCATGTATTTGGCGTTTTTCCTGGATCATTACAGCCTTCGCTTCGGATGTCAATTTTTACGGAAGATCCTGATGATCAAACCAAGAGACAAACAAACAGTTTAAATTTCTATTTTAATAATAAACTAAAAGGGTGGATAGCGTTGAAGGCGCCCTCTGATTGGTAACTCAAACTCCGAAAATCCTTCGCTATTCACATCCGAGCAACGCGGCCGAGATTTCATCCCAAAAATTTAAGCGATAGAGAACCCCAGGGGGGGCCTGGGAAAATTCGAGAAAGTTTTGCAAACCCGCGACACAATTCATATAAAACAAAATAGAAAACATGTTGGAGAGGAAGAAATAGAGGTTGACCCTATGTCGTGTTATCCTAAAAAGAAAAGGATTAGAAATAAAAATATCTATTTATCTATTTATCTATATACAATGAAATATTATTAGAACTGATTATTAGATGGGAAAAGATTCGAAACAGACTGATCCTTAGTGTTATGTTGGGTAAGCTTCTTTGGGTAGGTGGTACATTGATGATATGGTGGCCGGACCAAAACTAAGAGAGAACAATCGTCCTTAAGGCGAGATTTCCTGGGCGACTGTGGAGTTTTGGGGAAGTTAAGGTGCCCCCCCCCCTTTCTAGAATTATGATAAGCACCTACTAAATGGCTCTAAAGAAACAATATACCCTTAATGTATGGCCCGAGGGAAACGTCAGGACTCTCGGGAAAACAATACTAACTAGTTTCCCGAGGGACCATACATTAAGTGCTTTGTTATATATCTTGACTTTCCCTAAAACAATCATATGGCCAAAATATGTTGTTGTATTCGGTGCTTGGGCAACAACTGCGCAATTTTATCCCGTGCGGAATACATTTAAATTTGATTAGGGGCCGTGACCAAGAATCAACCATTCACAGTGTTCGTTTTGTTGAGTGAAAGTCTAGGCATATAACTATATGGTTTGTTTCTCCGAGTTCTTATGTTGACGTCGGTTGGCTCACAAGTTCGCTACGGTTTAAACTTGCATCACCTGATCACATGCGAGTCGAAAGTCCGATACGAAAGAACGGGAAGAAAATGAAAGATAGACACTCGATTTTACACGGATACTTGTTCTGTATCATAAACTAGCATTACCTGTACTGAGACAAAACTTAGTTCAAAGTTATTGTTTGAATATCAACTCCTTTGAAAAGCAAATTCCAGAAAAAAATTAATAAATAAATAAGAAGAGTCAAGAGTAGAGAAATTATTAAGTGTAACGAAATTTGAGAATGAAAATTTTACCTTGGACTGTGATGAAAATATCTCCAATCATCAGAATGACCAACACGACAAAGAGCGGCTTCATTATTAAGTGTTTGCTGCACCTGTAAATTGCACAGGGAAGAATGAAACTGCACAAGTGGTCCTTATTGTCTTTAATGAGAAGGTGTAGACCGCCAACCCTTAGGTGTTAGAGGGCTTCATTAAGTTTTGAATGGTTCGTATCAGAATGAGACAAAGAAAAATATGCACATATTAAAGTCATTATTTTCCTTCTTGTAATTTATTTATTTACCTTAATTTTTTTTTTTAATTCGTTAATTTTTTCTACAGAAAATCCCACGTTTTGATTAGTCCGCGGAGACGTTGGAATTTTTCGATCTTATGATCGAACCCAGACAAGATTCTTAACACCTCATTTATACCCTGTCTAAATATCAAGGGAAGTCGATTTAAGCAAATTCTAACTTAAATTACTGTTATTTCAATGAATTTTTTTCCTTGATTCCATTGATAGGTATATAGTATAATTTCACTCTGATAACGCAATCAATTTACTTTCCTCCTTTACTGGCATTCAGTTTCTTAGAGAAAAGACTGACCTCCAGGCCTTTCTCGAAAGTGTTGAACTCGAAAATTTGTAGCAACGCACACGTTTGCGACCAAAGTGGCATCAAAATTAGTTGGCAACGATTTGAAAAGAAAAAACTTAAACATGATACTATCATATCAGAAAATTTGTTGAGAATGAGCTGCATATAGTGAATTGCCGGTTCTTCGTCCTATTCAGATAATTAATGTATCTGTTGGATATAATTCAGAAACTGGCTTCAGTATCAGCAATTGTAAAAGATAGTTGTATAAATCCGTTTTCTTTACTTGCGATAAGATTCAACGAAGTTTACCACGGCCCACACATAGAGTCGCAACCTGCTCTCATACTAGTGTTACTACCCTAAGTTAAAGTCATACACTTGATTGCAATAAAGTTTTCTTAAGGAGAAAAAAGAAAAAAAGGAATAAAAAAATAGAAAAGGCTGAATAGGAATATATTAACAGATAGAACTACATGCCCAGCCGAGCATTTTCTCAAAATTTCCACTAAAGAATTCTTTCAAACTTCTTGAGAGTATTAGACATTGTTAAAACACTACAAGCGATTCCAAAACTAAAAAAAAGAGGAAAAAGTCGGTGTATACTTATTAATGCCTTATACTTATGAAATATGTCGATAAATTAGAATGTGGCTTTTTCCCTTTTTCTGTTACCTACAACGAAGTTACTGCAATTAGAAGTATCTTATCAGCCTGTTCACTGAAGGCTTCCACATCCACTCTTAAGTAGTTTTGTGGACAGCTTCGTAACTCAAACTGTTACTTGAAGAGTATGTAAAAAGTCATGGAATTGGAACTTCACTGCCAGAATTCAATCTATTTCGTGTTGTAAGCCTCAATAGGTGGTTTCAATGGGGTTTACCGAAAGCAGTAAAACGGCCATAAACTTCAACTGTTAGGCGTAAAAACTGACAAATTCAAATTTTCAGTCGTAAAAAAGTTAACCCTAAACGTCACTCTTTTTTTTTTTTTAACCATAAGGGAAAGAAATTAACTGTAAGTCCAAAATTGGTAAAATTTTTAACGTTTAGCCGTAAAAGCCATCACCTTACTGAGACTCTCCGGCTCAGCAAAAAGGACCCATTGTTAAAATTTTATCCTGTTTTTCTATTGAATTAAATTATAGAAAGACCTGTTACATTGAAATACCTTTAGGCGCCTTTTTGAATTGTATTAACTAGTGTTTCCTCGAAAAAGCTTCCAACAGCTCTTACCCGTTACTGCTTCGAATGCGTTTAGAAATGCTATGCACTGTGAATTAAATGGATATGTTACCCACAGAATAACAGCTAAATAAACAAATATTATGAAAATCTTAATTGATTTACCCTCAGCCACAAGTTTTTGATTAGAAAGATTCAGTCTTAGACAATACACCACAAATGCAAATTTCAATGCGCAGAAAATAAAGGAAGATTTTTCCGGTATTGATATTAAATTCTGATCTTGGCGAATAGCGCTTTTCTTAGAGCTCGTGTAATTCGAACATTACAAGAGAGTTCAAAGCTGAGAAAATAAACTTATAACGTGTAGGGCCGGTTATTTAAACAAAGTTTATCTGTTGTTTAACAAAACCACTTTCTAAACTATCTTGAATTTAGCTGAATCTTTTACCTGAACATTTATTTTTGTGGACGGTGTCAGGAGGGCTGAAAGAAAGGAAGGGAAGGAAATTCATGAAAACTTAGAAACCCTCTTATAGAGAACACGTAACGCCCACTGCTTGCGTAAAAGCGCGGTTTGGGTTACACCTCGTGTAAATAACCGGCCCATAATTTTGAAGTTTTATTTTAGCTTTGTTGAAGTTACCAACTCGAAAATCTTAATTACAAAGCTACTTTGATACATTCTTCACATTACCTTGTCTCTGATACGTACTGAGATGATAACTGTTTTGGTTTTTTTATCGTGCCACAACGTATTTTCAGGGGTTAAGGTTAGAGTTACTTACAATTTCATTTATTTATTGACACAGGCACATAATTAGAATTCAGTTTTAATTGAAATCCTGTGCAAGGAGAATAGCGGAATGAATTATGTGCCAACAATAAGAATTGAGGATATTTTGGGACAAGGAAAGACAAAATTGTTAAGTGATCGGCAACCTGTAGTTTATTTCATTAAAAATTATAATAAGAAAAATATATGAAAAATATAAAACGTTAGATAGACATGTTTTGACAAGATTATTGATTTCGGACACTAGTATCTGACTTTTGATGTTGGACATTGGTGTCCAACTGGAGTCCGATTTGTGATTTTGGACACTAGTATCTGATTTGTTATTTAAGACACTAGTGTCTGATTTGTGATTGTGGACACTTGTGTCCAATTTTGGATTTTGGACACTAATGTCCATGATTAATAAATTGGACATATGTATCCTAAATCACAAATCGGACATTAAAGTCCAAAATCATAAATCGGACACTAATGTTTATAAATTGGACGCAAGCGTTCAAAATCATAAATAGGACATTACTGTCCAAAATCATAAATCGCGCACTGGTGTTCAAAATCGTAAATCGGACTCTAGTTTCCAAAATCACAAATCGGACACGAAACGCTTCTTAACCCGCCGAGTAAAATCTAGTAAAGCAATCGATCCACGCAGGTGAGCCGCAATTTAAGCAATTGCAGAATAGTTGCCTGAAAAAGAACTCAGATACAACACTGTAGTTAGGCGCGACTACCAACTGAGTTACGAAGCCACACGTTTCGAATAGGGCACCTGTTATAGGGTTCTTTTTTCCCGTATAGGAATCTGATCATATTTTTTAGTGATATAAATTTCATTTTATCTACGAATGAAAATCAAGTAGAGCCTTGTATCTGGGAGAAACGTGTCTGAATCCCGCAGAAGCCTGAATTTTTTTTAAAGGCTTATTTTCAACAATTGTTTAAGTTACCTGCGAGGATTACTTCTTTATTTGATATATCACTTCTTTTGTTCAAGTCTACCCTCGAGATATATGACAGTCAACTGACCCCTTCCACATGAGACGCAGGCTTATAAAAAAGGGTAAACCAGAGGTGTTAAGATTTACCGACGATATAACTTTGTCGGATGACTCGTTGTTTCGAATTCCAGCCCCAGCTTTTCAGCAAGATCAGTTGATGAACTATATTAAAGCTTACACATCACTGATTAATATATTCAGTCACTTTGTCCAACAGTTAAACAAATACAACGTTCAAACGTCATTGAATGTAGCTTGAACCAAAATTGGTAAGTAAATAGGTAAATAGGCAAATAGTGATCGGACTATTGGCGGACCCTGTAGTACAATATATTAGCGGCTTTGAATCATCTGCAAGGTAATGAATATAAACTCAGGTAAAAAAGAAAATTCCTGTCACAGGATGATAGAAAACGAAAAGTTTTATTTAAAAAGATCAAGTTAAACAGGTTTTAAAGGGCGAGCAGACCTTAATTGGTAAACCAAAGTATCCAAAAAAACACAAGATGACTAATTTTAAACTTCATAAAGCAATTTTCAACTGAGTGTCGAAAGTAATCCGAGATTGCATTAGTATTACCTTACCTCGTTATGTGATTGGTCCAGAAAACTCGCGCCACTCTCTAAACCAATTAGATGCAAAACTAAAACCAATCAGAATTGATCGCCCGCGTCTTTCCGCGCTTTAGACAGTTTGTTTCTTTTTACTTTGTTCCCATTGGCCCTTAAAGATATTTCCCTTTCCTCTGATTAGCCTATGTGATCAAGTTGATTCTGGTAATAGATGCTCAGCCGAAAAGCACTCTAAGAGATTGAGTCAGTTAACCACGCTCTTAGCTTTTCTTCCAGATTTTTATTGGATTCAAAGAAAGGTTTGCTTCAAGGAATGATTATTACAAATACATAGTCGCTGAAACTTTCAATGATGGATGACTGATTTCCTGGCCAAAAGGCCTGGGGCTGTAGATCGTGAACTGTAGAAACGTAGAAATGTAGAAACTATGACTTGCTACCTTTTTCTCTAGAAGTAAAATTATTCTTTACATGCGTTTGCACCTGGGAACAAAAGAGGAAGTATTACATATGTGGTACAAATGAGTAGTTACAAAAATCAGAGACGGTTACTCGCTTTAAAGCTTACCTATCACTGGTGGTTGAGTAGTGATGGGTGGAGATGAAGTGGTTAATTTTGGAGCTGAAGAAAATAACAGAACAGGAAAACGTTTTGCTTTTTACGGATGGATATTTAAGGCGAGTTTTTATCAGTAATTTTTCGTCTATTTATCAAATTTTGTCATTGCCTTGATCTGTTAACAGGACTTCACTCGTATGATTTCAGACCAAACTGGACTCCACTTTGTCTATTACTGTTACAAATAGCGTGTACCTGTCTCGCAATCTGCTCCAGTATAGCCAGGCACACAGTCACAACGATAATCTCCAACAAGATCAACACACGTGCCTCCATTCTTGCAAGGGTTAGCTTCACACTCATTTATATCTAAGAATAAAAAATGCACACCAGCTTGTCAAATTAAAACTATTAACTAAACTGACCCCATAGCTGTACTACATAACGAACGAAATACCTGTTTCGCAGGTTATTCCTGAATATCCCGTTACACAATCACAGCGATAGCTTCCCTGAAGGTTAACACAAGTAGCTCCGTTCTTGCAAGGACTTTTGGTACATTCGTTAATATCTTAGAAAATGTAAAAAAAGGGAGAAATTCATAATTTACGGGACGCTTCTCGACAGATAACAGTATTGATCCTCTTAAGTTCTAAGGTTGAATGTTAGACCTGTTTCGCAGTTCCTTCCAGTGTATCCAGATTTGCAATCGCAACGATAACTTCCTCGAAGATTGATACAGGCCACTCCATTTTTGCATGGGTTGTTCATGCACTCGTTCACGTCTAAAATTACACAAATAAGAGTGGAATAACCTTTATTTGAGGGCCACGAATCCTTTTTAGGTTAAAAAATTCGTACTTATCAAATTCATTTCTAACCATCTTTACAGTTCTTTCCGGTGTATCCAGATTTACAATCACAGCGATATCCTCCTTGAAGATTGACGCAGCTGGCCTCGTTCTGACAAGGTTTGTTTGCGCACTCGTCTGTATCTGTACATCAAATACCACTGCATTTAATCCCGAAAATTTAATGTTTTACTTCTAATAATACTATGGCCTTGTCGAATTTCTTTACCATGAATCCATGATAATCATGTACTAACATAGTTGCCTTTTGTATATATTACAGTAAGTAGAAATGCCCCGTGATACGAAATACTTCAATAGCTGGTACGCATGATACATGATGAGTCATTTAAAAGCTAAGCGAAATTGTTTACTTACCCTTTTCGCAATTAACCCCAGAAAATCCCAGTTTACATTGACAACGATAACTATCTTGAAGATTGAAACATGTTGCTCCATTTTTGCAAGGATTATTCTTGCACTGATTTCTAACTGTAAAGAACAAGGGGTGTGTATTAGTAAAAGCTCAGACTGGTCCAAAAGGAAGATCATTGTCATCTTTTCACAAAGACTTTCTAAAAGGGGCTTGAATTACCTCAAGTTCTAAGACTCTTTAACGGTTTTTTTTTTCGTTTTTTCCACTTAGCGCCGACTTCCATGACGGTTTTCATAGGCTAAGTACCCCTTTATCATGTTGATTCCAAAATGAAAACTTAGAAATACAGATTTCCAATCAATCTCCCACCCTGAGTGTCCGCAATAGTGCAGATGACACTACTTTCTTTTTGACACTACTTGTAGACAGAAACATTTATACCGATTTTTTCTTTCACCTGAGTTTCCACAGTAGCGCAGATGACATGCTGGTGACGGTTTCAACTCATAGACGTAGAAGCCATCACAGTTACGCACCCGGATGTCAGTTTGCCATTGACAACAACTCTTTTTCCAGTGGAAACACGCTTTAAGCGAAGCAATTCCTTGCGCAACGGTGGGATGATGCCCTTGAAGCCAACCAGGCGCATGCGTTCCGCAGGAGTTCATGGGAACACAAGAGGAGGGGAGCTCGTTTCCTGAAGATCCACGGAGTCTGTACCATTTGGTTTTCAGTTTATTGTCACATTTAAACGATTGAACGTTGCCATATCCACGAGCTCTGGTATCATCTCCCAGGTACTCGTAGTTAAGACACTCTACAAATTGGAAAAGAAACTGGCTTTTTGTAACCACTTGACAAGGGTAATATCAACATAAACACAGTAAGCATATAATAACGCGAAATTACATTTGTTTACCTGGTGGTAGGGTGAGGCCTGGACCTGAAATGAAATAACCCAGCAGTTACTAAGAAAGAAATGACGTTTTTCAATTACTATTACGTTCCAGGCTTAACTGAGGTTTTTCGAATTACAGCGCTAATGATTCAACTGCTTTCCGTTAAATTCTAAAGCACAAAAATATACAAGATACTTTTTTGTCGATCACTTTATTTATTAAAAGCAAAGTAATAATTCCAAAAAGAGAAGTTCGAGAACAAAAACCGAGCAGCAATAAAGCAAAAAGAAAATGCAAATGTGAATTTCGTTGCAGTGGCGTAATCTGTAAGATAAATGTCCTCGTAACATGAATGTTTTCTTTGATTTTATAGCATGAATGAAAAAATCTCTCCTTGAAACTTAAAGTCCTAGTATATTCGTCTCTTACCCGAATTTCCACAATAACGTAAATTGCATCCGGGTGTTTTGTTCAATTCGTATACAAAGAAGCCATCACAGTTGCGCACCCTTATTGTGTTGGACCAGTGACAACAGTTGTCGCCCCAGTGATAACACACCTTGGTGGACACAATTCCGTGCGCTACTGTCGGATGAGTTCCATGAAGCCACCCAGGGGCGCGTGTACCACAGCGGTTCTTTGGGACACAAGATACGGGCATCGCATCGCCTGAAGCTCCTTGGAATCGGTACCATTTGGTTTCCATGGTATCATCACATTTGGAACTGCTTGTCTGGTAGCCACGTGACCTTGTAGAATCATCAATCACTTCGTAGTTTGAACATTCTGCATTTTGGCGACAGAGAATTTGTTTAAAACTGGTCTTAGGCTGCGCAACGTAGAAACGTTTTGTTTTCATCTTACTTAAAGAGTGATATAAAGTTATAAATAATATTGCACTTCTAGAATTCCAAGTATTCTAATCCCGAATATTCACATGCACACGACTCATATGATTTGCATGATGAAGAGCCACCTCTACACTAGAAACTAACAGTGGGGGTTTTCCAAAGATACTCCCACTTGCCTTTTCGACCATTCTGTCGACAAGAGCACATATCAGCATCTTTTTGTAGCTGTTCAACTTTGCCTTGAAATCTATCATCACACTGATTTCCAACAAAGTTGCTATGGAAACAAGGTATGACGTCTTGATGCTAAGCACGAAACCAAGTAATTTGTTGAAAGAAGTTACCAAGCTTCGATAATTTTAAGAAAAACATGCAGAGGATGCTAAGAAACATGACTAAAATACAACATTTGCTCGTGAAAAAAGTCCTAGGAATAAACAACTAGTCCTTACCTTGTGAAGGTTCTGGTGGACCTAAATTAAAACATGAAAGGTGACAAAAGTTATAACCATTCATTGTACCACTTTACTATGGCAAAAACCTTATGGATTACTATAGTTATTACTACTATCACTATTCCCACATCAATTATTCACAAGTGAATAATCGATGGGTGGTATCTAGGAACAGTTTAGAAGAACACCTTTATCAGGCTTTATCGTGTCTTCTCCTCGACCTTCCATAGACAAGCTAAACAAAAGTCATTTTTACAAACGTTGTCTTAATTATGTTCATTAGTAAAGGGACTCTCGGAGTGACCTTGCATCCGTTTATCCACATATCAGGCTTTTTTTGCGAAATCATGTGTCCCACCACTCAGTTGGCAAGGCATATAATTTTGACGGAAAATGGAAAATTAAAACCGTCTTTATTCAAGTAAAAACCTTATTCTGCCGGTCAAAAGCAATAAAAATAGCTCTTTGTCCACTCAATGTCGACAATTGCGTCTTCACAAATTAAATAATAGTTGCTGAAATGACACTCACTTTCAAACATTTGACAACATTTGACCTTGTCTATACAGTGCAGTTCTTCGCATCCTCCTTTGTAAAACCCAGCCATGTAATATCCATGGTCACAGCCAGTCAGACCTTTCTTGTGGAAAGATGCATCGATATCTTTGATGATGCATTGTCCGTATTTATTTGGAAGGTGTTTTGGTTTGCAACATTTTCCTTCTTCTATATTGTAGAGCCAGTCCCCCCAGGTACGATACAGTCCTTGTAGAAAATGACCCTCTGGACATACTGCCCATATATGGAAACTTCAAAGTGAGGAGAAAGATGACAGTTAAACAAAGTTAGTTCATGACTAATATTTGAGGGAAAAGAAGGAGGAGGACGGTAAAGTTTGAGCCCCGATCTGAAGTAAAAAAAGAAGCTACTTATGTTGTCTTGAGGGTTGGACAAAGAACAAATTCGTAGTCACATGAGGAATCGAATCCCAGATCTTCGGATTTCGCGCTCCGATGCTCTGCCACTCAGCTACAAAAAAAACCATATGGCGTGCTAGGCCATAAAAGGACGCGCGTCCTTCAAACAATTATCATAACTCTTCAGTGAAGCACTTACGAATCTAGTTGATGCCACCAATCGGCTTCGATACAGGTGGATTTGGTGTTGTGGTTTGGTGCAGCAGCCTTGCAACAGTTGGCCTCCTCCAGCAAGTAAATTTTATCATATTTGCCGTTGACGTCATTGCGATAAAACCCTGTTATGAATTCATCTGATGAGTCACAGTTTGACCAGCCTCGAGTGTCAAAACTTCTCCACCAATTTGCCATTCTACACTGCTGACTCCAACATTGACTCAATGTCAGCAACAGGAAGGACAGAGATACCAATAGTTTCATATTTCTGCTGGCCCGTAGTACTGTTAAGGTCCACAACATATATATGAAATAATCAGCGCTAATATAACGCCCAGATCACACCATTCACGCAAGAAAAAGCATCATAAAAATTTTACCCTTTTTCGACTAAATTTTGGACCTATTGAGAACACAACTTTTTCCTTTGTTATGGTCTTTAGGATATAATCTATGGTCTCTTGAGTGTTTCCTTTTTTTTTTTTTCTTTCATTCCTATTTCATTCCTACCCACGAAGCCAGTTGATTAATAGTTGATAGTTTTATAAAATTAGCTTACCTGGCTATTGCAATACAGTGTTCAAGAAAGGACCTCTTAGCTTGCAGTTTTATTCAATTCAAACCTTTTTTGACAAAACTTTTCTGTGGCCAAAAACCATACATAGCAACTGAAGGGAAAATTGTTTTGTTCTTTCTTTCATTTCTTTTTACTTTTTTTTTAAATTCGTTTTCATTTTTTTAATTCGCATTATTTGTAGATCAATTCGGCTTGCTTATATCTTGTAAAAAAAAATTATTAACCCCCGAGGAAGTAGAAAATTCTTCCAAAAAGTGAATTTAAATATTTATGGAATCAGTAAATTCAGTTAATACCAGTTTAACCTCTTCCAGTATTTTTCAATGCGATCAAGACTTACCTATTTTCCCGTTATCCAAAAAGATACCTTTCACTCCGGATACTTGACAAGCTGCAACACAACCAATTTTTTCTCTCTCCTGGCCACAAAGGAACTGACGAGGCAAAGGCAAAGACTTGCGCTCCTTGAAATCCATATTGCTTACTTAAAAATTTCCAATTACAGAAAATGAGCAGCTATTCAAATATTACAGTTCAACAGGTGATCAGCGGAATACTTAGGCGCTGTGAGGTGCGAAAATATGCTTAGAAATTTCATCTTCTATTTTTGTGAAATAATGTTAAAGATAAACAGGGTAAAAAAGGCAAACAATATTTGCGCTCATCAAAATTTAATTACTGTTGAAAATTCCTTTCTAAAGCAGATGCAACCAAACCTCCCACAAATTTACTGAAATAGCCTGACTAGAATTTGAGTTTCGTATTTGGTACGGCTTTATTCAGGAAATAATTTTCAACCTTTTCCTAAATGATTCTGAAACGCATTGGTTGTAGCCGTTAAGCCACACTCAGCTTCGGATGACTAGTTGTAAGTTATAATGACTAAATGTGAAGGTTGCACTCAGCTGGACAATGCAACCTCGTTTAGAAATGAAACACTTTTTATCATGGTCATCTAATACAGAGGCCTCTTTTTGCAGGCCTGAACTGAGATTCAAGATCAGGGGGACATGACCTTATTCGGCTGCTTTCAGCTTACAACTGTAACGAATCATAATTTTCAGTCTTTACTCTCCTTTTCCTCTTCTCAATTTTATTATTATTTTTTTAAATTTTAAATGGGCCAGTCAACGAATGCGCGTTCTTCTTTTCTCTTGATCGTATGTCATCTCGCATTTAATTCTTTCACCTGGCTTGAAGAACCACCAATCTACAAGGCATTCGATAACAAAGCACAGAAAAAATGTTAACGAATCGGCAAAAAATGTTATAAATTATTTCACGGTTCTTATAAGCACTGTTTAACATATTTGTATTCTATTACAGGCAAATGAACAATTACCTCTATGTAACTTTGTTTGTTCTCCTGAAAATGAACTAATTTTATGTACTTTAATCAATGCTAAGTCTATAAATCTCACTCAGAGATATGTCACCTGTCGCCATTTTCATGCAAAACAACGATCTTCTGGCCGTTAGAACAAAGAACCACCGGTTTTGTTGGGAGGATAGCAAAGAATAATTTAAATGACAAAACCAGTGTTTGTTAGGTGTCGCTGCAAAGTCATGATTTTCCCAAAATCGTCGGAATCTCACACATTTCTCGATGCCACGGCTGTAAAAACATGATGAGTGCTTCTATAGCTTTCTTTCAGCTCAAAATATGGTACAAATCAAGAGTAAGTCATTTCATCTGGAACAAACCAAGTGTACTTCTTTTGCATTGATCCGTTTACGAAAAATAATACACAACGTACTACTTGGTCATGTGCGAGGCCGCTGATCAAGTAAATAGGCCTGTAAAATTGTGTACGATTTCGTTTGACGACAGTTTATGGGACAGTTTATGGTTGCTAAAGGAATCTGAATTCACCGGTAAAGGTACAGCCAATTGACTTTACGGCTTTAAAAAGACCCGATCTGGCCTTTTTGAGTCTTGTAACCGTAAAGAGACTTCGTTTGCGCAGAACTGACTTACGTAAGAACTTGAAACGAATGACAAAGAAGTAGGCTTCCTCTGTCGCCATGGCGAAGAGGTGCAATCCAGACTGTAAAATGAAAACGATACTCTCATAACAAGTTTAGAGTCATTTGATGGCTCAGAAAGGGCGATGATTCCTGGTCCCAGGGACTTTTTGTTGGAGGCGTGGATCTAACCGAACAGTGCAGATGGAGTTTGCTTTTAACATCAATGACTTGTTACCCGATCTAATTACAGTCGTTGACGACAAGTTAGCCCCATTTCGGTCGCGAATTAAAAATGACAGGTTAGTGTCTATCGACTAATTTTATGTTGAGATGATAATTCTACATTTTTAACATAACATAGCTATATATTAATTTGATTTAAATTATATTGCGAGTAATCGTAAATTTATACTCGAGACATCATGTTCAGGTTCATCTATCAACCATTGTGATGTTGTCTGAAAGAAAGCAAGCAAAAAAAGAGATTTGGATTAAGCACGAAATCAAACCAAACCATGAAGCTGTAAATGTTTACAACCTAACTTGTTTTAATATCGCACCTAAGTAGCATAAACTGTTGGTATTTAACTTAAATATAGAGCCTAATTGTGTGGCAAAATTTAAATCCCGGAACAAATAGAGACTTGCAAAATGTACCGGTTAATTTTTTGCAAATTTAAGTGAATGCAGAAACTAGAAAACAATTGGTTTACATGGAGAAAGATTTTCCAGATATTTGTTTGTGTTCCATTAAAAGGTATGAATTTGCAAACAAGCAATCTCAGCTGAAGATAGTTATTGATCACATGGGGGAAGCTTCTACAAGGGTGAGATTTATTTATCACTGTCATCTTGAAATCAGTTTGGGTAATTGATACTATTCTTTTTGCTGACAATACTTGTCACAATTAAGATCAAGCACTGTATAGGAAATTCATGAAGCATATTAGTTTTTAGTTCTATAATTCATTTTCAATATATTATGTAAATGTAATACTGCATTTGCAGGGCTTCTGATTTTGTGCTATGAACTGACTGCAAAGAATGTACAGTGTGTCATTGACAAGGAATCCCATGATTCATGGAAATTTGAGAATTTGGCACAATCTCATAAAAAGATCCCAATGTATTATTACTTACATGTAGCTTAGGAAACATTGTACATAGTTATAATCAATTTTAGAAGACTACCCTGGGGTTGTCTCAAACTACATGTACCAATTAGATTAATAAGTGTCAAAGAAATCAAAAGATTTTCAGTGAATTGATTTAGGAAACTGGGAATGGTATAACTGACAGACTTCTGAGATTTTTGAATCAGTTAATTAATTAATTCATAGGAATTAATTTGTGTTAGGATTAAGTTAAATTAAAAGTGTTGTTCAAAGCTTAGTCTATTGAAATATATTTAGCTTTTTTTTAATTTGTAACTTAGCCAACTTCTCTCTTCCACCAAGGCCCAAGGTTTGAGAGCACCAATTACAAGTGCATTAAAACTGCAACATTCAGATCACAGGCTTTATGTTATGAAGGATTCAGCTGCAAACAAGTATGTTTTCGCTGTTATCATAAACTATGTATTTACCATGGGTTAACGCATTAGAGCTGGAATTATTAAGCAAGAGGCTTTGGAAGTTAAATTGGCTTATTAAGTGAGTCACTGGAAAATGAAAATGAAAGCTGTATGCAAGTCAGAATTTGAGGTTGTCTGTGATTTTTAACCAATTAGAAGCTCTTGACATCATATATTCTGTATTTTTACTTGAAAAGTCTCAATGGAGATATCAGGGTTTGCAGTCGACTTTTTTATTCCTGTACTGTAAACAATTTCCAAAAACTGTTTAGAAAATAGATGGATTTCCTTTTTCTTTGTAACCTAGTGGCCTAGGAGCAGTTGTGGGGATTCTTAAAGTTGGTCATAAAAAGTTGTTTTTAATGGTAAGGAAAGTTTGATGTGTTTTCTTAGAAAAACTACAGTAAGAGAAAAAAAAAAGGGGTTTTTTTTTTCATTTTGTTTGCTTATTTGTTTTATTCTTTGTGTGTGGAGGTGAAAGCTTTTGTAGAGAAGAGAATTTATTTTTGACTCAAGTTATGTATGACTAAATACAATTGCACCTCATTAGGATATGCAAAGTTTGCAGTATGAAGTCAATCCCTTGTGTGTATTGGATTTCTATGTCCATGAATCTCGTCAGAGAACTGGTTGTGGCAAAAGGCTATTTGAACACATGTTGAAGGTACAGTATCTGGAGAAAATTAAAAGTGGCTTTACCTTGGTAAAAGTAAAAACTAGGTCTGAGTTACTAATTAAATGCTGCAGCACTGCAGATGGTGCAAATTTTCAAACTTTTAGCTTTTGTATTCTTACATTGGTGTCGCTGGTTTCAGATTTGTAAGGTTTTTTTTCACTTCTTGTCAGACACCAAAATTCTTGCAGCAACAAGATTGCATACATTACCACTCACCAGGCTGATTTTGTTAAAGAGAAAGAGATTTATTTTAAGAGAAAAAGTATGCCCCGAAAAAGACATTCTCTGTTTTCTGAATCAAAGTGTGGGAAATTGAACTCATGTTATTCTTTTTTCATCAGATGGAAGGTAGAATGGTTTATCAGCTAGCTATTGACAGACCATCTCACAAGTTTGTCTCTTTTCTGAAGAAATATCATGGCTTTAAAAATGCAGTTCCTCAGGTTGGTTTCGATTTTCTGTAATGTATGGTCATAAGTTTCATAAAGAGTTCAGGTATAAATTTTTTCAGTGGTACTGTGAATGAGAGATGGAGAATTTTCCATCTTGCAGAATTCCCATCTCTGTGAATTCATGGTATGGCTTATAATAAGCTGCAAACTCTGCACATACATGTAGTAACAAGCAAACTAAACTAAATGCTCGAGGGATATGCAGGGAAATTTTACAGTACAGTGCTTCACATAAAGCCAGTCTCTTGCATTTGGACAGCAAATTGAAACCATTTCCTATTGGTTACAATGTAAATATTCTGGATTCTTGATCTAAAGGTCCTGGGTCTTAAAGTTCTGGCCTAGGTCTACTCTCGTGGTGCCTCTGACCACTTACATGTAGTCTCCTTCAAAGCTGTTCTTTGGTCTCTTAACGCAACGTCATTTGTCTAGAGCGTTGCGTGATATCCTCGGTTGTACAGGGGACTTTGACCATTCTTCACTTGGGAATGTAAATGGTACCGAAAAATTATCAGAGATGAGGATGAATAAATAGTTAGCCCTCGTTTTTCCTTTAGGATTAGAAAGAAATGGTAAAACGCTTGGCTTGTCTTAACGCAAAGTCTCGCAAAGCCAATTCTCCCCTATCTCCGTCCCCCTTACCTTAACACTTAAAGCGTGCTCTGCTAAGATGAGTTACTATTTTGTCGTTGTTTTCAGGCAAACAACTTTGTGATTCATGAGCATTTCTTCTCGGATCTGCAGGGTAAGACTATTTTTACGATCCCAGACGGTCCAGACCGTAGGTGAAAATAACTAGTCTGAAAACTTTGAACATCGGTGTGTTTATTCACTCGCCTGGTCGTTCTTTTCCCCTTCATTCGTTCACTCTCGCGCTCAACCCTCTTTCCTTTTCGTATCCAGGGCCTCAAAAGGCCATGCAGTTTACTCAGTAGCTTGTCCATGTCTTTATGGCGGCCTTTACTATTGTTTCGTTTAGCTGCCCCGTTTAATTTTTCTTTTTATTATACAATTTATCTTCGTTTTATCATTTCTTTTTCGTAGCTGTTGGCCATGTACCGCGTCGAAGTTATCGCTTTGCTAATGCCAGTCTATCAGGGAAGCCCCCAATACATACATACAGAAAGACAAGTAAGATCAATCAGTTAATATGAAGGCAACTGGACTAAATTAACAATTTATATCTGAATTTCTTTTAAACCTTGAACTCCCAAGATCTGATTGTCGATCCTCCCCTTTAGCTGCTCTACATTTCCTCTTAGATTAGTTATAAGAATTTGATGTCAAATCAAGATAACTTCTACCTGATAAGTTTGAGTATTCTCATTACCTGTTTGTGGGATAATGTAGGAATATCTTAGGGAGAAGGTACATGTTAATCACTTCTGGGAGTTAAAGGGTTAAATTATGAATACAAACCACAACTCACTTTCCTTTGCCAACCCATCGTCAATCTTCGTGCCTAAATTAGCCAGTGACATGGGTTGATCTAAATTTAAGGGGTGCGGGGTAGGGTGGGTGCATCTTTCCTCTCACTAAATGATTTTGATCTTGGCAATACTTATGGGTGATGAGTCTAAGCAGTTTGTGGAATTCATCAAAAAAATGAGTGCGGTTGGATTACAAAAGTTCAAGCTCATCCCACAATTTAGTGATTTTCGTGGAGCACTGTGCAGTAAACATTGCACTGATCTCGCTATCTCTAAATTTGTCTCGCGTCTGTAGGTCATACTCGTGACACTCCACCTCTGCTGCTGCGTCGTCAGTCTTCTTCCAGCCGTCAGTCCAGTCGACCTAATAGCGGCAGAGAGTTCTCACACGACACTGCACACAGCGGCGAATCCGAGCCGTCAGCCTTGCAGCGAATAAACAATTCACTACAAGACATCAACCTTCCTCCAGTAGTGCCAAGGCCTTCATCACGAAACTCGGCACCAGGCTCACGGGGTTCCTCTGCAGGGCGGAGGTCTGTGACGAGACAGATGGAGTTAGGGTAGGAAAGGGTTATGCCCCTAATTAACCAGTGATGTTGTTATTTGTTCATATATTTTTTTCTGTCACGGTGTACTCGTAGTACGGCGGATTCCATAGCCTTGTTGTACCCTTGAGTCTAATACGTTGTAGCTGCAAACATGTGCTATTCTCGGATATCAGTTTTACGTGTGATATTTCGTCATACGAGGAAAGTGTTTCGATCCTTTTCCTCGCTGGCTTTCATGAAGCTACTAACGCGACGTGATACAAATACAGCACCAGAATACGCTTCAACTTTTCCAAGGTTATCCGATATTGTTGTAAAATACAGGATGTAAATATAATGAATTTCGCTGTGTAAACACCTTGTAAAGGGTATTGCCTCGGCGTTATAGCATTCTGGAGGAGTAGGGGTGAGGACTTGTGAAATATTTATCCTGGAGTTTATAATGAGATCCCATGTTCAATGTGGGTATTTCGTACGATCAGTGAAGAAAATCTCGGCCGAATGAGACTTGAACGTAACATTTTGCATGTCATCAGCTTCATTGATGGTAATGATTCATCTTCGTTCTTTTGCTTTTTGAGTACAGGAGTCAATTATTAACTGAAGGTTAATAATTTCCTTACCCTTTACTTTTCGTGTAACATCAGAACACCAGAAGCAACCAGTCACGTTAGCTCTGGGACCTACAACGCGTCACGTGGTTTGGCAGCTCGCGCCACTTCGTACAGCCGCCACTCAAACCGAGGGAATTCAGCGGACTTTTCAAAGACGAAAAAAGACGTCGTAGTTACGGGCACAAAAGTTAGTGACAATTTTTATAGGAACAATAGCGGAGGAAGAGCACGATCTCTGCATCTTACCTCAGTCGAAAATCCTTTCCTGGGAAACGGAGTTATGGAAAAAAGTTCTCTACAGAGGAAACAAGAAAGAACAGGAACGCAAGAACAGTTAAGTTATTTCGAAATATTTCTTAGTAGGGTGTATGGGATGGTCAAAGATTGAAGCACTCTGTTGCCTTGATCACCATTTGCTCTGGGGTTTTAGTGTAATATGTCATAAACTGACGGTAATCGTTGGTAAACAATGCAACAAGTCCAAAGAAGGAAGTAAATACTTCTTCAATAATCCTTCTGCGCATTTTTGTTTGTTTGTTTGTATCTTTTTATTTCGTTTTTGTTTTTTCTTTTCTTTTCTTTTTTTTGTCTTTTGTTATTGTTTTTTGTCTGTTTTGTTTTTGTTTTATAAGTTTGGTTTCCAATAGAGATGTTCTTCTTTTTCGGTTTTTTTGACCATCACAAAATTTTGGATTTAAGGCTCCCATCTCCAGAAATTTGTCGTAACCTTCACTTTTTTGCTCACGATGGGCAACGAAATAGCACAATTTTTGTTCCATTTTGTTTCTCGGAAATTTTTCCAGGGCTTTTGCTGCGTAAATGTTAACAGTCTGCACCGTACTCTAACTCTTTTAGAATGGCCTCCACAATGGTTCCGCCCGAAGAAGGCGCACAGGATCAGAACTTCAATATCACTGACAAAAAAGAGACATCAGAGACTTCACAACAAAGTGGAATAACACCATCGGGAAGTTTTACCGTCGGCACAATGTTTAAAGCCCATTTTGGTAACAGACAACCTTTCATCGGTAGCTCCTGGAATATTTTTGGAGTTCCTACCTTTATGAATAAAGACTCTAATTCAGCTCACTACGCGTACACGAGACGAACACAAAGTAGACATCACCCGTTTTGAGGAGTTCATTTACATAATGCACTCCTGCTAATATCGGGCTGGTTCCGTCGCCATGGGGAACTAATTTTCTTCGGTTGTAAACGAGCAACGCTTTTATTAATGTTCATCATTTGGTTTCCGAGTAAACCTTCGCTATCCTGGTATTACATTTGTTTATTCCTATCTCTTCAATGGTTGTCTAAATCAGCAAACGGTTATGTCAAAGGTAATTACAGCAATTTTCAATTGAGTGTCGAATGTAATCCGAGATAGCATTGGTTTCGCTTTATTCCGCTCTGTGATTGGTCAAGAAAACTCACGCCAATCCTCTTAACCAATCAGATTCGAAACTTGAACTTATCTTGACTCGGCCATTTGCCTTTTCCCGCGTTTCAGGCAGTGTACTTGACTTTTCATCGGCTCCTTCTGTGTTCTCGTTTCGTCGTATTTCTGTTGACATTACTGTAATTTTGGTTTGATGACACTCACTCAAAATTGGCTTAAATTTGATCAATTTATGATCGATTTTTCAAGACGTGACTTTAAACATGATTTCTTCATGTTAACAGCGGCAAAGGTCGAGTGAGGGCCTTTAACTCGACACCTTTACGTAGACACCCCTCTCCCCTTTTCCTCTTCCCCTGGTTAAGGGAAGGAAGTGTTAGAATCTAACTCCGCACCGCAGCCAACCCGGATAACGAGGCATGGCAAATTGAATCTGTATCTTAACATAAATTATTATCACGTACGTTTAACTTCGCTCCCTTTCAAGAGAACCGTCGAAGAGGTGACCAGAACGCGCAAAGTTAATATCATTGTATGATTTTATCTTGATTGAACGCATTGATAGTGTGTAGGATAGTTCAGTGTGCGAGTTTGTCATGCTACCTACATTACTTCTATAAATAATTATTTTTACTTAAATTTTATACGCAAAAGAAATGCATGTACTTATTTCTGTCCGTGTCTATTATGTAAACCCTTTAACTCCCAAGAACTGATAGTCAATTCTCCCCTCCAGCGACTACATATGTCCTTTTAAAATTAGTGACAAGAACATGATGTTAGATCAAGACAACGACTTCTACTTGATATGTTTGAGTATTTTCATTACCTGTTTGCTGAATAATGTATGGATATAGCAAGGAGAAGATAGACGTTTATCACTTCTGGGAGTTAAAGGGTTAAATGTGTGAAAATAAAAGAAATAGAGAAAAACAAGCTCTAGCCTGACACTTTTTGTGGACGGACACAATGTGCCTGTGGCTTTTAGGAGAATGTTCCAAAAGTAGTATTTGTGTTTAATTTCTGGAAGGCCCCTTTATACTCGCTGTGAGAGCGTTCTAATTTGACTGGTATTTTGGCAAGCGTGACGTGATGCTTGCTATTTCAAATGAAATGTTTTCTTACACGCAATTGGCTTTTGATAGAGACTGTTTTGACTGAGTTTTGTTTAGTACCACTTGAGGCCATTTCCCAATAGCTAATGTATTGAGTTCGTACCCCATCCAGGAGCGGATGTTGACAAGAGAAAACCGAGACCACTGCTTTAGGTCCAGGAAAACAAAGCAAGAGAGAGCACGCGAGAATTGGCTTAAGAAAATAGTGAACTTGTCGAGTTAAAACTCGTGTTTGCTGTCTCCATTTACTAGCTATGTAATACCTAATTTCAGTTATATCGTTCTCTTTAAGATTATCAGAAAGTTGTAAATATAAGGTGCTTACGAACGTGAAGGGCGATTTCGGCCTCTGATATCCATTTCGATTTGTCAGTGCGAAAACCTGAATGTTTGGCTGGCTCGTCGACGAAATTTTCTGCAGCATTTTGTAGGTTAGAGACGTTTTCTATTTCTATTTCTTGCATAGGAGGCTGGTTTCCCAAAGTTCAACACCAACTTGTGGTCTGACAAAACAATATCGACCTTGGATATTGTAACTCAGAGCAGAGGAATACCTTAGTTTGAAATTCTTAAATTTGTTGAGAGTCATCCGTCTTCCTGAATCTTGAGATCAGACAAGTTTCCAATATCTTTCTTGTACTTATGACGGTTCATTTTTTACTCGCATGTGCTTCCGATGCCGTTTCCCGACGATGACTCGACGAAAGCCTATGATATGGGATGACAATGCGGTTTTATGAAGGCTGTGGTATAGTACAGCACCGTAGATGTTCAAAGAGCAATCTTCAAGGCGCCAAGACACCAGTTGTGGGTTTGGCGCCGGGTGGAGAGGTTTTATTTGGGATAATGAAATTTCTTTCCCTTAGTTCTTTTTAACAGGATTAGTGGCTGACAATATAATGATAAAATCATCGAGCACTTTCTATTACAAGGAAATCGCAATTTAATTGTGGGGGTGTACACATAATCTACTCATCTTTTCTATTCTAAACTTCTTGGCGATGTAACCATTCAAAAATAGTGTTTTGATATTGAGCGATAGAGATTAATGGCTTAACTAATGAAATATCGAAAGAGGTTAAAGAGAGGTATGACGTTAAAACACTTAGAAATGGAATAAACAAGATTTATATTTTGAGACGAATTAACTAGTGTTTGCGCGAACTTTCAAGATGGAGGAAAATATTTTGTTATCATATCTATAGGATTTAAGACAATGATTCCTTCTCAGGTAAAAACACAGAAAAATAGAAAAATCACCCCTAAAACGTGGCAAGATTTCATCGTTTGATGGAAAGAGCAGAACAACAACAACAGTTCTTACTTTAGCTATATATTCGAAGACAAAATAAAGAAAAAAAAAAGAGCGTTAAGAAGCTCTGAAAAGTAAAGGGTGGTGGCTTCACTGAAACAGAGACTGAATTTTTCTGCAAATCAATACAAACCCGCCTACCTTGCCCAGTAGGAAACCAACGCTTTCAAAGGCGGTAAAACATACGAACAGAGATCAAATTACAGGAAGGGCTTAACCTCTCTCTCTTTCTAGTTTTCAACTTTCTCTCACGAAATACTTTATTTGGCGCCATAGATATCACCCACAGTTCCGAGCTTACGCTAACTTTGCCAACTGAAACTTTGAATAATATTTAGGCTCCTAAATTAACTTGTATCCAGTTATTGGTACTTAATTGCTTCGAAATGACTTCAAATAACGTTTTTAAGGTTTAATATATAAAGTAACAACAGAACTTAGTCTCTACTTGCATGTGGTCGGCTATTAAAGTACAGCCGCAAGCCTGTCCTTGTGGTATTTTGTTGTGGGATAGATAACACCTCTCAATGGCTTATTTACAGATCATTTATTTTTCAATGACCGTTTCAGTGCAGTTTCACGTCAGTTTCAGATATTCTTTAGACTTGGTCCTGATTGCCACAGTCTTTTTGTAAGGATGGAAAACATAAAAAGCTGTTTCATTATCTTGAAAATGAGGTGCATACACAATGTAGCTTACAGAGTTGAAAGCACGTTGCGTGCCGTGAGCGTTTGTCGGCTTCGGTCCTCACCCTAGCGTAGGTGTTCCATAACAACTCAGGAAGGAACCGCTGGATAGAGGCTTCAGAGTGCACAAAGTGATATTCTACTGCCTCGTGCCTTTTTTGGCTTGTTCTCTCGTTTATGAACCAACTTTAAACTTAAGCAATGACGTTTGTTGGACTTTGAACTTTGGTTTATAAACTATTCCTTAATTTGAGCTGTTTTTAATCGCCCTGACCCCTTTGTACCAAAACCTCCCAAAGTGTATTCCAATGTTAAGAAGTGCAGCCGACACAAACACTAATGGAAAGAACTTATATTGTGTGCGGTGAAATGATTTTAAGTCTATTTTGTGATTCTTTCGGTACTACAAATCAACTTCCCAGTTTTACATTTTTCAGCTTTATTTTTCGCAAACTGTACTGAGAATCATGAAGATTGGTTTGCATTAAAAGCTGGCGATGTGCTCTACAGCTTTGTTTATATAGGAGTTGAATGATATGGTAACACACCTCTAAGTTGTTGTTAAGTTGTTTTCAGCTCGTTCATAATTTTCAAAACTTCAGAATGTACAATCATCTGTTATCATCGTTTAAAAGCATCACACCAGGCCAAGAATATTTTCCATTCCGTCCTTTCTTGTTTCGTGTTTCGTATTTAACCAATGTCACTTAGTTTTTCTTTTCGCGCTGGCATTCAGAGAAAACCATTGAACAACAATTGAAATTTCTAGTCAAAAACATAGAGTGGGTCACTGAATATAGCATCGCGGTCATGTTGTATGTTGTAGATGCGCAAAATAAGGCCACTGTGGTGCATTTCGACCTCTGATTTGCTTACGATGTAACGTTAGGAAATAACTGAGAACGTTCGAGAATGGATAGCAATCAAAGCCGTCAGTCTTCTTAATTTTTTTTATCAGTGTCATATATATTGCAATTTACGCCCACCTCAGCCTGGCCCTGGATTTGTCACGTTTGAATTGATCCGTTTATTTGCCTCTTAGCAACCGTTGGCTACTGCCCCCTTAAATGACGGCTGAGATGAAATACCCACTGTCAAAACAGGAAAACATTGAAAACATTTGAAATTTATCTGTTTATTTACCTCTTAGCAACCGTTGGCTACTGCCCCCTTAAATGACGGCTGAAATTAAATACCCACTGACACAACAGGAAAATATTTTGTCCCATAACTGGATAAGTAGGGTGTGGGCATATTGTATGATTCTCCACAAAGAGGCATTTTTATGTATTCAGTCACTTTCAAAACTGCATGCAGACTTAGCTTTTGTCTTACTCCATAAAAGTTGACTGTGAAGGTGCCTTAAAAAACACGCCTCCTTAATTGCTTGTGATCCGGCCCGCTTTCATCTCGTTATCATGTTAGTTTTTTTCTAGTCTAGTCAACCGTGGATTATTCCCCGATGGCAAGTGATATAAAATATTTTTATTTGGAACAGTAATCTTCCGAACGAAGTAGGTGATTCGTTTTTCCACCTTTCAACCTCAACTTTTCGGTGATTTTGGTAGACTGGAATCGAAGGAGCACGATTAAGCCATAGTTTAATGCAGGTGAACACGTCTCAATTGGTCTAAGTCCCCGTCTTTGTATGTCAAGTACGTCCTTAGTTTAAATGAAGATTACGTGGAACGTGAGAAAAAAATTGGTCTCACTTAATTTGTTCGTGTAATTGTGCATTCTTTCTTACAGAGTTCACGGCAAAATATCAACCTAACTCGTTTACAACTGGCTGAAAATTTTCATTTCATGTCCAATTACCATACAAAATTTCCCTCAGGCTCCGCTGGTAATTTGCAGAATTAAGCTTAGAGCAAAGGTGAGGAAAACATCTTGATAAAGATAGATCACAATGTGGCTTTGGTAAATTTTCGTAGAAAGTGAGCGTATTATGAAACTCAACATTTTAACTTGGCTTCCTTTCAATTTCCTAATCTTTTCTCACAGCACTTTGTTTGGAGGCTGCAGTAAGTGATACTCGTTAAAACAGGTTCATGACATTTTGCTTTCATTTAGAAGCAAGAAACCAATCATTGAACTCAGTAATATTAAAAAAGTGTTATATGGCCGAAACAAAACAAGACAATTCACAACAAATATCTAGATATTCTTAAAATACTTCTTACGTAGCATTTAACTACTTCTTGCAAGTATGTCTCTCGTGATTCGAGGGCTTTGTGTAATCACTTGCGCTTGATTTTCTACATCGTTCCGTTTATTCTACTCTAAACAAGTATGTGTAGTCTTGTGTAGAGTGTTTTTTTCCGAATGGACGAGTGAATCAAATTCCACTAAAAGCTCAAATACCTTCTTTGCACGCGATCTGCACATTTCTGTTCATTTTGATCACGCACAGCCCTATTCCGCTAACTGCCCTCATGGGCATATAATACTAAAACCCTGACGCAAACTACAAAAAAATTGGAGCTGGTAAGATCTTCGCTAACCCAATATGTGCTCTTAATAATTACTTCGACATCTGAAAACCTCTCAAGCGTAGCCATGTAGAACTGATGGTTGAAAACTTTAAGCTTGAAAAACCTCATCGAAATTTGCAGGTTCCTTGCAAAGTTAATTAAACTTAATAAAAATTCTGCTTTATCAAATTACAGCACACTCAAATATTCTTTTTTGGAGGGAATTATTGTTTCTTTCCGTTACGACAAATGAGCTTCTCGAGTACATTTTCGTCATTTGAGGCAAAACGATGATTGATAGTTGGCTGCCTATTAGAGTAGAAGGTCACGTCATCTTTGCGAAATATCGGCAATTATCGCCAAAACAAAAGGCGATATTCTGATTGGCTGCTTGGCAATAAACACTTTCGACCAGAAAGGGTGCTCTCGCATTCGTAATGAACGTTGATATCGGGCAGTGTACAAGACTACCAGTTAGAAAACCAACTTACGACATGGCTCTCTCCGTGGAAAGAAAACATCGTGTATAATTCTCTAATTAGTGGACTTTTTTCAGCCTTGACTCATAGGAATGATCGCTGAAACTGTGGAAGGATGGCTGACCATTTTAGGTAAGTGACTGGGCAACTGATGTTAAATTAGAGATCGGAAATTAGAGAATAATAGCTTGCTAATTCGAGTTTGAATTTTTTCCTTCTCCGCCTCAGCCGAGGACGGAAACGAATGGCTAAGCCGATTGTGCGTTCTCTTCTCAAACGAAAAGAAACTGAGGACGTTTATCGATGATGTAGTAAGTACTTTGTCACTCTATCCTTAAATGAGTTGTGTAGCAAAGTTAACAGTCTTCGTCGACACAACATTTTAAGTGACTCAAACTTTCTCTTGTTTCTATTTCAGGAATATCTTGATTGCGCGCGGTTTTTGGCGGCCACAGCTAAAATCAAGGCCAAACTTTGTGACAGCCCTGACCTTATCTTAAATCCAACTCATGAAGGTAACCTTCACTAATCTCAACTATTAATATGCGATTTTTTTTTTCAAATCAGCTTTGATGACTTTATCATTTTCCCGTAGCAAGAAAATGAATATTCACTTATTCAAAATATGGAACCCGTATCTCAATATTATCAAGGCCCTGAATTTGATAGTTCATGCCGACCGTAGGTGTGTTTTGCGTCATGTAGTATTACTCCTTCATGACTTTATCTAAACAACAGCCTTTCTCGCTACGTGTTGTATTTGACCGTCTTCGGCTTTGACCAACTAGACAAGGCGAGCTTTCATAAAACTAAGGGCTCGGTTTAATGTGTTACACAAATCCGTTCCAAGCAGTTTTTCCGTAGGCCTGGTATAACTGAGATTTTAACCGAAAGCAAAATGGCTTTTACAATTCATTTAATTTCATTTGTGAAATAGCGATCGAATAATTTGTGGTCAGCCCGAGGAAACTATTTAGAGTTCTTTGGGGTTGATCTTTCCATAGCGAATTTTCTTTTTAACTGTTCACAATACGATACGTCTTTCAACTCTAAAACTGACGAATAATTACCTTAGGTTACATTACCCTTGATTTTTTTATTGCTTGTTTAAACAATCACAGAGTAAACCTCTTGTTTTGAATACTCATGACCAAAACAAACTCAAGCCGGAGCGAAAATTGCTTTGGACCGCTAATTTCTTTAGCGAGTCAAAGCAGACCGTTCCCCTTTGTTTACATTCAATGACTCTGTAAAGCGTTTACAAGACTCTTTGTATGTCAGTCTGCCGTGCTGTATTGTTTAAAGATAATTGTTCACGAGACAATTCGACTAAACATTCTTCCATAACTCGTGAAGAAGCAAAGCGTAGCCAGTAATGTCGAGGAAAACAAGAGCTCTTATTTTAGTACTAATTTTGTCATTTTTACCTCCATGATACAATGCTTAGTCACCCGATAGCAATTACTATTGTTGCCACTCTTCAGTATTTCCTAGGTGAATAAATTCTTTACGGAACATTAATCTTATGGTTAAAAAAAGATTGTCAAGCTAGCTAAAACGCATTAAAATGCCTTTTATACCTCGCGGTTGTTTCAAAACAACAAAAGAAAATCTAAATTTTACTTAAAGGTTTCGAACTTTTTAAAAATATAATACTCTGGTTTATGGCAAATTACAGAGCTTATATTCACACGGAGACTATTGCTCCATCACCTTCTAACCTCGTGTTGGCGGTTCTTGAAAGCAACAATTGTCAGAGCCGTTCAGCTGTCAATCAAAGACACCGACTTAGCGTATGATCTTACCGATATTCTATCGCACTCTAGAGGCTTCTGAGAATTTTTTTTTTTTTGTATTCAAAACTGTTTACAAATTTGTTTGTTTTGGTGGATATGTATTTCATTTTAAACTTTTAAGTTATTTTTCGTCATTCAATGCAATGTAACGGGTAAAGGGGCTACCTTAGTTTTTTTTTTTTGTCCGGTTACACCAACCTGTTTGGTGTAATTTACGAATGAAGTTTTCAGCATTTGTCTTTGCAAACAAATTCGAGAACAAAAGTGGAATGCGAGGCTTAAAACGTGGCTTTTGCAGTGTTTATTAGGCTAAAATAGGGATTACTCCAAACAATCGTTACTCTTTTCAAAAGTAATTAACTATGAGTTTGTCGACCAAACCGAGTCACGTCAATTTTTCTTCTCCCTTCTCGTTTTCTACCAACTGAGAGAAAAAAAGTAAAAATTTTTCATCTTCTTCTTTTTACTCGATTTTTCAAAGGCTTCTATTACAAGATTTGAAATATTGGGTTTCATTAGAAATTCCTTTTGGCGGTTTTACCTAGTTTTTCACGTGGGTAGTTTCATCTGATTATTGTCAGTGATAAGATTACATATCCAGTGGTATCTATTTTGCTTAATCATGTTTGAATTTGGGTGATCTTAATTTTTTTTTTCGCAATACTGACCTTTATATTTTCCATTTTAAGCGAGTGTTCAAGTGGGCATCAAATTTTATATAGTAGTTCTTATACAAATACAAAAATTTGGCTGTAACTGTAGATTAAAAAAAAAACATTTGCAATTTTTGTAGAGAAATTGGTTTATTCAGACAAAGAAAAATTACTAATTTGATTAATTTTATATTAAAATTTGATTAAAATTCTCATTTTCCAAAGAAATTATAGATTACTTAGATTCGACCTTATTTTTTCCTTTCCTCTTTTCCAACGGGTAACGATCAAACCTAATTCACTGGTTTTTATTTTTTTTTGTTAACTGTTCTTTAACTTTGTTTTTAAGTCTGCTTGTACTTAATGGTAAAAGTATGCTTGAAAGCAAATATTTCAACAACGGTTGCAACGATAGCAATTTCTTCCGCATAGTAAAATCAGACTGCTTCATTCAAACATATTAGGTGGTAGACATTTTTTTCTAGTAAGGGTAATTATTCCTCAACGCTGAGTGTGACAAAAGGTAAGAAATGATTCAAGAAAGAGTGCCTTGTAGTAATTAGACTAGAACTATTTGAAGAAAGATGTTTTTACTCTCTCATTGCTACCACTCAGAGTCTCGCCCACCTCCCTCCAAAATAGTCATTTTCCTGGTGGATATTTTGGTTTCCATTTACCCACGTAGGGCCCCGCGTTTTCTACCAAATAAGGAAAAATGGAAGCCTCTTGATTTTATCGCAAATGAACCGGCTGCTGAAAGAATCACTTTTCAATCGACCACCTGACAACATGGAATTCTTCGGAAGCTATAATGAAATATTTAATTAAAACTCATGAAAACTGTTATAAGTGAGAAAAAAGTAAAAGGCGATACCAAAGACCACCTGATTCAGATATTGCTTTAACACATTTAATTGGATTTTATATTGGGAACATCAATAAAAAGTCACACGTTTATCATGAGCGTGGACAAAACCACTTCAATGAGCTTTGGCGGAATGTTTTCTAAGGCTCCTAATCTGTTAGGGTGTCAAGTGTATTATACTAACTTGAAAACTCCAAAGGCCTATTCACCTGTGCAACAACATGCGCTCATTATTCCTAGAAATTGGCCGATTGAAACATGTCTTCATTGCAATATTTCGATGCACAGCAATTCTTACCAAATAGTTTCCATTTTTACAAAGAAATTGCTCAATTCATTGTGATCATGCTTACTCCTTTAATGAAATAACAGGGATTCTATGAAAGCCTCGATTAGCTAAAACTCTATCGTTTATTGCACCAGCAAACCCATAGAAAATTGAAAAATACTGTGTTTTGTTTTAAATTCATTTTGTAAAAACATAGACCGCAATTCTATCGGTTTACCAATGTAAAGGAAAAGGTATGGCACGACGTAAAGGTGGATTTTTATGATAGCCAAGTAGGAAGAATAGGATACCTATTGCCGGGCCAAACTCTGTTTATAATGAAAACATACTTATAAAACTAATCAATAAATATGAAAAAAAAGGGAAAAGAATGAGCATCGAACTCAAAACTTTTGAATCAAAATGTGTCTAGCCATAAGGTCGCTTTTGTTTCTTTCTCTTCTGCAGCTTCTGGAAGAGAATTGCATGATGGTTAAAGTTAGTTACGAATCTCACTTAGGCTGTTCCTTGTGGCCCGGTGGAGAAATTTATTGTCCTGCTTACTTAGGGAGATGTAATGGAATACAATAGCGACCAACTAGCTTTACACGGGATTTTCGGATTAACATCTTCTTTTTTATGTGATGCTAACATCAAAAAAATGAACTCAGAGGTCAACGAAGCCCTACCAGCGGTGCCCTAATCAGTAGTCCATTTCTGAGTTCTAAACAGCCTCATTTTCAAAATGAGGCCACGTACAAAACTTTCTTAAAATGTGCTGATTCGAGTTATTTTTATTTTGAAAGCTTTGAGCTTGGCCTCGTTTTAAAACAGTGGTTTGGAGAATCTCGGAAATGGCCCCTATTCAACGCCTGATAACAAACACCTAGATATTTAGTGCTTCAAAATGCGACTTATATTCTCAAATGAAACGACCTCAACTGTCGAACCTCGAATTTGGGATTCCTGTGCCCCATGATCAGGTATGAGGTATGACCTCATACCTGAGAAGGAATAACTTTTCATCCATGTTGCTCATTACTTTTTTGCAGGTCTCTCCCGCGCGCACCGTTTATCTCGCAGGAGCCGCTCTGAAAACGCACTGTCAGCAGCACAGAATGGAAACCGCTCAAAACTAAGTGTAAGTTTCCGGTCCTTGTGATCTATTGATGCTTCCATTTAACCATAAGACTGTTTAACACAACATTTGCCCTTCATGCTACATCTTTTTTCATCGATGCGCCGTAATATATTTGAAACCCTCTTTGCTCCAAAATTCTGGTAAAATTTGGAAAGTTTCTTATCCCTCGTTGTTCCAAGGATGTAAAAGCAGATAACGGCAGCACTTCCACGCAAGTTGAGCTGGAGGATCACTTAGATTTTTCTTTTTTAGCAAGGGGTGTTGAGAGGGGGCGAAAGTCGTTCAACTCAAATTTTACCGTTAGGTTTAGAAGCATTCAATTTTTATTTTATGATCGCAATGTGTCAATAATACATGGTTAGGTAAGCATTTGAGAGGTTTGGACCTGGCCCAATTATTTTTTGAGAGCTACTTAACCTTTAAATCTCATAAGCGAGCGAACATTGCAAACATTGATATCAATCCTCCGCCCAACAGCCCCGAGCAAATTGGTCCACCACGAGGTGTTGTTGTTATAATATTATTCTGCCAAGTTCATGCACTCACCAGAGTAACATTGATTTAATTTCATGGTTTCATCGAGGAGACCTGCGCTAATAATCACAATAAATTAAATTCATTCCAAAGATAAAAACTGAGTCCTGAAACAAAATTATATTAATGGACAGTTAACATACTCATTAATAAGTTCATACGATTTGCAAAGTGAACCCCCCTGCGGGCACTTTGGCGTAAATGCGACAATACCCTTTCAGGAGATAAAAATCTAAAAACCGTATTGTTACCTTTTATTATTTACTTCTGAGCTTAGCAGCTCGCATTTTTCTTCGATGTTATCTTGTTTCAAGTTAGTAGCCAGTTATAGTATACGTTCCTTTTAAGGAATTGTAATGGTGTTCATCGACCAATATAGCTCTGCTCTAATGAAACTAACACCATATTAAGTTTAGTGTGCTAGGAGATGGGAAATCAGTGCAAAGCTCTTCTGGAATTTTATCCAAAATATTAAGGACGCCATCCTTTCCCTGAATCTTTTTAGATGCTAGGTTCAATGACTCAACATACAATTCCTTCTACAGTATATGTTTTTTGTGGGACATTAAACGATTCGTATCCATTAATTAGAAGCAGATATTTTGCTTACAATTTCGTTGTAAATGTACTCAAAACGCCATATTGCTCGCGGTTAAGGCTTGGGTCCGACATTGTTCTGAACAATGTAGAGTAACTGGCGCAGCGGGATAAACAAGGCACGCATAGAAATTTTCTCTAGAAAATGTAACCGTGGTATGTGGGCAACAGTCTTATAACTGCCAACTGATTTGGAGTCTGTATCCAGTGAACTTGAAAAATTGCAAAGCGGACGGAATTTTTACAGAAATCCTACATGCCGTTGGTAAGTTAGTGTTATTCATAAGTTAAACTCGTGTCACCATGAATGACTTAAAGTTTGTTTACCTTTTCTTTTTCTAGTCGCTAAATTACCCTTACGCGTGCCTTGTGACATGAGCCTTTAGGTAATTTTTGAAGGTTTCTCTTAGCGGCAGGAACTTAAGTATTCAAGATTAAGTAAAGTGTGGGTTGTAGGAACAGTGCTTGTCGTGACTGAGGGAAATTTCTCTTCGTGATGCTCTCCTCTTGAAACTTTTTTAGTAACATAGCATCACGCATCTATGAGTAAAATATGCAAGCTTCGTATGGAATGATCATTTTTCCTTTCTGATATCTTGATCAAATCAAGGAGAAAAAAATTATTGGAATGTTCAGAGTTCGACAACGGAAAATTGCAATGCGTGCTCTCTTTGTGGTAATTATTCAAATTTTGTGACAACTCAAGAAGTTAAAAACAGGCCAATATCCACTCCATACACTATTTATTGGTGTTGCGGTTATTTTTTGACAATAAATTTCACGCCGTGAAATTATGAATTCACATCTTTCAGCATTCCGTCTGTGTCCAACAAAGAAACCATTGTGGCTGTATTTTTTAACAATAGAAGGCCGGGAGAGGCAAAGGACTTGAACACAAGACGTAGCTTTCGTTGCCCGATTGCGGGTGGAAAGACAAATACAACCTGTTCGCATCTAGCAAATCATAATTAAGAACATGTTATTGCAATTCTAAAATGGTTTTCGGAAGTCAATGAGCCTAAGGAAGAGGGCTGTTTAGCAACTGCCTTTTTAGAAATTTAAGTCCTTACATTTCTTTATTATTTTGTTTAAAATGACTGCTACTTTCTCTGAGGAATATCTATATCGTCAGAAAACTGAGTAAGTATTCTTTAAATCGAAATGTTTGATATTTTCCTTACATTTGCACAGAGGCGCCGTGAAGTAGCAATTATCAGTAGCTTGACCCATCTGGAAACTTTGATTAAATATTCATTTTAAGACTTTTACTTCTTTTAGGACTTTTTTTCCAAGAAAATTGCTGATGGAAAACGCAACCGCTCATTAACAAGAAGTTTGTTTTTACCCGGAACGAACAATTATGATAGGTAAGTTAAGGAGCTTGCAAATATTGGAGAGCAATATTTACATCATTAATTAAGTAAGAACAAAAACAGGCGGCCCAAGCTCCAGCTGTGAGGTGATCATCTTGCGCAATGACAGTCATGGCGAAATTATAAGAGTTTGTATGGGAATATTTACGACTGCTCTAAGGAATAAAAAAATACGTCAAATTCTCAATAAATACCTTACCTTACTTCTAGAGTGTATCGCTTGTTATCTGACCGCTTACTTTGATAAAAAGAATCCATTTTAGCGAGTTGTCCATTTCGAGGTTTTCCACGTACATAAGAGAAGCCTTAATTCCATATAGCGGTCGTAAATATTCGCATACAAACTCTTCTATTTCCGCCATGACAGTTATTGCGCAAGATGGTGGAGCTTGGGCCGCCTGTGGAAAAAATGGCTACCTGGTGTTTCGTTCGTATTGATTCGCGGTTGATCACCTTTCTCTTGCAAATCATTACAGTTTATAGACTTATATTCACCAGAAATAGTTTTGAAAAAGTCTTGAGTAAATTTAGCAGAAAAACCAATTAACCAATTAGATATAAAGCAGGTGCCTAGGAGACGTGCCATATTGAAATAAATACGATTAGAACAAACGGAAAGAACTTATCTTTCAGTAAAATCACTCGTGCAATATAACTTCAAGAGAGTTTTATGTTCTCAGAGACATGTTCCTGTATAAGTTATAGATAAGTAGATTGATTCTCTTTTTTTGTTTTTTGCCATCGGAAAACGCATGAGAAAACTTTTTCGTCACGTTTCATTTCAAATAAGTAAATAGAATTTCCGTGGACGGCTAGGAACTGTGTTAAGCGATGTAACCATTCACGAAGCCAAAACGAACTCCCCTCAACTTCAATCAGAGATTACCCTTTCTTAGCGATAAGATTTTCATCAACAGTTTGAGGGCAGATCCTGCCAGGACTGTTGTTTCAGTGGATTCAGGACTAAAGTCTCGAGCTCTTTATCAGGGGCGGAAGATCTTTGGCGGTCTTTGTTAAGGACTCAAGGATAATCAGATAAACAGGAAAGGGGACTTCTAAAAATAAAGTGGTCTGTGAAACTGCTTTATCACGGATGTATGAAATTTTTTCTTATGGGAATTTTTTGTCTCAATTGAAACTCTACCTTAGAAGCATTTTTTTTCCATCACAATCGTTTGATTCTTCCTTAGAAGCAATCGTTTTTACTCAACCTCAGTAGCATTCATTGACTCTACTTTAGAAGTAATCATTTTACTCTACCTTAGAAGCATTTCTTTTTCCAAAACGGGCATTACAATCGTTTCGCGGCGATTTGTGTATAAGAATACAGTTTACACAGAGCGACTTTTTTCAGGAAAAAAACCGAATTGGAAATACAGTTACCATGTTAATACGTTTGCACATAAATGTATATCTCAATTTATCCCTTTTACCCCTAAAAGTGATTAGCAAAAATATTCCTTCTCCTTACAACATCGCCCCTCACATATTAAGGTCGCACTGTGAATCAAGGTTATGACCACAAACTTAATAAGCCCTTGGTTGCTAAACAACCTCTCCTTGTAAGCACTATAGGAAATGTATAGAGAACAGGATGAAGAATGTGTTTACTGATGTTAGGATGTAAAGGGTTAATACAGCGAGATTTCGAAACAATAATGCAATCTTGAAGTTTTATCACGGAAACTTTGAATGTCATTAAACTAGAAAACTAGCTAGAGTAAGCTGAAAAGAGTAGTATGCGTTTGAAACCTGGTGAATATTTCATCCAATTAGAGTAAATTTTTGGCGGGGTGGAGAGAATTCAGAAAAGGACACCACGGTAACGCATTAGCAGAAACGGTTTCTGACACCAAAGACTCGCCGACAAACTCTGCAGGCTTGGTTTATTTGTCTCATTGTCTGTTATGCCGGTGAGATTTTTGGAGATTACAGAATAGGCACTCTCTCGCTTTTTTTTCTTTTTTTCTTCAATCCTATATTTTAATTTCTCTTCCGCCGGCGTTGATGAATGCCATAAGACGCAAATTACACGTTCAAATATCCCGTCACGAAATATTGTGGCAAAATCCCTTAGAGCAGAACGGTTGTAATTTCTGTTTTAATCAGGCAATTGAACCTAATAAGTCTCAGAATGTGAGAGAATGAGCTTTCAATGCACTACGAGTAATTATCTTTATTAAAAAATTGTTTGCATGGTGCCATTAATTGCTTCTTCACTCCCATTGGCAGTCGAGTAATTTAAGTAATTTTTTTCTGTATAATAAACTGAATTCAATGGTTATACAAAAGCCGTGAAATATTCCGACCAAACCCGCTAATCCCTTGTCTTTGTGTTCGCTTAGCATGCCATTCTTTTGAGTAAGTCATGTTTTGGAAATACAAGTCACCCTAAAAGTTCCTCTATGAGGTGCCCAGGTTGTAATGGGTCGATTTTTCGGTGATGGTTGTTATGCAGTAACAACAATAGGAAGCAAACTGTGGTTATTAATTTAACGACAGATGTCATGAATCGTTTATAAGTTGCCTTGAATATGCAGATGCCTTCCATTTACGTTTCGGAGGCAACTCCAAGCGTGAGGGCCATAGCACGGTAAGCTTCTCAATATTATCAACCAAAACATTGCCCAGTAAAGCCGCTCTCTTGGCTGACAGTTACAACAAGCACTGCAAACATATTGCAACATAAGCTGCCGTTACTGCAAATTACATCTCCTCCGCGGAGTTGTTTGCAACGAGGTTACATCCATTACGATCTAAGCGCAAATTAGTTTTTTGAAACGAAATTGAATGTTGAGGCACATGACAGTGACAAAATACGTTGAAAAGCGATTTCGTGCTGTAGGTCTTGTATTTGATTAGTTTTTGGCCTCATTAATATCCGTTCTTGGCGAAGTTTACTCATTCCAAGGGCTTTACTGTTGTCCTTTCATATCCTGAGTACTTCTCTTTGATTTAGCCGGTGTGTGGAATAAAGGATTTGTCCCCCAATTAGTTTCTGGACTCTTGTAAGTTCAGATAGTGTGCCGAACGACACGATTTTAACATAATGAAATTTATTAATGTAAAAGTGAAAATCTTAGTGTTGCACTACGGGTTGGATACGAAAACCCTTTATTTAATTTGCTTGCCCCATCAAGATGTTTTGTCCACGGATATGAACTCATGCATAGAATTAAGCCGCTCTTTCCGCCAGCTTTAAAAGCCCTCAACAAGAAATAACTCCTAGAAATATTTCGGCTGCGTTATTTTCTGATAAAAGTTTTTCCAGCTTTTTTCCGCCTTCGCAGCTGGAAGAAAAACACAATTTTACTTTCCAGAAGAAGTGAATCAGAAAGAATAAGATCTCAAGTACTGAATTATGCTACAATATTGAGTCATTGTTCATTAATAGATCGTAAAGCAAACTTAGAGACACTGCTATGCATAAATTATCCTTCACTTGATGATGCTTTTGGCTGTTTTCAGATCTATTTTTGATTATTATGTTTTTCGGTTTCTTCTGCTAAAAGTCATAAATGCCACCTGTTTAAGACAACGCCGTAATTCCTCCCTCAATTAGCCGCTTCTGTCAAAACTCGATCTTAATTTCATTCAAGTTCTTATTAACTTAATTATACGTTAGATTCGGTCATTGATTCTCCAATCACGAGGTATTTGCGGCAGTTGTATGAAGTAAGAGTGATGTGTGTTGACACGAAGCTCACTGTTTGGTTATTATGCCGTACGCGCGTTTGAACTCGTGAGTGTGATAGAGACATTTCTGGTGCCAGCGTGTTACGTTTTGAGGTAATTTCATAAAATCTTTGCCTTTCTTTTCCAGCGGGTTTTCGAGTCTGAGCCCTCCGGCGATTCCGAGATGGAGATCGCATGAAACATTGGAGAGCAAAATGAAAACAACATCACCAGTAAGTGAATCATTGTTTGAAATAGCGCATGTAAACTACAGAGACTAAATGGGATCGTCTATCATAGGCCATTGAGTATGATCTTTTTTAGTAACTGTTCAAGTTGGAGAGGCAGATTCTTTTTAGTTACATCGGTAAAAGCTGTTACAACGTTTCAACTCGCGTGAAGTCGAAAGAATCTTTCGAAGTTTCAACTTTAACTTGCCTTCCAGAGCCTTCAACTAAAGTTATGGATCTTGTTTAGTAACGCCACAATAGTTTGTGTGAGAAGTTGGTGTTCGTACTATGGCAATGAAGACTTTTTCAGACCTTGGTGGTGACAGTCTTGTTAGCAAATTGTAAAAAAAAAAATCGTAAAATGTGTTGGCGGTCAAATCATTGTAATCTGTCACGTGCTTAGCAATTTAGAAGATTGTTTTTGAGAAATCACAGCTCTAAAACTCATCCAAGTTTAACTTGTGGGCCTTGTGTGTTTCTCCCTCATAAAAACGACTTAAATTTATCAAATTTAATTTCTTTTTTCTCATTTCATTTTAAATCAACGCATTAAAGGTCATGTTTGAATTACTAGTTTGGGTTACATTCGCCGCCAGTTTGAATTGTATGCACATGTCAAACACAAACAATGAAACAGTATATACAACAAACAAGGATGCTGCTCTGTTCACCAATAATGTAAGAAATGTAAACCGTCCAAGATAGTATTGTTGCCACACAGTGAAAGCGCTGTTCTCATGGACACTGACACTCGCAGTTTTCAACATTTTTGTAACTTTGAGTCAAGTAAGAAACGGATGGGAGTCTCGGCCACGTTGTTGTATTTTTTCTTTTAGAACGAGATTTGCAAGATCTGCTTGCTAGACAATATTTGTGATAGCGCCATCAACTGTTTGAACAACGAACCCAGCCTTGAAAGAGGTCTTTGTGTTAGATAGTAATTGCCTTAAATTGTTTTCACCACAAGGAATGATGTGGGTCGCAATAATTTACAATGGACAAATTAGAGACAAAAACTACATTCAAACAGCTTGTCTAACATATGTCACCTTTGATTTTTCCAAAAGCTCCAGGACACCTTGATATCTCACCTCAGTTCATAATTTGTATTTCGTGCCATTAATTGATTAGTAGACAAACAAAGTCATACAGTGTAACTCTTTTTGTTATATTGTTGTTTGTTTTGGTCGAATATTCGTTCATCTTGTGTTTTTTTTCTTAAGTCAATCTAATGAAAACAGGTGTGATTGCGTCAGTAGAGTAGATGTTACTGTTATTGTTATTAGAACCATCCTCATTATTATTATTATTAACATTATTATTATCATTATCATTGTTAAAATCATTAGTCAGAAAATCAACCGATGATTGCAATTACAGCTGTCAGAAAAAAAATGTTTTCTTAAATTAGATTTAGTTTATTGTGATGTATTAACCTCGCTGAAAATCAATAAAGTACGTACTATGCAATGTTTTCATAAAGCTACCTTTTCGTAGTTTTGATAACGGAACACTTTTTAGGATGATCACAATTTGTTTAAGAAGTCGTTTAGCTACGTGAATGAAAATTAAACCACAGTTAGTTTATGGGAAAAGTTTTTGACTATTTTTACTAGCTTTTTCTCCAAATCAACTCTTTTTTTTTAATTTCCCCTAACGTAGGATAGCGTGGACCTGTCAATCAGTGGTCACGTGACAGTCCGTCCCATCCATCCCAGCATTCTCTCTAGGCAGCACTGCTTCCAAGTAACCACGCCTCATGAAACCAAGTACTTCTCGTGTCGGAGCTCACAAGAACTCGAAAAATGGGTTGTAAGGTAAAAATTTCATATCTTCTTGATGCAAACGCAGTTCAATTAATTTTTTTCCCTTGTAAGAAAAAACTTCAAAGACCTCTGAACTCTCAAGCGTGGAATTCTTTCTTTAGTTTCTTCACATCTACTTTCCTTGTTAGTATTTCCGTCTTGAGCGGTTTCCGGCACTCCTCGCCGACTAGTTTTGGTTTCTTCTTTCTTGCTGAGGTGTCGTTTCATAATTTAGTTGATAATTTTGATGACAAATCATTTTGGCAGCGGCAAGCGTGTTTTCATGTTTAAATAAAATGTGACTTGTCATTGGTTTGCCAGAGTAATCACCCAAGCAGGATGTTTAAAAAATACGACGGACAGGTTTGTAAATCACAAGCTTCGAAGGCGAGTGATTTGCTATCTCGTCAGATCTTTTCACCGATAAAATGAACCGTCCACTGCTTTTAAAAAACGTGTCAGTATCAATCGGTGCAATGAACGGTATGTTTTTTGGCCAATCAGCGCTCGCCTGATCTCAGCCGTGTCAGTATTTATCAAGAGTAATAGATCTGAATTTAAAAAAATTTAAAAAATAATATAATCAGCTTGAAAATTACTTTATTCCGTTGACAGACTTTCATAGTAAGGAAGAACAATCAAAATGAATTTCCGCAGATATGAAGATAAAATTAGTTTAGGTAATTTCTAATCATCACCTAAGCCAAGTTATCTTATGTACATCTTACCTGGGCTTTTCCTTTTCCTTTTCCTCTCGGTCTTGTGCTGTTTAAAAGAGCCAAAATTCAACAGATAGAGGTGTATCGGTATATTTTGGCGAAAAAAGGCCTCGTAATTGTATATCGCGCGTCAAGGATTTTGACATTTTGCGTTTCCGTTGAGTTTGAAAGAATTGAAATTTCCTTTCAACACTTGTTGTGGTAAATTGTACACACAAAAGAGGAACCCTAACTTTCACTCTAATTTTTCTGTTTTATTTTGAGGATTGTATTTTTAGAAAAACTTGCGTTAGCTGCCTCGTACAATTTTCCCACTTCCGTTAAAACCTTTTGATTTCACTTGCATTGTCACATTTTAATTGTTTTTGGTTTTGACTGAAGTATCGGTCGATATTTCGCTCACTTTAATTTTTCTAGAATCATGAAGTGATTTTTCGAAAATCAGCTCGAGTTGCATTGCCTTGCGTCATCATCTCGCAAAGCTGATACGACTCTTTCTCTTTCCTTCTCAAGTTTCATGTTGGGTAGAGTTTAATCTACTTTTCTTTGCACGATGTCAAAAGCATTAACAAACTACCAATGAAAACAAACAGATTTGATATCATATTCAACACCAACTGATTAATCAGAAACGAAGGCATACAAAGTGGGACAGCCTAAGACATAAAAACGACTTTACCTATAACGAGACTTGGCGTAAGCCTCACGACAGACCTGTCATTATAGCGGAAGTTAAACAAACTTTTGCTTTCGCTCAGTTAGTTCAGTATTTCATTGATTGATTGATGGGTTGACAGCGTTAATCTCAGAGCTTAAATAATGCGCGCAAAAGAAAACAAAAAGAACATCTCGACGTGGTCGCTGAGTGAATCATGGAGCATCGTTATACAAGAGTGTGACCGCCTTTAATTGAAGTTCTCACGATTACTTAAAATGGTTCGTCACCAGGAAGAGTATGGAAGGTCAAAAATAATTTCACGATTTGGTTTCGCTCGATTTTTCTGTGTTTGGATTACTTTCATCGTTGTTAAAGGTTAAGATCTCTTGTCTAAGCTTGTTAAAAATGGAGTCAGCACGCCTAAGAAGTGATATCGATTCAGTCGATCTTGAAATACGGCAACACTAATACTATTATAAACTGTTTCGTTTCAGAAAAGCATCTAATCTTCGGTGAGAGAAAATTTGAAATCCTTTATGTACGCGGGACTCAGTAATCAGAGAGAGAAAAACAATGAATGAGAAATTTTAGTCATGCTCTTTGTTTTGTTTTAAATAGGTTATGAAACCAAGAGTTGAGGAAATTGTAACGTATATTTTATTTATTTTATCACAGCATCAAGAAATCAATCCAGCCAACGAGAGATGTACAGTACAGGACGGACATCGGTTTAACAGTGTGGATTGTGGAAGCCAAGGGTCTGACTGACAAACCTAAACGACGGTGAGGCGAACGGTGATACCTAATATATCATTTCGGTTAAAATTCGGAAAATTTCGCGTGTCCTATACAATGGCGTGACGTGCAGTCACATGAAAGGATTGTATCGATTACATTTTAGATTTATCGTTAACTGGTGATTGCGCCAGAAGTTTTGACGCTAAGGATGAAGTTTTCTAAAGCTGATGTAGTCTAATTCATGATAGAGGTTTTCCGGTATGAACGAAAATTTTGTGCGTCATGACTGAAAAATGAAAGACTTCGCAAATGTGAAAGAACAACGTCACGTCTGTTCCAACTTGAAAATTCAGCTCTTTTCAAACTTTTGGCCCTTCATTCCAGCCTGTCATTTTCAATCCACTGTATTCTTTTACATCCCTAACCTCATCAGTCCTCTTGGGTCGTTATTACCTTTCCGGTGTTTGCCTACTCCGTGAAACAATTATTTCATGATTTACCCTCGTTCAGCCCTTTCACCCTGAAGAGTGACAGGGATCTAATTGCTACTTACAGTATCACTGCTAAATCGAACATTACGGTCATGAGAGTCGAGAAAATGATTGCAGACTCAAGATGCTCATGATAGTCAAACAAGTTCTCCTTGTCGGTATCATATGAAATGTATAACGAGCAGTATATAGAATAATATATAGATTTATCCAAGCCTAAAAGCGGACCTCGCATTTTTTTTCCCGCACATTTCAAGGGCACAACGCCTTGCCCCGGCCAGAACTGGAACCCGGGTCGTCCGACTCGGAGCCCAGTGCACTGATTACTGGACTACTGGACAAAGACGTGGCGTTGGCGTGCCCGCGGCACAGTTACCCACGCATGCTAAAAGTAGCACCTTGTACGGTCGTACGGTTGTACATCCAAATTTTCGGCTTGATGGGTTACTACTATTTTGTACAATTATGGGGCTACGCTCTGTGGGCTCCACTATGAATGCTGTGAAGGGGGTAAAGGGTTAAAAGGCAATTTTCTGCGTTGTAGAAATGACTCAAAGTATGATAAAAAGCGCGAAAAAACGTTATTAACAAGATATTGCTACAATAGCTCGACAACATTGTGTGACCATGATGCATAAAAATATTAAAATTTGTTGGAAATTATTGTATCCGGTACAAATCATTCTCCACTTATTATTTTGTGAAAAAAAAGCCGTAAGAACTGAGTGAAACTATCCCACTTTTTCATTTCCAGGTTTTATTGTGAGCTGTTTTTCGACAAGGTTCTCTACGCCAAGACGTCTTCCAAGACGAAGTCCGATATTTTATTTTGGGGAGAGAATTTTGCTTTCAAGTGAGTTTAAGAAAAATTGAAGAAACCGTTTGCTTGAAATTAGCGTTGCAATTGTTTCGAGCGAGAAGATTCATTTCTGTGCAGAAACATATCAACCCATATTTCGATAGTTACTGCATGCGTTTTTTATATTTTACGTTTAGAGCAGTTTTGAACTGAGTATCGAAAGTGATCGTGGATTCCACTGGCTTTGCTTTCTTTGCGCTGTGATTTGTCTAGAAAACTCGCGCCGCCACTTCAGCCAATCAAATGCAAAACCTAAACCAATTCTAACGTGGTCACTTGCGTTTTCCCGCGCTTCAAGCAGGTTACCCGTATTTACTTGGGTTCCCATTGGTTGATGGTGATGTAACCTTTGATCTGATTGGTAATTTTGATTACTTTGGTTTTGGTCTTTTGATGCTCATCTGAAAATTGCTCTTAAAGTTTTTCTCGGTGTAGATTAAATGTTTTTCTAGTTTGTTTGTTTCTTAAGTTCAGTTGTGATCCCGTTTGGTGACGTTATTTGACAATAATTAATAGTCGATATGTTTTTCAGTGATTTATCAGAAGTGAAGACTGTTACAGTCCAAATCTACAAAGAAACGGATGGCAAAAACAAGAAGGATAAAAGAAAGCCTGTTGGTGAGAAGTTGACATTTTCTTTATTTTTGCTCAGGTACCAAATTGCAAAGAGTGGATGTGTCATTTAAGAATTCGCCATCTAAGACATCTTGGAATAGATATGCCACTTTAAAGCATCTAGAAAATGCACTCTTTGGTCCACTCCAAGTTTAGTTGTCAAATGTCTATAGACATTAATCCTTTTATACTCTCTGTCCCAGGCTCCGTGGACGTGCCCGTCGACTCGTTGGAAATGGGTGTTGAAGTAGAGAAGTGGTATCCCGTTACCATGGAGAGCAACAAGACCAATGGAGGAGAAGCTTCCAGTATCAGACTTCGATTTAAATATCAGGTTTACTTTTTTTTATGATGAGATCTGTCTTGAAATTACCGTTTTGTTTTATTCATAGCCTAGCTTCTGTGACTTATGCTATGTTGCCCTGCAACTGATGCACTCGCTCGTCTTGTTTGTCCCTATACAGAAAGTCTCCATCCTTCCAGTCAAGAGTTATGTTGAACTGTCAGAGGTATTACATTTTTTCTTTTTTTTTCGTCTCTTGATCCTAAGCAATGTTCTTACAAATTATTTGGTATAGGTGTCACGAGTATCTCTACCAATCACCAAGGCCTAGTAGACCGAAATCAGTCCACTCCTAGATTACTTACATTGGTAAATGCATGTAATGCAAAAGCAGTGTTAAATAGCCTTAAATCATTTTTTTTTTGGTTTTTTTATTATTGGTTTGTTTTCGCTTTAGCACTTGCATTGATTTAATTTACTTGAATTCTTTTTCTGTTTTGTATCTCTCCAGTATTTAAATCGCAATTATATGACAATCTGTAAAGCTTTAGAGCCAGTGGTCAGCGTCAAGCAAAAGGTTTGTTGTCAGACCGACTCATCCTCATTCATTCCTTCGTTTATTCATGTATCTGCTGGACGTTATTTTTTTACTTATTTGTTTTGTTACATTTGAATACAGGACGAGATTTCTAGAGTCCTTTTAAGAATACTACAAGCTTGTGGAAAAGCGACAGAGTTTCTCTCGACTATTGTTATGGACGAAGTCAATAACTTGGGTGAGTAAAACTTTTCTTTTTCTATAGAATTGAGGTTTCCTCTGCTTATGACTATTTTTCCCTGTTTATAGAGGATGAAAACCTCGTATTTCGTGGTAATTCCTTCGCAACCAAAGCAATGGATTCTTACATGAAAATGATCGGCGAATCAGTAAGTAAATTTTTCAACTTTACGAATCTGTTCAGCAGTCTTGTTGGGGCCGACAGGCGGCCGAATAAACGAAATGCGTACTGATATTGATTAGGTGACGTGGCCTAGTAGCATATGGTTTTGCCTAAGTGTAGTTTCGTGTCGGGGACTGTAAATGCTATTTTTTACCGTAGGCGTAAATCAATTCGAGGCAACACAAATGGTGTAAATTTCTGTATTTGAAATAAGATGATCTGGATTAAAGCGTTGTGTTCTACAACTACGAGCCAAAAAGCTCTCTGCGAATTGTTCCCAACAAGTCTATGGAAGTTATATTGAGAATTAAGTAATGATCGCGCCTGAAAGAGGATGAGTTCATTTCCAAGTTCTTCTTCGCGCTTCCTCTGAGGTCAAAGCATCTCTTGTTCTTTTAGTATCTGCAAGACACTCTCGGAGATTTTGTTCAGTCTGTGTATGAGTTTGAAGAGGACTGCGAGGTAAGAAAAAAAAAATGTGCTCAGAAAACACTTTTACAGAATCACAATTTTCCTTTTCATGTTCCACGTAAATGCAGAATTTGACATTTTTCCGTCTGTTTCTTTGGTGTTATCGTGATTGTCAGTGCAACGCCTTAGTCACCACTCTCTCGCCTATCATAGATGTTCATTGTCTTTCTTTTCCTTCAGGTCGACCCATCAAAGAAATCATCCGGGAACCTCGAATCCAATAAGGAGAATCTAAAGACTTTCGTAGAGAAGGCATGGAACTTGATCATGTGTTCTGCTTGTCTCTTTCCCAGGTAAGAGTATTATAAATTTTTCTCCCAAACAGGAAAATGAAGTATTAAGCGGGTAATCTAAAGATATCAAACAGTTCATTTTATTTAATTTTACCCTTTAGTCGTACAATTTCTCCCTTTCTCTGGTTTAAAGTCTTTACTCGTCTGTGTTGTTGTTCTTGTTAGCGATCTGCAAATAACCTTCCACGAATTCAGACGTTGGTGCGAAGGTAGAAGTGAAGATCTGAGTACAAAGTTAATCAGGTGAGTTAAAAACTTGTGAAATCAAAGTGAGGAGAAGCTAGGGAAGTACTGTAGTACATTTTTTCTTTTCTTTTTTTGCAGTGGATCAATCTTCTTGCGATTCTTGTGCCCTGCTATTTTATCACCCAGCTTATTCCATTTAGTTCAAGGTAAGTATCAATAAGAACTATTTTAATTCGTGAAGCATTCGAATCAGTTCTTTCGGTGTTTACCAACGAAACAAGTCCTCCATTTGATGTCGCTTGTTTGTTCGTTCATTCATTGCTTTGAGTTAAAATCCTCCCTTCTTCCCTGTAATTAAATTTTCACCCAATCACCCGATATCGTTTTTTATATGCCTGTGTGCTCAGCTCTTTGTCAGCAACACCAAGTCTACGGTAAACGATTGACGTTTCCTAGATTAACCCTTGAATACTGATTTTTTTCGAAAATTCCTTTTCCAGAATATCCTAATGAGAGAACCTCAAGAGCTTTAACACTGATAGCCAAAGTAATCCAGAATTTGGCTAACTTCACCAGGTAAAACATTTTAACAATTTGCTAAGAGAGCACACCAAATCTTACTATCTATCTGTGACGTCAAGCGTGATTTGAAACAAAAATTAGGCACGCGAGCGGTACATGAGTGTGCTTCTGGTGAGTAGCACTGAAAGCTTTTTCAGTTCAAAGCGAGAGATTATAAACTGCTTATACTGAATCTTTTGGTTCAAAGTTTGCTTTCCACTTTTCTTCAGGTTTGGTGGAAAGGAAGAGTACATGGACTTCATGAACGGATTTGTGGAAAAGGAATTCGTAAACATGAGAAAATTTCTGAATGAAATATCTGTAAGTAAGATTCATTTCGTTTTTTAACATTCTTTTGCTAAACAGTGCCATTCCCAAGGCATTATGGCATGTTTAACTCATGAGTAGACTTGGTTTGGCGAGGAAAGTTTGTTTTAATTCCGGAAAGGACTTTAACTGGAAAACTTGGAAAGCTTACTTTCTCGTTATGTAGAACACTTTTGAAAAATTGACACGATGTCGTCATGTCTAATAAACATGCATAATCGTTGCACATGCAAGTCTCGTAAAACGAAATATCTGATCTATGCCAAGCATTTAGTTTTTAAATAGCAAGCATTTAAGTTACGTTAACTCCGAGCATTTTCCAATCAACTATTGAAGGTTAGAGTCTATTTCACCGACCTAATACGAACCGAATCGTAAATGCGCAAGACTAGTTAGTCTTGATTCTTTGAGCTCCGAAACGAAACTAACTTTTTTATCGTTGTCGGCAATTTTTTGGAATAGTCAAGAACGGACACCACAGAGAATCATTACGAAGGAATAATCGACATCGGACGAGAACTGGCTCTTATGTTCAACATGTTAAAAGATCAAACCAGCAAAATGAACCAGGTATGTCTCTGAAAGTTTAAGATCCTCACATTCGCAAACTAAAGAAAAGCTCCCCACGAAAACAAACTGGCATCTTGTTCTAAGCACGTATTGTACTCTGACATCTTGTTTCCAAAAATAATACATACCGGGTAAAGATTAATTCTAATTGATGAAAACAATTGCTTTTTCGTTTATTTAGGATGCCCTTGAGACGCTTCGCCCATTGCAGTTTATCCTCAAATCTCTGCAGGAGATTTATCATGATTCCGAAAGGAAATTCGCTGTCGGCAATGAAAGCCTGGTAGCTCACAGGAAGTGGGCATCATCGTCGGACCTTGTGAGTGATCAAGACAAAAACAACATCACTCTTACTCCCGTTTCACAAATAAGGATCATGAAATCACCGAACAGAAGGACTCAGAGTCCTCCAATTAGAACATCTTCGGAATCTAACCTTGTTTTCAATGGCGGCACGGCGGCGACGACCCCCGAACACTTAATGACTTCTCGTTACGACGAATCCATTTTATCACCCATTTCCGATATCGATCCTCCAAGCTTATCACCGCGACTACGACCGAACTACGATGATGATTTACAAAGCAGTTTTCGCCGACGATCGTATCGGAGAGCGATCGCATCCGACGAGGTAAGCAAAGTCATTCCTGGTGCAATCGAGCGAGAACGAAGCTCGTCCGAAAGACGTTCGCTGACGAGAAATTCGGATTCACATCGGCGATCTCAATCAGAGAGCCCTCATGTCATTTCAAGTGTGGACAGCGGGAGTCCTACTGAAGCACGAGTTATTTACAAAGGAGAATTATCAAACTCGCGATCGAGTCTCAAATCAAAAGAGAGCGCAAACCATAGACACTATAGAGCTGTTTACGATTCACGCCAAAGGGACGGAAAAGATGGATGCTTGAAACGAAGAGCACTGCCTCGTGGCGTGCCTCCTGGAAGCTCGCCCATTATAACAGATCGATCTCGAACTTCGTCACCCGAGCCTCCGCCCCCCCCGAGGCCGACCGCGCCCAAGCCACTCCTTTCATCAGCGTCTGTGGACCCGAGCCACTCCTCTCCTCGTCTGAACAACCATGACTCATCGAGGTTTCTCAATCCCGCCGTTGGTCGTGTGGCTCGCAGCCCGTCGGGAACAAGTAGTAGTTCCAGTGGAAGTGAAGAGAGTTGGCACAGTGTTGGAAGTAGTGTCGAAGGTGGGGGAGGGGGAGGTGGTTCAGCCAGGAGGAGGGCGAGGAAGATGCCACGGACACCTAGTCCAGAGGACAGAAGGAGGGAATCTGGGTAAGTGACAAGTCTTCAAGCTATTATCCCTTTTTTGTATCTTTATCCTAGGAACAATTTCCATAGATTTCTTTTTTTCCGCTTATTTTTAAATTTACCACTATTTTTATCAACCGTTTAAGACTCTGGCTTCAGTGTGACTTACAATCCATGCTAAGGCCTTCAATGTCTGTCTATTAACTCTTTAACCCCTATGGGTGACTAGCATCTCACTTCTCGTTACAATATAATCCTAGAATCACCCATTAAGGTCATGAGATTAAAGAAAATTACCATCAGCCAAAGATGCTCTTGATTGTTGAACAAATTCTCCTTGTTATCACCTTAGGAAATGTTTAGAGAACAGTAAGGAGAATATGCAAGTTGATGCTAAGGTGTAAAGGGTTAACAGCGTAAGACTATTTAGTTTTTGGCTTACTCTATTTTTTACACGGAAATCTTCGATGTGAGAAAAAAAAAGCAATCTAGGTCCAGGTTTTGGCTCAATACTACATATTAGTTCCATTCCCTAGCTTTTAATGTCAGTTCTTCCATACAATTTTCGTGCTTTTTCTAACTTTTGGCACTGGTTTAATTCCTTCATAACGTATTCTTCCCATCTGCCAATATCTCACGTGCTATAACGAGAGTGATATTTAAATCACTCTTGAGCCCTAAAGAGCTGATATCAAATCACTTATCTCGTTTTTGCTTTTTAAAAATATGAAAATAGAAGTTTAGAGCCAGAAATCTCGAGCAGAGATTTACGTTTCCTAGTTTCTAGATTGAACTTTTTAACAAGGTCTATTTTTTCTGGGGAAAATGTCTTAAGAACCTCGTTAAAGTTCCGACCCTGACGTTTATTTCTTTGCCACACCCTTACTCATCGTCATTTCCCTCCTCCCCCTCCTCCCCCTCCTCCCCCTCCTCCCCCTCCCCTTCCGTTTAAGCTGCGTTTCATCTTCCTCATTATTATCACAACTAAAACGAAATCTAGACGGTCCAGTTAAATGATGGGATAAGGTTTTCTTTTAGTAGTCAAGACAGGATCACTTCAGACACCACCATGGACTCTAACGCACTTTCACAGACTTGCTCTCACAGTTGATATTAGCCGCTGGAAGTATATTGATATATCAATGGAAAGTCTCTTACCTCTAGCCATTTCCACCACTCGATCCGGTTACTAAAGTTTCCATGGCATGCAATTTATTTTTAGTTCTAGATTTCGTCATGAGTTTTTTTATATTCATTAATGCTGAGTCAGATTGACATTTCTTAGAGATTACTTCTTTTGTGCGTCTAGAAATGTCTGGCCAAGGCAGCAAAATCAGGTACTCCTCGATAAGGTTCGTGCCAGGAGAGAAATATAGGCTCAAAGAGCTGTCTCTTCAGAAGCTTCAGAAAGAGACTGGCTTGAAAAATCGACAGGCCTTAGATTGTTTTTCTGACGTAACAGCCGTTTACGGTGAAAATTTGCTTTAAGTATGATCTTTCTTCGAGCTCAAAAATACAATCATGATACAAGTGGCTGCATTTGATAGAGGCTTGATAAGGTCATAAAGAAATCCCTCCTTCGTTCCATATGGCAACTTACTTCTTTGAACATTTTTTGTCATTGATTTTGTTTTAGTTTTAAGAATTGACCCGAAATATGGTCTCAATGAGGTGATAGCTTTTACGACTAAGGGATAATTTTTCCTTTTTTTCACCGTTTTACGGCCAACGGTTAACCCCATCGAGACCCTCGAGAAACAACCGCTTCCTTTCAGTGCTGGATCTAATATGACTGATGTAAATTAATTGCCTCAATCGCTTCTAAGGACCATTTTATTTCACAGACTCTATTGTTGCCTCACCCTTAAGAATATTACTTTAGGTTATATTTCACAATGGTCAAAGAATGAATAACAGTGCAAAATCACTCAGAAATACCCTTGAGGTTTCAATGAGTTGAACACTCTGATGCAAATACTATATCTGTTGCTGTTACAAAGAACAAAAGCAAACAAAAGAAGACTCGTTCCAGAGCTTTCCAACAATAGTCCAGTCCAACACGAATGTAATTAAGGTTGGCTGGAGTTCGATCCTGAATTTTGACAAGCAAACGGAACTTTACTCATACTCATAGTGATTAACACTGTGCGTATAAAAACGTCAAGCGTCCGTTAGTTCGATAAAAGCCTCAATTTCTATTTATTTTGTTTGACTCAACAGCAGCAATCCTTGGGAGAGAATGCCGCCCCGAGCTGAAGACGCATTTGACAATGGCTATGACGTTCCGCCACCAAAAACAGTTGCAGAGGTGAGTTTGTCCCTGTCATCTGTTTCTCAAGTTTTAGTCGAACTAAACAGTTTGATACTAAGGCCAAACTTAACGAATTTTTATGTTCCAAATCACTGTTTAGCTAACCCATGTTGTGACGTTTATTTGCAGGGTATTGCTTTGCGTCTCGTATTTATTCAATACAAATATTACAATCATGGTAATCTTAAAGAAACGCTGATCTGAAATAACTTCACTCCTTTTGTGACAGCAAACCGCAACACGAATTCGTGCTCCGCGAGTAAATATAAAGTTTTTCGATGCAAAACAAAATATTCTTCCAAGAAAATTCTACCCAATTGGTCTCGCATCTCTAGTTCGGTAGTGACAGATGGTCTTAGGAAACATCTATTTGCGTTGTGTTCGGAGATCATTCTTTCGGTATACTTAATAAAGCGCCTTTTTCAAACCGGTCAAAAGAGGCTCCCAGAATAATACATCATGTGAAGATCCCTTGCGGGCAGAACTTTTCCGCGATGTTAACCTGTATCAATGACGTTCCAAATCAGTATACTTAGGTCGACTAAATTGCATTTTGATTTATCTAAGTAGAATAGGGTTTTGCTGAAACTCAGAGTCAATGTCTGTTTTTATTGCCTTGTGTTACAATTTAATTGGACTTTTCACAATATAGGAATATATTATTATCCTAGTGGGTTGAGCAGGGTCATTTGGGAAAGGATTTCAAGTGCAAAAGTGCAGCCTTGTCATCGAGAAACAATTAGACAATACCGTGCACATGACATGTCCTCTTAACCTTACGGTTATGGTCGAATGACATGTAGATCACAATATAATGTTGAAGTTTCTAAATGTAGCCAGCTCGAAAATCTTAACTAGCAATAAATAGATCGAAGATCTGTGTTAGGTAATAGAGAGCAAATTTTCCTAGCACGGGTAATGCAAAAGAAGTGTCACGGTCCAGTTCAGGTTAGCGTGCGAACCAACGGACAAACAAATTTATCAAGGGGACGAATTGTTTTACGAGAAATTACTTGTGAAAATTTTTGATTGACGCTTTTCTTGCAACTCTTCATTTCAGTACGAGAAAGAACTGCAAGATCTCCGAGAAGAGCTGTTGCAAACAAAGAGAACTCTGGCTTCGACCCACGAACAGCTCATCTTACAAGAATCCAGCACACACAAGCTGGTAGCATCCTTCAAGGAAAGACTAGCGGAGAGCGAAAGTAGTCTACAACAATTGAGACAAGAAAAAGACAAAGAAATGAAAGAATTACTCGACCGCTTGGTGAGCGTCGAGACAGAACTGCGCCAAGAACAGAGAGAAATGCAAGAGGTGATTCAAGCCAAGCAGGTCATAATTGAAGCTCAAGAAAGACGAATCAAATCAACTGACTCGAGCAATGCCCAGTTGATCGCCACTTTGAACCAGGTTGGTGGTTCACGAGCGAGCAACAAAGTGCTGAATTATCCGAGCAGTGACCTTTAGTCTGTTGAGGCCTGGTGACGGGTGGAAAAAACTCTAGACTTTTTGAGCCTACAATAGAATGTCCAACGGATACACAGGGTCATCTTTTCCAAGAAAGATGTGGTTTGGACGAGATGACCGTCTCGATAGGCATGAAAAGTGAAAGTCACAGAAATACGTACCAAAATACCCAAAAAACTCCCGACTACCTACCACGTGTCCAGGCTCTCTGGGCCCTTGTTGCTCTTTGAAATACTGGTAACGACGCCGAAGTGTTATTGTACCTGCATGGTCAAATGCCGACGTCAAAAATCAGATCAGTTATCCAATCTGATTTCACTTTTCGACCACCTTTAAGATTAGTATACTGAGAGAGTATTCCAAAAATTTTTGATTGGAAATAGACCGATAAAAAAAATTAAGTGTTTATACGGGAATAAGAGCTAAATATAAGTTGATGTATATTTCCTTTCACCATATTTCTATTTATTTATCAAGATATACCCTTCAATTGCTTTTTTTGCTTAGTAGTTAAGAACGTGGTCCTGTACAAACGTCTCAATAATTTAGCCGCTAATCAAGTTCTTACAGAAAGCGATCATTTAGATCGTGTGCTTCATATTATTCAAGTCAAACTTGACAAGGAATACAAATCGTAAAGCTTTACATCTGTAAAATAAATGCAAAGATCAGAGAAAATGAATTTGAAAGGAGGGGAAGAGCTTTGTATTTCTCTCTCTCTCTCTGTAAAAATTGTGAAGCAATATTAGTTTAAAGTAATAAATAATTGGTTCGTGGATAAATTTAATAAAGATAATACTTACAGGAAATTGTCTTTTTTTCCTTGAACAATTTTGAGGAGGATGAAGAGACTTCACTGAATTTCTCCAGTGTTGGGGTTAGGATACTGTTACTATAGTAACTGGAATTGTTTCCAACTCAAATGAAGTTGAAATGAATCAAAATTGATACCATATTCCATTCATATATTTACTGATCCTTACACTATCACAGAGCTTCCTGAGCCATCTCAATGCCGTCCTCCACCCCTCAAAAAGTTTCTTTGGACCTTTAATACAATCGTAGAAGACATGACAACAAAAACAGATAAAGGACCATGTCATTAACAGGGAAGTGAAAATTTACAGGTCAAACCTTGGTGTTACATCTCATCCCAGAATTTGCTGATCATTGTACTTCAGCTGACTATGAGGACCACTCCATACCCCACCAAGCAACTCTAGACCTTTACTGGTGATACCAATTGCAATACCCAAAGCAACTGAAGAAAAATAAGGTGTAGAACTGCGTGCCAGAAAGAAACCCAACTGAGAATTACCATCTGATCTCAAGTACTACCCCAAAAGGTCTATATGCCCTATAACTCTCTAGCAGTTTCACATTGTAAAGAAAAAAGTGAAGTAAAACACCTCCTTAAAAGGAGCAATGAAAATTTCACGTACAACAGAGTAGCAGTCAGGGGATGTAGCAATAAAAGTTAGGTATTATTGGGCATCACCAACATAGCTTGGCTAGAATAATGGCTTATGGAGCCCTTGTAAAAAAAATTCAGAGTTACAAAACAGAGGTTGGTTGTGAATAGAACAAACTTGAGTCAAGTTTGCTTACTAAAATTATGTCATTCCAATGTGAAGAAAAAATAGTCCAACAAGTAGCTTATTCTCAAATTTATTATCAGAGAGCAGATATCAGTGTGCACATTCAGTTGCGCTTTCTGCGAGTACGATTCTTCTGCACACCAGTGCCAGTCCTTTGGCTGCGGAGGATGGCACATGCCCTCCTGACAGCTGCATCCTCCAGATCCTGTCGGTAATAGTTCTTGCCACACAGGTTCTTAATGGTCTTGATGGTGCGACGAGAGTCACGAGCCAAAGTCACCTTGGAGGTAACCTTAGAGGGCTTGTTGGCATCTGCAAGGAAACAAATACCACTAAACCTAACTCCTATAAATAGAAAGAGTTACTTCCCAATGAAATTCACAGTACAAATTAAATGAAAATGTCAAAAGTTATGTCCAAGGTGAAGGTGCTCTGCTATACTTCACTTAGTCCACAGATAATGCACTCACGTTATTTTGCACTAATATTTACATTCAACATAACATTTAGAAAATGCAATGGGCAGGACAACTTGTCAAAATCTGGATAACTAGGAAACAAATCCAGCCAATTGCTCCAGTCATGCACATTTCTCAGCCACTATATGTATAAATGATAAAATACATACACTGAGATGCCACAGTAACTTACTGAACTGTAGGTGCATCAATTGGGGAGGACATTAGTGGCAACAATGGCTCATTTTATTCCACACATGTACAATGAAATAGCCCATTAAAAAAATTAAACTATCAACACCCCTCGTTAGAACTTAAAGTATATCCACAATTTCACCACAGTGTTACTAAGAGTTTAAGATTATAATATTTCAGGTAGAAAATCATTTCCAATGGGGCTTAATGTTCACCAGTAATTTGAAGCTTTTGGGTATTGCATGTATGTAAATGACTAAAGCCTGAACCTTAAAATACTAGAGTAACTAAATGTTTATGAAGGGAAGCATCACAAATAAGATGAAAAAAATCACTTCAACTTACACTTCTTCTTCTTAATGGTGAGGACAACACCTTTGCCAGAGGGTTCAGGAGTAACTCCAATGGACTGAAATGTGACAAGAGCATATTCAGAGATGCACTTGCACGCAATTATTTCACTTAATAAATTCCACTAAAAACTCCTTCCTACTAAAAAAATTCATTACTTCCTCCTCTTTGCAATTCTGCAGCCCAAGTATGTGCCTGGCAATATCATTCAAGCTACATTGACAACTCAAGTACCTTTCACAAGTACATTATCGCCCATACGATGCAGGACAGAAATACCCCATTCACAGGTCACCATAGTGACACAGGACTTCACAACCAGTATTTACCGTTTACACCCACATCAGTATGCATGTTGTCTAGAGTGTCCTCTGTACAGTTCCTAAGGTGCTGACGAGGAGAATTTGTTTAACAATTAAGAGCCTCTCTAGTTGGTGATCATTTCCTTTACTTTCATGACCTTACCAAGTGATTCACAGGATATTGTAGAGAGAAATAGGATAGAAGTCACCCTTAGGGGTCAAAGGGCCAATTGAGTGATTTCATAATGGGTAAGATAATAGTCTAAATATTAAACACAATCTTACCTTTTTGTTCACCAATCCACAATGTTTGAATGCATTCCTTCCAGTAAGGTTTAGTGGTTCCTAACAATAAATGATAAGGTAACTCATGATCATCATGCTCTGATAAAGTTAATTAACTCAAGATTTACTCTCACTAACTTTTTACCATGGCCCATTTACATTATCAACTATGTTGATAAAACCAAACTATCTTGTTAAACCCCATTGACATAGCACCACAGTTTCTTTAGAAACTTACACCAATTAACACAAGTTTAACTACTTTTTTTAACCTGCGACAAAATAATTGCCTGTGAAATATACCTTTGAAAATGTGGCTCCCTGATTTTTCAACAAGAAACAGGAGTGGTTCCTTACAATTATCCACTGCAAGTCGGCAGACATTTTTCCTGTCCAGACAAAACAATTACCTCTTAGTCAATTTGATGGACAGAAGCATGGGATGTTCTACAATGTACACTATCAACTCATCAAACCTTCAAATAAACTTTCCCTACTTTGCACTGAGCTTAAATATAACAAACTTGTTTTTGTATATTCCTGTCATTATTTTGCATATTCAAGGAAGAACCTTATTTCAAAAGTCCCACTAGCAGTATGTTCATTAGAGAATGGAGAAAATTGTCCATCTATCACACAGAATCCTACAGCTACATCTCTATAGGCCTAAACAATATCTAATTCAGACTTGGATATTACTTTTCTGATACCACACAAAATGCAGCTGCAACTAAAATCTCAGTAGCATCCCTGTGCTAAGGACCAAGCTAAGTGTCCCCTAAACAAAGGGATCACTCGAGTTCTTGCACAGAGGCAAGTCGTTGACAATTTCACTTTAAAAATCAGTTAATGGTTTGGTAACAGTATTAAATTAAGCATTTGGAAATTGGATAATTAGTTGCCAAGGGCTATCCGTAGTAGACTCCAAAGCAGTGTGCCAAATGAGCACTCAGAAATTTCTAATATTATTGAAACACTCACCGTTCTAACCACAAGGGAGTTTAAGTCCTTAGTGGCTAGCTTCAGTGGTTTTCGATTTAAGAACACACAGATGAAACGACTTCTTCTAAGTTTTCAATTTGATATAAATTCATTCTTTCAGCTGAAGGACTTCGATACAAGCCTTCATTCAAAAGTTTAAGTTTAAGTACGTTCATAATTTTCCTAAGTATGAGAAAGAGAGAAATTTTAGACTCGAAAACTACCAAATCAAGGCAGTATCTAGGCGAAATAAAACTGAGTAAAATTGTTAACCAATAGTACACGTGAAGTCGAAAGAGAAAAAGGACTTTGTTGTAAGGAACAGAAGAATAACGTCTGGAAATACGCTAATATTTAAATTGGAAGCAATTGGGTATTTCTTGATCGATTTTCGTAGACCAAAGAAGAGAAGAAAACATACGAAAACGCCAAATTATCGACAAGCAATTCGGCTTACCGCTTAGAAATGGCGACCACGAGCAAGAGAAAGATAATAGCGCATGTGCCAAACAATGCAGGGGGTCCATCACCGTCCCAGGTTTCCACGTTTTTCCTAATTCCAACATGGCGGACTCAGCTGATCGATCATAAGCAAATTTCTGTCGATAAACCGAGAGTTCCGGAATGGGAAGAACCGTCATCATCGAGGAGTGTGTCGAAAATTATATATCCTCTCTTTATGGAATCCATAAATGGCAAATCGGCCTAATAATCGGACAGGTAAAATTAAAATGTGTGCCCCTCACTTGTGCTAAAATATTTTCTTTTCGGTACGGTGTAAGTTTTATTTAAGCGTCCGTTCCTTTTTCAGCTTTCTCCTCAAAGAGACTATGTCCTTCATTTGGCTAGGACTCCAGAGCAGACAGGAGATTCAGGTATACAATTAATATCTGTGATCGCCAATTTCTCTTGTATTGGGCTTGAAAACTCACAAAATATAATCTTAAGCTTTATTCATTTTACACTACAACGATACTGAAGAAGATTACAATGTGTATTGAAGGAACATCCTGAAGAGGAGAAGAATTGCAGTGCATTGTAAACTGTGGATGACTTCTTATTGTCTTTCTTCTCCATTTGCCTTTTACATTACTTTGATATATAAAACTACGAATTACAGACGGAGATTGTAAGCCAGCCGCCATAGATGACATTGAAAACAACTGGATCGTAGAGCACGCTCATCAGGTAAATTTTAAAATAATTTTTGTTATTTATTGATTAAATTTTCTCAACTTTCTTTACACTCCATATCCCTCTTTCATTTTCCATTCCTCCCCTTCCCCCCACCCTCCCTCCCACCCTACAGTTCTGAAATAAAATGCCAGAGATAATCCCTCAAAAGTTTTTAAAAATAAACAACATGTTTGGTTTATTTTGATAGGTATCAAGAATGTTGACTGGAGGCCTAGATGTGATTGGAGTTTTTGCTTTTGGCCCTATGGACATGCTTACCAAATCTCAGGCAAAGCTTCGTCAACTTGTGTTCTCCATTCAGAAGACTGTGCAACACAAGGCAGCATCATATTTTGATGACCTCATTCACAGCAGAATCTTGCTCCAAATTTGTTCAGGAACCAAAAAGTATCCTATAGTAAATAAAAATCAATTACCCTGATTAATTTGTATGGAGATCTTAATTCACTATTTCCCACCTGCACTTTAAAATTTTTCATCTACTAATTCTAATTGTGTAATATTTCTTTTTGATTTTCATTCTTTCTGCCATCTCTTTCGTGAGAGACATTGTTGTTCCACCTGATAGTTTGTTCCTAGGATATTGACTCTGATTCTATTATATGTTCATTGGAAAAGAACTTTACTTCCATAAGGAGTCTAAAGGGGTCCTAGTGAATGTTTACAGAAATCTGATGTAAATGCTGAGATGACTTGTTCACTTGAGGATAACAATATGCCTGGCCCCCAGTATCTTTCATGTGCCCTCTGTTTTGCTCTTTTCTGCTAACCTTGAGCCTAATGCAGGCTATATTCTAGGTCACTAAAAGAACTCTAAATAGTCTCTGGTATCTGTAATATTTGGTTTCTTATGGAGACCTACTTTTTTTGCTGTCCATCTCATTTGGTATATATAAGTCCTTTCCTTGACACATGTACTTTTAGAATCACTTGTAGGACAATTGATGTTTCTGATCAAAGGGTAAGAGACAACAATTCATATCAATTCCAATATGATTTCTTTAATCTTTACATCTTACTGTTCCAAATTAGCATGGTCTTTGTAGTTGTTTCTGTCTTCTTAAAGATATCAGCTGTCTCATTTATCATGTTGCAGGCCACACCAAATCCAGCTGAAGTGAAATATCAGTCATTCTCTTCAAAGTGGAGTAAACTAGAAGCATCCTTGTCATTAACTGATGGATGCTTTGATGTTCCAAGGAAACTTGAGACTTCAGGTCTAAACAAGCAAATAATGGTATGAAATCAATGGGCTAGGCAGACCCATATGACAGCCCTTTCTGTTAAAGCATTGAAACAACTTAATCTAGAATTAATGGTAGAAGCAACAAGCATTTATTCCAACTCACTCATCTGGCTTCCATCCAATCACCTTCTCCCCATTCAGGGTTGATTGATGCAGTAAATCATAGCTGATTTGGAAGGGAAATAGATACGGCTACCTTCAAAGGCTCAGTTTTTGATTTGATCTTTTCCAATCTAAGCTTTTCTTGTGATTTTGTCTTTAGAGCAGCATTCATAAGACATTACAGAGTATATCAAGTGCCTTGTGCACAGTGAACGGAGAGCTTTATGCTGATGATCAGACTCTTGTATCAAGTGAAAAGTCTGGAAGATCCAGTCAAGCTAGTTCTACACAGACATTTAAAATTGACCTATTTACAGAAGAGGTACCAATTAGTGTTGAGCTAACACAGTTATATCAGTTCTAAGCATGAGATTAAATAAGTATGTACATGTTGTAGCCAAAATTTATGAGGATGCAGTTATATGGAATGCAATTATTATTCAGCTTTGTCCCATTTTAATGGCAAAAAAAATCTAGGTAGAAATGCTTTTTTAGAATGCGACGCTTCATGTATGTTGGCCTGCATTTAGATTATCTTCCATGGCTCTTTCTCTTGTGACTCCTGGTCTGCTATTTCCAGGTCAAAGTGGAAAGCGAAGTGTTAGTTTTTGTCAGAAAGGGTTGAGGTAGGTGGGCTGGAGAACTTGGTGTAAGATAAGTTATCAACCAAAAATTAAATCCACCTTTACCATACATCAGGTGAGGAAACTGCATTTTGAGCACAAAGGTGTGAAGTACCAGTAAGGGTTCTCACCAGTGGGCCAAAGGCCTTTACCCAAATCAACTGCAAGTTGTTGCTTTTTTTTTTTACCTCTCTTTCCAGTCCTGCAACAATATGGAACCTGTGGACGTAGACACAGCAGCCTCTATAAGGATCAGTGGCTCAATGTGTTGTCAAGCTTATGTGCATCAGAAAGCCACAGCAGGGGAGGCAGCACAGGTACATTGGTAGAGTTTAGGGCTAGGGCTAGACCTATGGGATTCTACTTGTCTACTTGTTGTACAGCAAAATTCTTGCAATGACAGGTTTGCATGCTACATTTCAATATGAATTATCTGAAATCTACTTGTCTTAAAATATTTTGTTGGCTTATTTAGGCTGTGGGCAAAGAAAAATTTCTTTGCTTTTTGAACCATCTTGTATGTTGACATATATTTTACACGGGCTATGAGTAAATGTTTTCCATCTCAATCTAAATCATAATATGGCATTTGTCATTGAAATAGCTGAGTAAGAGTCCAGCTGTGTTGTTGCAAAACGTGGGTGTCATTAGAATGGATTTATTGATTAATTTATCAATTGTTAATGATAATAATTTTTGTTACTTAGATAACAATAATTGATTTCTCTTAGGTCTTTAGGCTTTTGGGAGCTTTATCATCCTCGTAGAGCATATTCGGTTTTGAAGAAATATCTTTGTAGCAATTGAATTTGGTTTATTTGTGTTCCTTTTTCTTTGTTTGTGTGCATATTCTAGGCTATAAAGTACGATGCCATTCGTTGTTTCCTGTCACGTTGTGAAGTTTTATGTGAAGATGTTATGGAAAACCAAGAGGAGAAGCCAAACAGAGGTAATTTAGGGTGCTGTACCTTCGGTAAAGCGATAAAAGTTCGTTTTTCCCTTAAATACACCATACCTTACTCTTAATCTCACCGACCAAACCAAAGCTGAATTTTGGAAATTACTCTTTTCAAAAATAACAGAAGTTAAAAATAGTGTCATTCACGACCAGGGGAAAAAGAAAAAATCTGATTTCCGACAAGGAATTCAACCCCGGATTTTGCGCTTCCAAGCTCCACCACAGAGATACAAAGGACTCCGTGGTGAGCCGTACAGGTGTAAGTCAATGGTAGGCTCGTATTTGACACTCGTCCTACCTATTTCTAGGATGTACACAGTCGAAAACGTCACGTACGTTAATTAATAACAAGAAGGAGTGTAATTTTTTCACCATTTACCATCTTTCATATTCTATGGCAGAAATTTCACTCTTCTGTTTGGTAGGATGACTTAGGCTTCCGTTTTTTATTGTTATAGAATTTTTTAATTTGTAGAAATTTCATGTAAGATGTAACAATGCGATGTGTGCTGTTTATTGAGTGGCTAAATTCTCCATTTTTTCCTTCATTTTCTCTCTCAGAAACATTCTTTTCAACGTGGACATCTCCTCAAAGAGTGTTTGTCCCTCTTGGCTCAGGACCCGTGAAAGTCTGTGATTATGTGTTTAAGGACGAAACATTGAAGGTAATTGCTTTTCGAACCTATTAATTGATGAACTTTTTGTTTGCTAATATACAAATGGCCCTAACTTGGACAATACTGACTTCAAGATTTCCGAGTCTAACTGGGCCACGGTCTGGAAGAGATCTGACCTTTATTCTCTACTCAGGGAATGTCAAAATTGTTAAAGGAAAAAGGAAAACCATCAGCGTTGTTTTTCTCCATTTTTTCCCCAACCTTTGCTCTTATGCCAAGAGTTAACGCTACTGTTTTCGGGCCTCGCCAACCCCTATTAGCGTTAATGATAAATATTCTTTGAAATCACATGTCGAATTACTTTGTTTTTAAACAGGAATCCAAAGAGAGGATAGCAGAGCTCTTAGGTATTGAACCCAAAGAAGAAGATTTTGAGTGTATAGAAGATTTTCCAGGTAAATTACATATACTATAGGTAAGAAACAAAAGAGCAAAGAGAGCATTCGTATGATACGAATGCTCTCTTCGCTCTCTTGTTTCTTCTGCACCTTCTTCTTTCTTCACCTGTACAGCTCACCACAGAGTCCTTTGTATCTCTGTGGTGGAGCTTGGAAGCGCAAAATCCGGGGTTGAATTCCTTGTCGGAGATCAGACTTTTTCTTTTTCCCATGCTCGTGGTTAAACGAATGACACTATTTTTAACTTCTGCAATTTTTGAAAAGTAATTTCCAAATTTGATCTATGGTTTGGTCGGTGAGATTACGAGTGAGGTATGGAGACTGCAACTCGAAATTTTCTATGAAAAAAAAAAAAAGGTTGCAGATGGGAGTGATGGCAAAGAATAGTTAGTGGTTTTCGTGCTCTCGTGAGATTTTATGTTACTAGTTTTATTGTGAACTTAACAGATGTCCAGACAGTGAGAAGTTTGGTTGAAGAAATGGAAACTGAGAGCAACGAAGAAATTACAGAAAGCGAGGAAGTTCAACAAGGACTCGGAAAACGCGTAATAGGTAAGTACTGGCACCATATAACAGTCTGGTTAGTATCTTGAAGGCAAACGACGAGACTAAGAGAGACAAGACCAAATACGTTTAGTCGACAACTTCATCCCTCACAGATTTCATATAGGAGACGGTACGCAGTAAACGATCTCTTGGTATCCTTGAGCCTAGAAAAGTTTATCTTGTTCCCTCGGACAGGTTGCCCTGCGTTTATTAAAGCAATGAAGCTTAGCACTTTCTTTTTGTACACTCGGAAATGTCGAATGTTAGCACGTTTCTGTTATTCAGTGACCCTAAGAGTACGAAAGACATTATTTCAGCTTAAGAATCAGTTAGATGCACATTGCACGCGTACAAATTAAAACAACAACAACAAACCCTTTTTTCAACAGGTGCAGTGGTCGGAATTGTTGTTGCGGTCGTGGCTGCTGGAGTAACTTTCCTTTTGGGTGAACAAACAGGATGAAATACAACCCAAAATAATGTTCACTAATTGTATTTCGAATTACATTAAATTATTATTAAGCTCTTCACTCTGTAAGTTGGTTTTTTTTCTGTTGGTTTCAGTTCAATTTAACTTACCTTCCCTCCAGAACATGCCACGGTACCCTTTATATAACCATAGAGACACCTTTCCTGTTTTCATAGTTATGGAGCGTGTATAAAAAGTGGGAAAAAGTTTAACGAAATCACTGTCCCAGATTTAGCACGACCAGATCTTCTCTCGTTCGAATGAGAAAAGGAAGCACAGAGAACTTGATACGAGGCCTCTAATAGACTCTTCTTTAGGCAGGGTAATTAAGTATTATCAACTGAGTTGATTACGTTAATTGGCCACCGTGAAGAGTTTCGAAGCTAATGTTTCGAGCGTTAGCCCTTCGTCAGGGCGGTGGCCAATGAGAGTGGCCAATGCACTTTATCAACTCATTTAATAATACTAAATACTCTCCCACCGACGCAGCACAAGTTTCTTTAGAAACCTACCCCTTTGGGCAGGCCTTGATCACAATGTATGTCTCATTGGTATATATGTATGTCTTTACAGTTCAAAGTTACCTTCGTGGGCAAGGGTATAGAGAATCTCAATATTCTTTCACAATAGCACACCTCTCAATCGCAAGAATTCTCCAAAGACGAGTCAATCTAAATTCTACCTTCATTTCTACAAGCTGGTTTCGAAAGGGTCGCTTAGATCGTTGCGGCACCTCTCGGGATTGACCAGCGCACACTGCCGCGCTTTTCCGTTAAGGCAACTAACGCTGTCCACGTCTAAGTATAAGTGGATAAAGTATCACGCAGAGAATTGCTTACTTAAAAGAGGGGCAAGTGCTACTATCGAATTAGAACTTAAGGGTGTAACGCGATGCTACAAATTTCTTCTTCAAGCCAGAACCACCCCCCCCCGAAAAAAAGACAGTTACCCTCCTTTCAAAATCATCTTTCACCTCTTTCAAACAGCAGCCTGCTAGTTACCCCCCTGTAACTAGAAAAAACCCACAAACAACACCATTTCTCAAAGTTATTTTTTTTAAACAATATTTTGTATTATAGTCATTTACAACGCTAACTTTAATGACTGCAGCTAAACTCAAAATCGCTCTTGATTTCTTTAAAATTTCAATTTTGTGCTTGCAATACCAATCAAACTAAATGTAAAGTATTTTTGTCACTTAAAAAAGTTAACGCACATAAAATATAACGCAAATTGTTAAAATTATAAAGAAACCATTCTTATATAGTATGTATGAATAAATAAAATGGTATATAAAAGCGAATGAATATTTGGTATAAAAAAACTCTGATAAATAAAGAGGAATATAAAACAAGGCTATGTACTCTACAAAATCAGTTCGAAAATACAAAAATAATTTTTCAATTACATTCTAACTTCGTGCATCATTGCCTAATTTGTTGCAATAACAGGGTAAAGTATACGGTGCGAGATAGTTTTTATGGATTTCCAGCGCGAAAGTCACTGTTCGTGGTATTGTTCATTATGCATTGAGGACTTGTGTTAAAGAATTGTTCACGTGACGGAAGTATTCAATTTAAACTTATTAAAAATAATCTGATCTTATTAATAGTGATGGAGTTAACAGCGAGCATTAGGAATGGCTTTCCGTGAATTTTCGGCGATATATGCACCTCGTCTCTATAGTTTAAAAAGTAGGTTTTCTTTTCGTTTGACCAAATGACCAAGAATATCCAAGAGTTGTTTCCGAACCTAACCGCGAGTAAAGATCACAACTGACTTGGACCGGGAAGCGAGAGTGAGTGAACTACTTCAATAGTTGGGAATGTGTATCCACGTGCTATCTTTTGCCGGATCGGATTAAGTCGGAAGCGATGTTACTCAGCATTCTCTTGGAGATATTCTGCATTCTTCTTGCGGCTTTGTTGGCCACGTCCAGCGACTGATGGAGTCGATAACTCTCCAACTGAAAACAAGATGGCGGTAATTCATTAAAAAAAATAAAAATTCAGGCTGTTGTCAGTACAAGAGGGTTGAAAAACACAGCTACTGGGGAAAAGAATCCTTCTAAAGACAAAAGAGAAGTAGTACCACGCGCTTCTAAAAAATAATATGATACATCAATCACAAATGCTAGTATAATATCGATAAAGTATGTGAATCTTCCCAGAAACGTCGTCGAAAAATGAAGCCCATTCAGATTCTCGGAAATTGTATCGAGACATAAAGATCACTATCATACGGCAGTGTAAAGGCATAGCTTTGTAATTGATTAGGATTATAAGTAATGAAACGTTAGGAATATCCTATAAGAATACGTTCAAGATTGAATCTGAAACGCTTAATGAGTTAATTGTTTATTGTAATTCACCCTAGGATACTCAGAAGTGTCGTGAAACATACTTCATCTCCTTGGTGATTTCCCCAACCGCTGTGACTTGGACTTGGGTTACTTCTGAGTCGAACGTGCCTGCTAAATAAGAAAAAAAATGTTTTTTTTTTAAATTTTCCCCTTAAGTTTTACTTATCACAAAAAAACCTAGTGACTAGAAGAGGTTTTACCTTCGAGGTGCAGGGTATTCTTCGTCACTTTCAGAGTCATCGCTATCGGATACCACATAATCCCGCCGGTTCCTAGACCTCCCCCGGGGAAGATGATGGATATGATGTACCGTTGGGGTTTCGTTCACCGCCCCTGGCGGTGCCACCGGCACGCCGGGGACAACTCCCGCGGGTATTACGGACGATGAGGTCGCAGCTCCCGGATAGGTGTGAGTATGATGATGCATAGGCGATGAAACAACACTACAAGAAAAAAACAACAGGAAATTTTCATTGTGGAAAACTGAAATATCACTGAAATCGAGAACTGTTTATAATCTGCGCATCTTTACTCTCTCTATATGGATGACTGACGAGATAGCTAGCGATTTCAATTTTGCGTTTGTTTCTTACTTGTGGTAGTAGGGTGAGTACGGTGTGGAAGTAGCCGCTGGGGTAGTAGGGTGGTGGACATAAGTGTTCGTCAATCCGGGATTATAAGGAGTCTGTGTCTCGGTATGGCGACGAGGCCTCGAGGTTGGTGTGCTAACAATCGGGGTTTCCTGTTCTGGTCCAGAATACCCTGGATAGAAATAATTCCCGTGACTATGAGAGCCAGAACTTCCGCAAAACGGACACAAAAACTGCATCATAGTGACCGCGGGTGCTTTTGCAGGAGCTGGCGAAGGAGAGCGAGAGCGAGAAGGTCGCGGGTGATCTCTTCGCTTTAGGTCTCCTACGTCCCTTGCTAGTTCTTCGATCCGTCTTCTAAGATCGTCTTGAGGTGTCGTGCTTGTGGTCGCATTTTCTTTGCTCCGAGACATTTCGTTCGCCAGATCATCGTATTTTTTCTGTAGGTTGTCGTATAGGTTCGCCATCTGTTGCTCGGCACCTCTTCGGGCCATCTCTCGTTCCAGATCGTCGTGCCTCCGTCGGAGGTCGTCGTACATCTGAGCTTGCAATCCGCGAGCGTTCGAGTCTTGCTGAAGTTGCGAACGCAAGCTCTGAAGCTCCTCTCTCAGTTTATCAATAGGATCTCTGTCAGTAAAAAAATAAAAATTGAAATATCTCTTGATACCTAAATAATAAATAAACTAAATGGGCGAATTGATTCTAGAACTCATTCCCGGCAGGCGAAACAAAAAAATCACCATAGAACGGAAAGTTAAAGACTTTGAAGTACTCTGACTCAAGGCAAAGACATATCAAACAAATAATTCCCCTTCTATAAATTACAGAGGAGTACAAGGTCCGAGACACATACATGCTTTAACTAACATTATAACATATCTAGTAAATTTGTGTAATCAAATTCAATTGCGCGAGCGTGCTTCATATTCCTATTGTGCACGCTCATGACGTCAGCAAACAAATCCCTCGAGAAAAAAAATTTCCATCGGGTTGAAAATGTTATAAAACAATTGGTTCATACGTCAGCTGTGCGTTCATCGAGATATGAAGCACTTGGGAAGTTTGGAGAGCACTCAAGAAGCTAGAGTTACTCTCGGCTACGCCTCTAGCAACTCTTACGCATCTTTCGTGCTCTCCAAACTTTCCGCGTGCTTCATATCTCTATGAACACACGCTGACGTATATTTATATTTATATATAAATATTCCGGCAACAGCCAAGATACACGAATCAAACAAATTGATTTGTTAGGTCTTTCACGTCTCAAAATAACACAAACAAATTGATTAATTCCTTTCACCGTTCTTAGTGCAAAATGCTGCGGGTATCTGTAATTACAAATAATTAACACAACTGAACAAGTTCTTGTAACTGACGATACAGATTTCCGCCCAACATTAAGAACAGCAATCATATCGTTTGCACAGCCGTAATACTTACCTGCGATATCTTCGTTCATTGTCACTGTATCCACTGCTACTATCGTCACCTCTTCTTGACCGCCGTCCTGAACGCACGGACTCACGGTCGCCCGGGTAACTGCGCACGCTCTGTTTATCCATTGGGCGGGACTGATCTAACCGCGGGCCTATGAGAACGACGGGAAAAAAGATTATAGAACGTTATAAAATATAGTGTGAGGCTTCAGGCATACTGCTCTCGCTATAATTATTTTCATTTTTTTCTTTTTATCTAACTTGAGCAGCAAGACAGAAAGGCGCCTCCAGTTCGATCAAAAATATATACACTAAAATATTTAAGACTCGGAAAGCCACTCCGTGAACAAATTTACATTGAACGAGGCAAGACTGCTACGGGATCGCGAAAAAAGAAAAAACTCAGAATGACCTCTGTAAAACAGCAATCGGTATACTTAAATAATGGCTCGTAGCGGTAAAATAATAAGACCACTACGCGGAATTTCGGTATATCACATATTTAGAGAGGAAAAATAACTCAATTTGAATCCTTAGTTTCTCTCTTCTGTAGTTGGGGAGATCTAGAAATCGGTGATTCCATTCCAGTGCAAAATAGATCACAACTAGGGACACGTTAACAGCACCAAAATCAGTTTAAAACGTTGGTCGCTTCAAACACTTCTCCATCTTTCTGCATCTCTTTAGACACAGCAATTTGCATGCGAGAGTCAAGTTTCTAACGTGATTATCTTTCACAACGATTCAAAATACATGCAAGGAGAATAAAAATTACACTTAGAGCACAAATGTTGTACAACAAAAATGAGTTTGGTACCTTGGTCTAGTCCATCCATTGGGGCTCAAGAGAAGAGCAAATTTTACAATGGCACAAACAATTTGCTTAACTCTACTACTAAGCTTATTACCCTGTTTTCATATCATTGTACGCTTATATATTATTCATAATCCTATATCTGCTTCACGTCCTACACATCAAATATACTTTTAATCGCTACGCTGCGGCTTAGCAAAGTGTTTACCTCCTGAAAGACCCTCTCGAATGAAGAACATGTCCTCACATTAGTTACCCAAAATAACATCTTTGAGTAACGAATAACTGTTAAAAATACTGAATATTTGCTTATGTTAACCTTGGGGCAAGTATATAGTCTCGTATCTGATTGGATTGCTGATTAATAACTACCAATATTATATACCTAAAAACAAAAACCAATGTTTTCCCCGACCAGTCTCCAAATACGGTGAAGATCCTACACAATTTAACGAATCACACAGTTATCCAAAAAATTAAAGTAGCAAATTTTGCTCCGAGAAATCAGCGATATTTTGAAGCAGATGGCGAAAAAGATACCGTAATATTTGACAAAACTCCGCTGCAGCATAAGAAATAAATTGCGTGAACTCGATCTTTCATAAAACGTACAGTTTCAGGACCTACACACTAACAACACCAGTGTTTCTCATTGTGATGTGATGGAGATAAAACACAAAAGACCCTGTGTTGGTGCAATTAAGAAACAGAATACAACAGTGTTGCACCTGGCGCCTACGTAGATTATCTTTTAATGAATGCACGTTCAAAAGCAGTAAAATAAACTCACAAGGAGGTAATTTCACACGAATAACTGTATATAACCACAAAGACGTAGATACCGGATCTGTTTTTCCAAACATTAATCATTAGCTGCGACGAGAAGGTTCGTTACTTTAAAACAATTACATTAATGAAAGATAGAAAAAAAACAACGATCAGTACTGGCGTGTACAGGTCGGTTTGTTGACGCATCTTCTTTCGTTTTGTTTTCTTTTTTTGTACTTAATACATTTAGAAACTGAAAGTAACCTTAAATTTCAATGCTAAATCGTAATATTTTCAGAATTTGAGCCATTCTCTTGAGGTCACCTTGAAATTTACACGGGAATCGCTGAGATTGTCAGTATTGAATCTCCAACAACGTTATAACTAAATGATAAGTAGGAATTAAAACTGTGGATTGATGAGGCAACACCGGAGAGCGACCTAGTCAACTGCTGGTCAAACTGTAAAAAATGAAAAACGAGCCTTTTATTCCATACTAGTGTCTCAGATAACAACGAAATTCTTAAGAAATAGCATTTGATTTTAATTAGCTTAAAAACCTACCCGTACTTCTTGGAGTATTAGTTCCCTTATTGTAGCGTGCAGGTGTCCTAGACGTTCGCCTACTCACGGCACTTGACACTGATCTTTCTACCGTACCATCTTCGTTTATGCTCGGAGTAGACGTATGCCTTCGTAACGATTCGTCAAGTCGTCGAACGCCTTCGTTATCCGATCGGGGGACAGGATGAGTTGGAGTATGTCGATGACTTCTTCGTTCTCTTTGAGATGACGGCGTTCTCGTTGAAGGCTTGGAGTGAGTTGTCTCTAAATAACGATCCTCCTCGCTTTCTGACAGCGACTGCAAGGAGGACCTCCGTCGCCTCGCATCTCTATTTCTAGAAATTAACTTTGGCGCATGTTTCGGCGCCGTAATGTGGCCCCTATCATCTTCAGTCTCTGTTGCGGATTGTTCTTGTAAAGGCGCACTGCGTAGTTTAGTCTCGGGGTAATAAGGGGGCGGAATATCAGGGGACTCGTGGCCCCGTGATATGCGACTTCCCTCCGAACCAAAGAAGCCACTATCAAAACCTCTCTCAGAATCAGCCGCTGGGTTGCGATATTTTCCCCTACGGTTGAGCTCTTTAGGCTGAGCGGGCCCGTTCCCGTTAGGAAGAAAGAGCGGCGTGGAAACACGGCTATCGCCCGAAACGCTCGCTCTTAAAGGACGACCATGGGCAATCCTGGAGGGTTTAGACGCACGATCATCGTGTAACCCATTTAACGTCCGTGGCGGTTCCTGCCTGCTATTTCGCCGTGATTCTTGCGGCTCGTGCTGTTCACGTGGTGAGCTGTGTATACTGGCCGTGCGATCACGTGAATCAAAGGGTTCGACTGGTTGAGTGTCACGCAAGCTGTCGTGCGTGGGAATACCACTGGACACAGGCAGTCTCGATGCTCTAGAACTAGCACGTGAACGTTTGCTACTGGCTTCACTAATGTGACTGTCTTGGCGTCGTGGAGGCGGAGGAATTCCGCTTACGCTGTTACGCATTGGACTTGACGAAGCTCGAGGTGACTTAGAACTACCAGGCGAGGTCTGTGGAGAAGGTAAGGTTGAAGAAGGAAGATCATTGTCACCATCATCCTCTGGGAGTGGGGGTGAATCGAAGTCCGCTGTGTTGGCGCGGCTACGGTGACTGTTGCTCCTTGACCGCTGTCCAGTACTTGAACCGATTGAGAGGCGATGAGGGCTAAAAATAGAGTATGACTGGGGTTATAATCTTCGTCGTCTCTCGATTTAGAGTTATTTAAACTGCACTTTTCTAATCCATTACCTTACTCCGCTTAAAAAATTAAATAGAGGAAAAGTTGACAAAACTTTAAAATACTTAAATTTTTCAAAGCTGAGGGACCAGTGGAGGATTTTGCATAAAAATTTCAAGAAAGGAAGGATAAATAAAAAATTACAGAGCCTTGAAAGGGGAATAGGTAAACTTTTTCGTTAGACAACCAAAATCCTCCGACCCCCCCCCTCTCAGGGAAAAATAATGACAGGTCCCTGAAGTTAAACCACTGGAGCGTAACATTACCCAACGACCCCTCGACATTGCAAACACACCATTCAATTACATGGTGGTTTACAATGTATCATGGTTTTAAATAAAGCGAACGACGTTTTTTTTCCAGTCTAATCAATATAAAACGTGGAATGCAGTAAGCCTCTCTACGATGACAGCATTTTTTTTTCTTACCTTGTGTGAGGTAAGGACCCTGCTCGTGTTCTATCTTGTGGCCCTTGACTATTTACGAGGTACTGACTTGACAAGGGCTCAGAGAGAGGGTCTTGAATCACACTCATTGATTCGGACGCGAAGTATCCAGACTCCTGTAGGTCCAAAGGTTCGGCTAGGTCACCAAGCCCCTGGCGAAAAAAGAGAAAGTTGAAAATCAGATCGACCCTAAGGTGAACATATTTCAAAACTCTAAGTGGAGCTTATTGCGCGTATGGATCTTTCGCCGGGAAGTGAACTTGTTTTATCGACACGCATCAACGCAAAATTAAAATTCCTTAATTGCGACGCGCATAACACGATCCGGTAATTATAATAAGTTCTTACCAAATAATCAAATCTTCCGTCCAAAAGGACCAAGAAAAACTCTTCTAGCGAGCCTGCATTTCCAAAACAGTCATCATTCATTGCCCTCGAGCGATAAAATGTAATACTCAGTTGAGGAAAACGCTCCAATAATGGAAGATCTACGCCAAACAGCTGGGACCGTCGAAGGTACGCTTAGAAGACAATTGGCACTCCATGGAATTTCCGAATATTTGCAAATGACAATGTTGGACCGAGTACAGTTTTAGACGCCAAACACAACAACGTGGAGAATCATATTGGCCTGACTTCTGACACATCGCCGCTCACATAACAAGGATAAACATTTGAAAGAAAGGTGTTCACGAAATTTAGCTTGAGTGTCACTGATAAACCATCATAAACACAGCAACGCGAAGCACGCACTTTGCCGAGAAAGATGATTGGCTGAGAATCCAATATTATGATATGTAGCGAATGCCACATGTCACGCTCTGTAACTTCACTTTAAATTTGCGTAAACGATCAATATTTTCAGATAAGAAATATTAGGCAATAATATCCGTTGGATGAGACTTTCGATAGGAACTAAAACCCCTTTGCGCGCACGTTTTATCCCTAGAGTTAAATTTTGCTTCTTCTTATTTAGAGAACTGACGCCTTTACTCATAGATTCATTACAAAAAATTCGATACCACGCTGAGTGTTAAAGTTCTGTTTATAAACGACTTTAATTTTGCGTATATTGAAACGATTAGTTTAGTCTGGCCTAATTAAATTCCTACAAAAGCCTGTGTTCGAGATCTAGCAGAGAAGTTACATTTGTAAACTTTACACCGTTAGACGCAAAAACTTAATCCCAACATTTTGCTTTACGCAAATATTTTCGATACCTGTTTTTCTTCGCCTTCACTATCTGGAAGCGGACCTGCAGGAGAAAATAAACATGATATCAGCGTAAATTCCACAGCGAATAATTACAGCTATTCGCTTGAGAAAACGAAAACTCTTCGAGACATTTTAGCGTCATAAAGAATTAAATTAGGATGAGAAAGCAACAGAAATAATACACAACCTCTTTTATGATCGCAGAAAGGGATTTTGTGCACAATTGATAAAGAAACGCTTTTCTTTTCACGTTCAGATTGAGAAAAAAAAGTTACACAATGCCTACCGAGAGAAAATCTTCTAGAAAAGTCATCCTCTCTTTCAAAAGAATTTGCATCCAGATCTTCCGCATCATCTGAGCTGTTCCCTTCTCTGCAATCGAAAAAATAAGTTAGTACAAATCAAAAAAATCTAGGAATTTGTTGCAATGAAATAAAAACTTCAAAAATAAATTCAAGTAATTCGAATGAATACTCGGGTTGTTGGTCTCCAAAGCAACCAAAAGGTCGGATCGCACTCCTTAGTGTCTAATTTTATCGAGACAAAATATTTTTACATCACTAATTCGGCTCAGTTGTTATCTCCGTTTCCATCAAAGCCAAATGTAATGATAGCAAATGGTAAACATTTTAAATTCATATACACGAGGAAAGCACACCGTCAAAAGCATTTTTTTTCCTTCGAAGTTAACCACACGAACTCGAACAAAAAAAAGTTCAAATGCGAATGTTCACATATTTTTAACATAGTCCTCTAGAAGCGCTCTATTTTCAAAGCATAGGCCAGATACACAAAGTATGCACAAGGTAGAAATAAGAAAATTAATTATTGAAGTCCCTCGTAAGGTTAGTTAGATCAGCGTAATTTCTTATGCACAGCAATCAACCGAGAAAGATGTCAAAGGTGTTCCCTGATATCTTTAGTTCCGATATGTTCGCAATTTTAACAAATATAACGTGCACAAAAACACTAACGGCTCTTAAATCGCAAAGGAAAACACTCGAAACGCTTAAATCAGTAATTATTTTCTACAACACGAATCAGAAAGCCAATGATCTCAACGCTAAAAACCGTAACAGAAACACACAACGGGGAAACGCTTCGTTTTTGAGAACGAAAATATACCTTTTTGAAAGCAACCACAGTAACCTCAGTCTGTTTAAGAACGCTCAATGATTTGATAACAAACAGCACATTGATACACGCAAACGTGTTTCAAAGATAAAACAGCACGAAAATACAACAAAACATTTTAGATAACAGAATCCGAATCGTCGACTCCTAGAAAAAAACGTTTGGTGATTTTCGGACGTAACTGCCACTAGAAAAGCCATAACTGTCCAAAAACTTAAATTAATCTCTAAAATGTAAATCACGTCAGAGAAAAAAAAGAGAAATTATCTAAAAGCAATTACATCAATTCGGCCCAGCGAAAAATCCTGGCTATTTCTTCGTCCTCACTTTCTTCATCTTCGCCTTCCGACGCAGCATTCGACCCCATTAACGGACAACTATTCTCGGCTCAAGATCCGACGCGATATGGTCGAAAATGATGTTTTAAGGCAACATCAGATTTAAACACTGCTCCCAGGTATTATCATACGTGATATTGACTTATCTACCAGCCGCTGGATCTCTCTAGGATACACCTGCCCTGGTGAGCAATGCAGCTATTTATCCATGCTAATATGCGTAGCTCGTTGTTCAAGAACAACGATAATACTCTTCATTTTTTTTTTGCCCTTTGAGGCAGTAAATCACGAAAATTTAAGTTGCATTAAGTTTTAAATTTGGACGTATAACATCTCGAATTTCTTCCCAGTGTCAGAAACTTGATATAAACAAAAATATTGTTGTTTACTGTATACCATAAATATTCACTGTTTCAGTATATATAGCAACTTTCATTAAATCGTCTATTTATACCTTGTAATTAACGCGTGAATGTAACAAATGATTAAAAAGAAACCACACTGTGAACCTTTTAAGGATAAAAGAGCACAAATGTCTGCCAGAAGAATAAAAGGAATTTTCAAAATAGTACAAAAAATCTCACAAAAGCATTATTTTATGGGAAATCGTCTGTAATACCATAGCATTAAAAAATTAGTCATTGTGATGAGATCTGTTTAATCCAATTTGAAGGAAAAAAATAACTCATTGAAATAGGATTAAGATCAATCCTCAATTTTGATGGCAGATTTAACAATTGCTCATTGAAATGCTAGAAAAAATCGTTTAGAATGTTTCTGAATTCAATAAGTGGAACAAACAAAATATTTCAGGTTATACATGTGGTATAGAAAAGTAAATTAAAAGTATCTTAGAGTGCTTCTAAAGTACTGGGAAGGGCAAGTGGTAGATAGGTACAAGCCCCAATAATAGAATTGATTTACAAATAAATTTTCCAGAATGAAATAAAACCTCACTTCTCTCTTTCTTATGGTTTCCTTTTCGAATGTTAAGTTCACATTTTACAACAACTCATTCAAAAAAAACTCCTAATTGACATGTATCTGTACCAGTGGTTGAGTTGTCAAACAAACAGGTGACAGAATGTGTATCACATATAAATGAGGCATACAACAATATTTGGGAAGAACTCGATTCTGCAGTGCTGTACCTCAAAGCGTCATTTCTGCTTGCCTCCTTGATGTTTCTCAGTCTCTACAAAATAAACCCGCAACAAATGTTCGTAAGCAATTGCAAAAAAAAAAGGAAAAGTCGCGGTACTACTACAAAAGACAATCAAAACATAAAACAAAAAGATGTAACCAATGGGAAGGAACCTAGATTAGCTGGACCCCATACTTATTTCTTTTTTCACACTTAACTTTTAAAACACAAGCTAGCAGATGGCTTTTCATTGTTGCAGACAATTGTCTGCATTGTTTTCCAAAATGCCCAAAAAAGAAAAATATACCTGTTTTGACAGAATATCTCTAGGATATTTTCTGCTCAAGGAAAGAAACTCAGAATAAAATAACCAATTGTTCAATGATAGTTTAGCTGCAATTAAGTAATAAGTTTTGTTCCAGTCCAAGTACTTCAGCAGTTGGCTAACTTGAAGATGTACAAGTGCATGTAAGTACATAGTATTTTTCTTAGTAATGGTAACAAAAAGCTATTTTAATGCATTGATCTATAAAAAAAAAAACAAACAAAAAAAGCAGTTTAAGTCTGCGATTGTTGCTACATCAGAACTTTGTTAATTCATACATTTTTCACTTGTTCTATTTACTTCCAGCTCACTCAAACCCCCCTTAACTAATGCCTGATTTTCACTTAGTAGATCATTTAAGTGGAGCTGTGCTTAGAGGTAGTCAAAACTGATTTCATGAACTTCACTTCATGACATGTAATTTAAGTGAAACATAAAACAAGGTCAAGCAAACAAAGAAAAAATACACAAGAAGGAAAATGCACTTTTGCAAATGTTTTACGCTATTAAAAAATAAATAAATAAAACTTAATTGACATCTATAAGCCAGATTGTAATCTATACACAGTATCATTGCCCAAGTGATTATAGCAATGTTGTGACATTGAACATAACTGATACAATACAGTTCTCATCAGCCAAACAAAACAATGCCTATTTTATTTCCTGCAATACCTGCATTAGATTCTGTAGATCACCCTCAGGTCTCTGATTTTCTGCTGATGCTGTGCGATGATTGTCCCTTGGTCTGCACAAAAAGTTAAGTGTAAGATTTATTTTGATTGATTGAGCCCACATAACAATGGTGCAACTGTAGTATGCCATTAGTCTATCACTGAACAGGGTTTAAGTCAATTTATTCATGCCTGATCATGTACCACAATGGCAAGGAGTGTTAAAAAAAAAAGGAAATGTGAATGTACATTGTAGACATGTGGTAAATAAGTGCCCAAGGCAGTGACCTGACAGTGGGGGACATCATGAAGTAATGGTTTGTGCACTGGACTCTGGGTTGAGACCTGGCCATGCCATTGTGTTATGTTCTGAGGCAAAATACTTTACTCTCACAGTTCCCCTCTCCACCCGAAGAGTGATTAGGTGCTTACAAACTTTTAGGGATACTTGATAAAATACTAAGGGGGAAACCTTGCAATGGACTCGCAATTCTCATCAAGGAAGGAGAAGTGATACTCCTGGCGGCTTTATGCTAAAGAAACCAGGACATGCTGCCACTGGCTGGGCCACTCAGCTTGAGTTAAGACTTAAACTTACATTTACCAGTGACCTGACGAAAGAAGGAAGGCTCAAAATTCTTATACTTTTGAGATGGTGCTAACCTGAAGGGGATCCAAATATATGTATGACCCTGGGCAGTGATCAGAGTTATTGGAATATATATAGGGCATATAAAGAATTCCAACTAGAGAGGGGTAAACTGAGTATGCAATACAAGTCAAGGCCTTTTAAAAGACTGTCATACAAGGGATTTTACAAAGTTTTCAAGTAAGCAGATTTTGATGGTAAGTAAGTGGTGTTTGGTATCAAGTTTTATGGTCATCCTGCAATGTCTTCATGACCAAATTTTGATCTGATCACTTAGAAAGCCAGTGAAACCTTTATTGGAAAGTAACTAGTAAAAATGACAGAGCATGTGGAGATAAAACTCTGAGAAAATATCAAAACATACCTGTCTAACAAATCGCTGTAACTATTTCTCCTTTCCTGTTGACTGTGAGGATCATCAGATGGAGTAGTATGGTGCCCAAGCTGCTCTGAAATTTCTTCCAGTCGCAGCCCACATCGATACAGCTGTTTAAAATTGACAAGAACAGTAGTGTAAGGTACAGTTTCAATCAAACACTACATCACCATGATCACCAGGTCTTGTAACAGTTTAACGTAGAAAGGGACACCTCAGCAACTTTAAATTTTCATACACATATATGATATTAACCCTTAAGGGGACACTCCCCAAAAGCTGATACTAATCCAGCCCTGAGTATAAAGAAAACATACATTTTATGCATGTATATTACTAAGGTGTTGTCATAAATTCTAGCAATGAGGTCTGCAGCCCTTCTTTTGAATCTTGTCTAAGATGGGGGTGCTTATTGAGAGAGTACACTTACATTTTAATAAAGGATGGGGGGTACTTATCTAATTTCCCCAAAATAAGACCCTGTAACACATTAAAAGTACCTAACAAGTTCATCATGAGCTTTATGATAACGGATAAAGCTTATTCTAAACATTGGACTATGGCTTCATTATGGCATCTAAGTCGCAATTGCAGGAAAAGACCCCAAAAAGGTACAAGTAATTATTAACAGTTACTGTAGTCATGATGCACATTCAGATACATAATCATATAATAGTAATTTGCAGTTAAAGGAGTGAGCAAAACAAAACATTCCTTTAGTGTGCATAAACCCCCTCCATCCCTTCCCTTTAAATGTAACTATAACGGCTTTAAACAGTCCTTACCTGTCCATCAAGACTGTCCTCAGGTTGAAAATCACCAGTAAAACTAAGTAAAGAAAATAAATGGTATTCATTAATTTAGAAATTAAATGTACATCAATGAGCTAACTCAGGAAAAGGACCTGCAACACAACCTGGGCCAGGTCTGGGAAAAAGAGGAAAGTTTCATTCCCTGGGCTGGCCTGTTTCTTGCATTATTGCAAAGTTTCATGACCCTTAACACCTTCACTACAACTATAAAAACTCGTAAGCACCTAATTTCTCCTTACAGTGTCATCCCTAGATCAAACCTTTAAAGGTCAGTAGAATGATTGCCAACCAAAGACATTCTCAATTGTTAACCAAATTCTCCTTGTCAGAACTATAGGGAATGTATAGAGAACAGTAAGGAGAATTTACAGTACATACTGGTGTTAGGTGCAGAGGGTTAAGCCTTTAACTCCCAGAAAAAAAAACTTCTCCCTATAATATCCTTATATTATCCAGCAAATAGGTGATGAGAATATTCATATTTTCACACATATTGCATCAACTTTAATCTACTTGATATACTTCACCTGTTTGGTTAAATGACACACACACACTCAACAACAACAGCAATAACAACAACAAAATTTACAATTTCACTTCCCTCTATAATATGCATCAAGACCTTCCCCTCACCCAGTTGCTAATGATAACAATAATGATAAAACAGTTATATAGCACTAAAATCTATGTACATATTCAGAAGCCTTTTACATTATAAAATGTATTGAAAACTAGAACTGAACACTTTCTTACAAAGAAATTAATTCTGGGACATAAAGAGAGGTACTTTTAGGCTAATCAGCTTTCTACATTCAATATATAATGAAGAAATAATAGAATACAAGTTTGTTTGTAAACTTTTCCACATCACTGTGGATTTTTGGAGCATTTTACCCTCCTTATTGAAAACAGTTGAGTAAAAAAATGGCCACCTGCTCAGCTGTTTATATTGAGCATTCAGCTGAGTTACACTCTTAAGAGCAAAACAAACAACCTCAAGAAATTCATGAAAAAAGTTGATATAAATAAATTCATATCTGTTATCAAAATACCAGAGATAGAAATTGCATAATGATAATTGTTTCTGATACCAAATTTTGAATTTTCATCCTAAAACTCAAATAATAGTTGATCATGTTTTGAGAAACCAGCTGAGAATAAGTGGGGTTAAAATCTCACTACGAAGAAAAAACAATAACATCCTACTAAACAAACGGCTAAACAGTTAAAAGAAAATTGAAGACCGTTAGAGGAACATTTCTAATCAATTTTCTAACGTTTGAAAGTCCAGTATTTTTAATTTTTTTTTTCCTTTTCAAATACCCATTAAAAACCACGACAACAAGCGAGTAATATGAAGCAAATAATCTCTTAACAAATCGTTAGAAAAAGCTTTTTGCAGGTCTACATATGTACAGAACTTAAACAAACAATAATGCCCTCTTTATTTTGACAAGGCATACCAGAGGTGTTAGAATTGAAACTTATTTTGGTCCGAATCTTCGGAAACTTACGTGTCATTAATTTTACAAAATAAGAACAGCTGGTTACAATTTCTCCATGGTTTTAGATTGTCACGATCGCCCGAAAATCGTGTGTTCTTTCCATTAATGATTTAGCACTGCAACTTTGACCAAAGCCCAAACTGTAGACTCGTTAAATTAAGAATACATGAATAGGCTAGACGTTATTTACAGGTGAAAAAATTAAATTACACGTCTTTGCTTAAATCGCCTAATCTGTCAAAAGGTTTCCTTCGCCTGACTTAAATTATTTTCAAAATATAAGAGCATAACCTCAATATTTAAAAACCGAGAGCGTTTTATGAACGATTTGTCTTCCCGCAATACAATGTTGACAAAAAGTTTACAAAAACATTTCCGGAGAAAGACATCCTTGACCTTGAACGTAGATAAAATAACGAGGTAAAACTTTTCGATTTCGATGGCTTTCCTTACCTTTCGTTTTCAAAGGACTCTGGATCTCGTCCATCTTCCAATCGTTGGATCTGCAGCAATTCTTGTTTCAAATTCCCGTTTTGTGCTTTCAACTGCTCGCACATATCCCTCAATTCTTGAAGTTCAAGCTCTCCCCATTGTCCTTCCATGACATGGCTTTGCAAAGCGTCTACGTCTTCTTGAAAATACTGCAATTTAGACGCCAAAGCTGCCCTAAATCGAGCTCCTCTTCCATCGGGACATGATGGATTTGCTGGAGAAGAATCAGTCCCTGAACCTGAGGTGCGTTGGTTGCCATTTTGCGGTATAGCGTGAGATCCTTCGGTTAGGGGAAAACTATCTTCGCTTAAAATAGCTTGGCGACTTTTAGGAAATCTGAACACGCCAGGCTGATTGTGAACCGAGACTTTTACAAATGAGCTTTGTTGTGGTGGAGGCAAATCGCTGTACAAGTTAAGTTTAGCACCTATCCTTAGTTGATCTATAGTGTTCTCGGCCTGTGCGTATTTTTTGAGAAGTTCGTCGTAATCGTCCTGTAGTCGCTGATAAACTTCGTCAGTCTCTTTACGTTGTGACTTCTCCTTCCTCAACCTTTCCTGTAAATCAACCCCGGCTGAAACATCCGTCGAGCTTTCCGAGAAAGTCCTTTGTCTCCTAGAGGCGGTTGCAGTCGGTTGGCCTTGAAATTCAGCCATCTTTCAAACATGCTCCGCAAAAGATCTGCAATTTTCCCTGTTATTTTCTCGCAGATATCTCATTTTTTACGCTAAGACATACTTGAGGCATAGTCCTGAACACTTCCCTTCTTGTTTAGATGATCTCTCAAGGGGAATCGTCGATAATTAAGGAGAATAGTTCACGTTTCAGTCACTACGCTACGGCCATTCCTTTAAGCTTAAGCACTCTTCCTCCATGGAAACGAGGCGACGCGTGTATACTCAACCGGTTAAAGACAAAAGCGTCCAAGCTCACGCTAGATTCTGATTGGCTTGTTCAAGTGCACATTAAATTGGCTTGTTTATCTTATACAATGAATGATAACAGACTAGGAAACAATGAACTTTCAAGAACGCCACGAGAATAAAGACGTCAATACTTCATGACGTCTACTCACCTTTATGTCAAAAGCTTTTGTTTTTAGTGAGAATGTTGCACTAATTCCGTAAATTCAGCATTTCTCAATTATTTTATATCCTAGAGAAAGCAAAAACAAAAAATAATAATTGCATCTCTTTGGTATCATTGACTTTTCCTGACTCGTTTGTTTGACTACATATATGCCAGGAGCCCTGATACACTTATTTATTTTCTAATGTTTATTTTTTTCATTTTCTTGTCTCCCTGTCCTCCTTAGAGATAAATCAAAAGTTTTTAATCTTGTAAATGTTTGGTAGGTCTCGTAATTTACACAAAGGATCCGCTTCGCTTATTTTAAGGGTAATCACAATGTTTGGAAAAAAGTGGGACGTGGAGGCTTCCAAATCTCAAGGAGAATGTTTCAATTTTTTTTGTTATAATTATCTCATTTTTTAGAATGGTAAGACTGATGGGGAAAAAATATCACCGAACAGAAGGTCTCAGGTAAATAACTTTCAATGCTTAGCTTAAAAGGAAATAAGACTACCGGCGTGTAGACGCGGAAAATTAGGAGAAAAAGTTAAGGTACCTCTCATTTTACTCCTTCGCATTCCTCTCGCAGCTTCGCTGATCATTTTTGTACCTCCGATGCATAAAATGTCTCACAAGACTGCCAGTTACTCAGGCTTTCAAACTGACCTTGCAAACACGAGAGAAACCTGGAAACTAGTGCCCAAGCTACCATATTTTGCGACACGCGCTCTCGACACCAAGGCAGTGATATAGAAGCACGGATTTTATCGAGGATTCCTTTAAAACTCAGCAGCATGAGCACAAAAGAGAAGATTTGCTTTCCTTCCGAAAATAAACAAGGCGCCTGTCCCGGAGTGCTCACTGGGGATGTAAGTAAATCAACGATGGGTCTTGTTGTCGTGCAGGAATGGTGGGGGATGAATGACATCATAATTGACGAAGCTGCAGACATCTCTGGAAGAGGCAACTTGGTAACTCTAGTGCCCGATCTTTATCGAGGGAAGGTTGCAACTGATCATGAAACAGCCGGACATTACATGTCTGATCTGGACTGGCCTGGAGCGGTGCAAGATATCGCTGGAGCTGCCAAATTTTTGAAAGAAAAAGGTTGGTCCAATATTGCCTTTGGGAGAGGGGTGGGGGACTTCATAGAGGGTGGCAAAGAGTTTGTGCTTGATGCGTGATCAAGCCCAAAAATAATACGTGACACGTGAATTTTACAGCAACGAAAGGCAAGGTGGAATTTGAAGTTTTCTCATTTAAATTCATGACGTGGGAAATACTTTGACACGTGAGTTTTTCTCAAATGTGCACGCGAAACGAGTTCAGGCCCACCCAGCCCCCCCCCTCCTCCTCCCTCTTGCTACCCTCTTCACAATGTTGAATAGATACGGCATATAAGTAGTGCTATTGGGAATCTGTTGTAAGAAAACACTCTCCAGGACAAGGAAGAATTTTGGGTACAAAATAGTCTTTCATTTTCTTTTCATTATTTTCTATTACAATTTTTTCTGCTTACTCTTGGGTTGTAAGAGACATGTTAAAAGTACACCCTGAACTTATCAAGAAGCCTTTGTTTTAGGGTAGCACCATGTCTTTCCCAGAAAACTGCATGCAAATTGTTTGTATTAAATTAATGATCTGTGTGACTTTTTCTTTCATCTCTAAGAGGTTTCAGACAGAGCTCTCAAATTTTTATACAGTTAAAGGATAAAGTTTTTTCAACCACATCACATAGCTGTTGCTTGTGATGCCATGGACAAATGCCTTTTTACAAAGGGGTGGGGGGTCATGCTCCCCTGGAAAATTGAGATGAACAAGCATAGCTAAGACATTTGTTGCTTTATTCAGAACGTGTGTTGATAAAGTCCATGTTACCAGCTTGCATTGACATGTGAGCATGTGCAATAATGGATAATCCTACTAAACCATGGAAAGGTTGCTCTGAATGAGAATTACCTCTGTTAGAAAATATTTGAAGCAAGTACAAAGGAAATAAGGAATAAATTATTTCTAGAAAAATAAAGCAGCATCTCTCTAAAGGTTTTCTTAACTTCATACTTTGTGGCTGGTAGGTCCTCTTTTCTACCCTGATCTCTGTGTTATCTTCCCCTTCCCCAGCCACTCCCCCCTCCGAAAAAAAGATCTCTTTTAATTGTCATTAGCCACCTTAGGTCTGTAAGTAAGTCGATCATCTGGCCAAATTATAGTTAGAAGGGGTGGATCAATTGTAATCACCATTTTCGATATTTTCCTACTCAGATTGCTCGTGCAAAAGGGTATATTCTGCAAAAATGCTTGTACTTATCTGTCTCAGGAAAAAATTTTCAAGGACAATGTTTTTATTTGAATTAGAGATCAGTAAATTGTTGCTGGTGATGTTGAAATAACTTCCAATTGTTGTCTTCCATGGAAATTTCTCCTTTCCCCTTGTTTGTGCTTAGACCACCTCTCAGCATGAGCTTACTCATGGCATATAATTTAATTGGTGCTTTTAGCCTACAAGATGGTAATTTCTTTCTATGTAAAAAATTTCTCTGACCCCTTATCAAAGCTGTGCTTTTGAATGAATGACTGATTGCCTGAAGGCTCAAAGATCAAAAATCTGGGGTGCCTATTGCTTTAAAAACTTTCTTGAAAGAATAGTTTTACAAGTTGCTCAGAGACAAAAGGAGGCTTCCTGAATCACCCCCACTCTGTCAGTGCACAGGTCTTCCAAGTATGCCAGAGCACAGGCCTGCCAAGTATACCAGAGCACAGGCCTACCAAGTATACCAGAGCAAGTATGCCAGGTTACCTTATCCTTTTTCTTTTAAGGTTGCAAGAAAGTGGGTGTGACAGGCTTCTGCATGGGTGGGGCTCTGTCTCTGGCAGCTGCGGCACTGATTCCTGAAGAGATTGCAGCAGCAGCTCCTTTCTATGGCATCCCCAGTGCAAAGCTGTGTGATTTGGGGACAATCAAGATACCTTTGCAAGCTCATTTTGGGAGTAAGGATAATCTTGAGGGGTTCTCATCACCAAAAGATGTCAAAGCTTTAACAGAGAAGCTGGATGCTGGAGGAGTGAAGTATGAGCTTCATATGTATGACACTGGCCATGCTTTCACCAACCCAACCAACCCAAATTACACTAAAGAAATTTGTGATTTGGCTCTTGGAAGGATGATAGATTTTATGAAAAAGCACTTGGCATAAACCTTGTTTTCTAAACTTTATATGAGAGCGCTATGTCACAAAGATTAGGATAGTTTTTTTAAAAGATGTTGTTAACAAAGATTTGAAAACATCTTGTTAACTGGACATTAAAACATAAATGGAGTTTTACAACAAAAAGCTGGTGTAAAAGTTGCAATGCATTAGAATCTCTCTGTATCATCCAAATTAAAAGCCCATTTTTGGCGAGGTGATATAGTTGAGGGTTATAAGGGTGTGACCTAGCTCTCTCCTTGAGGATGAGGCCTAGAGGAAAGCTGCATGGAAGGGGGGGGGTGGGGATGAGAAAAGAAGAGGGGGAGGGTAAGGGAAGATACCCAGATGACAAAAGATTACAGCTGCCATTCTGCCCCCTTGTAATCAACCTGTTTTTTATCTTACATATATATGTCACTATCCATCCCCACTTGGATTAATTATCATAAAATTAGATGGTCCCCTTCTACCTCTTGACCTCACAGAGAAGCCAGATGTTGGAAAAGTGAAGTATGAGCTTCATGTGTATGACAATGGCCATGCTTTCAGCAAGCCTACCAACCCAAATTACACCAAGGAAATTTGTGATTTTACTTTTGGAAGGATGATAGATTTTATGAAAAAGCGAATATGATAAACTTTGTGTACTGCTGTTGCTGTGAATTATCAATTTCCTCAAAATAGAATATGTCTATCTCCTGGAGACGTCTTGCTAACTGGACATTTAATAAATGGTTTCATATAACAAGTTGCTGGAAATCTGGATATCTCTCACTCCCTGAGGCCATCAGGTCTAATTAAAGCAACCATGGACTACAAACATGCAGGCAACCCCCAAACACAGCTTCTATCCTGCTGAATTAGAAGTCGCTTAAAACTAACTTACATCGCCCCCCCCACTCCCCACTTCCTTAGTAGGACGCCCTCAAAGGTTATTTAAGTGATAGAATTCAACACCTACAAATTATGGGAACTTTTACGTGGATTCAGGTACCCCAAACAAGACACCAAACTAGTTGGAGAAAATTGAGGTCAAAACTTGAGATCGAAATTCCAGGGCTCCATTCTACGGCAAAGAACAGCAATTCTGGTACCCTATGACTGACGAAATACTGACTTATGTGCACGACCCACACGCGAGCTCATAGCGATTCCAACATGATCCACTTGGGTAGTCCGTAAAAATACCTTTCCACAGGGGGAACAGTGTTCCGTGTTCTATCTCTGTTACTGTCCACAACGCTAAGGCTTTAAATCGACCTCCCTCTGCTCTCCCTGATGACCATGTGACCGCCCTAGAGAAAAATCCTCTGAAACCCACAGGAAGTAGAAAATGATTGGTCCCTAACATTTTAAATGGAAGGAAACGGTAACGGAGGGATTACTGGATATAGCTTCTGAGACGAGATTTTCTCAGCGTCTGTCGGGTACAAAAAAAATTGGCAGGTTGCTTCGAGTACTTTGGGAAAGTCCGGTTGTATTTTCGACTTCGATGTCATACATTTTAATAGGGACGGTAATAAAGGAAGTAGATATCGATGAACAGCTGATCCCTTCACAAAACTGACTAACTTAATATGGTAGTAATAGATAGCTTGGACGTGACCTGGGCCAAGTTTTCCATGTTACTTGCTCTCGAATTAATTTTTGATTCATAAGGGCAAATTTAAAAATCATATTCGGTTCTCTTACCTCAATATGTATGACACATGAAAACTTTGTCACATTAAACTACCTCTGAAAGCGGTTAATGTTTTGATAGTCGATATGTAACTAAGGAGCTGATTTTAGAGCAGTTCTTCGATGAGATCTTTTCTTGTTCTCAATCTCAGTCTATGTCTGTGCTCGCACATAAAACGTAACGTTTTACAGAATTACATCCTGTCAACTCCTTCATTTTAGTAGAATGCCTGTAGAATTCCTCTTTAAATTATTTCCAATTAGCAATTATTTTTTCCGTGAGGAAAAGAAAAATGTGCAGTTTTTAAGAAAATTGGGAAATACATGTACTTGTACTGTGCCGTGAATTAATTGAAATAGAAATCAGATCAAACTTATTCAATTGAGATTGCATGTTAAAACAACATGATTTTAAACAGCCGAGAAATGCCGACAAGGTCCAGTCGGAACTGAAAACGGAAACTGAAATCGAAAGTGCTGGCATCACTGCTCTTCGTTTTTGTGTCGTAATTGTACGCATGCTCAGTGATACAGGAAAGAGTTTCTACCGCTGGTGATCGTCGCGTTTTAAAACTAAAATTTCATCTATTTTCCGGATTAAAAAAAAATTAAAGCATTTCCGAAAAGAAACTACCTAAGACCTAAGACCCAAGAGCTACGTTCTGTGTAATTTGACTGAAGAAAACGTTTGGACTCTTACTTGTAGTCACAGTAAGCTGCTTCTATTGCATGGATTTGAATGAAGACCAATTCCTGTGGTTTTCTTTCTTTTACGTTTGGTTTTTCTTTTTTGTTGTTTATCATAAAATCCTACCTTTTCATAACCATGGTTGCAAGCTGCTTACGTCACCAACCTAATATGGTTGTTGTTTTGAACTTGGATATATAAAAGATATGCCCCTGTCTAGCTTTGCCCTCTGATGACCGCCAATCATCACAAACACACACTCACTAAATGACAGACATACTTAAATTTGAATACAGAGCTGTTTTAGTTCGGATTGCTCGCGATCTGGACGAAGAACAGCATAAACAACTCTTCTTCCTCTGCAAGGAACAAGTTCCAAGACGAGGTTTAGACGTTTGGACACTTCTCACTTCACTGGAAGACTCGGCGAAGATATCGTGGATCGATGTTTCCCTCCTGAAGAAATGTTTGCACGTTATTGGAAGGGAAGATCTCGTTGTCCTCCTGACCGAGTTTGAAATGAAACGAGACCTGTCCATTCTTATGAATTTCTACGTCAGGGAGAGGAATGGCCTACACCTCTTCTACCGGTCGACTGCGACTGAAGCGGCTATCCACCTTGTGCGGCTAATGGAAAGGTATCCAGGCAGAGAAGATCTGAGAGGAATGATGAGAGGCTCAGACAAGAAAGCGAAAGATCTTTGGCTGCAATTCATGTCTGCAACTCCTCGGACCTCGAGAATGACGTGGGGCAAATTTTCCATGCTGGTTGCGATTGCCGGAGAAATAATAGCCAAGACATCATCGAATCATTGTGCAGGAAGTTCAGATGAAGCCATCATGGATATGTGCGTAATTTTGGCGGATGAGCTTTGTACTATTATGGTTCAGCTTGGATGTTGGGTAACTGAAATTAACTTAGTACAAGACTATTTTTAAAGCTAAATCCATTGATTAATATTTGTCTATTGGTTATAATTGTTGTAATCAAAATCGATGCAGCCGATGTAGATCTCGAAAGTGAAAGTGAAGTTTATTCAAAAATTATTTTGAAAATCATTCTACCATAGACTTCACAACTGATACTTGGCTTATCGATTGTTTTACTTATAGGCAGTTTTTAAATCATAAACTGAGTTTCACGCTATTCATATCAATAATTCGGATTTCGATAGAAAGTATTACACCTTGTCTGTGTAGGAATAGACAATCGTTCTAGTAATCTGCTTTACTAATTAGGTATCATCTTAACTTTTCACCGACCATCGTTAAATTTCAAACTGATCTTGACGTAGAGTGAACGAGACTTAACTTATTGGCAAAAAGATGACCTAATCGCGAGTAATTCGGCGCTGGTTAGAAAATTGCCTTTCTTCACAATAATGGCGTGCCGGCGTTAGTCATAAGGAATTCGATAGTCAATAATGATGTGTCACAACACATCACATCAACTTGCGATTTGATTCTCACCCGTGTACTTCCCCTCAAAATGATAGCTTCAGTAAGACTGGCGATAGAAAGCCAAACCAGTATTCTTTACAATGTGCTTGCAAACTTTCAATTTGATAAAAATTTACATGCCGACCAGACCATGATAACTAATATTAATCTGCATTCGGTTTATATACAAATTTAAAGCTACCGGTCCACTGAATTCGACTCCCGTATTTATTTGATGAATCTACAGAGTCGAATCTTTGTCGTCGATCCGATCGGGGCATGAGTTTGAGTTTCAAATAGGAAAAGAGAATCATTTCGTGTTATATTTTCCCCCTGTAAGTTCAATGAAATTTGCATTTAGTGTTATTCCATTCTTATATGTTGCAGCACGATCATAATGTTTCTATATTTAATTCACACCTTCTGCCCAAATGCCTGCTTTAATTTCTTGCCTCTTCTCTTCCCAATCGCTTCCCTCACTGCCTCCATCAGTTTATTTTATTGCGAGTTCGTCAGGTAACTTGCCTTCTTGTAAGCTTACTTGTGTGCTATAAGGAAAGGTCTTCAGTTCCTTATTTACAAACATCTGAACAGCCTTGTTTACCCGCGGAATAAGTTCAGCTCAAGCCCCGTCGTCAATTCTTTGATTACTGTTGAGGAATTTGATACCAAATGATAATTTGAACATCCGTATATATCAATGTATTCTTTTGATGAGGTATTTTTGTCCCGCAAATGCTGTAGGTGATGTTGACCTGTGCATGGGGAGTGTTGCATCTCACATAAACTTACCTTGTCGTTGTTGATTTTTCTTTTCACCACATTTTTAGGAAAAATTTTGCACTGATGTTAAGAAAAGAGCCCAGCGGATTTGCGGACAGGATGTCAATGGCAGCCCCTCTTTTGCAGGCTTTAGAAAGCAAATAGCCGACGCCATTCATGAGTTGGAGAACAGCATCTTTTCCTAATTGATGTACTCAACTCTTGACTGTGTGGAGAGAGGAAGCTTTTTTTTTTTTAGTAGCTTCATAGATCATTACACAAGAAAATGTCTTTAAAGTCAGTGTTGTTGGCTCTCCATTCTCTGAGATTCTGTTTCAGATTTTATTTGTTAACTTCCTAAAAAAAAATAAGGCATCTAGTAATCGTAGCTTGAGTATGCAACTGCAGGATGAAAACCAACTGACATTGATAGTCTTGAAGGTAAAAGGTGTAATTGCAAGTTTTTCTTGTGTAATGATCTCCTTTTTTTGGAAAACAAAACAAAAAAAAATATTTCAGGAAAAAAAGAATTGTAAACAAAATAAGATACAAGAAAAAAAATTGAAAAAATATGCCAAAAAGGAAAAAAAATATGAAAAATAAGTCACAAAATTCAAGAAAAAAAAGGTTGACTGTACTTAGGTACGGTACACAAGAAAGATGCAAAAAAGATTGTTGCGAAAGGCTAGGCAACCCTATTTTGCTACACTGTACAAGTACAGGAGAAAATGATCTCTTGACAACAAAGAAAAGATAAGTTTGTATTCCAAAGCTCAGATAAGAGGCGATAAGCAAGGGAATACTTAACAAAAAAGAAAAAAATTATTGAACACGAGGTTTCAAAAATACAATGTTACAAACAAGCAAATGACGCATCAGAGAAAAAAAATGTGGCGGTTAAAAAAATTCTCGTCAGAGAAACAAAAAAAAGAGAAATATGTAATAAAGTTTACAACTTTTTTTCCTCAAACCTGTGCCTAATGTTTCATTTGACTAATAAGGGTAAAATGTCCGAACCGTTAATGGGAATTGATAACCACCATGTCAACTTTCATGGGAAGATTCTATCTCTGAAAAAGAAGAGCTCGAGTTAGAAATTTCAGAGGTGTTGATGATGCAATAGTCTGAGTCGTAGCCCTGGCACTGACAAAGCGTTGTACTTAAGGCAACTCTTGCAGTGTCCCTCTCCACAAAGGAGTATAAATGAATACTCGAAAGTTGCCATGGAAACCTGGTAAAATGCGGGAGCGTAACCCTACTATGAATTGACAACCTAATATTGCTATATATCCAGGAGGGATGAGCTCAGAGGGGAAGGAACGTATGCTTCTTACCATTGCGCCACTGGACACATTTGCCCGAGCTGGAGACGGAAAGAATTATGCCAAATTATTTTCTTTAAAACGAGTGATTGGAGCATTGGCTTGATGCTGCTGTTCTGCCAGAGCGAAATCTACTCCATTCACTCTCTATGAAAGGGTTCGGCTAGCAATGACAGAGATGATGCATGTAAGGTGAGTTCTTCTGGAAGTAAGGTCCCTGAATCCAGTCTAAAGCGACTTTACCTTTCGTTTGAAGCGCCCAAGGAATAGTTCGGGCCAGGAATCAAAATTTGACGTTAGAAATCACGAAGGCAAGTCGGAGAGATGCGTTTTCTTAAGTGAGCGTTGACCAGTGACCGCTCTCAGGACCGCTTTAGGAAGTTATCGTGATAGGCTGACTAAAGTGGAAATTACATAATTATAGAGTGCCCGGATGTTTGAGGCACTATATTATCTGCGCACTCTCCTTAATTCCTTTGTGAAAGGATCACACTCAATTAGTAATGGCGTCTACAGCAGCCTCAACTGAAAGGGAAAACTTTCCATCATCGTTCAGCAGCATGAAATATCAGTATCCACCTGTGTTCAAAGACCTCCTCATCCGCCTTGTCAAATCTTTAACCAGTGAAAATCGTGCAGCATTCCAGTTTTGGTGTAAGGGTCTTCTCCCGGGCTCTATGTTGGATGGCGACATGACCACTGATGCTGAGTTCTTCGCATTGATCAATTCCCTTCTGAATTCTAATGAATTATCTCTCACCAACATGAAAGTGCTTAAAGATTTCCTCTTAAGTATTGGTCGTGAGGATCTGCTGCAGGAGCTTAAGAAAGTAAAATTGCAAATCTCAATTGGTATCATTTTAGAAGATTACCTGAAGTTCAAATCTGTTGATGGCTTCCGCCAGGGCACTCCCATGAAACCTTCTGAAAATCACAGTAATATCGTGAAGCTTCTACTCACCTCTAAAGAAGAAAATCTTCGCCTGATTGCACAAATCCTTGGACAGTTGAAACCACTTTGCTCCGATCAAAACTTCGTGAAGAAATTTACAAATATTGCTCTTCTTGGCTCAAAACTATCGTGGCCGATGATTAACTCATCTTTGGTTATTATTGGCGAGCTTTATGCTTTGCTTACACCACAGTCAAGAAGTTTCGAGAGTGGTTTTTATGTTTACCTGTTTTCCATGACCAAGGCAAGCAAGTTGCTATCAGATTGGATGTTTGAAAACGGTGGTTTGGTAAGTATACTGGAGCTACATACGCTTAATATATAAAAAGCTCCCTGAAACATAAATTTGTGTGTCACGACGTTAAATTACCTGATTAGTGAACAAAAGTTTACACTTTCATGTACATAAAGAAAAATGACAAATCTTGATTGCGGTAGCTGCATGTGATTTGGCTAACTTTTGTTTCTGCAACAGATGGCAACCCTGGCCTAAAGGAATACATTGTGTCAGTGTTGTGATTATCCTTCGAATTCAATATGCACAATTTGCAGTTTTAGCGTACGTTGGTAATGAGAATAAAAACAGCAGAAGAAGAAGTGATGAGCCAGTTTCAATCATCATTTATAGTTTTCTATTCAACATTTATCTGCTTAAAGGGACGAGCATTTGAGTGCAAAGTGCTTTTGTAAAGGAAAAAAGTTTATTAATTCTGCCATGCTTGAGGTATGCTATTAAATACTCAGGCCCTCCAAGGTGCGAATTCTGTCCGCTTGTCTTCGAGCTAGAAACACCCAAAAACTGCTACCTAACTTTTCTTTTCTTGAGAAAAATTTTGTTTTGCATGAAGAGAAAACTAAATGCCCATAGTGGTTCATTGCAAATTTAACACCATTCGATGACTCTGGAAGACCTTTCAAGCAAACACAATTGTTGTATTCACAACGAGAGGTCATTGGCATGCATGAAAAAATATACATTACAGCATAAAATGTTGACAAGTTGTAATTGATAGCCTGCAATCAAAGTCAAAGTCATTTCTAAGCTAAACTTTTTTAAATGTCATCCAAAATCCGTATCAATTAATGCTCAAATGTCCTTTCTTCATTTGCCAGAAAATGTATAATGAATTCATCAGCAAGAAACAACGAGCAACAATCAGTGAATCAGTGCCATCTTCCCTTGGGAAATCTCTGAAAGACAAAATCGAGCTGCTTGGAAGTCGCGTGGGTCTACCGTTGAGAAATTAAGTTGAAAATGCTGTTTACTTCTTTACCATCCTGAATATCATTTGTGTGATCTTTGGATACCCCCTCTTATGGACTGCCACCTTGCCGTGGTGGAGGGGCTTGTGCGTTTCAATGATCCTGAGAACTCAGCCGGTGGAGGCATGTGAGCCTCTGGCAGGTACAACCAAGCCGGAAAGATCAAAGGGGAGAAACCAGACCAAAAGGCAGTCAAAATTCCTACTCTGTACATCAGCAGAAATCAGGTACATTTTACTCCCGCAGTGAATTTGGTCAGTGGTTTTGTCAAGTACTACTATGCATGCACTTAATATAAATGTAAAAGTGGATCTAAAGTTTATTTGGTCAAGAGACTGATTAGCCAGATAAGATTGAAGAACTAGGTATGAAATGTTCGAATAGTGGATACAAAAATATTATAGTTGAAGTTTTTTTTAAAAACAAACTGCATTTATTTTTAACAATTTCAGGACTTTTATTATCTCTTGAAATGGAAGAATTGGCCTCTATGGACCAGCACATGGGAACCTTCAGCTCATTTGTGTGATCAGCTTATCAGGTACTAGCTGAAGTATGTTTTTGGAAAGTGCTAGAAATAATCATCAATGCATGCAGCTTGGGTCCACACCAGGTCTGGGTCCATACAAAGCTTATGCTTTCTTTTAATTAATAATCTTATAGGACCTTATACAGCAACCCTCCTGTCTCCATGGAAAGGTTACAGAGTGTATCAGCTTCATTTCTGGAAGGCATCCTATCCTTGAGGCGGATGCAATCAAAGTTTATTATTCCTCTGAGTTGAGGGTGGATCATGATATTGTTAGATATGGTTTTTGAGGAAAAGGTAAAAAACCACACAATGGAGTTAGCATGCTCTATGAAGAGGACAATTTTTCTTGCCCTGGGCTTTCTCCAAATTGGTGGTATTATTTATTATAAATGAACTTGGAGAAGGAATAGCAGTTGACTTTCCTTTCAAGTTAAAAACTGTTCTTACTTATTCAAAACATAAGCACACTTAGCATGCAAGAGTTATTTTTTGGCTGGGTGGGTTGAGATGGGACAGTTTGTTTACTTAGTATTTTCATTTTTGTCACCAAAAAGAGCATAACCTTCAAAAACAAAAATATCGCTGAAACACAAGAAAAAAACCTAATTTATCTGAATTCACACAGAGATTATGTGATCTGTTTCTATTGTTATTCTAAGTTAAATTGAAATGCATGGGTGCCACACTTACCGTTGTCTCCTTTGCAGCTGTTAGTTAGTCTCATCACTCAACGCCCTCTATTTCCTGTTTGAGAGAGAGCGCGCGTTGCCTGACAAGACCAAATAACAATGGCGAAAAAGACTATGCAACAATATTTCAAAGAGGGCTCCTAATTGGTTGTTGCCCATCTGGACTTTACCCTATGTGTGTGAAATGTGTGATAAAATGCAGGTTCTTTTACAATGAAATTAACTCATAATTGGTTAAGTCCAAGGTAGCTTAAAGCAACTTTTATCCATAGAAAAGTCAAATGCAGGAAAATTAGGTGGTAAACTCAACATCAGTAGCATCTAGTTCCATGTGAATTTTTTTCAGTGGGGTTGGACAATGCAGTTATGATATGTAATAGAATGCAGGTTGTTTACAAGAAAATGACATGTAATAGAGCAAAGTCCAATGTGGCAAAATGGAATTTGATTGGTGGAATACAACTGAAGCACATAAAAAATTGCATAATGTTCATGTAGTGTACTGATGAGGTATGTTCTGATTGGACTTTAGACGTTGTTTCATGTTACAAGATGGTATGTAAGTTGTTTGGCATGTGCATTGTGAGCAAAGGAGTGAAAAAAACACGATTTAACTTTAAAATTTAAATATATGCCTTTCATATCCCAATAAATCCTATCCTCAGTCAACGAGGCTCTTGTGAAGGCCACAAACCTTTACACTTATCAAATGAGCCCAAAATTTCTGGTTAATGTCATTCTTTGTGCACAGTCAAGTGATCAATGACAGCATTTAAAGAAAACAATTTACCCAAACGTTGTGCTTGGTGCAGGACATTCAATTGCTATGATATGATTGGTGCAGGACATTCAAATGCTATGATATGATTGGTGCAAGATACATATCCTAATGTGGCAATCTGATTGGTGCAACATACCACTCTTTACGTTAACGTAGAGTCAAAATTTTTTTGTTGAAAAAAAAAACTCAAAAAGCATTTCATGTCATGGAGTGGCCAAATCAAATTAGTGCCAAATTTTCCAGTTGAGAAAGTTGTTTTAATTTAACAGAATAGCTTGTAATTCCACAAACATTTAATTTTCTTTAGGGCAGGTGAATATAATAATCCTTTGCATATGAATATAATCCATTGTCTGACAATAATAATAATTTTGAAAACATATTTAAACACGGGCAAGCAAACAGATGGAAGTTTAAGTATTGAAATAAAGATAAAAATTATTTACATATTCAATACAGATGAAAATTATTTATATATTTGTACAATCAATGAAATTAAATACCAAAACATGTCTACATCTTTATTGTTTTTGTTTTGTTTTGTTTTGCTTTTTTGCTGCTAAAAGTTATTGATTTTTCTGCAAAAGCTCAATCAGTAGACACTTTTTCATCCCGAATGCTGTAATGCATTTAGATTTTATTTCCTGTCACAATGATTGACAGTCATTCTGTTGTATTCATCCTCAATTAAGTTGTTTTCTGGTACTTCAGCTTCATTATGGTTCATGATTGTTCATTATGGTTATGATTGGGAGTTCTCTCAAGTAATTTGAATTAAGAAATTGTTTTACAAGATCTTGTAAATTTGTAGAAAATGAAAGTTGTGCAGCCATCGGGGTGCTGACTTGGTGTTCTTTCAAGGTGGCATAGTTTATTAAGTTCATTCCTTTTTTGTTTGATCAAATAAGACCTTGGTAAACTCTCAGAGAAAACAGACAACTCATGGTAAAGCTCATCACTGGCACAAAATTTGTCTAGCAAAAATTTCAAGGTTTTCCTGGTCACCATCATTTGCTGATGGCTGATCAAATTCAAGGGAATGCATTTCATTAATGGCAGCCTCCTGGACCGTAAGGAAAGACAGCTTGAGCCCATGTGACTCTAGAAACCAGAGGGCAATTTCTGACTTTTCATTAAGTTCCCTCAGTCTTCTTAATTGTTGCTTTTTCCTACTTTGTCGATAGTTTTCCCTTGACATGTTTTTTTTAACTCCTTTCGTTGAATTAAAATACGGAAAGAGAATGATACCCGTAAAACTAATTGAATTAACGACGCGCGAGGCTTCAGACGTTGTTACTAGGTTTAAATCACACGCTAAAGGAAGGAGAATATGAACCTTTTTGTGCACATCAGGAACAAAATCTCATTCACGCAGCGCGAAATTTAAACACACACACATTAAACAATCGAGCAAATGACGATAGTCCTCTACATGATTCAACGGCGTGGTAGGCTTCGGACGTTAATACCAGGTTACACATGCTCTCATTACCTTTGCATCGCACAGTGAGCCTCTAATTGAATATGTCTTTCGCCAGTTTTAAGCAACATAAAGGAAAAAATCTACCAGAATTACCCCCACGGGGAGGATTTGTCTTATCATTAGTTTTGCCGATGGTTTAAATCTGCCGCTCGTATGATAATCGGAAATTTGAAAAATCCAGCATGTATTTTAAATCTGTTTCCGCCACTGTTCCAGAGTAGCCATACATGGTCTTTTTTAATCGTTAAACAAAGCCTGCTTAACTCTAAGTTGATCCGCTTTTCTTGATACGACATGGGAGAATTTCTCGACGAGAAGTGCGGTGGAAAGTTTCCATTTTTCTGCAAGCCCAAATCTGCAAGCCAAAATGAAGCTAAATCTATCCGTAAAAGTACCCTTTTTGGCTTTTAATTTGTGGCCTTCCATTTTATCAGAAAAGGCTCTACTTTACGTATTTTAGAAGATCGTAAACTGAAGAAATTTTTGAGAGGTTAGCACCAATGGAGACTTGAAAGACACCGGTCGTTTTAAAACCCTAAAGTGAAGGTAAGTTAAGGTAATTTGATGAAATGAGAGTCGAAGTACAGACAGTAACCCTTGTTCTTTTAAGATCCTCTTTGCAGCCACAACAGTAAACCAAATTATCAATCATAATAATCAAGAAAGATCACTTCAATCGTGTGTTGACGCATGAGGGTTCCAAGCAGCAGCGAAATACCTGAGTGCAGTAACTCCATGACGGCGATAAATTTCTCTAACTTGCTTTATAAAATAGTGTCGAGGAATTTTTGGGAAATGTTTCAATGAACTCCCATGTTCTCGATTTGAGCTCCTACTTAGAAAGTTTAATGAATGGTTGTGGAAGCCACCATGGAGAAAAGGAAATGAAATAGAAATGTGAAGAAAGAAGAAGGAGGGAAGAAAAAAATTTCAACCATGCTTAAAAAAACTACGATGTTGATTTTCAATTATGGTTGTTGATTTTTTTTCCGCTGATAGCTATCCTTCTTTAATTCAAAATAGCCCATCTTATTGTAGTAAACAGAACAAGAAAGATGTTAAGTTTTGGGGTCGGTAAAGAAATAGAGAAGGGTGTTTTTTCTTCTTGTCACGAGCGTGAGGTCCCAATGAGGAATCGAACCTCAGACCTTCGGATTCTGCGCTACGATGCTCTAACACTAAGCCACAGAGACTCTGTGGTAAGCTGAGCCCATTACGAAGCTCATATATGACTCACGTCCTGCATACTGCTAACTAGGATTAGCGATTTAGCTAGAATCGGAGCGCGGAATCCGTACCTTTGAAGTGCGATTCCTCATGGGGACTCGGAATTTTCTTCTTTGTCCCACGCTTGTGACATGACGAAAAACATCTTTCTCAAGAAAGAAAAAATAAAAACATCTTAATCTTTCAGAAAAAGTTTTCCTCCCTCACCCTTCCTCTCACCCCATGATTTATCGAAAAAAATCAGGGTAGCTTTGAACCAAAAGAACATGATCTTTTTCAAGCAGATTGCAAAAAGACTAAAGTTGATGAGCTGATTGAAATTCGAGAATGATATGGGGTCTCCATATTTTCTATTATTACGAGCACATCATGCTCAACTAAAGGGTGTTTATGAAGATATAGAATATCCATGGAAACGTGTTGTGTCAGAGAACAATCTCAGCTTGCTATGCAATAATTGGGCGTCTCTTTCCGTACTATTAGCCGGGAAGGGAAGAGAAAAGTTGTATTAGTGACATCCATCCATTAATGATTTGTTGCTTAAAATAACGAGAACAATCTAAACCGTCTTGAAATTACCTAGGGGAACTGATAACTAGCTTTGTAGTGGCACCACCAGAGAGAATGCGGAATAATACCTAATATGGTATTTCTACGTCAGTTTCTAGTTTAAATAGGACGTTCCATCTTGTTCTCTTCAGCCGCCATATTCAACTTCCTCAGAGCAAGACCTTTTAAACAAAAGCGTCATATTTTCAATGTCTTCGAGAAGATCACCCATGGTTGAAGACTTGAAGCAGTTGTATAGAGCTGAACTTGTTGAGATTTCTGAACATCTGACCAAAGAGGAATTTAAAAAACTCTTATATTATTGCACAGATTACATTTCGGAGAGTTCTTCGAGCAGCTTCTCGACGCCGGAGGAAATTTTTCGGCGCTTGGAGGAAAAGGAAAAAATTTCGTACGAGAAATTAGGCTTTCTGACGAAATTCGCAGACAAGATTGGAAGGAACGATCTGGTCACAAAGCTTAACATATTTGAAATAACAAGGGAGCTGATGATTTTTGCTTTGAACAGGCAAGGATTAGGAGCAACCATTAATTCGTCGACCACAAGTGTGGGTCATCGTTTAGCAGAAATGGCGGATGTAGTCCAAGATCGAGTTGATGTACGAGCCCAAGGAATGATCAATTCCCTCCTTGGGTCCGGGAAAAATGTCTCCAACATTTTGGACGTAATCATCCGAGAAGCTGTGCCTGGCTCAGATGAAACCCAAAACTGGAACGACCTGGCTTTGTGCTTCGTCATTGCAGCGGGAATTGTCTGGTTGGTGCCCAGAGAGAACCAAGAATCAGACAACGATGCATTACAGGTCGCCATCGACCTGGCCAGTCATCTTTGGTCTATGATGGCCAAAATTGGAACATGGGTGAGTGGAATTTAATTTTAAATCCTTAGCTATTCCTTGCATTTGAGTCTCTGTAATCGAACTATTTTTAGAAACATACAAACAACTATGTAGAATCGAAAGCGGAAATGGATCAACTGTTGACACCATTCTATGAAACTTAAAGATTACCATTCAAAAAAGATTTCTATGAAATGGTTTGACCGGATGAAGTCAACGTTTCTATCTTCGCAGCATTCTCTAAGAAACATCGATTAGCTCCAACAGAATCGTAAACACGCGAGGCCGTTCAATTTTCACGGGCATATCTGAAATATTATGCTAATTGATAACTTCGAACCACTATCGAACCCCTCAGGAACTTAGCGATTTCCAGTTTTTTATCAACGGGAGCTGTGATTTCTTGCTTGCACTGAATTTGATGCGGTCTAAAGCCAAGAAATAGACTTAAATACAGGGTGACCCCCTAAAGAAGTGTGCCTGGCTTGTTCGCTCGGTAGTTGAAATAATGGGAAAGAGAAATGTTATTGTCTACTGGTAGAGATATCTGCATAATTTTAATTATTTGAGGGTTGTCAAGGGACATAGCAAATAAGTCTAATATCTGTGAACAATTCAAGAGGAGTTGTGATATAACAATAATTAGTGGCCAAGAGGTAAACAACTCAATTATTCGTTGTATGAGTTTATAAAACTAATTAAATAAGTAAGATGAAGTCGAGTGTTGCGAATTACATTCGGACAATGGCCTTTATAACGAATTCTGCAAGACTACAGAGTATCATATGTTGCTTTCATATGTAGGATGAATTTTGCAAATTTGTCCGTAAGCGACACACTGGATACAGTTCAGTTCCTGAGCCAGCGACTGACTCTCCGTGGAAGATGACGTTAATCGACTTGATTGAGAAGATGAAGGAAAACTTCTTTAATGAAAAACAAGGATAAGTAGCATCCAATTTAACGTAGTCATAGATTAATTTAGCAAACATTTGTGGGATAAAATATCTGAGCACTTAAGAAAGGAGTAGAAAGAGTGAACTGAAACAGATAGCTGGTTCATTTTTCTCTTTGTATCGAATATTTCAACGTCGTTAACTTGAAGATAATTTTTTTCAAGGGTCTACAATTTTCTTATCGGTCTGGGTCTGGGTCTTGGTCTGAGTCTGGTATCCATGTGAGCAGCACAAATTTGCATACTGACCATTTTTATGGTTTTATTACTAGGTTCGATGAGTCGAGAACCAATCAACATGCTACAAGCAAGGAAGTGATGTCTTCATGTTGGACACCAACTTCCACCTATCCAGACTTGCGGTTCCTTTTTGTGAACCAGTTGGCAAGAAATGACTTCTATGCAATGGAAGTTGCAAAAACCATACAACCGTAGCTATGGCTACGCTCTCATATAACTGATATGCCTTAGAGCATTCAAATCCTGCTGGGCTCAATTTAAGGAGGGGGCATTGGGGTCTATTAAAAACCGCAAAAGCGTAAAATCCTGATGCCCCCCTTTAAGCTCACACTGATTTGCTCCTGAGGAAGATGAATATGGCGGCTCATTTACGTTGTAACAACGGCTCATGTTACCACATTTGAGCACAACATAAGTCTTATTTACAAGGTAAGTCTTATTTCCATGCTCACTACCGGTCAGACGAAAAGATCCAAATGACCCAAAAAACCGATAGAGAAAGACCCAAACTGATAAAGTAACAAAGTTAGGTCGACATCTTAAGTAGTGGGTAGTAGTAGATATAAATTTAGGTTGCCGAGTTTCGATCAAGCATGCTATATCAAAAGAAGGAATAAATTCGTCGTAATAGATACTTAACTCTCAAATGATATTTAAACTGTTATAGTATAGTGAGAGTGTACACTCAAGGGTTTTATAGGTCCTTCACACAATTAGTGGGAGAAAGTAGTTAAGGTGATTTTTTCGCTTTTTTTAAGAATCTAATGCTTTTTGAAGTCCCATGTAGAGTAAACTTATGTTTGAAGCTTGTGTCTTCTAGATACCCGTCTCAAAGGTAATCAGGTAATTTTTTTTGTAGTATTTTGGCATTCTGGAAATATAGCTAAATGTTTTTCGATACTATGTGTCGCGATGATAGTTTAGTAGAAAGTTGCCCCTTCCGACTGAAATTCCTGCAAATAAAAGGTTATTAACCCCAAAGATATGATTTGCGAACATCTAAAATTATTATATGCCACATTTCGCCGGCACGTTCCAGAATTCTCAGTGACAACTGTAGGAATGCGAGCGGGAATTATAGGATTAGAATCTGTAATTTGCACAGTGTTCTTGAGTGAGACATTCTACGCGGTTCAGGATGGACTAATGTCGGCCTTGACTGGATTGAATCTCCCGATCTCCCAACGTGTTCGTGAGAGGCAAAGATTGATCCTGGCGCTCTTATATGTTGTGGCTATATTGCATGGCGCTCACTGAGAACTGTTTTTATTATTTTCTCAAGGTAAGGTTTAAGGCTCTCATCATTACTCACTCATTACTCAATCACTCCAATCGTTATTATGTTATCATTCATTACCGCATCGGACGACACCTTTAGGCCCGGTTATCTCTTAACCCTTTACACCCTAACATCAGTATGCAAACTCTCCATACTATGCTCTACACATTTCCTAAGGTGCTGACAAGGAGAATTTGTTTAACAACCAAGAGCTTGATTCGTTAGTGATCATTTCCTTTATTCTCGTGATCTAGATGCGTGATTCGGGGATGATATTGTAAGGAGAAGTTAGGTGTTAATCACCCTTAGAGGTTAAAGATTTCAGCTCCTGAGGTAACTTACACTAGGCATTTTAGGGTAAAAAATCGTAGTACTCAATAGCCTACACCAATGCTCTTGTCATTATCATTATCATTATCATCATCGCCAGCGTCGTCATCATCATTATCATTACTTTTATCTGGTGTTATGTTTTGTGTGTTTTTCTTGTTTTGTTTTCTGAGAAATGTTTTGCACAGATTTCTGGTCGAAGTCTTCATCGTGATCACGCAAGACTGCGTCGTTGACGGAGAACCTGGAACTTGCTACTTTCGTCTGTATGACCCTTTGAACGTTCCTCGTTACGCCTATGGAAACCATCATGATGTCCTGGGTGTCAGCATACTTCTAGTAAAGCCCATCTGCTGTGCGCTGTTTCTGCAGTATTTTCTGGATTTCTGCATCATATGCATCATCTCTTTCTGTGCAACCAAGTTGTTAAGTTGTTGCATGATCTCGAAAGCGTTGGTTCAGCAAAAGGCCACCCCACAGTTGTTACAGTCAAACAGAGAGGGTCCTCTTTTGCGTTCTCGCCCTCCAAGTACCGAAAGGAACCGCTCAAGGCACAGTATCTCAAACATTTAATGGAAAGAACTGATATGAACGATTTCTCAAAATTGAAATATTTGTTTTTCATTAGCCATTACAATTTTCTTGGATTTTCGCAGTTTTCCCCTTGGCGATCGGTTTATTGTCATTTTCATCGAAAAGAATGGGACTTATTAGTTAAGGGAGGCACAGTCAGTGGTAATCTCAATTTCCAGATTCAGTATTATCCAACGGCGTTACTAAAATTATAAAGGAATTCTTCACCGCTTTCTTTAGGTTATGGCTGGTATGTATTTAGACCGATATCTGCCTCCGTGACTTTGAGACGTTTGGTTTCGGTTGATAAGCTTTGGTTTAATGTTCTTGTAGGGATTACTTTTTGCAAATATTGGCATTCGTTTATCTGTGTAAATGATTTATTATGTAGGAAACCCTAAATCCCCAAGGGTGGCACCACTGCTTTGGTCGGGGGTACACGTTCCCCGTTTTGTTCCATCTGCTGCATGGTTTTAGGGGTTTTCGTGTCCGGCTTTGGTGCATTTGCTCTTTTTTTTTAATTTGTAGCACAGTTGATATCTATAAATGTGTTGTAGCTAGATAAAAAGCATCTTTTACTTCATGGAAAAAAGGAATGAAAAACGTAGAGTCTAAAAAATTTGAAATACCCGCTCGACTATGTAAATATGTAAAAAAAAACCAAAACAGAAAACAGTGTAAATAGCAATAAAAAAAAAGTATTATTTAAATACATCATATCGAGGTTTGAGTTTCTAAGCAGCAGTAGAAGACCAAACAAGTGCAGCGACTAGGGGCAGCTATACGTTGACTAAAGCGCAAGCGCTCTTTCTAGCGAGTATTTCTGTAAGCTCCTTAATGCCCCGTGGGTAAATAAGCTCACTTATCACTCTTCCTTAGAATGTTAAAATGTCATTAGAAAAAAAAAATGGAAGAGGACGGAAAAAGAATAGAATCGTGGGATTTTAGTAAGATATGATCATGACTTAAGCCTTGGTTAGAATCATTAGATCACTGACGTTTTTCTCTCCTTAATGAAAACATGCTATTTTTCATTCTTTCAGAATTATCTACCTCCCCCCTCCCCTCCCCGCTACACTTTTTGTGATTCCTAGGTCATCCGAGGTATATTCAGTAACCTTGTTTTTGTAACGATTAAAAATTTTCCCTCAGATGTAGATTCCACATTTCAGTCAAAAATCTAGTTCACTGCCACCCCCCTCCAACCCCCTCACGTTTTCACCATTCCGTCTAGGGTTGGACATCAAACTAAGGATCAGTTATGGTTGGCAAGTTCAGTTGGGAAAGGAAAAATATGCTTTGCTTTGCTTGCCTTAATTTTCAAGATAAAGTCTATCACCAAAAATGCAACTTAATAGCATCTAACCCCACGAGTAAAAACGTGCAGTCTCAAAAATCTATGTAGTTTAGCTTTGCTTTCGCCATCAAATCCTACACCAATCTCGTTGGCCAAAATTGGTTACGATAGAGAAAAAAAATGACCTCTTCGCGAGGCTTAATCAGCAATTTATCTCCAATATCTTGCATAGTGTAGGCTGCGAGCAGACTCCCTCTCCGCACTGTGTTAAGGAATTTTTTTTTGGATTAAATCGCGCATCGAATAACACAGAGAAAGGGGCCGCAAGGGATACTGGGATTGTACCCGCATTTGTGCACAGCGATGCCACAAACTGTGCTTTTGCGTGGCAATGGTTTAGAGAAAAAATATCTCTTTTTATTTTACAGAAAACTAAGATTCTGAGATATATTGGTTTTAATATTTTTGAAGGAAGTTCATTCATGTTCCGAATTTTGCTCCACGTTCCGCATCTTCATCTGCTAATAGGAACCAATCTTCGACAAAGTCTTTTCGAGTAACCATAAGAAAAATCTCTCCGGCCCAGCCCAGTGGCTCAATTAGCCAAACCTAAAAGCTAAGCTTCGAACGCCCTTTCGCTGAAGTTAAGACTTGTGAGTAAGCGACTGAAAAGATTCCCCATCTGATAAATTTCTTTGATCAAATTTCCGTTGAATATATATAAAGACGTACATGCGTCAACCATAATAACATATGAGGTTTAGAAATCTTTTGATTGCATAGAGATTCAATTCGAGATCGCACATAAAGGTTTTCAATTTCGTATTTCGTTTCGCTTTCAACGCGCAACAGATTCACCTCGCTGCAGCATCGGGCACACCGATTGCATTTTAAATTTGTAAAGTTATTTGAACTAAATGAAGAGAACTGAGAACGAGACTTACGGAGGTAGGGGATACCTCTGCCTAATATGGCGATGTTACGTCTGTTTCTGATATAAATAGGGTGCTCGTGTTTTCTTTTGGCCGCCATATTCATCTTTCAAAGAGGGAGAATTTTAGGGCAACATTTTCACAATTTTTGTTAGTCTATGTTATTATTACCTATGTTAGAGGAGCTAAAGCGTTGGTACCGAATTGTACTTGTCAAGATTTCTCAAGATCTGACTGAAGAGGAAAGGGAAGAACTCTTGTTTTACTGTAAAGACCACATTCAGAAGGGGTTGTCGAGTAATTTCTCCGTAGGCGTTCAAATTTTTGATCGCTTGGAAAAAGCAAACGTAATTTCCTGGGAGAAACTTGACTTCCTGACCGAGTTCCTTGGCGCAATAAACAGGCAAGATCTTGTAACTAAGCTGACTGCATTTGAGTTGACAAGAGAACTGATGATCCACGTTTTGAAAAGGCAAGATTCTCAACCACCCATGACTTCGTCGACCGCCAGTGTGGGACTCCATTTAGCGGAAATGGTGAACCATGTCCAAGATGGAGTTTATTTACCGGCCCAAGGAGCGATCAAGGCTATCCTTAAATCCCAACAGAGAGCTTCTAACGTTTTGGACGTCATCCGCCGGAAAGCATTGCCTAAAGCCAGAGAAACCGAGCCGAACACCTTCGCGTTGCTCGTCGCCATTGCAGCCGAAATTGTCTTGCTGGTGTTTGATGAGAACCAAAAACAAGAGAAGTATGCATTGGACGTCGCCATCGAGCTGGCTGACCACTTAGAGAAGAAGGTAGCCAACTATGGCAGTTGGGTGAGTGGAATTTCATGTTCAGTGTTATTTGCTGTTTTTGTCTCTGATAGTGAATTATTCTAATGAATATGTCAGCGTCATAGTGAAATCGAAAGCGGAACAGGATCATCATGAGTGAAACTGAACTGAACTTTGAAAAAAAGGAGACATTTTTGAAACTAGAGCTGTTGGATGGAATTAACGCCTATTATCTCGCAAAGCCACCTAAGAAACTTACAAAACTCGTTATTCTTTAATTTTTTTTAATTAATCAGCCGGTCATTCCATTCAACGCTTCTAAATGAAACATAAACATTCATGGCCGACTCTAATTACCTAATGTTCAATGTTGTTCGTTTTAAATCGTCCTTGCAAGACGGAATTCGCATTGCATGGATTTTTAGTTAGAAACCGCAAACGAACTTTTCGGTTTCTACGTGATTTTTGGCCGTGATGTTTGTTTTCTTACGTGCGCTCGGAAGCTTTGGAGTCGCTAGAATACGGGGCGAGTTGATAAGTGAAGTCACGAGGGTGGAAAATATTATTATCTGTTCTAAAATAGTACGGTTTATTGTTCTCTTAGTAACTTGTCCGGAACTGGTAGTCGAGCTCAAAATAAGGATACCGGAAATGTTTGATTCTTGGGAGCATTTCTAAAACAATAATACAACAATATCTTGAGAAGCAAGGCGGCTATAATTTCGACAGTTCGCGTTACCAATTCATAACACAAAGTAGATTCAATTCGAGAACTGAACTCGGAGATAATTCTATACTTTATGATTTGTGTGGAATCGCACGGAAGAGGAACTTAATTAGCTTTTATCTTTCCTATTGTAGAAAGAATTTTGCCGATTTGTTGGAGAACGACATAATGGTTATTCCTGTGAGCCTGTCGCTGAGCCAGCACCTGACTCGTCATGGCAGTCGGTGTTGACCGACCTGGTAGGAAAGATGAAGGAGGTTTTCTTTAGTTACTAAAAAGCGTAGAAACCCATAACCGATAGGTAGATTCTTTGATTTGATTACGTGGTATAACTGGGTAAGATTTCGATTATAGTGTAATCAAGTAAGTCAGGGGCAAAAGATGGAAAAATTTAATTAGAATTTAAAATTTGATATTTGAATCTAAGCAAAGCACACTCATTGCGAGAAGATGCTGTTTATAGAGATTTTCTTGTTTTCTCAAAATTTAAAGCGTGGTTAATTTTTAAAAATTTTTATCCAGGGTAACTTGAGAATTTATCGCTTATTAAGTGGCTGAGAGCCTATTTCATAGAAAGTTACATTATGAGGTAAATTGTTTCAGACTCAATAGGTAACCTGAAGAGGTCAGTGGAGATATCTCACGATAGTGTTGAAAAGTATTTTCTTATTCAGAGGTTCAGTTAGCTTGAATAATAGCAAGCAACTTTCATTGCTCTCATTTGAATTCATAACTGATATTATGAATCATTTTGTATACAATATGTATCGTTTATGCCAACCAGAAAACATGGTTGCAATTTAAGGCAGATGCCTTTAAAACTGAATTAATGGTCTATGGTAAAGTTACAGAAATTGATCATTAAGTTCGTGATGTTTGACTAAATTTCCAGTGGGGAAAACAGTCGTGTCACATACCTGAAAAGGTAAATTTTGCGGAACAAAAGAAGGAAATGTTCCTTTCGTCAAGAGATGTGGTTCTTAAGATGAGCTCAAGTCTCGGACACGTCGCTGCTATTACACTCCCATTGTTGTAGCTTTGAGAGCTACTTGGTGGATTGTAAAGATGAGCTCAAATCTCGGAGAATTGAGAATTTATCGATCATACTGAGCCTACTTCTATTTATGAGAAATATAAATTTAATGCAAATTTACTGAATTCATGTCACGAGATTCGCTCAACGTTCATTGTTTATTAAGTGGCTGAGAGCCTATTTCATAGAAAGTTACACGATAATGTAAACTGTTTCAGACTCAATAGATAACCCAAAGAGGTCAGTGGAGATATCTCACAATAGTGATTGAAAAGTATTTTCTTATTCAGAGGTTCAGTTAGCTTGAATAATAGCAAGCGACTTTCAAAGCTCTCGTTTGAATTCATAAGTGATATAATGAATCACTTTGAAGACAATATGTATCTTTTATGCCAACCAGAAAACATGGTTGCGATTTAAGGCAGATGCCTTTAAAACTGAATTAATGGTCTATGGTAATGTTACAGAAATTGATCATTAAGTTCGTGATGTTTGACTAAATTTCCAGTGGGGAAAACAGTCGTGTCACATACCTGAAAAGGTAAATTTTGCGGAACGAAAGAAGGAAATGTTCCTTTCGTCAAGAGATGTGGTTCTTGAGATGAGTTCAAACCTCAAATCTCAAATCTCAAATCTCAAAGCTCAATTCTCGGACACGTTGCTGCCTTGGTGGGTTGTAACGTCTGTAATCAAGTGCTGTGTTTTGCCTCGTACTGATTACATTTCAAACCTGTGTGATCCATAGGCCATTTGGCTATGTGTCACATGGTAACTAAGTGCACAGTGACGGTTAATGAGGATTTGTTACTGTGAAAGATGAATATGGCTGCTCATTTGTGTTGAAAAGCGGCTCATATTTTCACATTTGAGCTGACGTCTGCTCAAAATTCGGCTGACGTCTCTTTTACAATGAATTCGTACCAGGACTCATTCAATGTTTCAGTGTTTCAGTGGTACAATTCGGAAAAGGTCAACTGACCTCAAAATACCAAGAGGCAAAAACCTTTCAAAGTGCCTCAAGGCTCGTTAATTGAATACTGATGAAGTATTACGATTTTAAAGAGAAGTGTAGCGATTTATTGAAATAGCTTCTGCTTTTTTATCATTGGTGGATATGAAAGTTCCTAATGACTTGGTCATAATAGCCGTTTAGCAGTTATATGATATACGAGTGATGGAATATGCCTAGCCTTGGATGAGAAAGTTATCGTAGACTGTTAAGTAGGAAACTGGTACTCAAGTACAAATCTTGATTATGTTTTTTGATTTATGAATGGTTTAATGTATGATAGATGCTCTCTTTGGTAATGTAGTTATTTTTAATGTTGTAAGTTGACAATTGGCCTTACACAGGAGAGTGTAAAACGAAATTCGGTTTCGCTAAAACAGCTCTTGAGATTTTCATGATCTGAAATGATGGAGAAAATAGGAAAAAAATATTTTTTCCAATTTGTGAAACAAAACAGACTAGTATATTCCATTAGTATGAAAAGAAAGGAAAACTAGAAACTACGAACTTCGATGGGCGGCCAATACCGTAAAGGCAAAGTGAAAACGTTAAAAACTGTTGTATCTTGATCATTTTAACGTTTTATTGTTTTGTATGTACAAGCCAATTGTCAACTTGCTCATGTTCAGAATTTATTTACAGTTATAGGGTCAATAGCATGTCAGACGTGGTGACTTAGAAAATTTTGTGATTCAATAAAATGTGAAAAATGGCAATTCTCTCCTAGTTCTTAATCTTTCATGAAATCTCACAATACTTTCGGGAGGGGTGATAAGCTCTCATTACTGGGAAAGAGCAGAAAACGGTGGACATATGTTACAAACTTAGTGCCCGTAAAAAAAAGTAACATGAACCTCGTTGCGGTTTGAGATGCGTATGTCTCTCAAAACTGAGATTTTGCCTTTTGAAAAAACAACGTATGCTCCAAAGAAAAGGAACGCTTTTCGAGACGTGATAAACAAGTTCATCACGAAAATATATCTTAGTCTGAGTTACAATTGATAGATGGTGAAAGTTCCCTTTAAGTCAGTTAAAACATCAGTTCTCCTCTTTTCGTCATCCTTTCAATAGAAACCATGCCCTCCGCGTGTGCACGGGGAGCTTGAAAATCGCTATCGTCCGTAATGCTCACTGTTCGACTCAATTTCATGATTGTCCTTTAAACGCCAAATTCGCGAAAGTAACATGTCCCTAAAATTCGCGTAATAGGGTATAATCCCATCGGAAATGACATTTCAACGCAATAGGGGTAACCCGTTGAAAAGCTATGAAAACCAGAAGGTACTCGACACTTGACATCAAATAAATTATTTGTGTCATGATTGCTTTTGACTTAAAGTTCTTTTTTGCTTTTTATTTTCGCATTTATTTATACAGTGCTCACAAATTACAACTACAATAAGAATATTGCTAACACAACTTACAAAGCTAAAGTAAATCTAGTCTAACTGACATAAATAATATTGATACCTAATATACACGTATAATAACTACCCGGCCGACATACAATACTCATGGAAACATACTGTAACTTGACTCTTTAACTCCCGTTGGTGACCAAGACAAAATTTCTCTTTACAATATCAATACAATATCAACCAGATAAGTGATGAAAATAGAGAAAAAGATCAATTTGGGGATAGTTAGTTGATCCAATACTAAATTCTCTGAACTAACATTATAAGAATTGCATGATTGACAGTAAGGAATATCAAAAATTTTATCTGGGAGTTGAAGGGTTAACACACTTTACTTTATCACATGCCGAAATAATCATTTGCATCACAATCGATATGATACTTAAATACTGACTTAAGAGTTACATCTTCTACTTTAAAGTTACTCAGTGAGCCAGTACAGGATCATGGGGCAAGATTCCGAGCTATTCCTCTTGGATAGGATTTTATTTTTGACTTATTAAACTTCATATTTAGTGATTGGCGCCATAAAGATATAACTTCGTTAATATTACAATGATTTAATGTAATAACGATTAAAAATGATTGATTCAATAATGATTAATGTAATAAAAATAGATTATGATTGATATTATGATGACTGATATCATAGTAAATCTAAAAGCAACTAATTTCGTCCAATTTGAAACAAATTTAAAGATTGTATTCTTCTTGTTAATAGTTTCCTGGAAACAAAACAAATATTTCAGCATTAATTCGCAAAGTAAACAAAATAAAATCGATACAACAAACTTCTGCTTACCAACTGACAAACCAAGGGAGTAATAAAAATGGTGCGAAACTTTAAACAGTTCCGCGTTCTAGACTTTAAGAAGAGAGATCAAACTTTTCACTCCGATGACCTTCGATCAGGACTCACCAAAGAAATTGAATTAGAATTGTGATTTAATCTTCCCGAACGGCTTTCTAGAATCATCAAACATTAACACAAATTTATCATTTCACTTTCTCTTCACGCTTCAATGATCGTCTTACTAATCTAGGCTTTTTACTCCGTCACACAGTTATGTCAATCGCACCACTAGACTTTTCTAACTGTTTGAAGATATTGAAACTAAGGATTGAAAAGCGAAGATTGAATTAATCAGAACAGAAGTTTTATTTTGAGAAGCCTGTGTAATTACTAGCGAGTCACAGCTACAGAATTTTTGACTCTGTAACCGGGCATATAATAACATATTCAAATCATCTTTATAAACCGTTTTGGACTAAATGATACATTGCAAATATTAAAAAAAAAAAAAACCGCCAGTTACCAATATATCTGTTGTCAGTCATCCTAAATAGCACTGAATTGTAACGTGTGTACATTGAATTACGAATAATAATTGTAACATTGTTGCGATATTTTCCGATGTTTGTTGCCTTTCTTCATACGTAAATACTCCTTTGTAAGGGTCTAATTGTTATGAGTATCGCAGTTTGGGTTTGTCTGTTTCGCATTCCATTAATCAAAGTTTATTCTCTTGGCTGATGGTGAGGTCGATCTGCTAACGATATACTATTTATATAAGGATTTGCTTACTTCATACATATGTTGTTGGTGGTCTCAATTTACTTACCAAACCGCCATTTTCAAACATCCAATCTGAGATTAAGTTGCACGTCTTGGTCTTCGAAAACTAATACACGTAATAACCATCCTCGCAACTTGTGTTTGTAGTATCCGAAACGTTAAGCTCACCAATAATCATTAGGTGTGAGGTAACCATTGGCCATGATAGTTGCTTTAAATTTTCAATTTCTTCATTAAACTTATCATAATTATTTTCTCTACTCGACAGTAAGTATTCTGCAATGTTAATGTTATCATCAGCAAGCATCGCACAAGTTCCCTGGCGGAAACCGCCGACGTATTTAGATTTAAATTAACATTCGATGATGATAGCAACTGTGATTCGTAATTTCAAACATTCTTGCAATAATTCAAAATGATTTATACTTGTGAGGGAGTATTTCATGATCGACAGATTAATAAATGATAATTCTTCTGCATACTGTAGATTCGTGATTAAAGTAAATACTCCAGCATCAGTAGCCATTTTGCCATCTAACTTAGAGTCAGGAATTAAACTGCGGAACCAGGAACTAACTGCTGCACGATCATTAATATTAAAAGATTTTACCATTTCAATTAAAAACGCCCTAAAAGAAGGAGGGTGTTGATATTTCATCAAACTAAACGGATCTTCTTTATGGCGCGAGGTGATTGCTGATAAAGCCATGGTTGATATGATTCGGTCAACACGGAACCATCTAAACAGAGAGTGCATGACGATGCATTGCTCTGAATCTTACGAGCACAGGAAATTACATTTAAGACAGGTTTTTGCCCAATGTCAGGATCAAAACCGAAGGGTTTTAATAACCTAATTCCTTCCCGCTCTTTCCGAAGATTCGAAACGAGGTAGGAATTTCCATTTAGGATAAATTAAAATTATTAAATTTTTGCAATAAGGACCCCTCGAATGAACGCGGAACTGGAGTAAAGGAAAATTAAAATTCCCTGCGACTTGTCTACGATTGTATTACAGAAAGTTCCCAGGTTCCTGCGAAATTCAAGGAAACGCTAATTCAGACTCCTGAATAATGAAATTATGATGATCGATGTACTCGATTGGCAGACGTCAAATATCAAACACATAAAGTATTATTATTTTATTATCTTTTTACATTTTTACATATTTGGGCGGGTATTTTACATTTTTACATATTCAACATTGTTCAACACTTTTTTTTACAAAAACTCTATTTACACATTTCGTATTTCTAATTTTTTTTCATTGAAAAAAGAAATGAGAAATCACTGAAAAAAGAAGGCCCAGAGAAACTATTGAAAAAAGAAACCATTGAAAAAAGAAATGGTCTTCAGGGGCATTTTTTGCCACGTTGCATTTTATTTACAAGCACAAAGACAGACATTAAACACGAAAAAAAGGGGTAGAGTCCTGTCGAAAATAATTAATTTTTGCACGGCTACAAATGTTGACTGCCTTTTAGTCTGGCTTCTCTCCTTTGATCTTTCCGGCTTGGTTGTACCTGCCAGAGGCTCACGTGCCTCCGCCGGCTGAGTTCTCAGGATCATTGAAACGCACAAGCCCCTCCACCACGGCAAGGTGGCAGTCTATAAGAGGGGTGTCTCTATTGGTTTCTCACAATATTTAAGAACTTCCTGCATTGTCACAGGAAAGTCAAAAGTATTGTGAGACACCTTTGAATCGTATAAGATATATTTATAAAACAGTATCTTAATTTTCACAATATTTAAGAACTTCCTGCATTGTCACAGGAAAGTCAAAAGTATTGTGAGACACCTTTGAATCGTATAAGATATATTTATAAAACAGTTTAGATTATATATCGACCCGTTTTCTGAGTAGCTTGATATTTTCACCAACAGATTCTTTCATGGAGAATAATACAGATTCACTAATAGTTGCTCCTTTTTCTCCTTGACGAATTCTTTGTATGTTTTCTGGCAAACAAATTAAAGACAATATACTATTAGCTTTCGGTGATTTTAAATTGACCAGCTGCTAATTAAGGGTGTGTTAACAACTCGGTTCTGCAAAAAGTTTTTCATTCATACACACACTAATCAAAGTAATAATCCTATCTAGAACTAAACTCACGAGTTTATGTATTTGGTAGCATTTCTGCACATATTACGGTTGGGACAATATACACTTATCAACAAGTATTTATATTGCGACAAAAAGTGACAAGACGTGAATGGCAGAATGAATAGGATTAATGATAGCTCAAATGAATTGCTGATTATGCAACAGGGTATGCGACCTTAAAGTCTCACCGCTTAGGGAGGAGTTTGAATTGTGAGCAATATTTGATGGCACCTTTTATAAGAAATGAAAATTCATCTCTGGACACTTAAGATCTGTTTGTTTTTTATTCAGATGGGTCATTGAATACATTGGATCAACCAGTGAATTCTTCTCCGCTTGAACAGCTTTCTAGAATTGTCGAACAAGCCTAAATTTACATTTACTCATCGAGCGATTGTTTTTCTCTTCGCGTTATACGTGATGTTTCACTTCTTTAAAACATTCTTTCACTCACTTACTTATGTTTCACTTTCTGGGAGTTATCAACCAACGGAATATATAGAGACAACATGGCTGGAAAAAAGTGAAGATGTAAGACAAATGAAAACAACTAGTATTGTGAACAATCAGAGTATTTGTTGTTGAACCTCAAGCATGACGCCTGAAAATGTTTGACTTTACGGAAGGTCGGTATTTTATGAAACGCTCGTCTTTAAAAACAGCTATGGTTTTTAAAGAAAACTATAGATCGTGGTTACTATTCGCAAATCACCAATTCTTTGGTATAAAAGTCAATTCCTGCTGAATTGCAACTGTGAAAAATGGATTCGAATAATCATCAAAACATCGACGCGATGTTTTCCTATGGTTGTCGTTTCTGTGGTAGAAGAATGTGACTTAGGTCTTAGACACATGACTATCCCAATTGTAATTTTTATATTTTGCATTCGCTCTTTGCAAACATGTACTTTCTGCGCCAATCAGGTAACGTTGCGGAAATCTAAACTCGATATTTGGAGGACTTATTTATATATTCAGGGTATGCAATATGTAAGTTCAGCTTACTCACCAAACCACCATTTTTAATAATCCAATCTGATAACCAACCAGCTTCTAAAACCTCTACATCTCTTGTATTTGGGGTACAAGCAGCATATAACTCACAAATGACAACCAATAAGACTGTAAACACCGACCAAGACGGCTGAGTTTTACGAATGAACGCGTGTAGTATCTGATGACAGTCACTAATTTACCTTAGCTGTTCAAGAAGTTGCCATATCATCTCCTGGTTGTTTTGTTTGGTGGTAAGTAAATGTTCCAGAACATCGCTGAGGTTATCAGGAGGCTTCGTCTCAGCGTCACGGAGGAAGCCATCGACAGATTTAAACCTCACGTAATTTTCCAAAAGAACTCCAGTTGAGATTTGTAATTCCACTTTTTCCAGCTCTGGCAACAAATCAGCGCGGCCTATATCTTTAAGGATATACTTTAACAGTGACATGTTGGTGGAAGATAATTCCTGAGCATTTAGAAGAGACTTGATTAACTTATATAACTCAGCATCAGTAGCCATGTCGCCATCTAACATCGAATCAGGAATATTACCTAAACATAAAAAGCTAAAAGCTGCGCGATCATCGTTGCTCAAAGACTTTACAAGTTGAACTATAAAGCTCTTAAAGACTTGAGGATATTGGTATTTCATCAGGTTGAACGGATATGGAAAAGATCTTCTGTCTCCAGAAGAAGCTGTTCTTGACTCCATGATTTAGCAGGAATCAATGTAAAAAACAAGAACCTACGAAGGGCGCATGATAATATATTGCTCTGAACATCCGGGCACTTCACAATTACGTCATTTCCATTTTTGTCTCATAACAATAGAAAGATGGGAATTGTTTTATACTCTGACACCAATATGAGGTGGCTAATGGAAAGTGCAGATGTGTGATCAACGGCAAATTTGTCCAAGAGGAAAGGTTCACAGTACTGCGTCGCTGTCTCCACTTTTTCACCGTTATAGGAAAGAAAATAAAGAGCGAGATCGAGTGAATCGCCATAACTGTGTGTGCTACGTTCGGGGCACTGTAGACAGATCCGTGGTGGCATTTCTATTTTGACTGAGTTTACAAAGACAGTTGGGGCCGATTTTTAAAACGGGTCTAACCCAAACTGTACTTTAACACAAACACAGGGCCTTAAATATTATCTATAAGAGGGTTGATTTCAGTAAATAAATGTCCTTCCCCCGTTACTTTTCGGCCCTCTTGACACTGTTCACAAAAATGAGTGTTTAGATAGAAGATTCAGTTAAATTGAAGGTAGTTTAGAACTCAGTTTTGTTGAACAATGACTAATCTTTCTTTAGATAACCGGCCCTTGTGGTCTATCACCATGGTAACTACAGACGGCATTGCCCTAATATGGTACTCTATTAAGTGGAGGGGGGTAAGGGAAATTTGTTATACTCATATAAATAGGATCCCAGACCCAACTTTCTGCCTCCTCTGACGACTGCGACAACATTGACAACTTACAGACTTACTGCAGAAATGACTGATCGACTGAGACAAACTTACAGAAATGCTTTGTATCAGATTGCTCGCAATCTCGATGAAGAACAGCAAAAAGGACTTCAGTTTCTTTGTGTTGAACACGTCCCAAGACGAATTAAGGAACTTCTTGACCTTTTCTTTGCTCTGGAGGAAAATAAGATGATGTCGTGGATCGACGTTTCCTACCTGAAGAAATGTTTGGACGAAATTGGAAGAAAAGATTTAGCTGAATTATTAGCGAAGTTCGAGGTAAAAAGAAACATGTCTATTCTTCTTAGTTTCTACGTCAAGAAGAGGAATGGACAGCATTCTTTTGATGATGACGACCGGTTATCAGCGACCGAGTTGGCGGAGTATCTCGTGCAATTGATGGAAGGATTTGAGGGAAACGTTGAAATAAGAGACATAATGAAAAGCTCAGATGGTGATAATAAGAAAGATCTTTGGCTGAAATTTGTCGACGAATGTACCGCATGGAGCTCAAGAAAGACATGGAGTAAGTTCTCTATGCTCGTTGCCCTTGCCGGGGAAACCATTTGCGCTTCAGCATCAATTCACCCTGGAGGAAACTCAGAAGAAGCCATAATGGATATCTGCATAACATTGGCAGATGAGCTATGTTGTCCAATGCTTCAGCTTGGAGGCTGGGTAAATCAAATCACTATGTATTAGGTGCTATGAATATAATGTAATACAAAAGCACTAGTATTCTGTTGATTTTATCTAGCTTCAGCGACTAGCAAAAAATCGAAACTTTTCGATACGAAGTTTGAATATTGAAAGTGAAACTTAATCTTAACTAATATCTTTACTAAGTGACTAATGAGCTCAAAGTTTCTCTCTGAAACCAGAAAACTATTAAAAGAGAAACGAAATTGATACTGGACCAATTCGGCAAAGGATTGAGTCGTTTTCAAGTTCCAAATTTGAAGAATCAGCTGTTTCAGAGAAGTTTATAAGCGCACAAAATTTAAATTGTAACGTAGTCGATGCGCCATGGTTTAACTTGGTAGATTTTGCTGCTAAAATTACCAAAGAAAACTTAATCAATTAGAATTTATCTGGCGGTATGTTTAAAAAACTTGTAATAAGTACGGTTAATTGTCTGCCACAAGGCATGTAGAAGCTGAGATATTTTTTGAAGCCTTGAAATGTTTGTCTCTTTGCAATCATACATATTTGCATATTATCCAAACGAATAAATTATTCATAGCTGGGGTTTTTAGGGGTCAGTAGAACAGAGATATGCAAACAGTTGTCACTTAAACAATTACCATTTTTAAATTTGTAGATAACTACCGTCTTACAAACAGGAAGTGGGAGCGATTAACTTCTGCTGTTCTCACAATCGTAAAAGATCCCTCTCTTACTAAAGTGTTTCTTAGGTTCATTATTTTCTTTTCGTTTTTTTTCCTTTACTTTGTTTTTATTGTTTTATATTTACCTATTTTCTATTGAATACAGGAGGACTTTCTTACCTTTGTGAGAAGAAGACACAATCTGGTTTACGGGAACGACACGAGTTGCAACACTTCTGTGAACAGAGAGCAAATTGCAGACGCAGTCCGAAAGTTGGAGGAGGCTATCTTTTTCTAAACGAGACAAAACAAGGCAACCCCAGCCAAACATACATATAAAAAAATGAGAAAACTTAGAAAAAAAAGACAAAAGTTATAAACGAAATCATGTGAAAAAAAGGAAGGAGGAAAGACGCGTACATCGAAAAAAAAAAAAAAAACAAAAAAAAAAAAAAAAAAAAAAAAAAAAAAAAAGCCAAGCTTGTCATGAACAGATCAAAAATAAAGTTCAAACCACCTCAAGATTTCATCATCATTTTCAAGATTTACCTCCATATTGGACACCGGTACATAGCCTAAGCAAAAAATCCTAAACGCAGCCTTATCGTCATCGCTTAAATTTCTCATACATTCAACTACAAACTCTTTTAAGACAAACGGACGCTGATATTTCAACAACCACTCTCTTTGCGCAAATGATTTTAGCCTTGAAGTCGCCGTCGGTAAAGCCATGACTGAAGCTAATAGTTTCAGTCAAATTAGGAAAGACTGCGCATCTTGACGCACTCATTCAACATCCGGGCACTTACTTTCATTTGCAACCCGGAAGCCAACGTCGCCTTCGGTTCGGATCGTACTGGTGTCGTTATTGCTTTCCGATGAAGATCTGGGCCGGTTTGTTCATACCAGGGCTTGGTGCAAATTTTTCACTTAGTTTATACCTCTGCAAAAGGATTTTTCTTTTGCATCTTTCCCCTTAGTCTCGAGTCATATTAAGATAAAACTCAGCAAAATCTTAGCTCTTATACGTGCTCTTCTACATAAGAAATTAAAACCAAGGTTAACTTTTAATCCTAGATTAACGTAAACACCCACTCGAAAAATTCGGCCCTGGGCTTTACGTACAATGACACACGCTTTGGAGGGTGATTGATATATGGTAAGCCGCATAAGTAGTGTTTTAAGACGCCATCGAAATTCGGAAGAAACAAGAAAGACGAAATCATTTATATCTCCTGCACGCCTTGCGTTCCTATCTATAAAGTTCTTTATTGGGAACAGGAAAAAAATTTGGTTGCTGTGGTTCCTCTCGGAAAAGTACCATTATGATCCTGGCCACATTGAGTTGGGTGCGTTACCGAATGATACCCCCTGAATGGCTGTGATATGGCACCTGTTGAGCTTCGCCTGGGATGAAACATGAGCTGGGGTATCCAATCTCCGGGGAGTGCCCCGCGAAGCATGCAGGTGACCTTGCTATCTCAGTCACAGGATAATACCCTTGTTATTAAGAACAAGGAGGGGACCAGGAAACCGAAAACACTCTGAAAACATCGCCAAAAATCATTTTCCAACTTCTTCAAACTATACAGAAAGTCTTAAGGAATTTGAAATTTCTAGCCAAAATCATAGGCTGACCCCTTATGAAAAATCCAATATGGCCGCCATACAAGTCAATCCAAAAGAAACAAATGAAAAGTTATGGTGAGGTTGCTGGAATGCAATAGCAAACGAATGATACACTTTAAGAAGGCTTCAGTACCTCCATTGATGCTACCTCAGTGGGTGACAGGACTTAAAAAGCAGATCAATCTTGAAGGAGCTATGGCTGAAGATTAAAAGCAAATTTCTCATAGTTTTCATCTTTACCCCATACGACATTATTTTTGCACTCACCTGTCCAAGTAACAACTCCTCAGCCTTTAAACTGTCTTTGAGGCAGAAACCTCTTTGGCGGGATAATCAGTCCTAAAATTATGCATGTTTAATGATGCAATGAAGAGTTTCTGCAGCCGCAGAATGTCGTGTTTTACAAGAAAGGTATTTCATCTGTTGGTGCATTTTCGTAGAGTTGGATTTATTCTCCATGTAGTTTGGGGCTGACGCTAACGTCTGGCTTCAGGCTGTTTTTATTGCATACCTTTAAATATATTTTTTGCGGGTTTCTCCTCTTTCATGCACGAAAGTGCATGAAAATCCAATCGGTGTCGTGTTCACTGCCATCCCGTAACCATGGTTGCAGGCTGGCATTGAACACGTCACCGACCTAATATGGTGCTTGTTTTGAACTTAGAGATGTAAGAGAGGTTCCTCAGTCTTGTTGCGCCCACTGATGACAGCCACATCATCACGAACATGGAGGAGAAACTAAAATTTTATTACAGAGTTGTTTTATCTCGGATTGCTCGAGATCTGGACGAAGAAGAGCTAAAACAACTGTTATTCCTTTGCAGAGGTGAAGTTCCAAGACGTGTTACAAGCGTTTGGGAACTTCTTGTTTCACTGGAAGACTCGGCCAAGATATCTTGGATGGACGTTTCCTTCCTGAAAAGATGTTTGAACGTTATGGGAAGGGAAAATCTCGTTGTCATCCTGACTGAGTTTGAAAACAAACGAGGTCTGTCCATTATTTTACATGCCTTCGTCGAGGAGAAGCAAAATGTGAAGCCCATTACCCATTCGTCCGCGACTGAAGCGGCTTCCCACCTCGTGCGGCTGATGGAAAACTTTTCAGGCGGAGAAGAACTGAGAGAAGTGATAAGAAACACAGGCGAGAAAGCGGAAGATCTTTGGCGGCAGCTCCTGTCTGAAATTCCTTTCTCAAACCTGACTTGGGGAAAATTTTCCATGCTAGTTGCGATTGCCGGTGAAATTATTTCCTCATCGGCCTCGACTCACCTGAGAAGAGACCATCCAGGAGAAGATGTCATGAATAAGTGTTTGGCTTTAGGAGGAGATCTTTCTTCCTTCATGCTTAAACTTGGATGTTGGGTAAGTGAAAAAAGGTTTTATGGTGTTAATTCTAAGATTCATTATCTACCAGTTTAGTGGCTGAGGTACAAAATCTGATCAATGCTATCATTCAAAACCAGGGCAACAAACATCTTTTCCAAACGCGAGACTAATAAAAGCGAAAGATTGTAGCGGAAGCTGAAACACAAATGGATCGAATCTTACCATTAAGGTTGGCTCCTACGACTATTTCTTTGCTAATCTAAACTGGAGTGAAGTTTCTATGCAGAATGTATCTCTACCTCAAAAAATGGAGAGTTTTAAGGACGCAAAGTAAATATCGATTCCGTGTGCGCTGGAAATCACGCGAGAAATTCACATGAAATAATCATAACTTTGTTGTTACGGTTATTAATCGACTGCATATGCCATTGCAAGAGTTTAAATCTAGTCGTCAACTGTAGACTTATCATGGCGGGTGCTTTCAGTGTGCTGATTTGTAAGCGATCAGACTTTTCATAATAATATCAGTATCACTATGATTTGATCAGAGTACTCGTAGCTCGAGGCGCCATTTTGTTCACATTTGGCTCTTGAATTCTTATTCTTTCTCTGGTATCTCCGCTTAATAATAATTCCGATTAACGATTAAGGCTAACAATGGAACCTCAGCACCTTTTCCTTCAAAAATGTTTAGATCATTTTACTCTTCCTACTGCAACTTCGAAAGTTGCATGTAGACTAAAAGATGAAAATGATCCAAACACTGTGATCAATTGATGAATTAAATTGTTTTGCAATTTTACTATAAGTGTGACCATTGATTTCTCCTTCTACAACGATGGGACGATAATATTTGAGCCGGGGTGGTTAAATTTGAATCCTTGAGGAAACGAAACTCAGAACTCTCGCTTAGTTAACGGGAGGGCAGCAATCCGTCACTAATTTCCGGATTAGGGAGGCTGCGGCATTTGGACTTTGTACAAAACAAGAGAAGCGTGACTGGATTTCCTTTCACAGTGCTCTGGAATGTAGATATTGAATGTAGAATCTCGGATGTAAATCTTAGTTATAAATCTTCCATGCAACTTGAAACTACGGCTCCAAAGAGCCCATTTTACAGCAAACAATGAACAGTATGAACGAGTGGCATAGATAAACAGAAACAACATGAGGATTTCATATGTCTCAATTGTCTTTACCGAAGTTCTAGAAAGTTTGATAAAGAAATTAAAATTAGATTTTATGTCGCGTCAAATAAATAGCTCCTTAAATTGGCCAAGATCCTTTGAAGGGAAAAGGTCTTATCTTCGGCCAAAATGCCACCCTATAGCTATTTGAACGTTGCTGAATCTCGTATTGAAGCTTTGACTTTGGGCAATCAGCGATAGTAATGCAATGAACATAAAGGAAAACTTTATTTAAAGTAAACACAACAAGTCATGTTTCCTTCTTCACCACATTTTCAGGAGCAGTTCTGCAGTGATTTAGAGAAACGTTTTAACCGGATTTGTAGACGAGATGTCAGTCGCAACTCACCCTTGTCTTTTTGGAGACAAGTGGCTGACACGATTGGAGATTTGGAGAACGAGATCTTTTTCTAGCTGGCGATCCTGGCCACAATGAGTTGGGTTGGTTACCCAATGATACCCCCTGAATGGCTGTGATAAGGCGCCTGTTGAGCTTCGCCTGGGATGAAACATGAGCTGGGGCATCCAATCCCCGGGGAGTGCCCCGCGAAGCAAGCAGGTGACTGTTATCTCAGTCTCAGGATAATACCCTTGTTATTAAGAACAAGGGGGGGACCAGGAAACCGAAAACACTCTAAAAACATCGCCAAATATCATTTTACAACTTCTTCAAACTATACAGAAAGTCTCAGAGATTTGAAATTTCGAGCCAAGATCATAGGCTAACCCCTTATGAAAAATCCAATATGGCTGCCATACAAGTCAATCCAGAAAGAAACAAATGAAAAGTTATAAGGAGGTTGCTGGAATGCAATAGTAAACGAATGATACCCTTTAAGACGGTTTGAGTATCTTCATTGATGCTACCTCAGTGGGTGACAGGACTTGAGAAGCAGACCAATCTTGAAAAAGCTATAGTTGAAGATTAAAAGCAAATTTCACGCAGTTTTCATCTTTATCTCATACGACATTATCTTTGCACTCCCTGTTCAAGTGGCAACCCCTCAGCCCGTAAACTGTCTGAGTAGCAGCAACTCTACCATAGGCACTTTTCTTGTTTCCATAAATATTCGCAACCTAAATAGTATACGAATAAAAAACGCTGACTAGGCGCTTTCTGAAATTATTACACCAACCATTGTAAAGCTCTTTGACCCATTGATCCATCAGCCAAGTTTCATTATCAAAGACGTTTTCGTTGTCAAGATATAACACTTTAATTTAATGTACTCCACATTCCTTGTTTTACCGTTCAAGGTACACGAAAAACATGTGCGTCAAGATTTATCATTATCCAGAATGATGCTCACTGACTGACACTAAACAGCAACCAGAATTTATTTTATGAACAAAAAAATAGAAAAATTATAAAAAATCGAAAAAAAATGCAAAGATGGTTTTGAAGTTATCGTCGGTAAAGGATTGTTAATTTATGTTATTGATTGGTCAAGAAATTTTGAAAACTGCTGAAATATTAATACTACTGAAACTTGTTTGAAATTGAAACTTTTGATATTGGTGCGATTTGAGGATTTTCTAATGATCGAGTATTACACTGAAAGAATGACTAAAGATTGAAACCAAGAAAGATACACAGTAAGAAATTACCACAATTTATTTTATTTTTGCTTACTTTCCTCGAAGATATTAGTTCTACAGCTACACTGCTGCAAAAGCAAAGCAAACCAATTACCAAGCAAAATGAACACACAACTTATGGCGGAAAAAAAACGAAAAACTATGCAACAAAGAAAACTTACTTCCAATTCATGGCGGAAAAATCGAATAACCTTACAATGACAAAAAAACATTGCTTACTACTTATGGCGGAAAAAAATTACTCAATGCAAAAGCAAACTGAATTATGACTTATTGCTGACTCAAGTGCCAAAGAATGAATGTTACAATGTATATTTAGGTATACGCAAAAAACACAACTGGATCGTCTTATGTATGCTTTAATCATACAACAGAACTTGAACACTGTTGAATAGACTGGAGTTGACTTTGTCCACCAACGGCAGTAATGTTCTTCTCGATAAGCTCATCAGACGTTGTTTTTATGATCGGCGGTGCAAGTAGGCGGGTAGGGATAGGTATAGTCCCCTGAGACGAACATATCGTGGGTTGAGAGAGGGGGGGCATATAATGGGGTGGGGGAGAAGGGCTGGGTGGCAAAGTCCCCATATTTTGGTGCCAACATTATCGCAATAGCAGCGTAACATTGAGTTATGGAAATATTCAACCTCTTGATCTTCATACAAATCGTTCAACTGCACTTTGGCACTTGGTGAAAAATAGTATGTTTCAGAGTCATCATTTAAGAAAAAGCTTTCTCATGCAGGCAGCATATCGATTACAAACACATAAGGCACCTAAAGGCTTTCCAAGTAGTTTGCGTGTGCCAAACAACTATGCAGATGACATTTTGAGAAAATTCAGAAAAGCTCTAAAAAGCTTGAGGGTATTGAGATTTCACCACGCAGAACAGAGATTGAAAAGATCTTCTGTTTCCAGAAAAAGCTCTTCTTGACGCCATAATTTAGTACGAATAAAAAAAAACAAGAACCTGGGAAGGGTGCATGATAATTTAGTGCTCTGAATATCCGGGAACTTAAAAATTACGTCATTTTCGTCTCACCACAACAGAAAGATGAGAATCGTTTTATACTCTGATTAGATATATGAGGTGGCTGATGGAATGCGCAGAAGGTTCTTCAACAGGAAATTTGTCCATTCGAGACAATCACTGTGCAGCTACGTAAATGCAAACGTAGAGAATTCACTATCATAGGTAGTTAGAAGAAAAATATAGTAAATTCTGAAGTTTACTATTAAAACTGAGGTAAATTTGAAACTTCAGCCGGAGAGAGTCGTGTTATGTAGCTCGTGGCATTAAATGCAGTTTCACGCAGAAGAGAGTAAAATCGAAACTTGTTCTCGCTAAGATAGATCTACACACATTTATCCTCTGAAAAATTTGGGAAGATAGAGGATCTCAAAAAAATGAATGTTTTCAATTTGCCAAAAAAACAGTTTGATTTCGATAAGTACCTTCCAAAACTAGGCATAAAAAACCACTAACGGTAATGAGTCACCAGCATTAAGGAAACAAATTAATGATGCCGGGTGAAAACCTTGAAAACGGTTGTAGCTTGATCACTTAAATGTTCTGAAGTTCTGTTGTTAACATTCACAAGTTTGGAAACCAATACTTTCTCCGATTTATACACCAGTATATAAACTAGTATTCCCCAACAGAGAGCTAACGAAATGACAGCCAACATGCAATTTAAATATTTTAATTTATTTTCATTTCTCTTCAAAATTCAATTTCAAATCATTACTCTTCAACTATTTTGCTATGACTTGTTTATGCATTTTGGTTCATGTTCTATAATTAAACATGTTTCTTAAATATCTGTACATGTTTGTACGTGTGTTTCACATTTTTCTATTCCTTACAGTTTTTTGAAGTTACAAGCTTAGTACATTTAAATTTTTTAAATACGTTATGTTTTTGTGTATAGGCACATACACACAAGAATGTGACAGGAACATGGTATCCTGTAAAGTAAGTATTTTGACTGCCTTTTAGTCTGGTTTCTCTCCGCTGATCTTTCCGGCTTGGTTGTACCTGCCAGAGGCTCACATGCCTCCGCCGGCTGAGTTCTCAGGATCATTGAAACGCACAAGCCCCTCCACCACGGCAAGGTGGCAGTCTATGAGAGGGGACGTCTAGTTTTTGAATATTCGAAATCACACTACTTAACGTTCTTAACTCTTCCTTAATGCTTTACGTCTCAAAATAGTACTGTATTCGCAGTCACGTCCACGCACCACTTAACGCCCTTTAGTCACGCGTCCTTACGAGAGCCTCACGAGTGCTCTATGTCTCAACGTAGAACTGTAGAAGCCTTCTTATCTCCCTCAGCGATTCTGGAATGTCTGTTCCGCTGTTCAGTACTCCTCGTTGCGACCTGACAAACTTCTTAAAGGTTTTCTGATAAATGAAAAAATACATGCATTAATTAAATCGATACGAAATCCCAACCAAAAACGAATACAATGTGCCTGTCTCTCTGTTTGACTCTTATTCTTTGGTAAATATTGCACTCAATTCGAAACACAGGAAGTCTTTTCTTATTTATCAAAAATTTCAAAGGATTCCAAGACTAAACAAATGTAGGATAAATTTGCATAACTGTCTCATTTTTCAGCTTGGATATTGATATTGGCTGTTCAATCATGCATGAGTTAGAATATACGTTTTAATCGCTTACTTTGATGGCGAAGTTAATAAACTTACATTAAATCAACGCAAAGAAACGATCGAGACTGATTGATTCAATACTTTGATCGTTTCTAATGAGCAGCAGGTTTCTTTTACACTTGCAGTTGGAGTCAACCTACTCAGTTACAAAAATGTCTGGCACAGACATGCACAGCATTCCATATAAATTGAAAGTCCACTCTTTAGAATGCTCCCGAGGAGCAGAGCGTCACAAACCGATTAAGCCGATGATATATAGCTAACTCGTCAAGTGCTACTTCTATGTTAAGTCAAAGTGAAGCTGGTAATGATTAAATACCAAGTAACAATGCATATGAAGTTGCAACTAAAGTTTGTTTCTATTCCGTCATGTATACATTATTATGCGGCGACTTTGTTGTCAGGACACAACTTTGTTGAAAGATACAGTCACACGTATTTTCACCTTTAACTCTATCTCAGTCTTAGTTCCGTTTTCCTTCATTTTGTGTTAGAACCTGTGGCTGATGGCGGCGTAATATCGAAAAGATGTAGTTATAATAGTGATGTTTGATTCACTTACCATTCCACCATTCTCTAAAATCCATTCTGCTAACAACTGGCATGTTTTCGTTCCACTAAAGGCGCATACGTAAAACCCATCTGATGCCGCCACATCGACCGGAGTTCCGAAATAAAGACCATACGCGACATACAACTCACCAATAATCACGAGGTAAACCATAAACCCAGACCAAGATAGATCAGAGCGAATAATTTCGTCACAAATACGCAGAAAAGTGCCATCAACATCATCCATACCATCGTACATACCATCCATTCTACTCAACTGATTCAAAATTTCCTCAATCAAACGCTTATTCCTTGTTTTAATTCCTAATAAAAGATCGACAACCCTATCAGAACGACTAGCACACTTCGAGAGGCTGCTATCTTTCCGGACACAATCGCTTAACTTCACATAACCTTCAACAATGTTGCCGAGAAACATACGTAATTCCACCTGCTTAAGCTTCTGAATTATATCCTCTCGACCAATCTTCGATAAATACCGCTCTAAAAATGATACATCCTTAACTGACAGTGTGCTATCCTTAACAAGAAATTCAAACAACTTAAAGATATCATCATCACTTTCAAGATTTACATCCAACTTCGACCCCGGTACATCGCCTAAGCACAAAAACCTCAATGCAGCCCTATCATTAATGCTTAAATCTCTCACACATCCAACTACAAACTCTTTAAACACAGAGGGAATCTGATATTTCAACAACCCTTCTCCTTGCGCAAATGGTTTCAGCCTTGAAGTTGCCGTTGGCAAAGCCATGACTCAAAGTCACAATTTCTAATAAATTAGGAAAGACTGCGCATCATAACCCTCTCATTCAACATCCGGGCACTTACTCGACTTGCAACCCGGAAACCAACTTCGCCTTCGGCTCGGATCGCACTAGCGTCGTTATTGCTTTCCGATGGAGAACTGGGCCGGTTTGTTCCTAACCAGGGGTTGGTGCATATTTTTCATTAGTTTTTTACTCCTGCAAAGGGATTTTTCTTTTGTATTTTTTCCGTTAATCTCGAGTCACACTAAGATAAAGCCCAACAAAATCTAACCTGTCATACGCGCTCTCCTACGTAGGAAATTAAAGCCCAAGTTAACTTTTAATGCTAGATTAACGTTAACCCCCTTTCGAAAAATTCGGCCCTGGGCTTTACGTATAATGACACACGCTTTGGAGGGTGACTGATATATAGTAAGCCGCATAAGCAATGTTTTAAGACGCCATCGAAATTCGGAAGAAACAATTTAACAAAAAATCAAAGACAAAATAAAATCATTTATAATTCCTGCACGCCTTGCGTTCCTATCTATAAAGCCTTCTATTGGGAACAAAAAAAAAAATAGTTGCCGTGGTTTCTCTCAGTAGATTATCATTAATCAATTACAATGCCCTTTTATGGTGTTTGTTTGGGCACCTAAGATATAAAGGGTCAGGCAGACCATTTTTCGTTCCCTCTGCCGCCATCGACGACACCCGCCATGTCGTCACCGACTAACGAGGTTTCCGACCGACTTCGACGGGCTTATTCTGCCTTTTTGCTCCAGATTTCTCGCAATCTGGATCAACTTCAGCAGGACGAGCTTCGTTTCTACTGTTCTGGACTAATACCGACGGAAGATAAAGGCTCTTTAAACATTTTACGTTCATTAGAACATTTGGGTAAAATATCCTGGACCGATGTTAATTTCTTGAAAGACGCTTTAAGTGCAATTAAGAGATTGGATCTTGCCACACTGCTAACGACGTTTGAAGTTAGACGCGATCTGACGCTTCTTCTGCATTTCTATGCGAGAAAGAGACTACAACAGGATCCTGTTTACGTTTCCCACTCGATGAAAAACGACTGCATGTCATTTGTTGACAATCGTCACGGAAAACGAAAACGAAAGATGCAGATTTGACTCCACAAGAATGAGAACACTGGTGGAGTCAAACAAAAACATCCACCAAGTCTTCGAGGAAGAAGTTGATGTGCGTAGTGGACTGAAATCATCTTGGAGTAAGCTGACCATGCTTGTGATAATTGCAGGAGAAATCATTGTGGCGGCGCAAGCTTCCAGAAGCGACGACATACGCAGGAATGAAATGTTAGAGCAGTGTTTCAGTTTGGCTGAAATGCTTAGCTACAGGATGTTGGATCTTGGCAGCTGGGTAAGCAAAGAAAATCTTTTGTTAAACAGTTTTCGCAAGAAGAATTTTCATTTTTCTATAATAATGCGATGTTTTGTTCCTAAAATAAGCTACTTATTCCCGGAATTACTAAAGTGAAACGGCGGAAGTTGTCAGTTGTATTAATAAAGACTGTTATTTAATTTATGGTTGGTCGCGCCAGAAGTCCACTTTAATATGGCTAGTTAATTTTGATGAAACTGATGACTACAAATGACATTATTTTAGCAGTGAGGAGGCAGTACCAAAATTTAGCCTTTTTTGAAAGAGGCTCGCAATTCGTTCTCGTCAGTTCGATGCTTATGCGTAATGTTGTTTTTGATGGAATGTTATACTTTACAGCTCGCACGCTTTAAAAAGCTCAACCTTCGTAATATGTACTAAAGGTGATAGTTAATACCAATCAAAACCAATAATTAAAAGTAAGATTGAAAACAATGGTCGTCAAATTCCGATACAATCATTTGGAAGATAAACGCATCGAAAGTAAACTTTAATCATTGGTTACCAGTCCATCCTCTAGCTGTGAGCTGGTTACCAGTTTCTACTCGCGTACATACTTAATTTTGTTGTTGTTGTTTTTTTTTTTAATATCATTATTGCTTTTTATTTTGATCAATTTACCATGAATCTACTTCGTTTTAGCCGGTGGTTTAGAATAAATGAGGCAGCCCGAAAAATTTTAGTGTTGCTCACAAATTTACAATAATCCCTTTCAGGATGATTTCTGTGATTATGTGGAGGAAAGATGTATTGAGGTATGGGGTCAACGGGAAGGGTGCAACCGCAGCAACGCAGACGTAGCAGACGTGGTTCGACAACTGAGAGAATCTCCTTTTTTCCTTTAGATAGATAATTAGTATAACAGCCTTAATCAGCGTAGCAAGTTTCCAGAGGATCAGGGGGGAGGTGTCACTTACCCCTCCCCTGAGCCTTGCACTTCTGTAGAATAGCAGGCGGTCTGGATCGCGCGGTTGCATGACAAAAAAAAAAAAAGAAAAAAAAAAGCTGCGAAGTAGAGACGCATTTTTATGTTTCATTTCACTTTAATTTTTCTCACAGACTATAGAGTGTTTTACGTGCTGGCAGTGGAGTGGAGCTCCACTTCATTGTTTTAGCACTTCGCTTTTAGCGCGCGTGAAAGACCGCTCTTTTTTTTTTTTTTTTTTTTTGGGGGGTTGATTTATCATTGCCTACATCTTCCTTCTGTTGAAGTCTAAGAGTTCTACCCTCACTTCACCAGACTGACACTCAGTGACTGTCACTGACTACAACCAGAATTTACTGCATAAACAAAAAAATAGAAAAATCATGAAAAAGGTTGAAAAAAATTCAAAAATGGTTTTGAGGATATCGTCGGCAAAGGATTGTGAATTGATGCTATTGAATGTTCAAGAAATTTCGAAAAACTGCTAAAATATTACTACTACTGAAACTTTGAAATTGAAACTTTTGATATTGATGCTATTTGAGAATTTTCTAACGATCGAGTGTTACACTGAAAGAATGACTAAAGATTGAAACCAAGAAAGATACACAGTAAGAAAGTACCACAAATGAACCAAGAAACAAGTTTAACAAGAAGCAAACCAAGTACCAAGCAAAAACGAACACACAACTTATGGCGGAAAAAAAAACGAAAAACTATGCAACAAAGAAAACTTACTTACAATTTATGGCGGAAAATCGAATAACTCTACAATGACAAAAGAAAACCTTACTTACTACTTATGGCGGAAAACAAATTACTCAAAAAAAAAAACTGAATTGTGACTTACAACTTACTCAAGTGCTAAAGAATGAATGTTACAACGTATATCTAGGTATACACAAAAACACAACTGGATTGTCTTATATAAGTTCTAGTCATGTTACAGAACTTGAAAAGTGCTGAATAAACTGGAGTTGACTTTATCCAATTATGGCAGTGATGTTTTTCTTGGTAAGCCCATCAGGCGTTGTTTGCATGATCTTTTAACAATGTTTAAGAACGTTGATTTTTCAGTCCTTTTTCACGGGCGGCTCTGCAAGTAGGCGGAGTTAGGATAGGTATAGTCCCCTGAGACAAACATATAATGGGATGGGGGGGGGTGCTTATAATGGGGTGGGAGAGTGGGTGGTGTAGTAAAGCTCTCATGTTTCGGTGCCATTATTATAGCAATGGCAGAATGAAATTGGGTCATGGAAATATTCAGCTTCTTGATCTTCATACAAATCGTTTCATTGGGATTGCACTTTAGCATGTGGTGAAAAAAAGTATGTTTCAGAGTCATCATTTGAGAAACAGCTTTCTCACACAGGCCACAGATCGATTTCAAAGACATAAGGCACCCCATTGCTTTCCAAGTAGTTTGCATGTGCCACAGAACCATGAAGATGACATTTTGATAAAATTCAGAGATGCTATGTGCTTAGTTTTGCATGCCAAGTATCTGCAAAATCCAAGGAAACAGTAATTCATAACACTGAAGGTTTATTATCTGTCTACATCTTTACACGTTTGTGCGTTTATTTCATATTTTTGCATGATCCAAATTGTTCAGTTTTTTTTCAAAGCAGGCATATTTCACGTATTTCATATTTCTCGCATTTTACGGTTTGAACCTGGGGATAACATGTGGTCGAGTGGTCTGAAAAAAGTGACCGACTTTTCGACAACCTGAGCGGAAGTCAACATCAGAGTCTTCACCAAAATTTCAGATATTGTACTCTCATTATCTTAGTAGCCCGTGGGTTGATGCATTTATATAAATAAATAAGTTTACTCAGCGGGATACTCACGAGCGACCAAGATTGTCCCTTCTTGTGTAACTGTAAAGAAAACGTTCGATCTCATTGCATTAAAATTTTGAACGCAAACTTTTATCTCATCGGACGTACTGCTTGAAAAATTAAGGAATATCACTTTGGAAATATGACCGAATAGAGAAAGATGTTTTTCGTCTTGTCACGAGCGTAGAACAAAGTAACAATTTCAAGACTCAATGTGGAATCGCACCTCAGACCTACGGGTTCCTCGCTACGAAGTTCATTAGACACGTGCCTGCATATATATACTGCTATAGGATCAACAACGTCGATAGCGTCATGTTTGTAAAGAGAATAAGAGGGATGATAAGTTTAGAGCTCGGTAAAGAAATAGGGAAAGATGTTTTTTCTTCTTGTCACGAGCGTGGGACAAATTCCCAATCGATGAATCTTCATCAAACGATACACGTAAATAGTGTTATACGCGCGTAATATTAATAGTTGTCTTGGAGTGCATGTACGTCATTAACCCGCCCAAATATGGTATTGTGCAGCATTTTTGGGTATAAGAAGTCGGTCATGCAATCGATTGGCACAAAATATGCGTACTGAAGTAATGCAAGGACCATCACAAACAGAAATTAAGTTAACATATGAATTAATGAAGACTAATTTTAAGTGTAAAATGATTAACATGTCTTCGAAGCTGAGAGAGGATGATCTTCGAAAGCTTCGTTATTATTTAGAAGGAATCATACCGATTAATAATTGTTCCGACTCTATGGATATATTACGAGTGCTAGAGCACGAAGCAAGGATTTCGTGGGATGATATTAATTTCGTTAAGGAAGCCATGGGAAGTATTTCAAGACAAGATCTTGTTGAAGATTTAACTAAGTATGAAGTTAAGAGGAATTTGACACTCCTGTTGGATTTCTATGCGAAGAGCAATCTAGGATTGGATTCAAACTTCTGCGATAATAAATTAAGGATGAACATGGTAGCTTCGCGCTTACGGAAGATTATGGATAGTGCTCGAGAGAGTGTTAAAATCAGAGACATATGCTCAACCGTTGAGTCCAGTAGAGATTTAAAGAAAGTATTAATGGCCTTAGAGGAGAAGATGGATGAAGGACCATCACTATCATGGGATGACTTTACTATGCTTGTAATTTTTGCTGGAGAAATTATAACAATCGCTTCCGCCGATGAAGAACAACAGGAGTCATTGTTAGACCTATGCACAACCGCTGCTGATGAGCTCTGCTCTCGAATGAAAGCGCCAGGAACCTGGGTAAGATTGTAGTTTAGATTTTATACCTTGAGTATCAGAGTTCTGAAAAAATGTATCTTCTTTTCGTTTTTTGGTTTATTACAGTTCTGTGAAAATTTTTGCTGCGTAGAACACTCTAATTGATTATTCAGCCGTTGCCTGGAAGTGATTGGTCGAATTTTAACATGTGATCAAAGCTTTCGAATTTGATAGGAAGATCACTCTGCCGACTGAAAGTCATGCAGATTACATAGCCATTTTGATCAGAAAATATCAGTAGGAATTACTTCGCTGAGTAACGCTGAACGTTATTTGGTTATCTCTTGTATTTCAATAATTGTTGAGGAAACCAAAGACGGAAGTCGTTTGACAGCCGTTCCGTCAAATTAATCACGAATAGACCCAAACCTCACTTCATGCTCTCCTTTAGATGTTCTTATTGTTGATTTAATAGACACGTTCAAAGATATCAGAACAAAGTCGTACACCATGGCCTTGAAAAGGTCCCATTTCAAGTTGAATTACTTCCATTTTTCTTCCACTTCTGCATCATGAAGTTGTTTTGTTCATTTCAATGTCTTTATTGACTCTTCATGCATGAGGAACCATTATATATGAAACATGCCATGATAGTCAAACAATTGAAAGTTATTTGAAGCGAAACAGGTCGGGCCATATGAACGGAAAACGGCTATGAACTCATATTTTTACTTAGAAATCGCTTTAAGGATTGGTGAAAAGGGAATGCAAACGGAAATCAGCATTGGCATTACGACGATTAATCTGGCAGAAGAGTTGTCTAACAAGCTTATATCCAAGTGAAAAAAATTTTTCTCTGACAGGAAGAGTCCACTTCACTTTTATGATCTGTGCATGGCCGACGCTGAAAGGTCTCAAAAATTTGACATATAGAGAACTTTAAGTGTACACTAATTACAGAAAGATGTTTTAACCAATTTCCATTTTCCAGCTGCCTGTTTAGTGTAGTTATTTTAGTATTTCTTGCGTTGCATGGATTACCTTTCATTGCCCATTATGTTTACTCTGTTCCTATTTTTAGCCTTCGAACACATCGGGGTCTTCATGCTGAGTAATTCCATGATGAAAATATGAATGGCTTTTTAGAGATGGTCGTTCAAAAATCTCAACCAGTCGTTTTTACTTCCACAGCCAGTTTTATGGCCTGCATGATGCAAATGAAAATATTTGTCGGCTTTTTTTATTCACTTCGACATCCTTCAATGATAGATCTCATAAATTCATGGTAAGACTTATAAGTAATCTCATAGGCCTGACTGTCAAGAAACATAAAACAATTTTAAATCAGGCAAAAAGGACCAACCTCTTCTCCAGATTTCGATGATCGGTCCGTGGAGTGAATCCAAACTCTGTTGTGAGAGACTGTATGTTCCTGTACAAACAGAAGTTCCTTTCATATCTTTCTAACATTATATTTTACTTTGTAGAATGACTTTAAAAATCATGTCAAGGAAGTGCACCGTTTCGTTCAAGAAAACATAGATTCCAATCATAACTTGTCTTCGCAAGAGATAGCAAAAGTGGTTCAACAGTTCAGAGAAGCCGTATTCCTCCCAGTAGGAAATCTATAGGAAACTCCAGAGGCTTTCTCGTTTAAATCGAAGACTGTTAATGATAAAAAAAAGTTCTCTTGTTAATCACTTCTGAACTTTATTCACAATTTAAGATTATTCACAATTTAAGATTATTCACAATTTAAGATTATTCACAATTTAAGATTATTCACAAAATACAATTAATAAAATTACCATACGAAATTTCATCAAAATTTCATCAAAATAATGCATAATACAAAAGCATTTAGCTTAAAAGACTGTTAATTGTTAATAATAATTTTAATGATAATAATAATTAATAACTAATTAATCTGGCAGAACATCATTACTATTACTATTATATTATTACTACTACAACATCATTACTATTACTGCTACAATATTACTACTACTATTACGAGTACTATTACACCATTATCACTCTTACCATTACAACATTATTTCTTTTACTATTACAACATTATCACCACTTCCATAATTACTGCTACTGCAATACTATTACTGCTATTGCCACTTCAGTATCCTAACTGCTACACAACACTATCACTACTACCTACAATATAACTACCTCTGTCTGGACTACTAACAATATCATTGCTTCTGTTGCTACCACAACAGGGTTGCTGCTATTATTACTACAATTACGAATACTTCTATGATACCTTTCACGCTCTATTCAGTATGTTCAATCTATGCAGCAATTTTTATCTACTAACTCATGAAATACATATGTAACAACTTGTTTTATTTTTAAGTGATGAGACATTTATGAACTAAAATGGCGGTGAGCTATCCCCGCTAACATCAACTGAAGTTTTCCACCCAGAACCAGTCTCACACATGTACGCAATGCCAACTTCTTTATTTGTTTTAAAATACAATTAGATGAAGTTTGGCAATTAACCGGATTGACAAATATTGCTGTAGGTTGTCATGAAAATGATACTATTGTTCAGCTCTTCAAAATAAAGAAAATGGATGTGACCAAAGCTGATTAGCATCTTCTCATTTGTTGTTCTTCTTGTCGTTTTTATCATAACCGTTACAATTTCCTCAAATGTGACTGGTGCATCAGCTGCTTTATTTTTCACCAATCATTCTTTACATTTGTAATCAAACACTGTGGACGGACAATTGGCTGTAATTGGACACTTGTAATAGGACAGATGAAGCAGCCAGTCATACTAAGTCCACTCTGCTAAATCCAACAATCACAGAATTGATCAAAATAACCATAGCAATTGAAAAAACTGAAAATTTTTAGATGTTTGTCCTAAAAGAAGTAGTTGTTTTTTTGTCTTTTTTTGGATTTTGTAACGATTAAGATTAATTGGTAACAGGACTTCGTGTCGTCCAATTCTGTCTGTAATCATACTTGCGATTGACAAATCGGATTCGTCTAATTTCGTCAATCACTCGTATGATTTCAGACCGAATTCGACTTCACTATGTCCTAATACTATTATTAAAAAGTGTATCGATCGATTGTAAGTTAAAGGGAAAGGGAATTGGGAGGAATCCAGTTTCAGTCCCCCCTCAGTCTCCCTCGTTTTCCCTTGCAGTTCTAGCCGCCCATAGTGCTCCCCTTCGGCTAATATTTCCATGACTAGTGAAGGCAAGTTAGTTTCTCCTCAAAGTGTACCTACCTCTACTTTCTCCTCGCGGAGAACAAACCGTACATCAAACAAAAATTTGCGTTTTGCTCAACACCCTTTAGCATCCAACAGTAATGAAGAAGCTCCTGATAACTGGTATTCTCTTTTTAAACTTTAATTGGAGATCGATTTTAAGAAACTAATGGGAAAGGAATTTGAAAGGAGAGCCATCTCGCAGGCCAGACTGCTCTTGGTTCTGGTTTACGGTCAGTTCGCCACCACAACAAACTCGCCACCACTGAGAGTCAAATCGCCAAGGGTGGCGATTTGACTTAAACGTTGTGTGTAGCCAATCGTATTAAACTTACATCAAATGAAAACTAAGATGTAGTAATGTATCCACTCAGGTTTCGCCAAACGCAAACTGAATCAAAATTAACTTGATATCAATATGACTTATTTATTTCATTTAACCGTTGTCGTGCCATAATTGAGCGGCTACACATAACTTCTGAGTCCCTTACCTTTTCCGCAATATACTACTACATCTACATTCATTTGATGTAAATTTAATACGACGGGCTACACATAATGTTTAAGTCAAATAGCCACCGGTGGCGATTTGACTCTCAATGGTGGCAAGTTTTGTGGTGGCGAATTGACCGGAGACCTTGGTTTTCACTTTTAATTCCAAATTTTAATTTCTTTTTTCAATATTTCCCAACGTTAAACCGTACGCAATGCTGGCACAGTTTAAGTCCCATTGTTGAGTCCTTTAGCAATCCTGAATTCCTTGTAGGTGTTCAAGCAGTTGGAATAAGTCAAATGAAAATGAGATATTTGTAACTGCTTAAAATCTAACAGTCCATATTGCGTGGCGTTTTTGTACAAGCACGTAGACGGAGAAAGCCATGATATACACAAGAAAATTTTATTGATTATTCATTGTTGTTCTCTTTACGCCCTTGCGAGCGTATTTTACATTTTCACATTTTTCAATGCATTTCATATTTTTATAAAACAGTGAGATATTTGTTTCCTGTGAAAAATTTAATAGTCTGTAGTACATTTCGTTATAATGTAAAAAGGTAATGTGGAAAGCACAAGGAAGAAAATTTTTCCCAGTGAAATAGACGTAAAATTAGAATGTTGACTGCCTTTTGGTCTGGTTTCTCCCCGTCGATCTTTCCGGCTTGGTTGTACCTGCCAGAGGCTCACATGCCTCTGCCGGCTGAGTTCTCAGGATCACTGAAACGCACGAGCCCCTCCACCACGGCAAGGTGGCAGTCCATAGGAGGGGATGTGAGGGGGGGTAGTTATTTTCTCTTTAGGGGTATTACGTCAATACTGATTTACCATATGAAACATTTACATGTTCATCATTTCATATTTCCTTAATGAAATTCCTTCATTGTAAGTCGATACGATTTCCAAGCCGCTCGATGATTTCTTTTAAACATTCTCCATTGGACGATGATACGGACTCACTGATAGTGGTTTGTTGTTTTTCTTTGATGAATTCTTGAAATGCTTCCTGTTAATTAAACCAAAGGAAGATGAGTATTGTAAACCTAAGAAAGTATTGCCTGACATGATCTTTGTATTAAGTACAGGGTATTATGGTATTATGGACGCAAATACAGAAAAACCTCTCCAAAAATAACCACATACAAGAAAAAAGACTCACTACACCTCTTGATTTGATTATCTCACACAGTCAACTTATAACATCGTCCAGAAATCTTAAGAATTTACTAGATACAACTGAAAGAGTCTTATGTATCAGAGTTATCATTTTTATATCTCACGGCTTTGTTTTAAAAATAGCGCAAATTTGAATAGTTTCGGCCACATTCAAGCGCATCGATGTAACAACTGTCTGCCAATTTTGAAAAATACTACAATTCGAGAGTAAAACATCTGAGACATACTTAGAATTGAGCAATGATTCAGAAAAAAATAGTTTGGAAAACAAAGAGTTCGTCAAAAGACCTATAAATAATTTTGAATATCTCATAAGTTTATGAATATCTTATTATTTCCGAGAGAGCTTTTAAACCTCGAAATTGCCCCAAACGTTTTCAGTTAAATGTGAAAGGATCAAAATCGAGAGCATCGAAATTTACATCGATTATACAGCACGTGCAACATTTCTAAAAGTTTCTGTCCGTGCATGTTTTAAGAGCTGTTTATACATCTTTTGCCAAACCGGTAAAAAGTGAAAGCTGAACCTGTTAAGCAACTTGAAGTAATTAAAAATTAAAGATTTTTGACGCCTCTTCCCGTGTTTCTTGTTTAAGTAGTTGGATACAATATTCTGCTTCTGATTTCCGATTCTAATTTGACTGTTTGTAAAAGCCTGCGATACTGCTAACCACCAACTATGGTCGTTCAAATGGTTAAAAAAATTGAGAAGGATATTCAAAGGCAGCCATTTACATTTAAGGACGCGGCTTTTGACGTGGCAAGAAGAATATTTTAGTCACGAAGATTCTATCAGCCCTCGCGTCTTTTCCAAAGATATTCTTGATTCCCGATCAGAACCCCGAAATAACTTCCCTTGTGTTAGCTAACAAATTTCCCAGTCCTATCTACTTTTCAATAAAACTTGCTCAAGTCAGAACACAGGGAAATTATTTTGGCTGTAAATCTTCATTTCACATAGGTTGCGTATTTACTTCAATCACTTACCAGACCTCCGTTTTTAAGCATCCATTCCGTAAGTAGTTTGCAGGTCTTGGTGTCTGAAAAGAGACTCGTGAAGTGACCATCCGCTACGACATAGGGTAACTGGTTACATGGCCAACTAAACGAAGCGTAGAACTCACCAATGAACACCAAATAGGACGTGAACTTGGACCACGACAGCGACGAGATCTTTAGAAGAGGGCTCTTGATGACCTGCAGAACAACACTGTCGTCTTCTACTTGCTCAAGTTGGCGGTTCAACACTGGAGAAATCAGTTCCTTATTTATTTCTTTAATCGCCAGCAAAAACTTTGCGACGCTTGCTTGGTCACGGGCAAGTTTCACAGGCGTGTGATGGCGGAGGTGCATCACCGACTTTATGTAACCTTCAAGTATACCACTTAGCGAGATTTGCAGCTCGACTTGTTTCAAAGATTGCAGCAAATCGTGACTGCCGACGGTTATGAGAAATTCTTCAAGTAGAGACAAGTTTGTGAGGGAAACTGCATTGAATTCCAGAAGAAACTCGATCAAACCCAGAAACTCTTCATCGTTCTCTGGGTTGATGTCTAGCTTCGAACCCGGAATTTGTCCTTTGCACCAGAATTTAAATTCTGCTCGATTGCCAGGAGTTAAATCTCTCGAGAAGTGAAGGAGAAACCTTCTGAAAACAATAGGGTAATTAGACTTCAACAGGCTATTTGGGGTTGAATACTTTTGTTTAGAGGGAAGCATCGACTTCAGTAACGCTGACGTAGACAATACACTTTGAAACAGGAGTGCGAAAATCCTCAGTTTTCAGCACATCCGGGTAATCCACGTTTTTTCCTGCTCCACGACCGTTCTCGTTCCCAGAGCCCTAATACTAGTACTCTTGGTAGCGGTCTGTGTAAACGATAAGCCCAATGGAAAGGCTGGGTATTGTTCAAGAGTAATCAAGTTCGAAATCAAGAGATTTTGACAATACTTCTGGATTTCTGTGCGAGGAAGATAACCCAAACTTTGTGTTGTTTTTCTCTGACAGTTAGTTAAATGGCTGAATTGTCGGTCAGAATTCCGCAGATCCCGCGCGGTAAATCATAACAGCAAACCGATCAGTGCGACATTGGAATCAATATAATCCATTCGACCAGTGCTCGTCAGTTTCGACAAAGATTTACAGGAATTGAACTTTCCGTGGGGTGAGTTTACCATTCTTTTTATCATTTGTTGAGATAAGATGCCAGCGTGAATGACGAACGATTGCACTTGAGATGGAGGCAAGATTTGCCCCCTGCAATCCACGAGCTACGTTGCCGAGTAACTACGCTCGGTAGTTTGGAAAGTATGAAGATTAGATTCTTATTTTCCAACAACTATTTTTTGTTAACCTAGAGTAATATCAATACCAGGATGTTTCCACACACTTTTGCTAGCTTAGATTGGATTATGTTATGTTGTCAGAGGCTCGTAGATGTTTGGCAAACGATGCTTAGTTTGACCGAGATGCGATTGGTTACAACGAAACACAAGACTCACCCGCCATTCGACCTTGACGGAGGATTCATAGTTCCTTCTTAGTACCCTTTGCACATTGATAGGCAGGGAATAATGTTAATAAACGACAGCAAATCCTGCCAGGTGTTGTAAAAAATAGTCTGCCTATGCTACTTGTTCCATTACAGTTCCATCATATTCAGCTGAAGCCAGAAATGTCAATAAACAGATCACATACAGTAATAATAAATTGAAAAAAAAATTCCAGCTGTTTGTTTGTGCTTCCTTCCATGTTGACAGACAGTTTCAAGCTCCTATCCCATTCTACCCTTAAATAAAAGCCTCCTCAGTTGTAATAGGTCTGATGCTGCTGTCAGGTTGTGTCCCTGATTTTTTTCTTCCTAATTTTTTTAGCATTCACCAAACAAACCCCACCTAAACTCTTAGAATTAATAGGCTGATATTTTGCGGAAGCTTTCTGTTGGAATAAGACATTCATATCAGACAACTGTAAGTTAGGTCGCGGATTGTGCACCTTAAGCGCCAGCCTAAAATTGTTTTCAAACTGGTCAATTACAATTCCTTTCAATATTTTTCATCCTTAGCTGTTAATATTGATTTCCTGATCTATTACAGCCCCTTTTATATTCTTTTATCTTACTGAGCAAATATCTAGTGGTCTCCTTCACGTCAATGATTGTTATGCTCGTTGCAAAAATCGAAAAAAAATCGTTCATTGGGGAAAGGGGGAAAGGGGAGAGAGAGGAGGGAGAGGAGTTCAACTGCCTATTAAAACAAGGTTAAGGTTTAGCAAGCTCCGGCATGAGTCTGCACAGCTTCTTTGACTCGATTATACCACGGCTTCATTGTGGTGTGTGTCATCAGGTCTTTAAACGTATCAAGACCTTCCAAACCGCTCAGTACTCCATACACCGCCTGTGGAAAAGACATGAACAGTAGCCACTCAGATATTATGAGGAGAGAGGCTGTGCACGGTCAAGGAGAATAGAAAGAGTAAAGGGAGCTATGTCTGTTGTGGAATCCTTGCAATAAACAACAGATTGGTTTTACTTCTGGACAAGTAAAGGTTTCATGCTTAGACAAGGCATAACAGGTTTAGATATATGACTTGACTCCTTGTTTAGAATTTGCTTTAAGGTTCAAAAGAACTTTGAGAAACATCCAAGACATTTTAACTAAACAGTTCTCAGTATTGTAAGTAATCCAACAGATAACATGACACCTACTGGCCATCCACTATTTCTCATTTGCCATCTACTTTCAAATTAATTGGTATATAAAACTTAGATTGGTGGGTGACAAGTACAGGGTGTCTGCTCCTCCCTTTAAACCAGGTATCAGTATGCATATTCTCCATACTGTTCTCTATACTATCCCTAAGGTGCTGACAAGGAGAATTTGTTTGATGATCTAGAGCTTCTTTAGGTGGTGATCATTTCCTTTTTTTCTTGTGACCTTAATGTTTGATTCAGGGGTGATATTGTGGAGAGAAATTAGATACTAATCATACTTAAGGGTCAAAGAGTTTTAATGGGGCCTGCTCAATACAGGTTTAATTATGTGACATTAATTTGTTCTCTACTTCCAAAAGGGTTATACTTCTCATAAAGTTTTCTTAGTTTTAGGGAGAAATTTGAAGGGAGTCTATTTCTTCTACAAACACTCAAATTTTTTACCAGGTCGGCAAGATTTGGAGCACTTCCTCCCATAAACTTTCTTTTGCCAACAGCCTTCATCCATTTCTCTGCCTCATCATACATGGCTTGTCGCACATCATCTTTGATATTGTGCCTGGGGAAGGAAACATTCATTATTATTTTGAGGGTCAATAAAAAAAAAATTCACATTTTTTTTTTTTTAGGAAACCTGAAGCACTGATATGTATATCATTTGGTGTAAATTGTTTGTTGAATAATCAAGAACTTCTTTAGTGGGTGATCAATTCTGCTATTATCAATATCTTAACATGTGATTGGGGGTGAATTAGATGCTGGTCACTCCTAGGGCCAAAGGGTTATAAATTATATGACTTACTTTCTTTTCACATGTTTTCCAACAAAGTACATCACTACTGGCCCAGCAAAGTAGGTTGAATATTTCTCAAAAGTGCTGACATTACTTTGCTTTGTAAAATACTCAAATGCCTGCATGGCTTCTGATGCTGTGCGGTAGATGTTTGGTGAAAGTGTATGAACAAATGAATTGTCCACCCATTTTCGCCATTTCCTCTGTTCCCTGTATAACATTTCAACAACTTACATCAGTACTCTCTGTTATCATCAAGTTTGCTCCTAGTCAGTTTCCTTAACCCTCAACATTTCCTTAACATCAGTATGCATATTCTCTTTACTGTTCCCTATACATTTCCCTGAGTAATTAGAAGGAGAATTTGTTGATAAAGTCCTTTTTTAGTTTGTGATCATTTCCCCAATTCTTGTAACCTAAATGTATGATTCAGTAGTGATATTGTAAGAAGAACTTAGATTCTGATCACTCTTAAGGGAGAAAGGGTTATCTGCCTTGATGCACAGATAAGTTTTGCTTGGGGTCTTCATACCCTCTCTGTATTCTCACTTTCCATTTATAAGTTGGTATTACGTATTTACTTGTTCCTTTATGAGTCAAATACAGTGCTTTGAAGTGTAAAATCTGTTGTTTCATCCTTGCCTCTCTACAATGTCATGAGCCATCATTTTGAACTAAGACTAAGAAGGCATCTACATGGGGTGCAAGTTTTCTAGACCAATCCAAGTGAAGAGTGGCAAAATCAATGCAGATTACTTTTGACAATGAATTGGAAATTGCTCTATAATGATTCAGGGAATAAAGGAGCATCCCTACAATCCTTACAGTCTTATTCCCAAATTACACTGTTATAACATCATATTTCAAAGTTATTAATCTGCACCTACTTCTCATATTCCATGGATTTCTTGTCAATGGCCTGTTCTTTGTACATGATAAAATATCTGTTGGCATATTCGGTCTGTTCTTTGCCATCTGCACCTTTTGTAGTGATTTCAGGGTAATAAACTAAGATCTGTTTGATGGAATCTTGGCCCACCATAAGGGACCGGAGGGCGCTGATAATGACTGATGAGTCATTGATCTGTAAAGAATGATTCATATCAAAGAAAGAGCCTATTGGGAGAGCTTCAAATTGACAAAACTAAAAGGAATTACTTCTCACCCCAAAATGAAAGAAAATGGCATTTTGATTTTTAAAGGCATCAGCATATTATGAACTGAGCTTCTCAACTTTACTCAGAAAAATCCGGCATGGATGAAGGGTAGGGGAGGTTCAGGGCTTTTTAAGAACGTTTAGAAGAAGGATGCTGGGAAGCACCAAAGGTGCCAGCTTGTAAGGGAGGTAAGGACATGCACCCCAGAACGTTACATACTTACAATACAGGGCCACATAATTTAAACCTCGCTGAATCACAACGTCCGTTGTGTAGTTCATCGTTTCTCCACGACTGCTGAAGTTTTTCTTCCCGATAAATTTTACGAAACAAGGCCCCTTACCTGTGTGTCATCCGCCATAACTAAAGGAACTTTCTTGTACTTGGAGAAACTGAGCTCTGACTTCCACAAGGGGCTCACTTCGACAGTGTTGTACTTGATTCCATAATAGTTCAGAAACGCTCGTACTTTACCGCAGAAAGGGCAGTTCTGATACTGGTAGAGAGTTATCGAGATATCAGAGATCCCTTTCTCGGCAGGTAAATTAAGATCTTTGACGGGCCTTGCTTTCACGTTGTTGGAAATCATCTGGTAGGATACAAACCCAGCCAGGGTTACTCCACAACCTGCTGCCAAAACGGCAACAAATCGGCGACTTGTGCCAGAGAACCCCGGTCCATAGTTGATAGTACTAACAAGACGGCTTTGGACACTTCTATGTCCTCTGTTTAAGAACGATTTGCTAATTGGAGAGCAGAAGGTTGAGCGAATCGCACATCTAGCCGCCATTATTGAATTTGTTATGCAATAAATTAGTTACCAGGATATAGCGGTAAACTTTTACCTAGACTCCAGTCTTATCCATAGGTCTCCGCGAAGCCGGATGTACATCGAGCAAGCTACTCATCGAGCACGTTTAGACTGAGTATCGTAAGTAAAAACCAACAAAAGAACCTGGAGCGCAGGAAAACGTGAACAACTAAGTAATTACTATTGAAACTTGCCCTATCAGTCCGAGTAAAAACATCGTTCTCAGATTCTCTCGAACTTGGAGAAAATTTTGACTGTTGAGGCGATTTAACCAAGCATACGATTGAAGTAATACCTCTTTAACTATCAAAAGCAAACAATCAATTTTCTACACTGGTATTTATACATTTCTTATCATGAGGATCTGAGAATTTCGTGTGAGCTCAAACAGTATGCCCTATTCGATGACATCCTTTCATCTTTCGGCTTAAAACGAAATGATATTGTAAGGAGAAAAGAATTGCCGATCATTCCTAGGCGTGAAAGTGCTAGGGGAGGCTGTTTTGTATATTCCTTCCATTGAACGTACAGTAACGAGCGAAAAGAGGAAAGGAAATTAAAATGTAGAGAACGAAAGAGAGAACCGGAAAAGCGCCATTTGTTATTTCAAAACTGACTTTATTTTTATTTCATATATTACAAAGTACACGCCGAAAGGTGCCCCATGCAACAACCATTTTAGGGAAACCTCGCCTTTTTAAATTTCTATTTACGACAGTAAGCTAAATAAATAATACATATAACTACTTGGTAAATGAAATTTTATTTCCTAAACTACTCTAAGCAGAACTCAACATAGTGCATCAAAAAATCAGATTTAATGATTTTTCTCGATATCTTTCAAAGATGTTCGAGGATCCAGGATCCATAACAAAGGCCAAAAAATGACCTCGCCTGAATTAGGAGTTACCTCAATCTGATCATCATTGCTCCTTTAATACTAACATAAAAGTTACGAGCAAGTTTGAAAGAAAAAAAGGAAAAACATATTTGTAAAACGATGTGAATCCTCATTTACTTTTTAGTGATTATTGTATTATATAGGAACAAAAGTTATGTAAAAGCCCTCAAATTTAAGGAAGAATACCCTTCCAAACTGCGAAAGGCGGGAAATGAACTAAAAAATAAAATTAGTTTCGTCAGCACCTTCCCAATTTAAGGCTGTCGCGAGTAATTTGGACTGACATGCGGAAACACGAAGGTATATGCACGAGAGAGCCTGGGTTATATTTCGAACAAGAAGGCACGCTGGAAGGGGTCAGACTCCTCCTTCGAGCGTGTCTCCTGCGTTCTATTCGGACAGCTGTAAGCCTGGCCGACATAAAACAAATGCAAACAGAAATGTACAAAGCAACCCATTTTTAAGCCATGTTGGAAAACAAACCATTTCACTTTTCAAAAAGGAAAATTATCACTATGGAAAAAACACAAAATAATTGAAACAGAGCGTAAAATGCATGTCGGTGAATATTAAATTAATCAGACGTATCCATTTTTTAGTCCGGGTCATTGTTACACTACTTACTTACATGTAGCCTAAAGCAAGAGAAGAGAAAGTTTTCATTTTTATTAAATCAGAGGAATATCATATTGAAGCGTGTACTGGAGAACAATTTTGAGTTAAAATTTACTGTGACTGACACTGCACCCCTCCTCTTGGTGGGCCATAGTCTTCATCATCGTCATGAAAGCCCTGAAAAGCAAATAAACCGTCATGCAGTTAGATTTACTAAAGGAAAAGGACTCTAACTGACATCTTGATGACAAACTTATCCCCCTTTCCCACCAGAAAAACACCTTTAGTTTAATCTACACTAGGGGGTAGTCCCTCCATTTCGGCGAGGTTCGTGGTGCGAATCAGAAAAATAAAAGATGAAAAAAAAAGAAATTAACGTTGGCACGCCACATGGACCTCTGGAGGCGAGGCGCACGTAAAGTACCTAATTTTTGTGCGCCTCTCTCTCAAACTTCCGCGCGGCGAGCTAACATCAGTTTTTTTTGTCAATTTTTTTGACACGTGAAAACAGGGGGGACTGCTCGTACTCTAGGTTTAACCAGGCTTGGCCAAATAAAAATCAGATAAAGAAAGCTGAAGAACTGGATTTTAAATAGGGTTCAAGTAATCACCCGCATGTATTTTCCACTGTGCTAAACTTGAAGTCGAGAAATACGCAACTGTGAAGGACACACCCTATTTCGCGAAACATATTTAAAACGTGTTATAGCGTTGCAGTGAATGGGGTAATCATATTTAGGTTAAAACGGGCGATTTAAGTGATCATATGTCGGTTTAATGGAACCATTCTCAAGAAAGCTTACGAACAAAGGCTGTTTACATACAAAAATTCAATAGCTATGAGAAATCTGACGTTCAGATGCAGTGATGCAAAGATACAAATACATACGCAGAGATGCAGCGTGAAATTCAGTGATCGGGAAGCTTGAGTGGAAACTCGATTCCCTTTTTTTACGCTTACCCCATGGTGCATACGACTTCTTGCTTGCTCCTGAGGGTCGATTTTTACAAGGTCGACTTCTTCTGCATCCTCAGGGACGAGACTTTCGTCTCTGGGAGGCAGCAGCTGCTCTAGTTTAGGGATTTCACCCGCAGAAAGAAATCCATCCGGAGGGAAGTTTATCTAAAACGAACACCCTAACATCAGTATGCATATCCTCCTTAATCTTTTCTACACATTTCTTGTGATAGACAAGGAGAATTTCTTTAAAAATACAGAGCTTATTTAACTGGCGATCATTTACTCAAGTGTCATACTGTCAACATGACGTAACAAATGCTCTTGATCTTACCGAAAATGTTATGATGAGAAATCCTCTCTCGTATGGGCTCTTGAATTTTGGCATTCCTTCATCTCGAACACATTTCACTTCGCCTGAAATGAAGACAACAGGTTGTCTACTTGTTGGAGCAGTTCACATCTTTGCAGATAGTTGTTGTACTGAACGCGTGGCAACTCAGTGCAGAAGTCCAAAAGCTTAAGTTATTGAGAAGTAATTGACAGATTTTGACTCACTAAGTTTTTTTGTTCAAGAAATACCACGGAGCAGTTATCAAGAGCGGGGAAGCAAGAAAAGCGCTTCGAGCTAACTTCGTGCTAGCTAACACAACTTTTCCCTTCTTTTGCTCCTTTTACTGATTTCTGCGAACGTTTCATTTCATTTTTTCGCTTATTTTGCGAGACAGCACTGTTTCTAATGTTTTACCAAGAAATTTTGCGCGGGAAATTGGCGCGGGGCCGACCAAAATTGATTCCCACGCTCGAACTTCCCCACACCCCGGAAAAAAATTCCCGCCCGTAATTCTGGTTACATGAATACTTGCCAGGTTTTATTATCTCTGTAGGATGAGACGTAACGAGCAGTTGCCTCTTATCCAACATTTCTATCGTTTTCTGAAAGCCACAGAGTGCCTCAACCAGCTCGATTTCCTGCAAAAGAATTGAAATCATTACATAGGTATAGAGACTCCAACGCACAATCTTCCTAATCTAATTTAGAGTGTGACAGAAGATTACCGATATGGGTTTCCAAGAAGTGCACACCACCACAATATAACAATTAACATTTGACAAAAAAAGAGTTTATGGGACCCTTTTAAACCTGCATAACTGTGCCCGTTCTGAGCTCAGTTAAAAAAAGACGGGGTAACGCTGTCTGGTAGGTAAGAGTTAACAAAACAAAATGCGCTATCCACCAGATAGCAATTTATCCAATGGATGGCGTTATCTACTCCTCGAACAGCGGGCCATGATCATTAACATACCATTTTCATATGCAGGTCCATGTCATCTCGCCGGAAAACTGGATGAGGCTTTTCGTCAAGAATGATAATGATGTCACCTGGTTCAACACCAGGTTCCTGGTCTCCCTCTGAGGAAAATGTGATCTTTTGACCATCTTTCATTCCTTTGTCGATATGCACCTCCAGGATTTTACGTTCTTTGACTGTCTTTTTACCCTGACAGTTCTTACAACGATCCTTTTCTACAGAAAGAACACATTGCAGTGGTTATTACTAATTTGTTGAATGATTTACTGTGTAATAGTTTCATATCTCAGGAAAAAAAAAACAACGACAACAACAACAACAGCACACAACGAAGCAAAATGACTCTACAACTCTACTGACATTCCTGAAGCATTCAAATAATAATACAATGCTTTAACATGATTGCAACATTCTATAAGTAACCTCAAATCTTGCATTTGGCCTACATTTTAATAAAAACATCTGCCAATTTGCTTTACTGTTTTAAGCTTAGCTTTCACAACAAAAGTAATTCTTACTCTTCAGTAAGTAACCTTAAAACCTGCACACCAAAAAAGAAACAATCACCATTCCACCAATTTGCTTTACTGATTTCAGCTTAGCTTTAAGTTAAAAAAGATTTTCACACTTCTTTATGGAAACTTAAATCCTGCACTTAGCCTTCGACAACAAAAAACACATCACCATCTAATTGTTCTGCTGTTTTGTGCTTAGCCTTCGAGATAAAAATGATTCTTAATCTCAAGGGAAGCAACCAACCCTTAAGGAATGCAGTGATACAAAATACTCAATATTTCAGTGCCCCTCCACACCCTTATAAGGTGGGTACACAAATAGATGAGTACACAAGTGCTGTTGAAAATACTTGACACAATGCTTAGAGGTAACTTGCTATGGTCTGGCATTCAATTCAGAGAGAGGATCAATACTTCTGGGAGGACAACCCTATCCAGCAGGTAAATCGCTACCCGGCAGAGTAGTGTTAAAAAAAATGCACTGCCCCATCCACTAAGTAGAGATTTGCCCAGTGGTTAGCATTACCCCAACCTTTCAACAACTGGTGCTAGGCATGGTGGACATGGCACTGTGCATTTTCTGAACACTTATCCTCTGGATAGCCATTTATCCATTGGATAATAACATCACTTGACCCTTAAAAACTGGTTCTTGGTCCCATCCAGCTTGAAAAACTACAGTTATCTCCAGCCACATGGGTCACCAAGCTTATGTGCAGCATGCAATTACCTGCTATTCTCTCTCCTGTTCCACTGCAGTCCCTACATTGTGTCTGAATTTGCTGAACCATCCCAAGTGCAATTTGATTGATCCTGACCCTGGTTCCACTGCCATGACAAGTATTACAACTTACAACTGAACCCTGCAAACAGCAAAATGTTCCTGGTTATGATTGCTGCTTATCTACACAACCCCCTTCAAATTGATCCAAATATCAACTGTTCTATGCTAAGGAATCATGCCTTTGTGTGGTTTAATATGCGCTTACATGTATTATTATTATTTGGCTGTTTGGTTTATGGAAATATTAGTACATTTGGTCATTTGATTTATGAAACTTGCTGCCATTATCAATTATGAGCAGCCTCACCACTTTGAGGGGAAAAAAAAAACAACAACAATAACAACAAAAACAACTTAAACAAAATTTTTATTAGGAAACCTTTTTAGTTGATGAATATAATATGGAATGTAGGACAATTCAGACTGCCTTTTAAATTATTACCACAGAATAAATTATCCTTCTCTATTATGATTAAAATTATTATAATTTTAACATAATTGATAAAATTTCAAATCAGTGACCCAGTAAGCTCAATGGAACACTACTGCAACACTACTTCTAAATATTGTGGAAATGGTAAGTTTTCAAAAAAAATTTCTACCAGTAATACACACCCTCTTTCCTCCTCTTCCCTCGCACTTGCTACAGATGACATTTTTTTGCAAAGCAAGTTGTCTTGTAGAACCATTGTACATGTCTTCCAAGGACACCTGGCAAAAAAAGAAAAAAATGCACATGTATACTGAATATAATGTACAAAGAGTGCTCATGAATTAAATACTATTAACAAAACATTGCTATTGTGAAATGATAAAAAAAATGAAAACCCCACCCAGCAGTTTGTGCTCAATGAATACAGGTCTGGGCCCAGTTTTTCAAAAGCTGATTAGCGCTAACCAAGGGTTAAATTTTAATCTGGGTTTCTATACTTCTTTGTTCGATAGCCTTTCTGAGATCATTTTCTCTTCTCTATATAGAGCATCCAATCATCAAAATTGTTGACAAAAAGAATCATACTGAATTTTCCTTTAAAACTTCCAGAACTGAAATCCAATTTCACACTAAACCCAGCTTTGAACAACCCAGCCCTGAACACTAATAGTGAATGCATGTTCTTCAGTTGAAGGCTTCTTTTAATCCTTTGATTCCCACAAGTGATTATCAAGTAGTTTCTCACTATAATACCCTTCAATAATTCTGCAAACAGTTGACGAGGATGCTCTAACTTATTAGGTTAATGTTGTTAACTGGATCTAACACCAAATTCTTGTGATCAATTTAAAAGAAAATGTGTAGCAGCTAGAGTAGAGAATCAATAATTAGATCTTAGGAGTTTGCAGGTTAGAACAAATAACCCACTACATATATTCTATGTTCTACTTTAGTTTGCTTACAGTTATTTACCATCTAGTACCAGCACAACAAAGGTAGCACAGTACAAGTTGAACACAACATCAGAAATACACATTAACTACAAGCTTTTCATGAACTTTCCCAGTTTTTTTTAATACATCTCATGACCTGTGATGGAGAAATTAATTTCAAAGTGTTTGTGCCACTGAAACATTCTTTACTTTGCAAGTTCTCCAAAGATGTGTCTTAAGTAGTTTCCCTTGCCCCACAAACAATCCCTGACCTTTCAGGCCTAAAAATGACATTTTATACTTTCAACAATGAAGAAATGTAAAATGGTTTCTGTGTTTACATAGCCTGATGTAAACACGCGGGAGGTTGGGAGAACTCTCGATAAGCTGGAAACCTCTCCGCTTTGCATCATGGTTTCCTACACTTATCTCATGTCCTCCCAACCTCCCGCGTGTTTACATCAGGCTATGTAAACACAGAAACCATTTTACATTTCTTTTATAAAATAACTAATGAAAGAGGAACGAAAACCGTGTTTAAATACGCTCATGTAAAATGGTTTTATGGCCAATCAGAGCACGCGTACTTTGTGAATTATTTTATAATGCTACATGTAACATTTTCCATTTCTGGTGCCTAAATAATTTTTCCTTGCAATGCAACTCTATCCCAGCTGTATACTACCACCTTAACCCTTTAACTCCCAAGATCTGATTGTTAATTCTCCCCAATGGCTGCTACACATTTCCTCATAAATTAATTGCGAGAATTTAGTGTTAGATCAAGATGACAACTACTACCTGATAAATTTGAGTATTCTCATTACCTGTTTGCTGGATAATGTGTGAATATTATAGGGAGAAGTTACATGTTCATCACCTCTGGGAGTTAAATGGCTACAGACCTCTAACAGCGGTCTGTTTAGCCTGCAGGCAGGCTCTTGTGTTTGGGTTTCACCTTACAACACAGCTGCCTATTTCCCCATCCACAGCCACTTAAAATCTATTGAAACCCCGGTTCAACACATGTTTCTTGAGTTCACCAATTTCTAAGTTTCACAGTAAATTTGTACCTTCTTTTAGAAACAAATTTTATGGACTTTTCCAGGACTTAGATTGAATTTTCTAGGACTAAAAATTTCACCTCAATCCCTTTCATCCCCAAGATTTCAAAATCAGTTTTCCAAATGCTTTAGATACCATTGTTATAACTTCAATTCTGAAATCTTTAGAGTTCTTGAGTTAAGCAGATTTCCAGGACAATCCAGGATCTGAAATCACTTTCCAATGTCAATATCATATTCCATGACTTTCCAGATTTTTCAGGACCCATACAAATCCTGCCAACAGCTAAACACATTTTGAAAACGTTTTTCAGGATGAAATTTCATGATTAAGTGAGCCACGTGTACCTTGAGCTGGTGTATCATATCCTTTCCTTTACGTTCTTGACGTGCTCTGGGATGTCCATGCCCTGTGCCAAAGAACATGTCAAAAATATCCATTGGGGAATGGAACCCACCAATGTCCGGACCACCATTAAGAGCTTCTTCTCCTCCTTCATCATAAATGCTCCTTTTCTTTTCATCGGACAATACTTCGTAGGCATGGGAAATCTGCTTAAACTGTAGAAAAAATCAATAAAATAGTTCAATGAATTTGCATCCCATACACAGATATCCTTGTTTCTTCAACCTGTTAAGATTGTCAACCATTAGAACAATCTGCCCAAGTCAGTTCCCAGGCACTCAATTTTAGTGGGTTTTAAGTACCTCCTATTGCTTTGAGGAGTTTATTTTAAGATTCCACCATAAACACTCCATTTTTGAGGCATTCTTTACATTTATGTGATTCTTTTTGTAATTCCTTTAGAAGTGCTTTGAATAAAACTCATGTGTGCATACATTTATGAATGCATATAACCTGTGATAAGATAAATAATTTTTCAAAACCAAAACCAAACCACAAAGTTTGATGCAAACAGGAACTATCATGAATAGCAATGTCATAATAACCTGAAATTTATTAAGTTCTGAGTTATATCAAGATTAACCCTTTCACTCCCAGATTTCCTTTGTAATTCTCCTTATTTTCTTTCATACAATTCTTCTAATGTTAGTTCTGAGAAAATGATATTGGATCAACTAATAATCAGCAAATTGACATATTTTTTTAATTCTCATCACCTGTCTGCTTAACATTGTATTGATATTGTAGGGAGAAATTCTGTTTTGGTCACCCATAAGAGTTAAAAAGTTGACTCAGTAACAGTCCAAAGCTGCACAGTTTTATTTACCCTATTGTGTAATTGAATAAGTCACAATGTCTTGCTTTTCTAGATACAAAAAAGTAATGCATCTTTATAAGATATATGCTAAATATTGTGAAATGAGCATGGAGGTTAGGCTGCAGCAATTCTTAATTATTTGAAAATAAACCTGATTGAAAAAGAACTATTCATACAATGACCATTCAACTGATTAACTTGCAAACTAAATCATTCAATTAAACAAATAATTTATGAAAAATTACTCAGTTCTGATTGGCTAAGATAAATGCAGTTTTCAGGTAATTCAATGAAGAAAAGCATTAGTTCAGTGCAAAGAAGTAACAAACCAGACTGAACAATTCCTTGAACTGTTTAGCCAGACTTTGAACAATTTTGTGCCTTAAAATGCTAAAAATATCATCATATATTATTGTTTTGATTGTACACAGTTGTTTTGACCATATGCGCAAGGTCACTTTGCCGCCCTACGTGCCACACGGCATAATGAGCATGAGTGAGTGACAAGGTCACTCCCACAGTTTGAAGAAACTATTTTTGCACTTGATGTGCGTGCTTTGCTTCTACAGGCTCTACAGGCAATTAGTCTTTCAAAAAATTTACTTGTGCTCATTTATTCCAAATTGGACTCAAAATCATGTGATTACCTATAAAAACAAGATGTCTGGCAATAGCAAATGTGAACAGTAAAAATATGTGTGGAGCAAGTTTACACATTTGCCTATGTCTAGGACTCAATTATTTTGAAAATGATGAGTGCACTGAGCCCAGTATAATTTACTTAAGAAGTGATCTTAAACATTTTGGAATGCTATTTCCTGCAACAGTGACAGAAGCTATGGGTCATTTGGGCTGTAATCAGAACATTAACCATGTACTCTTATGTGCACATTTAACAATTTCCATTTTTGTTTCACATTAAGATTAACCATTGCTATGACAAAAAAATTAAAACCTCTCAGGTGTTAAGAAAACATCTCTTGTATATGGAGATGAATTCACCCCTCACAAACATTGCCTTGTACATAAATACAGGAAAGGTGAATATCTTGCAGTTTTTGGGAAGCAGAAATTGCTGCTCCTCAGTCACTACATGTTTAAGTTTACATTTAAATGGCCTCCTTCTAGTTTTAATTATCTTTCATTTTATTTTATTTACTGTCTCTTGAGATCAACTAAAACATCACAAAACGGCTGGCAAGAATAAATTTAACCAGCAGAATGTGGCAAGCTAAAGACTACCCAGAGTTTTCAGCTTCCCTTCTGTGGTAGATAATATCTGCAGACAAGCATCTTTACAAATATCATTTTAAGTCAGACAATTAAGTTTCAAACATGAAACTGAAAATTGTTTGACTTATGCTGTAAATCTCTTGATGGTTTCGTTGTTAAAAATATTCTTTCTAGTAAACACACAAGCCTTTAGAGTATGATAAAGCTATCTCGGCAATTTCACTTTAAATACATTTCTAACAGTTTCAAAAAATATCCATACCTCTACCGTAAATATTTAATCAACGCTTAAATTAGAAGAATATGTAATGCGCAGTCAAAGATTCATTTCTGCAACGGCCAAATTTAATGCGAACTGCTTACACATGAAAAGACACATCTGTAAGTCGTAGCTAACCGCACTACAATTGGATAATCAAGACGTGCCTTTTAAACTAAAGAGGATTAAAAAGATTTAACTCTGATTACAGCGTAGTTTTTCGATAATAAATCGAATGAGCGTACACACTTCATACAATTAAGATCCACTGGTAGCTACGAGTTAGATCTGTATTGATCAAACTATGTAGATGCAAACAAAGTCCTTATGTATTTTAATCAATCAACAAAATCTTTATTTACAATTAAGGAACACTGGACTAGAATCATTTTTGTGCTATCATAAAATAGCAAAAATACTGAATACGGTACACATTTCTTGAAAAAAAAAGGTGCATTGTGAAGAAGTAAAGCCCAAAAGTAAACCTCGAAAAACTGATTGCACAAGGCTAAATGTTACTTACTTTGTCGCCGGCATCTGGATTTTTATCCGGATGATACTTCAAGGCGAGTTTACGATAAGCTTTCTTAATTTCACTTGGGGTAGCAGACGGATCTACGCCAAGAGTTTCTGAAAGAAGAATTAGGGATCAAATTCTACATTCCTGTTACAATTGCCTCTCACAAGATCCGTTGTCATGCGTCCATGCGGACCGGAGCACACCCGGCGAATAATTATCTTGACGATCTCCACATTAAGGACGAAAATTTTGGAAGAAAACAACACTAAGCTAACTAAGTAAGAGTTAATTCAAAATTTTACCGTAAAGTGTCGTCTCCTTGACCATAACTAAGGCCGAAATTGGATTTCTCTCAAAGAGACTCTAGTTCCTCGTGAAAATAATCAGTTTCTCTTCGTATTCCGCTGACGCATGTGTGCTGGGCATTTCGTAATACTAGATCCAGTACTAAACATCCGTATCTACCGCATTGGAGTCTTGGCCCCAGTTTTGGTCCCAATCCGAGAGCACGATTAGCGACTGCAAAGAAAAAGACCCAAGCATAAACACTCATACAAATAAAATTAAAAAAAGAGAGAGAGAGAGACAAAAAGAGGAAAAAAGAGAGAAAGAAAAGTAATAGTCACTTTACAAAATAGATTAATCATCGATCAATTTGGGGCTTTTCTGACACAGAGATTCACGTCTGTTTTAGTCCTTTAACTCAGATCTGATCGATCAGAACAAAAATTCCCTGCTCATGCACAACATATTCTTCTCAAATGCTCAGAGGAAAACGGGGAATCTGGATGCAAATTAACTGAAGCTGAAGCAAAGAATGTGTTTTGGGTTAAAATTGAACCGGACTCATCGTCTTTTTATGTTCCTTTTCCTGCAGGATGAGGCCTCGAGGGACGAGGGCCGGCGATAAGTCTTGAAGCGCCAACAATGAGGTGTGGTCTCGCAGGCCACCGGTTTCCTGAATCATAGTATGGATGTGTTGTAATCATGAAGACCGCATTGGAGTTGAACTTGCGTATAAGACAGGAGCTCTACACTATCTCTATAGGCAATTTGCAATAGCTCAGTGTCAAAGAAATTGTTCCGTTTGCCGACTACAAGAAATATTATTTCCCGTCGAGGTTGGAGACAAATCTTCGTCATTAGAGGTGTTATTACGAAAAAATTGATTTAGATACGATATTTGATTGTTAAAAAACTCGAAACGTCTTAAACACAAAACAAAACCGAGTGGGAACTCGAGAAAACAAAAATTGCAAAACTCAATTCAACTTCGAAAACAAGTATCCCAGATTGTGTCAAGTTCAGTCTCTGAATATGATTGGCTAAATAATCAGATCACGAGCGTGGCGCGTGAACACAAAAAAGATTCAATGGGGGAGGAGAAGAATAAAACACGAAAAAAGATTCAATGGGGGGAAGAAGAAAATTGTTGTCCGAAATCAAGAGATGATCTATCCTCCCTTGATTTCGAACAATACATTCAAGAAAGTGCTGAAATTTTATTGCAAACTACCACGCTCTATTAAGAGTACTATACCATATCAGTGGAGATAGGCGGAATTTTTTTAAGTATAAGATAAAAAATGTTAAATCCACTTTATAAGTTTGATAATGCTGTGTGAAGATCTAAGGAAAACAAACACTTTCGTTTTTCGCTTACTTAACCCTTTAACTCCCAAGATCTGACTGTTAAATCTCCCCACCAGCTGCTACAAATTTCCTTGTAAATTGGTTACAAGAATTTGGTGTTTAATCAAGATAACATCTTGTACCTGATAAGTTAGGTTAATCTCACTACCTCATTGATGGATAATGTATGAATACTATTGGGAGAAGTTATATGTTAATCACTTCTGGGAGTTAAAGAGTTAACGGGTCTGGATATTTGGAGGCAAGCCGACTTTTCCAAATTACCCGGGTTTTGTCTCGTTACCAAAGTGAATTGTAGTTGATTTCTCTTTTTTTCGAATGAAAGTGCAATTTCATCCGAGAAAGATGTGTACCACCAGCGCGGGACAAAGAAAAACCTGGGAGTCCCCTACAGGAATCAAGCGTCAGACCTTCGTTCTGATCGGCCAGTAAAGATTTGATTCCTGTCCGACACTTAATCAAAAGAGTGTCAAGGATATCAAAATCATCATCTATATGTTGACTGTTACTTTTACAATTGAAAGAGAAAATGATTCAAAGTCAAAACACTGGGAAATTTTTCGTGATCAAGACTTGATATAAAACACCTCGTAAGCACTGACGTTCAGTCAGTCATCAAATGCACCAGTATTTCTCGCTTTCCTGTGAAGCCGATTCGTCCGTGCTGAACAGTCAGATTATCCAACACTAACAAATCACCCTTCCTCCACCGAAATCCAACTGCGCATGACCATGACACAGCCCTCAAGTGTTGGATCACTTCAGGCTCGATGGTGCTACCGTCTCCATAATAGACCGTACATGGATATTTGTGGGGCGGGAGCTCGATGCTCTTGAACATTGGCAATGAGTCATAATAGGTATGATGGTGGATTGTCACTTGATTAAACCAGATATCTTCTCCCGTTTTCGGATGACGAAGGAAGGCAGGCTTCACGTTGGACCAGTGCATATCACCGTTGTCGTCCCATATAACCGTGTCATAAAGTTGCTTGGCTTTCTTTTCCGCCTCCTTAATAGATAAAAAGAATGAAAACGAGCCGTACTTTGTATTTGTGATTTCTAACTAAGACTAAGAAAAAAAACCAAAAGATATTTTAAAACATCACCAGTTTGTACAATTGAGAATAAATTCAGAGCGTCAGTTACATTAGTACCCAGATCCTCGAACTTTTAGCAGTGGGAAATTGAGTTAAAGACAATTTTACACACTTTGACCCCCGCACTTTAGTTATCTCGAACGTTTTTTTCTATGCCTTGGAAGTTTGAGCTTCCACGTTTCCACAAAAATTTATGATTTTGTCTTTCTTCTCTTGCAATTTTAGATAACACTCTCGGTCTTAAAAATTTATTCCCGCTGTGAATGACAAATACGCAATCAAAGATAACGAACGGGTACGGTTGTCAGTATCGTTTTTCATGCCAATACCTCTTTATTATCAGTGTAATACTGCTGCTGCCAGCTCGCGTATTCTGCGTGAGATTTGTCGGGCCAATAACCTGCGTACTTCACTCCTTTACTTTGAAACTTCCTCACGACTTCAGGATCCAGTTTGAGAAGAATTTCGCTGCTTTTGGCAAGCGGTGTCTCACCACCACAACCGTCTGCGGGCTCTTGCAAGCAAAAAAAGAACACCTGTAAAGAAAGAGACTCCTAATGTAAAAGACTAATAGCAAAGATAAATACATAAATAAATAAATGGAGAAATAAATAAATAACCTAATCAATAAATCAATAATAAAAACATTCCTATTCGAATCTATTTTTACAAAATCTCTTTCGTTTTTAAATTTCAAGTAACATTTTTTCTCTTCCTTTCCTCATTTTGTAATCTTTTTCTAATCACGCGCGGCGTGCGTGTTTTCACAAATTAGCCAATCACATCAAAGAACTCTAACCTTGACATTGGAAAACTGACGTGGACGCTTTTCGCGTATTTTTGTATGTTTGTTTTTTACCGAGTTTTGTTAGTTGTTTCGTTCGTGCAAATTTGGTACCCCTTTTTTTTGGAATCTTAAGACATTTCGGAGTTTTTATTTTATCCAAATGTTGTGGTTCATTTAACACATTAATTACATATTTTCTACGGAGTTTGGACTCCGGCCTCGCTTTTCGTAAATGGATTTTTTACACTATTGTGCCAATAGCTGCTCAAGAGCAAGACATCTAAAACTGACAACAAAGTGACTCCTGTAACTATGGTAATATTGTTCAACTTGTCAAACGATAAAATTAACCATATCTGATCTAGAAGCATTACCTAAGAGAGATATTATCTTGGTGTTGGGAAAATGAATGGAAATAGTATATTAGCATAATCATTCAGTTAAGAAATATTGCAAGTCAGTTGATAATTTCTTATTTTGCCTAGCGGTCTAACTTTGTAAGTAGAGTGATTTTCATCCTTTCTTTCGGAGAGAAAAAAGTCCATTTAACTCCACAAATGTTTATCATATTAAGCCGTTATTGATTTTAGCCAAATTCTATATTTTCCTATCGCGAATTTGACATGAAAGCAGATGTTTAGTTTTGACAGTAATTGGGACTTGCGGCGAAATATATTTCAATCCGCTTGACGAAGAAGAAAGTAATTTGATCTGGTAAAAGTTAATCTCGAACAGGAATTTCCTGGAAAATTCCTCCTACTCATATTTTCGATTATTTTCAGGCTCGTTTTGGGTTAATATAATGTCGAAATCCCAATCAGAAAGTAATTTTTAATTTTCAATTTACCACCTTCAACACCTCTTTCTGGAAGGTGACTAAAGTGGTCAACAACGTGCACTTTTCACCTCCCGCCCTGAATTTTTAATCAGTTAACTTACAGAAAGAGAGAGCTGAGAGAGTTTTATAGTACCTTTGATGGAAAGGAACTACTATATGCCATTTCATGATGCAATTCGATCGTTACAGCTTGATCTTCAGTTGTAGCTTGGTAGATCTCAGAGTTTTCTATGGCACGCGGCCTAGGAACGTTACCACCCACATAACTCAGAGGTTTCCCCTTGATAGCTTGGGTTATAGTCAAGAAATCTTCTGCCGTTTTTGCAGGTAATCCGCGGAACACGATCGCAGGGCTTTGAGAGTTGTTTTCCTGCACGTATTCCATACATTTTGCACTCAACTCTCCCAGAGAGAACTGATTCCCGTTAATGATACGCAATCCGAGGGGGAAAGAGTCACCTGGTACTCCTAAGAACTCTGGGAAACCTCCATCCACAGAGCCAGAGAGGAACTCCCTGTCTCGAAGCCCCGACCTGATATTCGGCACCAGCTCCTCTCTAGGTATTCGTTCAAAAATGCTGTCTTTGGTCGAAGACGTTTGGGATGACGAGAAACATACTGACATTTTTCTGACTGAACGCCAAAGGGGATTAGACAGTCTCCAAACCGAGGAAAAGACAAGGGTCGACATGTCCTACGTCATCAAAATACAATGATTTCTTGTTTGGTTATGTAGCTTTTCACCCTTGCGTGACCATTTACCGTCACAGACGTGATTTCCAGAGCGGCCCTGTTAGAGGAAAACAATACAGATAACGAATGTGAAAGGGATAGTTATAGAAATGAACAGTACTTAGGCAGTAGTGAAAATAAGGCCTGAAAAAACGTACCCACGAACGTTTTCGCCACTGTGAGAAACTTTATCACCAGGCGGTGTGCGCACTCCGATTGCGTTGCATTGTGGTAGCTTTAATTTCAATATGGCGGTGAAAGTAGCAGAATTCGGCAGATTTTGACTGAACATTTCGTAAAAGTTAGGCTGTTCCTTTTTTCTTGTACTATAGGTAAATGTAATTTGATTTATTCTAAATGTGTAAAAGTATTTTTCGTTCGTATTTGTCGCGTATTCTATGGTTCTCAAGGACAAACGCGATCACTGTTTTTTTTGTATGTAATTTAAGACCAGATTTCAAGAAGATCAAAATTTGATGTACGTCGTAGTTTGGAGCCTTTCAAAGATTTGGATGGCTGCTTTGATCCTTCTTTAACAGCTCTGAAACGCTCTCCAACGGTACATGTGTTTCTCGCATTTTAATTGCGGGTGTTTGAGACCGATTATGGCCGAGAAAAGGCTTATTGTTGCGTCACACAGCGTTACTATTATATACTCAATTGTGTTGTAAATCTACTTTCCTAAGTAAAAGGAAATTAACTTATCGCGAGTGTTGTATGGTAAATCTACTATCTTGATCATTGAATGAAGGACAGTTGAATCTGAGCCATGAACGGAATCACTTGATCAGTTTATAACTCTTCAATGCGCGCGGCGACACGCTTGGTACGCCGGAAAGCAAAAGGTAGTCGATCGTTAAAAGGTGTTGATTGCTTAGGCGACTCCTGCCATTCGCTTGCGCTTTTAAATATATATAACAACTTTATTTAAATAATAACATATAACATATTATTATTAAAAAAGGGTTATAGAAGGGAGGAACTTAATCCTCATTGTAAACTATACCCCAGATATAAAAATTTAATACTATGCAATATACATATACATACTGAAACATTTTACATACAGGCATATATCTATATAAATATAAAATCTAAATAAAGAAGACATATCTAAGATAACTATTTTGTTTAAAATTATAACTAAATAATGTATAATACATAGAATAATTTAATTTTTAGTCATAGGCCTAGTTAAAAAATGTTGATTTAAGAGCTTTCTTAAAAGCATTAATTGAGTCAAGTTCAACTACTGATGACGGTAAACTGTTCCATGTGTCGATATGTCTGTGCCAAAAAGAGTACTTAAAGATGTCTGTACGGCAAAATGGTTTATATAGTTTAAACTGATGACTTTTTCTTGATTGCCTGTTACTGAAGGATATGTAATTATTAGTGTTTACAGAAGAGTGTCCTTTAATGAACTTAAAAAGCTGAACCAAACTAAGAAACTCTCTGCGCTGAACGAGTGTCGCTAGTTTCAAGGATTTCAGTCGGTCTTCATACGGAGTGTCTTTATCAATGATCCATCTTGTAACGTTCCTTTGCACGCATTCAAGTTTTTCAATCAGATATGCTTGGTGAGGATTCCACGCTTGACAAGCGTACTCGAGTATTGGACGGATCATGGATCTATAACCAGTAAATAGAGCCCTAGAGTGAGATCCAAATGTCCGCTTGAGTAAGCCCAATAATCTGTTCGATCTTGCAACAACAGACAGTACGTGGGGTTTCCAAGATAAATCACTGGAAAGAACCACCCCAAGATGTTTGTGTGTAGATACTTGGGTAAGTAGCTTGCTATTAATAGTATAGTTGCACGGAGAGGGAGTTCTAGCCCTGGTGAACTTCATGGACTCACATTTGTCAGCATTTGTTCCTAAAAGCCACGAGCCACACCAATCAGTGACTTTATCTAGACTCTCCTGGGCAGTGATGGACGTTTTAGATGGAGTACAGTAATTATAGATTAACATATCATCAGCAAACATTTCTGCAGGACTTGATAAAGATTCAGGGATGTCATTGACGTATAGGATAAATAACAGGGGGGCAAGAATGCTCCCCTGTGGAACACCAGATGTGACAGGCGCCCAGTCAGATTGGCAGCCCTCGATTACAACACGTTGAGATCGACCTTGGAGAAAATTGGATAGCCAGGAAAGTAGAGAGCCGGTAATGCCAAAGCGTTCTAGTTTGAGTAGAAGACGGTCATGAGGAACTGAGTCGAAGGCCTTTTCGAAGTCCAGAAATATTACATCGGTAGAGAGGCGTTTATCTAGTGCTTTGGCCCATTCATGGAAAAGGTGTATCAACTGAGAGGTACAGGAGTATCCAGGACGAAAGCCATATTGATGACTACTAAGTAGATTATTTGATTCAATAAATCCAAAAATGCGATTGTATATCAGTCTTTCTAGGGTCTTTACAATCAGACTCGTAAGAGAGATAGGACGATAATTCTTGACTAGATCTTTTTGGCCCTTTTTGAAAATTGGAATGACGTGAGCAGATTTCCATTCCATAGGCAAGGTGCCAGATTGGAGTGAAAAGTTAAATAAATTTGTCATGGACTCTGATATAGCTGGTGCAGCCTCGCGAAGCATACGCGCTGATATCCCATCCGGACCATGAGCTTTTGTAACGTTTAAACCAATGAGCAATTTCTCGACCTCAGATTTAGAGCAAAGTAGACTTGAGATGACTTGATCAGTAAAAGGTTGAAGATCGTCACGTAACTTCTCAGGAATACCAGGACTCTCTATAAAAACCGATGAGAAGAAGTTGTTCTTAGCTGTTATTAGGATGTCTTTTAATGACTTCCGTTTACGATGTGATATTAAGGGTTAGTTTTAAGGTGTCATTTCCCCATCTGTATGTTATTGAGGTTTGGCAAAGCTGGATGAGATTGTGTTACAACTGAACAACTTTCTAAAATGGGCTCTTTTCATCAAAGTAAGCGGTCAGATAACAAGTGATACACGGTGGAAGAAAGGTGAGGTATTTTTATTGAGAATTTGACGTATTTTTTATTCCTTAGAGCGGTCGTAAATATTCCCATACAAACTGTCAAGAACTGTCAAAGAATCTATTGATGTCCACATATCAAACTCACGGGGTACAAATAGTCTTAACATGAATATAGTGACCACGCCCACTTCAACGCCCCACTCAAATCGAGTGTAATTTTCGAACATTTTACCATCGTGCGGATTCTCTACGGAAAAAGCACTCAATGTACCTCTGAAATATTAAACTATAATATTGTGGCTTTCTATTTCGCTAATTTTCTAACTTGAACGTAAAGTTTTTCCCTTGTCATTTTAACCTTTTCTCCGAGCGGTTGCGTGAAATTAACAAGGGGTTTTTTTTCAAAACACAACCGAACGAAGCGTCTCGGGCGATATCTTTTTTACGCAAGCGCAATTTAAAAATGTACCGCCTGAATAAAAAAGAGGAACAAATTTCCTTTGTTTTGATATGTAAAGTGTCGAACAAAAAGCAGATTTACCCTCGTCAAATGGCGTTTCAAAACAGCTGTATCTTCCTCCTTTTGATTTTTTCCTATTTGGTGAGCGTGAAAGCAGTAGGAGAGGGATCGGGAAACTCAGAAAGCACTTCGGGTATTAATCTGCCATTGTTTACTTACGAGATAAACAAGTAAGATTTGTGAAGTTCATCGCAGTATGAAGTCTAACTAAATGCCTTTTTTAAGCTTGTTCGCTGGATTTTTCGTAAACTTCCCTGATTAATTTTTCGTTTCAGCTTACTAATCTATACTATTTCAAAGCAAAGAAGTTTTCAGAGAAAACCATGAGTCGGTCGTTTCAATGATTGTAAACAAAGTGTTTGAGCAATCAGGTATACGAGGTATAATAATCAATAGCCATATATCAGAAGTCTTCAGAAAGAAAATATTCTGTTTTCAGAAAGCTGTCAAGAAAGCTAGTAATCGTGGCAATTAAATGCACTTCTTAGCAATTTGGAAACGGGCCCTCGGTATCGATTTAAGGTGTATTACAACGAGGTTGATGTACATCAGCTTAAAGATGAGAACAGCCAGTTGAGGGGAGAAAAAATAAAATTAGAAGAATCGTTGGTACAGGAGAAGGTAAAAACTACAGAGACATATGATAATCTGAGAGACAGCCTAGTAGACCTTCCAATGGAAATGTCAAACTTAAAGGAGATAAGTGCTAATAATTGCACCTATAAAATTGAATACTTTTTACGTGGATATTTGAAATTTTTAGCACTGTAATGCGGTTTAGGCAGGGCAAATGAGGATTATGCTTGTGTGTGGTGCAAGTGTCCCAGGGAGCAATGGTGGGGCACAAGCAAAACATGGTCAATTAATAGCAAGCAAGTTAAAATAGCAAGGTTTTCCACTGGAAGGAAATTAAACTGTAAGGCACAACCATTATTTGATTTTATACCTATGGACCTTGTCATCATAGATACATTACATTTTTTTCTGAGGATTTCAGATGTTTTGATTAACTTGTTCATAAGAGAGCTGAGAAGAAGTGATGCTATTGAGAAAAAAAAAACCTCTGATGGATTCCCAAGAGATAAATATAAACACATGGCATGTTATGAAGAATTTATCAAAAGTATGGGAATCACTTTTAATTTTAGAATCAACAAAGAGAGCAAAAAGCTGGAATATAGAGATCTTACTGAACCAGAAAAGTTGAAACCCTTTCAGAATATAAACATTCCGACCTGTGCTTGTCCCTCTTTGCAGTCAAAACAAAGACATACAAGTGATCTGGGCTAAATTTATGGACATAATTGGTGATTTGAGGCTAGATTTTACATCTGAAGAGGGTATTCTTGAACTGCAAAGAAATATCAAATCATGGTTTGAGCACTTTCTCAAAGTTTACCAAGCAAAAGATGTCACTCCCTACATGCATGCACTATGTTATCATGTTCCTGAGTTCCTGTCACTTTATCAGAACATAGCATATTACACACAGCAAGGCTTGGAAAAATACAATAATAGAGCTTCTAAAGATTTCTTCAGATCCACAATTCACAGAGGGGTTGATGCCCTCAAACAACTGTTTCTGAAGAAAAACAGGATTCAGTGCCTGGAGGCAGCAGGTTATAAAAGGGTTTAAGAACACCTACAACGATGAGCTTGTATTCAACGATTGGACTCCTTTGTCCCAGCCAATACTTAATAGTTCCTGGAATTACATAGGCAAAATCTTCACCTACATTTAAAATTCTTTCATCCCACTTCAGCCCCAGATATGAATCAAGCACCCTATTTGACTCCAATTGGTAAACCATCTTCCCTCTTTGAAGAACGCCGGGAAAAACACTCCCAAGACCTTCCATGAAAACATCTTGGTCAACATTAAGGCCTATGTTTATATCAGGGTCCTGACTCGCTGTCCAGACCAAAGCTTTTTCTTTATTTCACGAGCAAGTTGGCCATGGGACGATTCTTTTCTATCCTCTAGAGAGTTTTCCGAGGGAATGAACAGCTTTTCGCTGCGAACAAACGGAAAATATCCAGATCCTCTATCGGCCCTGAAGGGTGTCCATTCATCGAAGCATGTGCTATAGCCAACGTAATGAATTTTCAACCTCTCTTGTTGATTTTGGCAACCTCCCTGATCTCAATATCATACAGTTTTGTATCTTTCTATCGTGGATTCGCCTTTCTAACGGGGGTTTATGTTAAGTATTTGTTGCAAAATCACTTTGCTTTTTTTATTTCACTATTTAGCCTGTCCGCCATTTTGAAAATTCGCAACGGAGAGCATGTGCATGGTCGCGTACACCTGGAACCGAGAAAAAAAAATGTTCATCGCGCTGGGGAAAGAGTTTGATATGTTTCGTTCAAAACCGCGTGTTATAATTTTCTTGTTAGTTACAGTTTAGTCGTTGTGTATTTAGGGTCTTTCCTTAAAGTGGAGTCGTTTCGCGTTTGAAGAACACAATACAAACGTTTAAATACTCACAGAGCGTTGCGTTGTTCAGTTTCGATGGATGGTCAGACCGACCGACCGACCGACGGTTCGCACAATTAAGAATTGTAGGCTGGATTTTATGATCGTAGGGTTTGAAGTGATCACGCATAAGCTCGAAATACAAATTTACTTCCTGGGTGCGCTGGCCTGTAATGTTATTCTAAACTACTGCTGCATCAAAGCATAATTACAAACTAATGATAAATATAAAACCAACCTGAAAACAATCCCGCAACGGACCTTCTCTACCGTGCCTTTTAAAATGCAAATTTTGTAAATTCACACGGCTGCGTAATACACGCATCGACTACCTTTCGCCAACAGTAATAACTGTCTGAGGAATGTGACAATAGTCCATTTTACAGTTATGTGCTTGGTTGCCAAGCCTTTGAACAGGAGTGAGGCTAAGGGTGACCTTGTTATGATACAAACCTCGCTGCTTTTCTTGTTGTTATGCTAACTAGATACTGGTCTCTATCACAACAAGGTCACCTTCAGCCTCACTCCAAATCAAAGGCTTTGCAACTAAGTACACAACTGTAAAATAGCCCATTTTTGAAATACAAAGCTGCCTTTCAAAGTGTTGTTGGCTTCCAGACCAAACGGGAGAGAGAAACGAGAAATTCATACTCCTGTGTGCACGATGAGCTGCATGGACTGGGTACGAGATCAAATCGCGCATGGAGACTAGAGACCTCTAGATTCTAGGAACATTTCAACCGTGAGTACGAATTTAAAGTTAACTTTTGCGCGAAATCTAAGGGAAAATAAACTTTTTTAAACTCAGTGAGTAACAAAGCTTGCAGAGGTGTTGTTATCATAGTGAATTTGCCTTTTTGTGACTGAAAAGTTAAAAAAAAAAACTCCAACACGCTAGCATCTTACTTTTATCACTGCACACCAATACGGTCAGCCCACAAGAGAGGCAAGGGTATGTGACGTCACGTAAAATGTAAGAATTGGTTAAGGCTCGTCCTATAATCGTGACGGCTATTGCTTTCTTCCCGCCAAAAAAGCGACGTTTCGCACGCGCCCATTATCTCAATAAATTGGAAAATTCCACTCGAGGCTGTACCTGTCTTAGCGTTCAAATTGGTGTGTCTGATGTCGATAAGAAAGCGACACGAGTGAAGTCATCTTCTCTTAATGAATATCCATTAACACAATTTAGCCTAAAATTTCGTCATTTCTTTCTAAAACTTAAATCAAAGGATAAGTGACTGGTAGCGCAAAAGTAAGGTGCACAACAGAGTTCTTTTTCTAAAACTCCCCACTACTCCGGCTTCGATCGATCCATTTTGGATCGAAAGACTCCTAGAATTTCCATGAGGCGTAAATTCAGCATTTCTTATCTCTAACTGACCTTGAGAGCTGCTTAACAATGGATAATGCTTGTGAATATACAACTAATAGCTTATGCAGGTGTTTCTGGTGGTCGCTGTCTCATAGCACTGACATAGCACATAGAAGTTAAAAACATAACCGGTGCTGCTGGTCTAATCACAGTTCGCACATATCTGTAAGGTTACGCTCAGAAACGTGTGCAACAACCATTATTGCACAGAGGATCACAACACCGAAAGACGTTGTAGTTCATCTCTCTATAGTCAGGAAAAAATGAAGTTTTCCGTTGCTTTGATCGTAATTTCTGCAGCTTTCGCTGTATCGTTAGAGACCCAAAAAGGGACTTTAGTTGAAGAACTGACGGAAAATACCTTCGATAATTATCTTACGGTTTCAAACCTTGCAATTGTGGATTTCTTTGCACCGTGGTAAGTTTATTAATGAGTTATCTTTCTATTTTCAAGTGCATTTTCCCAAAATTTCATGACTGCAATAAAATCGCAATAGACATTTGCAAAAATTACATTCAACGAGAGCGAATTCGCCATTACAAGGTTCTTCAAAGTTCAGCGCCTTATAAATCATTATTTTTATGTAAATATGCAGGTTATAATTTTCGTTTGGGTTTACCAGTGAACCATAGCTGTTTATCATTCGTCTTTCCCACGAGGAAGATGAAAAAAAAAATAGCAGTTTGGCAAAAAACGGACACTTTTGAAATATTAAATTTTCTGTTAGATTCCCACGCCAGAACCCGAAATAGCTAACTTTAGTTAAATAAAATTTTTCAAAGGAGATCAAGAACCGAAAAAAGTTGTAGTCGTGTTCTCAGCCACATCGCTTAGCAAAGACTGGAAACTTTTTAAGATGTCTTGTGCAAAACACAAGAGTTTCATAAATTCCAACACTTGGTCAACTGCCATTTTAAATACAAAAGAGTGAAACAACCCTATGGCTGAGAGGACAAGCATTATAGCGCTGTCACGTCAGTTCCGATAGCTCAAGTTATTTCTGAAAAGTTTCAGTTTAAATTGTTCACTTGACCCGCGACAATTACCTGTGATGCGCGACCGGGGACATGCTCTCTTCTTGAACCATTGTTATTTGTTGGAAACCAGAACCGATGATCACGGTAAAACACTTTACGACCATGAATTGCGAAAGGCCTAATTGGTCTAGCGCACTCTTAGCAATCAAGGCCGAAACAAACGCTGATGCCAGAGGTTAATTCGTCCTTGATTGAATATATCTTTCGCCAGTTTTAAGCAATGTAAAGGAAAAAACGGTGACATTTCTTTACTTCAGATACGAAAGCTACAGTCGCCCCACCATTCACCCCACCGTGACTATTTGCATCCTAAAAAAATCTACCAGAATCACCCCCACGGGGAGGATTTGTCGTATCGTCTGTTTTGCCGATGGTTTAAATCTGCCGCTCGTATGATAATCGGAAATTTTGAAAAATCCCGCGTGTATTTTAAAGCTGTTTCCGCCATTGTTCCAAGGTAGCCATATACCGTCATTGTAATCGTTAAACAAAGCCTGCTCAACTTTCAGCTGATCCGCTTTTCTTGATACGATTAACGCTGGCGAGGAAAGATAGACGATGACCATTGGCAAGAATTCTACTCGTAGCTTTTGTCATTGTGTTCTCATTTAGTGGTTTATGCTAGAATGAAAGAACAGGAGCTAACCTAGAGAGAGGGTTCAGGGAGTCCAGAGTCCAAACAACCCACTTCCCCCCCTTCTCGTTTTAAGGTCGCGGGTTTTTCCTATTACTATAATTTATGATATTATTACCCACCCAAACATATATATATATATATATATATATATATATATACATATATATATATATATATATAGGTATATATATGTGTGTATATATATAAAATAAGCTCAGTTATGCACGCATTCTGATTGGTTCTCACTTATGATCTATTGGAGGACAGACATATAGATGACGTCATCATTAAAACTTTTTCTAATTCTTTATTATATAAAACAAACAGATTCCAAGTTGCCGTGCGTCTATTCAGTAATAGATCACGGAGGACGTTAAAATGTGGTAAGAACATCAGTGATACACTCGGCTGCGCCTTATGTGCCACTTTTTTGTTCTTACCACATTTTGACGTCATCTGCGATCTATTACTGAATAGACGCACGGCAACTTGGAATCTGTTTGTTAAATATATATACATACATATATATTTATTATTATTATTATCATTTATATTATTTCGAGTTTGCGTTGCTTTGTTCAAAAGGAAGGGGGCAAAATAATACAATCTCATTGGGGAGGAAGTGTATTCAGGGAGAAGCAATTTTAGACCACCTATCAACAATCCTTGCAGAATGACGCGCATTGTTGACGTTCTATTCATATTCAGGGTCCCTCCTCTGCATATAACAAACCTAGGAGGAAATGAATGTTTAAGTACGCCTTACGAAAGGGATTCTATTAATGTATTTATACAACAAGTTATCTTCCATTTCACAGGTGTCCTCACTGCAAATCGTTTGCGCCTGAATACGAACAAGCTGCATCAAAGGCACAAGCCGAAAAGTTGAATGCTTTTTTCGCAAAGGTACGTATTTTTGGGCTATTTTTTTTTTAATCATTTGACAAGCCAACATTAACCCTAACTTGTTATCAATTGACTGTTGTTAGGTTAGGGGAGGGGTAGGTGGGCAGTTGCCCAGATACTGATATTGATCCGATTGTTTTTTGCAATCCACGGACGAGTGGGAGAAAGTGCGTGACGAGCGCGCTCAGAGAGACACAACCTCCATGTGTATTTCCTTTTATTTTACGATTACTTTCATTTCTATCTTTCTTATTCGTTTCCACACTGATCCACTATGGCTTATCAAATGGTGGTCATCGAGGAAAGGCATAAAAATGCGCTTTCTTTGCCATATTACGACGCTTTACATCGTTTACTTTGTCGTAATCAGCGCCTGCGCAGAAACGCTGAAAGATCGACGACGATGGCAGGGCATTTTAAGACTTTGGCTTTTCCACGGGAAGCCCAAGTAATTAATCAGAATTGAATGAGTGAGTGCCAAAAGGCCACTTGACTGCTCCCCACGCCTCAGGGAATGACTACGTCATCCAGGAGCTAAAATTGTCGCGTGTTAGACAGGCTTGTTAGACTGAACAATGGAAATCAAACCTATCCGTCGCAATGGCCCTATTTTGGAACAGCTATTTCAGGGTTTCAGCAAGACATTATATTCTCCTGGGTTTCAGTTAATAAATTATCCAAGAAAGCCACGCAGGTTCCCTTCAAAATTTCAAGAAAGTGAGCGTAAGAAAGGGGGTACCCATACAGGTTTTGGGACTTGTTTGAAAAGTTCATTCAGAAAGAAAACGAAGAGGAGAGACGCAGTTGAGACAGGTGGATATAAAATTCGAACTGAGTTTTATATAGTGGCTGTCATATCCATTTTATTTTCAGTTATGTTTTCGAAAAATGTATGTAAAAAAAATACTTGAATATGTTACTTACCAAAAGGCACAGTTTTTTGCGCCCCATTTGACGCTTAAACTTACGTTTTATGTATCATTTTATGTACCATTTGCATGTACCATTTGCATCTACCATTCTTATATACCATTTTTAATGTACCATTTTTAAAATTGGAGGAATCCAGCGAGGCCACGCTCTAAAATAAACCCTGTATTTAGGATTTCAAGACTTTCTTCTTCCTATAATTAGTTTTTAGTTTTTTCCTTTGATAGGTGGACTGTGCAGGAAGCGGTAAAAGCCTCTGCAGTAAATTGGAAATTAAGTTTCTGCCTACGGTCAGACTGTTCAGAGATGGTAAACCACTTGGAGATTACTCAGGAGAGAGAAGTGCAGGTAAGAAAACTTTTCAATTTATGCCAAAACAACTGAAAACAACCAAAGGGAGGTTCAAACTTTAAGTTTGTTTGGGGATTTTTTTAAAGAGCTCATTTAAAGATTATTAGAAGAAGAAAAGAAAATGATCAGATCTAATTGTTCATCTATTGTTGAGACCTTAAACTTACCAATCATGTAGGATTCTGTTGCAAGGGGTTTACTTCCCTGAGCTCTTTGACTTGTCCAGAAAACTAGCGCTACCCTCGGCTCATCCAATCAGATGCGAAACTGAAACCATTCATGACTCAGTCGCTCACGATCGTGTTTTGACCCTACTTTGAAAAAAATCTGCTTTTCTCACCCTCTGGAAATATCTTTCTGGGTGATTCACAAATAGTTTACTGATCAGTGATACCAAGAATAGGAAATATTGCACCTAATCTGAAAAAAAATCCTCAGAAGCTAAGAAACTGCGCTTTTTGTCAATAAGGCTAAACGAGGCATCAGTTAAGTCACAGTTTTGTGCATCTTACAAAAATATAACCCAAATCTTTTTTAGTTTTTCTTTTGAAATTAGTGTTCAGCCTGTCTATTTTAAGCCACTAGTGTTTCCCTATAGATTCTCAACGAATCAATTTTAAGATGAAAATCAAACATGATTTGATCAGTCTTGCTATCCTGCGCTCAAGACAGCTTGCTTGTTATTACTATGAACTCTCTTTGGGTCCTCGTAGCGTCTTCTTTAATCTGATTGACGAAATGAGTATTTTAGTTTTTATTTTACGACACTTAAAAGACGAGAGCTCTGAAAGACCGTATTTGGTGTGTTTCTTTCAGATGCCGTCCTAGAGTTTCTGCAGAAAGCAATAAAAGCACCAAATGACATGAAATTGACGATGTCTGATGACGTCAGCGGGACACCACCTGACGTCACACCTTGGCACGCGGATGACAAGAAAAGCCATTGAAAATAAACAACAATATATTCTTATTTATTTACAATCTTGAGCGGAGCTTAAGTGAAAAGTGCTGAAATCATTTAAAAGCGAGTGGCAACTCGCATGCAAAGTAAAGAGATACTGGCTTCGAGCATGGAAGAGAGAAGCTAGCTTTCTCTTTGAGTATAAAGTCGGCGTGGCGAGCGGGCACTGTAAAGAAGAGACACGATCGCGAGAACACTGCCATTGCACTAACCTTGAAATTAAAATTACATTTATCGTCTTTCTTTTATATCTTTCCTTTATCTTGTTAGGGTATAACCAACAAGGAATAGCCCATTGCATATCATCTTTTTTGTCTTTTCTGTGCGTGTGGAGATAATATTTTCTCCTGAGTGAAATGACAACCCCACATCCTATGGAAATCCTAGTAAACACTATCCCTCCCTCCCCATCCAAGGAATCCCTATCTTCTCGGGAACTTTGATTGCCCAACGTGGGGTCGACCTTATAAAGTAACGCTCCCTGGGTACGAGGTGAACAGTAGGACCACCATCCGTATTCCATCCATGTGGACGCCTTTTGCTTACGTAAGATTCTGGAGAATTTTTGGAACTTTTCTTCGAAAAGAAAGATTTCTCTGTTTCAGTGATGTTTTCTGTTCTTTTTGGTGCCAAGAAATAAAATGAAGAGGTTTAAGTGAAAGCAAAATTCCTTTGAAAGTTGGGCGATTAATGGGTTATCACATTTTCTTAATTTTCACAGATCCTTCATACATTCATGGCTTAAAGGGAACTTTTTTCCATCGGATAATTTTGAAATATCTAATATTAATTTTTGATTGGTGTTGTACTTTACAGTTAATCAAGCCAAAAAGTCAATTTTCATCAGAAATTGAAAAACAAAATTTCAAATGACATCATATTCATTTGGTTAGTTATGCCCTTAGTTCTTAGATGCCTATGATTAAATAACATCATAGGCAGTCTTTATCGCTAACAATGTTCCTCATGAATTTCATAAACTGAGGAAATGCTTAAAGACATATTTTCAAACATTCATAATTGAAAAAAAAAATTAAAAATCGAGAAATGGGCATACAACTCGATCAGTAAATGTGAGTTTTTGCACGTACTGTGGACCTAGCCTATTAACTTTGCCATATGCGGAGACTGGACACTAGGGATCGTATTGAGTGCCAAAATGGCGACCTCCTTAGTGAAAGAGGTGGCAAAGCAAGAGCTACCTCCAAAAGGTGGTTATCCTGCCATCGTGTATGCCAGGAATATACCAACCAGAGGCCCTTCTGGTATAGCATTGTTCCTTGGCGGAGCAGCCGTGATGGCGTACGGATTTTATCGTGTTATTATGGGGAACCGAAAACGATGGTAGGTATAACATCTAGAATGCAGATTGCAAGGCTACGCGTTATTGTATTGATTGGTTATTTGTGCCTTTGCCTAGTATTTTATGAGAATTTAATAACTATTTTATATTTTTTTAGTTATAACTGTGACAATTATCGACAGGAAGCACTTCATTCATTCAATTTTGCCCTAACATTCGATGTAATTAAATTATTTTCAGTGAACTGAGGAAAGAGCAAATGGAAGCAAGGATTGGATTTCTCCCACTTTTACAAGCAGAACACGACAGAAAGTATGTGCCACCGAAAAAGCCCCCTATGGCCCTCGAAGTTAACTTTATTTATGGCAACAAACTAATCCTTTCAGAGAAAATATTTCAAATTCATCAGCCGAAGTTTCAGCTGTTGTTAAGTGTTCCTAACATTAGAATTAGATTGTTGGGTTGTGAAGGAATGAACATCCTCCTAAACAATTGATTTAACAACATCAAATTATTATTGGCATAGCTACTTTTTGAGAGTCATTAGCAATGACGTAAGAATTATTTTCAGTTGAGGTTTGTATGCAATATTAGGCACAGCATTGATTGCCTCAACATTCTCTGTCAGCTGACCAGTTATTTCATACCCAGTTGATTTGAGCCCAACAAGGACTGTTGATACCCAGCCAGTTAAGTCATTTCGCACCTGTACTGCAAAAGTATTTTCTCTTTGTCTAGTAGGTGTAAATTAAGCTGGGTTTATTATGTTAAATAGCATTGTAATCTGCTTTAGATAAATTTTGTTTTCAGTATGTGACCATAGAAAATGCAAGGTTTGCTGGTGTTGTCATTGTGAGGGTCACAAATAACAGGACACAAACAACAGTGGGCTTAACTTTTACATGTATCTTACCTGCTTGACTCTTAACTTACCTCTCTTCCCATCAATCAACATTTCCTCTAGTGCTTTTTCATGAGGTATTTGGTGAGATCTCCTAGGTTTTGATTTTCACTGAATGTTTTGGATGGTTTGGAATATTGACCAATGGGCTGGATACAAACTGACATGAACTGAGTATGAATGGTCTAAATTTGGGTATGAATCAACAGAGTATGAAACTTCACTGGATATGAAATGACTTGATACCCTCTGTAAATGGTCTAGATACATTGGATTTTTCAACACACAGTAGCAACCAGTTACAACTTTTTTTTTAACCTTCCTATGCTTTATTGCATTGAAATGTGCATCTTGGAGATCAATTCGGCTCATTGTAGTGTATTTAACATTTACTTTGGGTTTTTCAACACACAGTAGCAATGTGCTTTATTGAAAGAAAATGAAGAGCTTGAGGCACAGATCATGAAAGATGTTCCTGACTGGAAAGTTGGTGAGAGTGTGTACCACACAGAAAAATGGGTCACGCCTATGCCCATTCAAGTTGAAAAGCTGTAACATAGGTTTCTTTCATTTGGATGTACTTATATGTAAGTTTCTTGGTGTGGACACAAACTTTGGCACACGTGTATTTTTTTATAGATGAATCTGTGGCATGTTGTCAATTACTATTTTCAGTTCAGGTTTTCAGAGAGACTTAAGTCCATCAACTTTCTGTTCAGTTTTTTTGTTGGGAGTTGAAAGAGTGTCTTGGGGTAAAGAACTTAAAGTAGTCTTAACATGCCTTGTGAAAATTCTCAGACTATCTGTTGCAATTAAATGTAATTTATCTCTAACAATAAACTTTAAAAGTGAGTAAAGGTATGGCTTTCCTTATAACTGCTGTGAAATTTGCCTGATCAGAAATAAACATTATTCATGACCACAATGTTTTTTTTTATATGATTGTGAAAATTGTTTCTAGAGGACCGTGGCCTGGAGTCAATCTGTTACTCTTATACTTGACTTAATGGAAACTTTGGAAGTACCTAATATCATTCTCATTCAAAGAGACTTAGGTCCTGACATCATGCTAAGTAAACTGTTCATTAGGCCAATGCTTAATCTATCATGTTTATTCCAGTTAGAAGTATGTGAAAATATCACAAAGTTTCTAAGACATTGTGGTATGAACACACTTTTGCTTTATAATGGTGTCTGCTTATGATAGCTTCTTCAGATACCTCAAGTGGGTTGAACTTCCTTCATTACAACCAACAGTCACTCTCCAAATTTCATTCAGTTTGGAAACAGTGGACATAGAGTCACCTCAAATTGGACACGAGTGAAAACAATTTTATTTAGTCACAAAAACAACTGAGTTTGTAAGGTTACTTAATATTTTCAAAAAAGGAGGAGATATTTACACAATAAAAATACAGAGACTCATTGCTCTAGTCACAACTTTTATAAGTTTCCTATAGTTAGACATAAGTATTTAATGTTCCCAGTGGGATGGAACTACGCTGCAAACTTCCAGAATTGACACTTCTTCTTGAAGTCTTCTTTGGTGTGTAGGTTCTTTGGTGAGTTGTACTGAACTCTCTCTCCTCTGGAATTGGAGGTCTTATATGAGACTTCTTAAGCTGTAGACAAAGGAGGAATATAAGATGAATTAAAAGTTCAGGTCCTAACACATCAGCTTCCTCATATCCATTACTTTTTAAGAAGCAGGGATGGCACAGTGGTAACGGCCCTCTCCTCTCACTGCCATGGCCCAGATTTGATTCCTAGACCTAGTTTCTCATGTGTGTTGAGTTTGTTTTTGGTTCTCTGCCCTTGCTTGTGGGGATTGTGCTGGTTACTCCAGTTTTCCACTCTCCACTAAAACCAACATTTCAAATTCCAGTATGACCTGGAAACAGTGTGCAAGAAGAGCCTCCTTGTGGAATGCCCATTGCTAAATTTCCATTATTACTTTTTTGTGAATTAAGATTCTTGTACTTACATTGTCAACTGCCAGGGGGTTGGGGATAAGTTTAGGGACTCCAGCACGAGATGGGAAATCACTCCAGCTTGTTGGCATGGTAACAGGTGCACCTTCTAAGAAAGGGAAACACAATAGAATAGAATTAAAACTGTTACTTGCAGTGTTAGCTGTTTGCTGCTAAATATATTAAGGACATGTAAAAATTGAAAGTATGTGGGCTTGCAAATTACCTTTTAATTGGCAGCCTTTTAGCTGCTATTAAATAATTCCTAATAACAATGTCTTGAGAAATTTGGACAGTGTTACACACTAGACAAATGTCTATTCATTGGGGCCTAGTTTTCAATGCTGGATTACACTATTCGGAGACTAAACTGCCACCCAGAAGTTATTTGTCTACATAACTTATGGCACTGGTGTAATAGTTGGTAGGCCACTGTCTCTGCTGCATTAACAGACTCAAAGAAGTGATCAACATGTAGCTTCTCACTATAATATTATACATTATTTGTTTCCATATATTATACACCAAACAGGTAATGGGAGTAAAAGTTGTTATCTTGACCAAATTCTTGTAACTAACTAACACCAAATTCTTGTAACTAACTAACAACAAAATGTCAATCAGCTAGAAGGGAGAATTAAAAATAAAATCTTGCAAGATAAAGGGTTAAGGCCATGGCTGCTTATAAGTTGTGTTAATCTCACAGTATTCAACAGCCTATCACAATATTTTATTAATTGGTCACATCCCTGAAGACAAACACTTACTGTAATAGTCAAGAGGAATGCTGCTACTTGTGGTCATTCCTGGATCAGCTTTCTTGTATGGAGCTGATACTGCAGTGAAGTAAGATTTCATTGAAGTTTCATAGAACTGTGCTCCTCTGGCAGCACCCAGATCCACATGAGATTCAGTTCTTAGATGAGAACCATCAACTATTTTATTTCTGAATCCAATGGCAGGTTTTCCATAGAAGATGTCATTAGTAGTTACACTGACTCGCTCATGGGCTCGTAGAGGATCTCTGTCTCCCTCAGGGAAGCTGCTTTTTCCCATGTCAAGGTTGGCAGATACGTTCCTGTCTGTAGCAAGTTGGATCACAAAGATTATTTTAATAAAATTGTGAAATACCAACTTGCATCATGGCTATTTCATATTATTACTGATGACATTTTGTTAAGGGCAGAAGTTAGTTGGTGTTATGTCTTATCCTTTCTGCAGAATAACGCTATGGAATTTGTCATGTATGATTTTGTATAAATTCATTTAGCAGTTGTGAATAATCATGATAGGAATTTGTTGTTTCTGGTGATTACATAACCAGAGTTTCAAGAGACTCTACACTTGATGTGAGGCCATTAGGAATATTCTATTGCAACTCCCCTCCCCTTATGAATGGGATGCCAGTCCATAGCATGACTACTTCTAGGTTTTCATAATATTACAGTGGTACCTATTGGTCTAAAAAAGCCCAGGAAAAAGTATCAAAAATGGCTAAGTTCACCTGTCATAATGTGCACAGGGTATGACTCAGCTGCTGTGGTCCCCAAGTGACCAGGAACACGCCTGTCACCTAATTGAAAGGTAGTTCTGCGCAGGTTGTTGACAGCCTCTCCCCTGTCAAAAGCAGATAATTCTTTGGTCGTGGGTCGTCTGAAAGATTCCTGTTGGGTTGAGGTGGAGTAGTTGCACTTTTCCTGATCACCTTGGGGGATACTTGATCCCCTATCCTGCAATTAAAAAATAATAAATAAATAACTGAGATGATGAGAATGGATTTTATACCCTTCTGCTTCATTAAGTATGTTTCCTCAATAAAACACCATGAGCTTGAAGAAAGAGTTTACTGATGGGATTTGAGATTGAGTTTGACTAGCATCGAACTTTTTCTTACTGACAGTATTACCCCAGAATGAAACATTTAGAACTTGAGAAGAGAGGAAATGATTGCAGACTTTAAGAAGCTCTTAATAGTTAAACAATTGCTCTTTGTCAGAAAGAAGAGAGATTCTTCTCCATCCTAACATTATTTACCAAACTGAGAAAATCAAATGATAGAAAGGAATTTCACAGAGTTGATTCAAAACTCTAGAACAAATTGTTAACCCAGACCCACCAAAACTTTCCCTGGATCCACCACAGTTGCTATTTACTGTTACTCTTCTAATCAACTCACCCTCAAGGCGGGATTCAAAAGTTGCTGCTTTGGTAGATAACGACCTACAAATTCTGACTTGGTGGTTGTGGTAAATTGCCCCATGTGGTGAGTTCTTGCATCCCCTGTAATAGTAGGTGGTCCTTCATTTCTGTCAATGGGTGCCAGTGCATCTTTTTTACTGAGCTGTTTCCCTAGGAACTTACTACGGTAGTCTGAGTGTGGCCAAAGTTCCTTCTCTTTATCACCTAGATGAGGTTAGGTGGAGTTAGTAGTAATTTAATAATATCAACTGAGTTGATAATGTAAATTGGTCACTATAAAGAGTTTCAAAGCTATCGATGAAACTCTTCCTTTCAAAGCTGTGAAACTCTTTACAGTGGCCAATTTATACTATCAAATCAGTTGTTAACACTAATTTACACTGTTATGCTCCCATGGAGATGCAGCACCACAGTTTCTTTAGAAACTTACTCCATTCATTAAGCTAGAGTTAGGTCTACTCTTAAGCCTTAATGATTCAAATGAGAAGAGCTATCCTGGTTTTCGCAGCATGAGCATTGAGCATTTCTTCTACCTCTAGAGAACATGTATGTCTGTCCCAGGTTTACCCTTACCCTCTCTCTCTCCCCCCCCCTTGTGCTGGCATTTTGCCACTTCCTTTTTATATTCCTGGGTGAAAAAAGGCACTGTGAGTGTAAAATATCTTGCCCAAGTCATTAACCCTTTAACTCCCAAGATCTGATTGTGAATTCTCCCCTCAGGCTGCTGTACATTTCTGTAAATTAGTTATGAGAATTTGTTGTTAGATCTAGATAACAACTTCTACCCATTCCAATAAGTTTGAGTATTCTCATTACCTGTTTGCTGGGTAATGTAAGGACATTATGGGGAGAAGTTAAATGTTCATCACCTCTGGGAGTTAAAGGGTTAACAAGCGTTATCCAAAACATTAGGATTAGGGGTCCGTATGGGAGGGAGAAGTGAATGTGATTAGAGATTGCTTTGAAAGTAAAGAATATGGAAATTCTTTATGGTTGAATCGAATCAAGTCTGGTTGAAATACCAGGATGGAAAGACCAGACCAAAGAGATTGAATATAAACTCAAAAGGATGTAGATTAATTTTCCAGGAAGCAGAAACAACATACCTTGAGGAATGTAGCTTCTCATCCAATCCTTTTTTCCTGTAGCAGCTGGATTCCTTGCTTCATCAAGAGGCCGAACTGGATAATACTCTTTGTGAGTTGTCTGGAATGACTTGAGCTGTCTGTCAGAGTCCATTTTGAAATTGGTTTTGGTCAACGTAGATGTAGAGTTGGCATAGTTTTGTTTCTCTGGATTTTTTCCAACGAAGTGTCCTCGCGTCATGGAACACTTATCATTGTAGCGGTCATCTTTGTGCATGATTGTTGCAGGAGATGGTGAAGGTATGCGCTCCCGCTTAGTCAAAGGGAGAGGAGGGTAGTCCTTTTTAAATGTGCTCTTGTACACAAGTGGGTCCTTGCTAGGAGCCCAGCGATCTTCATGACTGATTGTAAAATGAGAAGCAACTAGGAATTCTGCACCTGTCTTCTGAGCGGGTATCTTGTTTATCAAATCTGTCATGTTCCTGAGATCGTAAAATGACAGATTTCACCTGCGGGTATAAATTAAATAAGTAAAACACTTAACCACACCAAAAGTAATTTATCGAGTTATTGACCAAGAGAAACCGATTTGCAGAACGATATTGCTCGCTGCATACTTTTTACTATGTAATTGGACTGGTTAGACAAAATTGAACAAACTGGTTCCGGCAGGCCAAGCTCTTATCTAAATCCGTAAGCAAATTTGAACATCATGCTTTTGTCGCTTCCCTGGCCCATGGATACTTTCTGACTGACTGTTAAGAGTTCTAGATGGAGTAAATAGATATATTTTTTTTCGTTGCATACTTGTTTTCAGCTGAGAGGATCATTACAGATCATATTTTTGGGACTTCGACCATAGAGTCTCTTGACTGTTTAACTCAGCTGCGCAAATGAACTCCATAACAAAACAAACATATGTCACTTTGCCGTTTTCTAAAAATTAATCGATTTTACGTTAAACATAATCAGAACTTTAAGTTACCTACTCAAAGCAAACAACAGCCCGATATCGTGGGAAAAAAAGTCGGTCTTTGCACCTCGCGAATCAAACCCTCGAGTCGAAGTCACGCAGTAATGTTCTTTAACTCCTTCGATTTTTTCGTTGCTATGACAACATTGCAACTTCCGGTGACCTAACCTCGCTATCAAGAAACATTTGAGGAACAATTACAGCTGACATAACTAGGGATAAAAATCAAATTTATATTAAATGGGATGCCGAAGGAAAAAGAGTAAAAGGATAGGGAAAGCTTGATGAAATATATTTTAGGAATGAGTGATACGGAAGGAAAAAAATGTTGGGAAAAGGAATCCTAAAGGAAAAAAAATTAGGGGTGATCTGCGAAGCTAATTAAGTCTAGTCTTTCTTCCTGTCATCACAGGACCCTGACAATCACCCTTTTGGAAATGACGTCATACGACTACTTTATCAACAAGATATCAAATGATATGGAGAAGATCAAGGTGATATGACGCTCAAAGTTCCCTTATGGTACCTCGCCCAATGAAATAGTTGAAATAAATATGATTCTTTTAAGGTGACTACTCTTGATGTCAACAGACACAGACCTTAATTCTTCATTTACCCAATTCCCAAATACCAAACTCAACTCTGCAAATAATGGGCACCTGGAAATTTCCCACAATTGTAAGAGCTTACAAATTTCTCTTGCATACTTATGTACAACATGGGCATTTTTGAAACTGAACAAAGTTACCACTTGAGAAAAAGGATTCTTTTAATGATTAAGTGCAAAAAGATCTTAAAACTTTCATTAAAGGGTTTTTTTTCATCAAGGAAATGAACATTTTCCTTTTGTTATACAAACTAAATGATCTCAACTTAGATTAACGCTTATGATAGGACACAAGGAAATTTCTTTACAATTAAAAAGAGAAATAATTGTCACAAAAAATGAGATTCCAGTGTGAAGGTAAGTTGCTTGGTTTGCCAACATTGCACGCCTGAAATTAAGAATGAATCTAAAGAGCAAGGTCATATTATCATAGAAATGGAATTTTTTTAGTTGATGACTAACACTTGGTCTTGAAAATAAGCCATTTTATAGTCGTGTACTTAGCTGCCAATCCTTAAATTTAGAGTGAGGATGAAGGTGACCTTGTTTTGATAGACCAGTATCTAGTTAGCATAACAACAAGGCAATTTACATTTGATAGCCACAAGATTTGTATCATAACAAGGTCACCCTTCGCCTCACTCCTGATAAAGGGCTTGGCAACCAAGCATGCAACTGTAAAATGGACTGTTGATGGAATGGAAATAATAAAAAAATATTACAACACCAACAACAAAAACTCCATTGGCAAGTGATGAACAATATGCTGGTTAGATCTCAGTGATTATGTTTATCAAATCTTGTCCCCTTCCCTTGTTTGTGATCATCAACAATGTGGTGATAGATTCTGAAACTGTTTAATGTTAAGCCATACAAATAGGATGCAAACTCTGTCAAGTTAGAGCTTACAACATACAAATAATGAAAAGGTGCCCATAGTGAAGAAATGTTTTTAAGTGAGCAACATTGGAAAGTCTCATGTGTTTTATGAGTGTGATTGGCATTTCCAACAGCACATGAACCTGAAATGATTAACAATCCTCTTGAACAGATGTTAGCCAATATCATAATGATAACTTGGAAATAACAGTTTCTGTATGCTCTGACTTAGCAAAAGGCTCTCTTAAAACCAGTAACAATTTGATTTGGAAGGCACTGGCTGTATATTGGACAAAATGGATGTAAATTGAGTTCAGTCCTAATTCAGCCCCCTGATAAAATAACACTGCCAAGACTTTAATTAAATTACAATTATTGCTTTTGAGATATTGGACAAGTAAAAGTGAGCCTGTTATTACTTCTCTCTCTCAAGTATCAAAGATCTCTGATCATAGAGATAGAAAATAATTGCTAGATGCTTAAAATAATTGAAGTTCATTTAGCAGCCCAACAGACCACCAAGTAGCCCTATTAGAAAAAGCAAGAGTCACAGAAAGGAAAAGGCCCACTGAAAGATACTCTAAAGCACAGAAGTTGGAAGAGGAGATGGCAGGTAAAAACAAAGATGTGGAATGCAACACCTTGCACTGCTCAACTTAGTCTGTCTCAATCCTGTACATGTACTGAAATTTCCAACAAAATAAATAGGAGTGCCACGAAAGTGTGACAGTGTATGTTCTCAGTTGAGATACTAAATGATTGTCTTAAATTTAATGTTTTATTTGAAGCAAGCCATAGGGACATAAGAAAATTGTCACATTAAAAAATAATCACTGATGAGATAGAAAAGAAATCATTGAAACAAACTTCATAAAAGTCCAAAATAAATGGTTGGATCATGTCCATAGTCATTGTTTAAGGTGATCAACAGTCCCAATTTATATTATTGTTGTCCTTATCTTATCTTTTAGAGATCCACACAAAATTCTGCACTGTCTGCATGATCTGGTAACATTTCTACCAAAAATCAACTGAAGAAGTCTTGCCAAAGACTTTTCCACACATGAACTGTCAATCACCTTAAATATTCATTGTTCCAAATAAGCTTAACTAGATTAAAATGTTTCACTATTTTAACTAGACATTCTTCTTCATTTTGTGCAATGTATCAAGCCTTCATGGAATAATAACAGACTCAGGATCTGCTTCTATATTTAAGTCCATCTCATTTCATTATAAAATTGACCCAACTTTCTACAAAAGGTTCCAACATCTTTATCAATATACTACAGAATTATTGGTTATGAGCCAAATGTTAAGGGAGGCAAATATCATTTCTGTCTTGCCACTGGCTGCTTCTTCTTCTTTCTCCTTTTGAAAAAGCAACAACACCTATAGAGACAAAAGGAAATGTCACAAGCAGCCCCCTTGCATTTCTTTCTTTAAACCTGTTCTAAATGCTATCTTCCATTTAATTACATTGGAGCAGACACAGAAATGTTTGATTAAGTTTTTTCTGATAACTGACAACCTTGCAAGACTTTTCCTAAATTTCATACCATGCACAGACCGTGATTGCAGCTCCAACCTTTAATCTCTGTAAATAGAGACCTCTATCAAAAAGGCACTTGCTTCCTGTCATAAAAGTGTTCCTCTGCAACAGCTCTTTGTCCAAGTTGATAATAGCTCTTCATTCACATTTTAAATAAATCAATCCTTAGAACCTTTACTTAACCAATGTTGGATTTGGTTTTTTGTTCACATTTGAGCTAGATTACCACTCAACACCTTTTCTTAGTTATGCTGCCAGTGGAGAAAGACAAGGACTTTTCACATTCCACAATAGGGATAATGGATTACAGTATTGATCAAATACATTATAGTAAATGTTAGTACATACTTTGTTTCCTCAACAACTTCAACTTCGGGTTGCTGTTGTGCATGTATGGGGGTAACACCCTTCTCGTGTCGGCCATCATCAGGACCAAGGTCCCCATTCGTTGAACTGACCACCTGTACAGAGCCCCCTAATCTGTCTGCAGTTGGTGGCAGTAGTCCAGCAGACTTCAGGGCTTGTGAATTGTCAGCCCAGGCACCTTTTCTGTCTTGCGCAGACTAAGGAAATACCGCATAATAACGTCAACAATCTCACACACAATAAATTTTTCATTGAAGTTTCAAGATTTTTCTTATAGCAACCATTTTACAATTGAAGTTTGCCAAAAGGCAACTTAATTAAACATTGAGCTTGGAGCCCTGCACACAGCAAAGTCAACCCTTTGAAAAACAAGGCCATAAGACAGACACTCTATCATACCTTGTTTGTTGCAGAAGTGGTTGTTCCTCTCTCATTTCCTTTCTGATATCCGGGTGGAAGCTGAGAATCTCTTTGATTGTGTTGATCTGAGTGGCTCAGAGAATTAATAGGGCTAGGCTGTGGAATGTCAAATTAAAAAATATTTAAGTTGCAGCAATCACTGAATCAGAACAAGCAACAAACTGAGACTTATCATAATACTGGTAAAAGTTGTGCATCTGGTGATCATTACTAAAAGATGGCCACTGTGGAAATTCAAAGTCCATAGGTTAAAATAAATTACATTTAGAACGTTTTATAGTTGTGCTCTTACAATTTGCTTGTGTGTCCAATCAAACTCTCCATCGTCAACGTAGCCTTTTCTCTCAAATAAATCCTTGAACAATTTTCTTAAATACTCATAGTCTGGAGTTTCAAAGAAATCAAGTCTACGAACATAGCGCAGGTAAGTGGCAAGCTCATCTGTATTTGAAAGAAAAACAGTTTGAAATTAATGTTAAATGCCACCCAAACACTATCAGGCAGTCAGAATTATGAATCTTTAAAAAAGAAAAAACAACACAATATTTTTACAGCTGAAAGCTGAAACCTGTTAAGAAAAAATAGAAAAAAGTGTTGTGCAGTCATAAACATCTAGGAGACAAGTATTCATAAGGAGTAGTCAAAGTTGTATTGAAGGTACAGAAAAGTAACTGTGGCCACATTCAGTACCTTGCAGGTTACTGAAAAATCTATGATTTAGAAGGAACACAACAATGATGCTTCTAACAATTCCAATATTTCGTGCCCAAAGCTTCAAATGGGTTGCACAATATCTACCTGGGTGATTCTCACATAGGACTTCAATGGGTGTTGCACGTTTTGTGTCACCAATCTTTTGATATCTCTCTTTCAAGGTGTCTGCCTGTAAACAAAATTATGAGTCATTAGCCCTTTAAGTCCCAAGATCTCATTAGTGATTCTCCTTACTGTCTGCCAAACTATTCTCATAATGTTAGTTTGGAGAATTTGGCATCAGATCAATTAGTAATCCTATAATTGATGTATTTCTTTATTCTCATTGCTTGTCTGCATAATATTGTGTAGATATAGTAAAAAGAAATTCTGTTATGGTCACTCACAGAAGTGAAAGGGTTAGTAAGAGCAATTTTCTTCTATTAAGCAATATGACAAAGAAACTGTAGACATAATAAAAAAGAATTTCACAAAACATATGAGACCTCAAATTATGGTCAAAAGTTGAGTAACAAGTACAATTCAGAGTTAACTTACTTTGAGTCCTTGCCATGGCAGGCTACCTCTAAGGAAGTACATGAACATGTGCCCCAGAGCTTCTAAATCGTCTCTCCTACTTTGCTCTGAAAACAAGTTATGCAAGAAATATATAACTGTAAATTTATCATATCTTCTTTATAATACTTTCTCTTCTACTTTGCTCTGAAGATATGGTACACAACCAAATGATTGCTACAAACATAATTCATCCTCCTGTACAATTAAAAAAAGAAAAAAAGACTTTGGAGAGTAAAAATGATATTTTTTGGCCTATCAAAATTATTGCACCATCTACCAGTTTCTACATTACAATTTAATTTTGTAGCCCACATTGAATACTCAACACCTGCTACTAACAGTAATAGATAAAGAAGACAAAAGCCATATCCAATATATATATATTTTTTTCTGGATACAACAAGAATTTTATCCCTAGACATAAAATCTTAGATCTTTTAGATAGCATGGAGTATACTTCTCCACTCTGTAAATTAATCCTTGATGTTGAAAACATTTCTACACAATGATTAAAAAACTTGAAAATAAACACCCACTCACTGGAAACATTAATTTAACATGTCCAAATTTTGGCATTGATCCGTATCACTTCAAGAGCCATAATTATTGTCTACGCAACAAACTAACTCTTTCCTCAAACTCCGACCACAATAAGATTCAAAATCATAGAGTACCTTTCCCTAAATGTGTGTTAATACTCATGTATCTTGCTGTCCCTGTTAGACTTTTGTGTTCTCGATAGGGTATATGCTTCTTAGTCTCTGGATCAATATACTCCTTTGCAAGACCAAAGTCTATAATGTGAATTGTTTTCTCTTTGCCTGAGGATTTCCGGCCAATAAGGAAATTTTCCGGTTTAATGTCCCTGTAGATCATATTCTTAGAATGAACACATTCAAGTCTTGAAATCTGTAGAATAAAAGGAGTGAAATGGATTATAGTACATGTTTACTGTTCAAAACACTCTAGCTTTCATCATGCGAACCCAAATAACTATTGACTCTTTCAAGTACACACAATTGCCATGTAAAACTCAGAGAGATTCTCAAAGAGATTTGCAATCACAAATCCAAGATAACTTGGGGTCTAAAAAGATGGGAAAAAAACGAACAAACAAACAAACAAACAAACAAACAGAACAGTGGCACATTACCAAGAACTAACTTAACAGTTCAAACTACACAAAATAGCTGACACTGTATGTTATACTTTTCTAACTCAAATTAACTTATTTATGACAAAATTTAATAATATCCCAGAAATAAAATAAATATGATTTCAGTTTACACTGCAAGCATCTTTCTTGAAGCTTTCAAGGTAAATAAAAGAAAGTTTGAATCAACAAAACAGTTCCTCCATCTCATTGTCTTCCAAAAGGAGATTTTCCCAATCAGCTAAGCTTTCATTTTGTTAGGGCACTTGCTCTGTAAGCAAACCCTTAGTTGGCCTACAGTCATAATAATAATACAGGTCCATCCAGCCCTAATTTCCCATTCATTTCCCAGACAGTTCTCTTTTCAGCCCTACAAAAACCCTTTTAAAAATGTCACTTACCAGCTGAATAGCAATCATTAGCACTGTCTTCAAGCTAAACTGTCTATTACAGAGGTCAAACAAATCCTCTAAACTTGGTCCCAAAAGTTCCATGACTAATGCATTGTACTTTCCACAGGGTCCAAAGTAATGAACTTGAGGTACTCCCTCTGCAAAGTGTCAAAATGAACTTCAGTTTGAAACTTTTCAATTTTTTTTCTTCTTGAAGTGATTATCACTTCATAGTTTCATTATAATGTATTCACTTCATCATTAAACAGTATATACTCTGATTACATAGGACCCCTCAACTATGTTTTCAAAGATTCAAAAGAATCAGTTGCATCTGCCTCAAAAAGTGAAAAAAGACAAGATTCAGCCAAGGTTTTCAACTACAAAAGCAGAGAGCATCAGGTGTTAAGTTTTACAATCTATCAGTACTGCTTTCTCACCTACATGAGTTGCTGACAGAAAAAGGCAAGCAAAACCCTTCTAAGCAAACAGAAAGCGGAGATACATGTATCATGGAGTTGTCTATGATATCAATACACTATGCATCTTAAATAATCATAAAACTCTCACACATGCATAGAATCCCAAAGTAACAAATATACAAAACAAAATGTATACCTTGTGTTACAAATCACAGAAATAACATCATAGAGTTTGCTAATGTAATAAATTGGAGGTGTTGTCCACTTAATAAAAAATATGTATTTTGTAGTCTAAACAACCATGATACCCAGATGCATTAAAGCCCAAAATGTCAGACAAAGTATGCATTCTTTACAAACACATTATTGACGAAATAACATAGAAGTCAACTCCTATGCAGAACAATTTGCACAAGATCTATTGTAACCTTTTTGTTTCAAAACTTGTCTCCCGCACTAATCCTTTATAAAACTTTTGTGCAAAAGGTTGTATTACATGGTTACATGTATACTATTTCACATGAAAGAAATCATAGTCTCTGTGATAGAAAAATATAGCCTAACACTCCAATTCTCAGGAAGAAACACAAGCTTTAACCAGCTGTATCAACTTCACAGTTTCTCGACCTTAAATAAGTAAATTGTATAATCTTTCCAAATAAATAAGTTGCAATTTCTTTGTTGCACAATAGTGCAGAAAAACTGACTACAGCTAACAAGTTATTTGATGGAAAGTATTGATAAGGAGAAACATGATATGAAAAATATTAGTGAACTTTGATGGTGTCAGCTTAATAAAATCCTCTGTGCACTATAAGATACCGCAACAAAATGACCCTGACCCAATTCCATTGCATTATCTATTAACAACAAGCTATTACATGAAGAACAGAATCAAGGTTTAGGCAAGAGATTTGGCACTATTTCAAACTTGCAATTCACAATTTGTGATCTAGCATCTATGTTTATCTTCAACCGTTCAACCCCTGAGAGTGACTAGTATCTAATATCTCTTTACAATATCACCCCTGAATCACACATCAAGGTCATGAGAATAAAGGAAATGATCAATAAATGATAAAGCTCTTAATTGTCAAACAAATTCTCCTTGTCACCACTTTAGGGAATATATAGAGCACAGTATGGAGATTACGCATACTGATGTTAGGGTGTAAAGGGTTAAGAACCAATTAATCTTTTCAATCCAAACCTGCCAAATTGCCATCATCCTTAATCATTACATCATAGGTGTATTTTTACCTAATTTCAACATTTGCTACTTGTATCACAACACCACATGATGGTCATTTTAATGATATTACTGTTAAGCAGAAAACTTTGGGACACATTTCATCTAAATAAGTTGTTATAGTCAAATTGGCTACACTCCACTTAGTATGAAGGAAATAAGTGATGAGGATAAAAGTATTACTAGCACCTAAGTAAATTTGCAATGAATCAAGTAGAATGTTTCATATATGCTTGAGGTAGCACAATCTTCTCTACCATTTAAAAAGTAACCCAAGTTGACGTACTCCAAAAGACAAACAGTACCAGGTACTTTATCAAGAACTAAGATAAAAATCATCCATATGACTGAGTTTAAAATTCATAACTAGATTCACCAGAAAAAGCCTTCTGAATAAAACAGCAAAGCTTGCCCACTCACTGCTCTTTAACATAACCCTTACTTACAGCTGTAATACATCACCTGGAAATTTGTTTGGCAGACTGGCATTTCCACACAGCCACCAATACAATTCCCACAAGTTAGAAAAGAATAATAATAAATTAAAACAACAACAATAGAAACAAAAAATTTTCATTTCCTTGGGTCAGACAAATGTTTGTCTTACACACATCAACACAAAGATGAAGATGAAGTGAAGTTATTGAGAATTTTGCATCAAGCCAATTCTAATCATTTTTGTATATGCATAAAGAGAAAACACAGCTGCCATCCAGCATTCCACTCTTTCAACTATTACACCTACAAGCGGGGTTACATTTTAACAGTAATTTTCTTTGTTCCATCTGCTTTGGAGATGATTGAGAAAGTCCAAAATACTCTTACATTTGATCTTGATATATTGTGAAGATGCCTTCTTTATAGCACCAATTTGACCACAGATTGCTGTTCATTTTTCAGAAATTTTGATACAAGCCTCACAGGAGTATTATAACACCCTTCTAAACTGAAACTTGAAATTTCGAACATACTGCTTGTGGTGAAAGCAAACTATTTGAACACCCTTTGGGTTTGGTCAAAGTGTCTGATCCTGCCTTCTTTTTGTTGTTTACTACAAGAACAGCTCAACAGATACAACATTATTTGCTGATTTTCAAACGCAGAGAGAAATTTGTTTAAAGTTATTGCTGCTATAAGGTTGCTGGCTGTTATTAGATATTAAGTTAAAAGACTTGCTCTAATTGTGAAGGAAACAAATATTCAAAATTGGTGAACGAAAAAACATAAAAATAAAAAATATCCTTTTTCAACTAATTTCCACAGTGTCACGTTTAAAGGAAAGAAGGTTGCATCATTAAATTGTGTCAGAACTGCATAAAGAAAGGAAAAATTGAAAAATTCAATAAATTTATGTCACTCCCAACACAGTAAAGAATTTAAAGCCATAAGAGCTACGATCACAAACTTATCGTCTCAAAGACCATGTTATTTACACACCATTTTATCAAACACATCTCAAATGAAAACGACCAATGAAAGGTCAACTTTCGAGAAAGCCAAAAAATTAGAATACCCAGAGTCACATAATTGTCAAATTATTAATGACAATATTGTCCTCGATGATTAAAAAATTTTTCAAAATAAATCAACGTTTTGCCCATCTAAATTCTCAAAAATGCCAGATCCGAATAGGCAATACCGCAATTTGTTTGTTCTGAACTCCATATCTCAAATTGAAGTTATGACGATGAATTCAAACGTATTTTGCCCGCACTTGCTTCCAAACAGCCTTGAACGATTAACATGCAAAAGGAGTATTTAAATGTGCTTTTCTTGAATGAGCGAGATTTCATTATCGCGGTTGGGTACTGCGTTACAATCCACATGATTGATGAGAAATTCTTTTTATTTCTAATACACAAAGGATGAAGTAACGTAGCTAAAATCGGACTGAAATGTTACTCCTACGAATTCACGCCGTTTCAGGAAAGAAAATAGGTGACGACCTTGATCAAATTGGGAGCTTTTTCTCTCGTTTATTCGTTCCTTATTTCAGAAACTAAATTTACATGGATTAAGAATATTTAGAAAACTTTTACAATACAGTAATCCCCTTGGAGAGACAGATTTTGGGTAACCAACGGGTCATGTAACAGTTTGGAATATGATAATAAACTCGATGCAAGATTCACTCGAAAAGTGGAGAAAATAAAAACTGAAAGAGTTGTGTTGTAAAGAAGAAATAATTAAAAAGGGGAAAAGTGAACGTGGCCTACTGTTTATTGCTTGGATGTCTCTTATGATCAACGGCCCATCCAAGATAAATACAATGGATCACTCTATATATTTGGCACTTCCTGCAAAGCCGCAATCAACTTTAACGCATCGAGGCTAAAAGCTTTCTACCATTTTCACTGACTACTCAAAGTGAACTTACCAGCATTTCCGAGTACTTTATAAAATCGGTATTCCAGATGAAGTTGTGGTGCTCTAGATTTCATAGGCTCCTACGAAAGAAAAATATTTCGACATTTACCATCAGCTATAGGTAATATATCCTCTAATTCGTCAAGATATCTTCGCACCAAACAAAATAAGTGAAGTCAGTCGCGACTTACCAGTTTGATGGCGACATGCTCATTGTTGTATAGATTTTTCCCTAGTCAACAGAGAGTCAATAAGTGAGTAATCTTAGTGTTTTTATGATAAGACAAGGAGCTAGTAAACCGTTGAAAAGGCATAGTTTATACAAAACAAATCGTCTAAAACATGGTTGCCCACTAAGGTTCGTACCAAGTCGGAGTTCACCGAAGTTTCCACATCCAATCTTCTTGCCCACACGAAAATTCGGTCCCACCATCATCACACCTGAACCAGACCCAGAACTATTCCTTGGCGAGTGTAAGCTTCCTCTGGAAGGCCGAGAAGCTTTTCTATCCCGTTCGCGGTCGCTCTCCCTTTCTCGTTTGGACTGCATATCGACGACCGCCGTGATATCCCAAGTCTAGGTTGCCGCCGGTGAGATGTCTAAATTCTCTTTCCAGTTTGACTGGAAAGCCATAAATGATAACTCATTCTGTTCTTAACACATCCCCGAGTACTACATTTCAAAACTACTACCTCCAAACTGTCAAAGAGGCGAATAACTGACGATTTCCTTGGCTTTACAGAACCCTTCAAACTCACTTCTGTTAAATGGAGAAAGTTGTTGAACACGCAAGATCAACGAGCATGCATTTCGAGCCGCGAACCCATGTCGCCTGACCTTCGGGTGGGTGTTGTCCCTTAGCAACCTTTGTTCTTTTATTCCCAAAGCTAAACAAAACGGACAACGTTGTTCATTTGTACCTTTACTTAAGGTTTTTAAAAAAAATGCTTGAGCAAGAAAACTCGATGCGTTCTTCGTCAACACGTTTTGAAATAATTTTTTTCATGAAGACTGTACAAATAATACCTTAAAATCTAGCGCTATTATGCCTGTTTAGATCTGTATATTTTGCAATGACACGTTAAATCAAATACTAAATCTCAGCGGTATTCAGAGAGAGACAAAGAAAACCACTTACGCTAAGCTGGCTTAAGCTATTAGAACTAAACAAGAAACAATTTGATTTGAATACCGCGATAGAGGAATTCCATAAATTTTGATCATCAATCAGTTAGGAGAACAAAAAATTAAAGGTGTGTTGAGTGTGTTTATTCATGACTCTAATTATGATATCATTTATGTTATTGATATTAGCTCGTGAAAGAATAAGAGAATAGTACTGTTAATATTATTCATTGATCAACAAACCATTTAAGTGAGAGAAGCCTAATTACTGGCGATAGCGTAAAAAAAGCGCTGTTAAGACTAACTAATTGAATTTAGTTATGCAATCTATATCGTGAGTCTTTCGGTCTTCTCCTCACTACTAGTCCTTCTGGGATTCCGGGAAAATCATTTAAAACCCGAATGCGAGAGAAGGGATCACAATTCTAGACGTTTTGGCGCCTAAAATATCCTCCAATGTGAAGGTACCCTGTATTTTTTTTTTTGTCCTCCGTTAAGTCTCGAGGCGTTTAATCTTGACCAACAGACTGGATCAGTTATCTCGGGCTTTTTTGAAGACGCTCAGTCCTTCAAAGAATTGGTAATAAAATTTTCTTCGACGCCCTTGTCCGTCAAGGTCTTTAACCGAAAGACTGATCCATAGTATTGAAAAATACTCTCTGCGAATATTCTGTAAAAAGTCTTTGTTGAGCAGAAGTATCTATTCTTATCATATTTTCTTTTCCAGCCGACGTTAGTCTCGACGGCCGGCTGAGAGAATAATTTCGATTGTTAAAAAAAAAAATGTGATTACTTTTTTTTAATTGTTTCAAAAAAATTTAATTAAAATTGTTAAAAAAAAAACCTTGTTGTACTCCGGCCCGTCTTATTTTTCATTTATCAGAGGAGGTCCGGGAACAAGTATGAAAATAAGCGGGAAAATGTGGTCAGCGGTGATAAGCAACAAAACAAAATGCGCTTTTGGGACATTTTCCGTTGGAAGCATCGTTTTCTTTAGGTTTTCAACTGATTGTTTTTACAACAAAAGAGGTTTTGATGCGCCGGTAATGGATGTCACATAAATTACCGTCTCTTAAAGTTTCCAGCCACCTCAAAACAGTGTAAATCATGTGAAATGGCGACGAGTGATTGGAGTTCAACGTACACGGACGGTGCAGTTTCCGCAAACCGGTCGCTTTCTCCCATAGCTGTGTCAACAAGCTCTCCCCAAGACAGCGGGAATAGTTCACCACATTCTCCAGATTTTGCTCGAGATGTAAGTGTCCTTAAAATTATCTTTTATAGAAAAATATTTTTGTCTATACAGGCTCTTCAGCTCGTAATTATAAATGATTTTGAATGTTAGCGACGACTTATGATCGTGTCGATTTCCTTGTGTCCATAACAGTAACGCTTTGGTTTATATGAGCTTAAGTGAAACCCTATTTAGAATTCATTTCCGGACTAATAGCAGTTATTTTTGCATATAATTTTTTAAAGAAAGACACCGTTTGTTCTTTGGTTAATTATATTTTCTTCAGTGTGGCAGATGAGCTTGGATTTTGCGTCCACCATCGAGCTAAGGACAATGTTTGGCTAGGGAATTTATTTCAATAGATTCCGACATCCGATCATGAATCACCGTTTAATTGTTTTTTGCACAATAGTATTATGGTTTTTAACATCCTTATTTTTAAAATTAAACGGATGATCTCTCAGCACGGTGACAAAGACGGTGCCAAAGTTTTGTTTTCAATACTCTCCAACTTACGAAGGTGTCGTGTACCCGCAGTCTTCCTTCTACATAAATTTGAAATTTGTTTTTATTTTTTTGTTTTAGAATTTTTAGGCAATTCATAGTGTAAGAATTATATGATGCTTTTTTGGTTAAACGTAAACCAATTCTCTTCAGATATTCACTATTGTAAAACAGTTTTTGTTGTACAGAATGATGGGCCAGTTTGTGCCTACATTACAATCCTTTGGTAGCTGTTGTGCTTTTACCTTTGTGAGTCAACTGTTTTGAGCCTCTCCTTTTGGAGTTTACTTGAAACAGTTTTTAGTTCAATCCTCAGTATCACAAGGGTGTAGTTGAGGGGGGGCCCTAGGGTGCCCTTGACACACCCCCCCCACATAGCTTTTATTTTTTAAGAAAAACAAAACATAGAGGTCAACATGACAATCTAGTGAGTACTCTCTGTTTGACAGTGTGCCTCCCTCCCCACCCCCCTTTGAAGAATCCTGGTTAGGCCCCCAAATTTTTATTGGCTATGTAGCAGGCCTTATGGTTAGTGGGCTGGACTCTGAGTCCAGAAAATTGTCCAAAAGTATAGATGGCTACTGGACTGAATTATCAGAGCAGTCTGATGAAATTCTGGGGGGTAACCTTGAGACTGAGTTGTTTTTTTATCTAGAGGGGAGCAGTGATACTCTGAGTTGTTTCATGCAAGGGAGACCAGGAGAAGCTCTGGCTGGGTGGGTCACTTGTCTTGAGTTGTATAGCATACAAACTCTAACTACCTACCTGTGTAACAGTTAAAGATTTGAACTTATTAAGCTTTTAAATTCTAGAATTTTTATTAAGTAAAGAAAATCTATAGTTACAATACCTCTTGAAGTGTTTATTTAGTACAGTTTTTGGGTCTCTGTTTCTGTTTTTGTGATATAAAAGGTGTCTGCCTAGTAGGCAGTATGTGTGATAACAGTTTCACTAAAGTTCCATGTTATCTTCAGAGTATTGAGCAGGTTGAAGACATGAATGAGACACCAAGGGAAAGAAGCCATGTGGCTGAATATCAAAAAGAAATTCAAGATCTGAGAGGGCAAATTCAGAAATTACAGGAGGCTGGAAATGTCGGGGAATACTCTGGTAGGGAACCCTTTGTTGACCAATCAAGATCATCTCCTCTTTGTGATTTTTTTCTGTTCCTTTAAGGCTTTGACAGCATTCAGTTATTTCATGACATTATATAAAGGTAACATTTTAACCAAAAAAATTGTTGCATTCTGTCATGGCATAGATTCCACTGAGCTCAGGCGAAAACTTGCCAGAATTGAAGAGGAGCATGCAGAGAAAATCAGAGAATCTAATGAAGAGGTATCAATGAATTGACTAAAACGTGATTAGATGTATTTGTATGCAAATGGTTAAAATTGGAAAAGTAGTGTTGTGACCTGATAAATATCAACTGAAGGCTTAATGCGATATTTTTATTAATAAAAATGTTTCAGTTGGTCTTGACACAGGCATAAGTGTAGTAATTTGCACACCAAAAAAATGACATTTTTCTTTTTTTTTTGTTTGTAAAGTTAACTGGCTGAAGAGGTCTGGCTGTTGTTATAGTTATTTGTAGTTATACACAAACAGATGCCTACGTGTAGTAGACACAGACTTGTGAAAATGTGGGTTTGTAATGGTATGTAATGGTTCTTTACATAAGCTGGAGAAAATAAATTCATTTTGATAAATCTAAAGACACTGTGGCAGAAAAAAAAATTATCTGGCAAGCAAAATGCTTTTTAGGCAGTGGAATAGAACTGAGCATTTTTTTCCTTGGTTGTAAACTGGTGAGAAAATTAAGTTTTAAATCCTGTATCTTTATAGATCATGGGACTTCAGAGCCAAATTGCCAAGCTACGATCCACAGTGGAGAAGGGCGAGGCAAACAGACAGAAGCTTGAATATGACCTGACTATTGCAAACACATCAGCCAGTCAAGAGAAGAGGATGGCAGCTGAGAGGGAAAGTACTCTCCAGAAAAGTGTTGCAAATCTTAAAGGTGTGTACAGTTTAGCAAATAAATAGCATCAATGTCTTTGCATGATAAATAAATTTATATTAAGTTGAGTGGTAGAGAAGGTAATGTTTGTTGTTCAGGGCCAGACCATCCTGGGGGATTGTTTTGCTCTTTCTATACAAAAGGCTACTTGTGAAACCCTTTCTCTATGTCCTTCAGGTTAGAAGGGTAAACTCACAAATATGTAATATAATAATAATAATACAAACACCATAGGCAGGTGTGGCACTAAAGAGTATTCATTTATGCTCGTTTTTAACCTGAAATTGGATAAAATCAGATGCTGTGGTCTAAAATGTTTAGGGCAGACTTGAGAGGAAGGGTGTGGGTTTGAAGAAGCTTCTTTTATCAGAGGCAATTTTGTAAATCCTATACAGATATGAAACAAGTTGGGGAAATATTACTTATTTTAGAAATAGGGAATGGAGTATAATATAAATTAAATGAAATGATCACCAACTACTTTACATTGTTAAAATTATCCTGCTCACAATCTGTTTCACTTATTAATTCTCTTGGGTAGAGTGACTCCTGCAGTTTCTATACTAACTTATCTCATTATGATATGAACAGAAAATATCAATCAGCTTAAGAAACAGTTACAAAATGTTGGAGAAGCCCTGGAAGAAACACGTCAAACTGGCAAAAACGAAGAACACAAAACTAACCAGTTACTTGCAGAAAAGGTGGGATGCAAACTATGTATTTAGAGATAAGGCAACAACCATATGTTGGAACAGGTTGTTCAGAGTGTTAGCCCTTAAACTCCCAGAAGTGGTTAACATCAAACTTCTCACAACATTCTCCATACATTATCAGAAATGTGTAGCAGCTAGAGGGGAGAATTAACAATCAGATACTGGGAGTTAAGGGTTAAACATCATATTGAACATTCCATTTTTTGGGGGAAAATTTTCATAATTTTTCTTAAGTTACTAAAAAAATTCCAGTATGGCAGTGGGCAAATTTGACTGATAGGGTCTGACATTTCCAGTTAGTGAGTGTATTCTGTTCTTGAGTGGAGCAATTTGGTAAGTCATTTCGGTATTGGCAACCCCTCATACTTGAAATGACTCTATCAAAGGAAGGAGTTTGATTCATAATTATATGAGATCTTTTTGATACACAAAGGCTTGTAGTTAAGAAATTAAGCTGCTGGCTAACATTTCAAGTGAGGCGGCTCAAAGATAGCATTCAATGTGGAGCCAATGTAAGTGCAAGACCTCAGAAGTGCCTGTTGTGCCCTACAGGCCAACAATTGCTGCTTTTTTATCCTACAAATTCTGCTGACAGTTGGCACATAGCAACAACCTTGTACACATCTGTAACACCAGTGCTCTGAAATACCCATTAAATCTTGGGAATAAAGAAGCTTTCTGCTGTAGCACTAGGTGTTTTACCAAATTGGTAGTCTTGTTTGGTTTTTACAGGAAAATATGATTCTCCAACTTACAAACCAACTGCAGATTGAGGGAGAAGAGAAACGAAAACTTCATGTTGTAATCGAGGAACAAGAGAGGTGTTATATTTTTTTTTCCCTTTGAATTCCTTTGACCAGTCGGATCTCAACATTTTAAAATTTCACTGTCTTGCTTGATAATAAAATCAAATCAATGTTTTTAGTATGGTTTCTTCTCTTGTTCCACAGTTTGTATGCTGAATTGCAGGAGAAGTGTTCATCTCTTGAAAGTGAGTTTATGATACTTTATCAGGGCTTAAAGCTCAACAATTATCCAAGTCACTATTTTGTTGCCAGATAAAATAAATTGAAGAAAAAAACAAAAAAACAAAGCAAAAAACCAAAAAGGGAATTTTGCCTAACAGTACACCTTGCTACATTACTGCCAAACTGTGGATGCCTAATTGACAACTTCTGCTGGAAATTTAGTTGCCAAAATTTTTCCTACTCTCCATAGCAACCCAATTGGTAGCATCTTGATGTGTCGCCTTTTACTTGTAGTCCTCTCAACTTAAATAGCTGTGGGAAAATGCTTAGACCTGCCGCATTGAAGGTCACATTATATGTTGCTAGATGTTTTTCTGACCATGTGATGATCAGAAAATTGAATATCTCCAGCTGAGAGATTGAAATAATGTTATTTTATTTAGCCCAAAGATCAAGTCAGGGAGAAACTTTGCAAAAGCAAATGAGAGATCTGGAGTTCTATTCTGAGAAGGAAGAGAGGTTGAAGAAAGAGATTGAGGTATTGATAAAAACAGTTGCAAAAAGAGGATAAATATTCATAACAATCTACCTGATGACTTTCTCAATGGTGAGAAACAAAGCAGTTGCATAGGGGAAATTTTTAACTCAGGAATGTCATAAGAACAAATTCAACTGAGTGGCAAAGAAAATATTTTGACCCCTGGAACTGCTGAAATCAAATCCATGGTTCTTAGCAACTCTGTGGCGCTGACTCCTAATGGGTAGTAAATCTAAAATTTTTGAAATCATTTTAAATTTTGTTTTTTTGGAAGAAACACAGAAACACAAGGTAATAAAAAATTTAGTGTTTTCAGCCTGTTGGTGACTCAAACTCGTAGTGTTAGACCAGTTAGGAATATTCTATAAATGTTATGATTAGTTCTTTTAAGTTACCTTAATTTTCCTTTTATCTGATTCTAATGCAGCAAAATCAGGAACGAATCAAATCATTGGAGGAGAGCATTGAAGCCGAGAGAGCTGCACATTTAGAAACCAAGTTCAACTCAGAGATCATTCAGGTGATTATAACACTGTATATGATCTGTTCTCTTTATCAGTGGTGAGCCAGGATGCTTCAGTGGTTGGGGCACTTGCATTTTGTGGTTATAGTGTTTTCTTCAGTTCTTGTCTTTGTTTCAAGGCTTCTTTTCTGGCTCTCCAGGTTTTCCATACCCACATGAGCAAGAAACTACAAAGTGATACGAAGACATTGAAGCGACATCCATGAAATATTTATGCTATACAACAAATCCTTCATTGACCAAGCTTGTTCAGTTAAGATGGCTGGATATCAGCCTCGTTTTTCTCTCGTTGCGATCTGTAAAAACGCGAAAAAAAAAGAACTCAGTCAATACCCAGTCATACCGACCTCACACTTGGGCAAAAACGCATATTTGATGATGTGTTTGATTTGTGTTTTCTAATTGAATGTATTCCGTAAATGTGTAGTTGAAGGTGCGAGATCTTGAAGGTGCATTGGAGGTCGAAAAGTCTGTAGTGGATGACGCTAAACATAACCTTGATACATTGACAAAGCAGCACAGGTTTGTACAGATGATTTCTGCTCTTAGTATTATACATGCAATTGCAACAGCAAAATAATAGTGTGATTTCTCAGCTTACTTTATGCGGCAATTCAAATTCCCTGATTAGTCGAGAATTGTGTCATATATACTTGTAATCACACGGCCTGCAGCGAATACAATACTTACACATTAATTTTTTAAATGGCGACTGCACGACTGTGTTATGTTTATGAGGAAGAAACTTACAAAATATAATTTCTCTGATAATTGCCTAAATCTCAGTACACATGGTTGATTTCTTCCGATAATATTCATTTCAACTTTGTTGAAAAATCGAGTTTGTTTTAAAAAGAAGACATTGTTGAACAATAAATTACATCAGGAATATTTGCATGCACTGTACCCAATGAATTACGGTTAGATCGCACCATGGTTAGATCGCTCCCAGCTAGATCGCTCCCAGTTAGATCGCTCCAATCAAAGGTTAGATCGCTCCACTCGAAAGTTAGATCGCTCCATCAATATAAGTTACTTCGCTCCCAACATAAGTTACTTCGCTCCATGTAGAAAACTAAGGTAAAGGTAGCAAAACCAAGCTATCTAAATTTATAATTCATCAAATGACGTGTATATCTTACTTAACAGTCGATTAATATCGCTCGCGCGCGCTTGAAATAAATCTGAGTTACGCAGAGAGAACAAATGAAGCCTCATGTAACGGACTCACGAAGTGTAACCACGATCATTTATTCCATCATCGCTATACTTCTAGTCACCTATATATATATATAGGTGGTTAATCTGAAGGACAGAGTGAATACGATGTACTCGAATCGTCGCAAGACACATCATCGCCTATGAACTTAAAAGATCATTGCTAAGCAATACTTCACATTACAACATGAAACGAAGTACCTTACGTTGGTAGCGAAGTAACTTATTTGATGGAGCGATCTAACTTTCGAATGGAGCGATCTAACTTTTGGTTGGAGCGATCTAACAAGGAGCGATCTAACCATGGTGCGATTTAACCGGATACCTACCCAATGATTCATCTCTGTTAGGGAGCTTGAAGCAGCTTTTGAAGAAGAGAGAGATGTTTGTAAAGCAGAGAAAACAAGAGTGGTTGGTTTGGAGGAAAGCCTTGCCAATGAAAGAAAGAAAATGCAAGAAGAAATTGATGAAAAGCTGAAGATCATCACAGACTTGTCCAAACAGCTTGAGGTTCATCAAAAGAATTTTGAGGCGTTAAAACATGAACTCAGTCAGGTAATTAATTTAGGCCATTGAAGCAGACCTTCGCTCCAAATTGTGATCAGGAAACTGAAAAAAGAATTCGAAAGTGCATGGTCAGGACGCGGGCAAGATATTTCGTACAGCCTCAGATTTCGTTATGCATACAGTTCTTGAATGAAGAGAACATTGGAGAAAAAGATACAGAAGAAAGCTTTGGCACAAATGTTTAGAGACACAAACGGCCGCCGGAAGTTAAAAATTCTCATTCTTGGTGCTCTCTTCAGTACAGTTTGGTTTAAAACGCTAAAATGACGACCTTACAGTCGATTCATTGACGTCATAGCGTGCCAAATTAGTTTTATTGTTCTACTGGTTACCATCCGTATCTTAAAACCGTCTTTAATTATCTTTTTGACCACGGATTTGTGTTTGAATAGTACGTGGTTATGCGGGAAATCTTCGCAGGGAGCTTTAAATTTTAAGGCCTTAAAATTTCAAAAACATTTTTCTCTTGTCATCACAGAAATGACGGTGTATATATATTTTTCTCATTCACCTGTTGACATTTGATGAAGATTTTATCCATCGTGATAACTGTAAGCTTGTAAAATTTTTTCCAGGCAAAGAAACGCCAAATTCAGCTGGACACCACTTATGGTAGTAGTATGCGTGAACTAGAACTCCTTCTCGGTAATTTTCAGATCGAAAAACCGGAGGAACACAAACGACAAGGTGATAATTAAATATAGTCTGCTCAAGCGCAAATCTGTGTAACTGTGTTTTTGCTTCAAATAGTATTCTGCTCATGCGTATCTGTGTTCACGCTTTTCCGCGGAAAGTGGAAGCTCGCTTCCCTAATTCGTCACAGATTGACTCCCATAGAAAATTACGACAAAAGAATACCACCCTCGAAGTATGAAACAGCTCACAAACTTGTAGATCAATCAATTGTCTAAGCCTTCGTCTTTGACAATTTTTTTAGTTCACCACCGGCAAATCACGATTATAGTTTTCTCACCCTACTGAATCCTATAACTGTTAAATATCTGCAGGCTACAAGAAAGAGAAACAAAAGGCCCTGTCGCCGGCTGCAGTGTTAGAGAGTCTTCGTCATACATTGGTGGATTATCAGAACAGATGTTCAAATGCTTCAGCTGAGGTAAGTTCGTGCTAGATACCTCTTAATAACCGAGGTCGAGGTTTGCACTGTAAAGGTTTGAGTTTTTGTCGCACTTGGACCATAACGAACGAAAGAGCGTACGACAAAACGAGATTAGTAAGTATATTTATCATATCTCTGGGTAGCAAAGAGAGGGGAAGACGTTAATTGAGCTTGCCGCACATTAACCCTTTACACCCTAACATCAGTATGCATATTCTCCATACTGTTCTCTATACATTTCCTAAGGTGCTGACAAGGAGAATGTGTTTAACAATGAAGAGTTTCTTTAGTTGGTGATCATTTCCTTTATTCTCATGACCTTAATGTTTGATTCAGGGGTGATAATGTGAGGGGAAATAGGATGCTTGTCACTCTCAGGGGTTAAAGGGTTAAAATACGGCCTGCTTACCTGACCAATCGTGCCGCACGTACTAATTGATGGCGGAAAAAACACTCGGTCCGTAACTTACAGTACGGACCTCGAACTCAGTTGGTAAGAGGTATATATTATGTTACTTATAAAAAAAGATAAAGTCGATGATAACGATAATGTTGAATTTAACGTCGAAAAGGCAGCACTCCAATTTTGTTTTCTTGATGATTTTAGTACAAAAGGATGCGAGAGCTTGGCGAGAAGCTATCAGCAGACTGTGAACATTATAAGGAAATGGTGACCAGCAGGGACAAGGCTATGAAAGTAAGAACACTGTTATGCGTTGTAGGTATTGTAAAACATCAGCTGAAAGAGCTGCCTCGAGCGCAGTTGTGTGCAGTGTCGTATAAGGAAAACTGAAGTGATCTTAGTAACTAATCTGAGCACAGCAAATAACTTAAGAAGTCAAGTAGAGCTCAAGAAAGAGGGAATTTGCTAGACACTCATTTGAAAATCGCTGTACAGAGCGTGAATGTTATGAAACGAAGGAGCATGGATGTGATCAAGGGCTAACTTGATTCTCCGGATCAATATCAGTATCTGGGCAACTGCCCACCTACCCCTCCCCTAACTCAACGACAGTCAATTGATAACAACTTAGGGTTAATGTTGGATTAGGGGAGGGGTAGGTGGGCAGTTCCCCGGATACTGATATTGATCCGATTCTTCTTAGAGATTACATTTTCTTCAAAAAGTACTTCTTACGACTCGGCATCTTCCTGCGTAGCAACTCAGTCAAATCTTAGAGAGGCAATGACCTGCCTTCAAATTGTGTTGTCGGAGTCTGTTTTAGAGCATGTAGTCAAAGTTGAAAGGAAAGTTGAAAGTCAAGAGTACTTTTAAATGTACTTTAGCCTCCTAATGTGAGGGAACACGATAAAATCTTTCACCACCCATAACCAGATATCTTTGTTCTACCTTGGTTTCTCATTATTATTTTGTAGGAGGCGGAAAACATAGTTGCAACTAAAGTAAAAGAGTTAGCCAAGGCACGCCAAGAATGCGCGGAGAAGGAAGCTACCATTGCAGCCATGAAAATAGACTTACAAACATTGAACAAGGCACTAGAAGATGCCAAAAGCAAAGTTGAAAACTCTGAGGAAGAGGTGAAACGAAGCTTCTAGTTAATTGTGATCATCAATCTTCCGAAATGAATTCCGGCTGTCTGATCTTCTGTCAAAGAGGCTTCAATCTTGTTGTTTGCAATCCGTGTTGATCTCCTTCATTTCCATCGTCGTCCTTTCCCTTCTGTCCCTTCTCCTCTGCAGTACTTTCCTTTGCCTATCGTCCTCCCTCTCGGTAAAATTTTCTTTCTTTCCCTAAACTACATTTGATTTAGAAGGCCATGATGGTGGTTGAACTTTCCCGCAGAATTACTGAGCGCCCGCCTGCCCAAAAGAGGCCTTCCCTAACTTGTTGAGTCGTGAAATGGCAGTTAACGTTGAATGGCCTTTGTTATATTTTGTTCTTCACAGAATATCAAAGTCAAGAGTGTGTTAAATCGTGAAGACGAGGTAAGAACACTTGCTTATTTTGCACATTATTTTGTGAATGCTTTCCAAGACATAATTTTTTAGCCTCTGTTATAATTCTCAAACTATTGTTTTTCAAACTATGGGATGTTCCTCTTCTTTTCAGACTCATCGCATGTTCCTGCATTCCTTGTATCAGCGAATGATCACAGGGCAAGTCTATGTTTCCTCACCAGACTCCGCGCTATCCAAATATTCCTGGACGGACATGTGTAATTTGGTATCAGAGCAAGTGTCAGCTCATCTCAGTGAGCTTAATAGAGCGACTGAAAGGGTATAACAAAGCTAGTGTTTCATTATCACGATTGTTGCTTCGTTTTACGCCTGTAGTACAATATTTCGCCGCGTTCTCATCACAGGCAGCTTTTTTTTTTATCATTGCAGATTCAGCACCTCGAGAGTGTGTTGTCAAGAAAAGAAGAGTCACTCCGACAAGTGCAAGAAGCTCACGAACAAACAGTGACCAAGGTAAGCACTTCGAAAATCAAATTCCCTCTAAATTGTTATACCTCTGAGAATCTCACATCTTGTTTGAAACCCTCCCCAGCTCTCCTCTGCTATTAAAGACCGTGAAGTGTCGTGGAAGAAACAGAAGGCTGAGCTAGAGGAGCATTACAGCAAATTGATAAAAGATCTTCATTCCAGGACTCAGGTAACACCGTGAGCAGTTTGAGACCGATTAGCTCACAGATATTTAGGTCCCAACCTACCGCGTAACTTGAAAAATTTACCAATTAGCGATATTTTTTTTTTACGAGGTGTGAAAGAGAAGATCGTGGCGTGATGCGCTTTCACTGAAAGACAGTAACTTGACTGAGTAAAGTTTATGTGCATTATGTTGGACGCCTCGGTAACCAGGTTTTAATCTCTAATATCAACAGAAGACAACATTCTTTCCGCTGACGATTTGAATAGGCTCCCAGCCTTTTCCTTTATTTCACGCTTATGACAAATGTTTGGAATATTTTGAAAAATGACTTTGTTGCCTTCTCCTTCTCACAGAAAACGCAAACTTTAGCAGACCAGGCTTGGGAAAGAGCTCACGAAACAGGCCAAGCTAAGGATACGCTCGAAATGGAGAACGCACGGCTTCAGTTGTCTTTGGAAGAAATACAGAGAAGCGAGTCTTCTCTGTTGACTGTTAGCGCACTTCTCGCAGGCGCCCTATGGCCTGCGTTTGGGAGAATACGGGCTTTGGCCTCACAGCGTAGGATATTATCCGAATATGTGAGAACATTAGAATATCTTCGAGATAAGACGAACACTTTGGGGGAAATGTTAAGCCACGAGATGGAAGCTGAGAAGAGGGAAAAAGATGCTCCTCAATCGAAAAAGCGGTCCCTAAGAGATGGCCGCTGTCCCGTGTTGGTGTTTAGAGTGGGTGTCATAGCTGTTATTGCTGCCAACAGACTGCGCCATTTTGGCTCCTTTAGTTTAAAGTTGTTTGTGTCCTCTGAGTCTCCCGGCGAGTTTGGCGGGATGTCTATTGTGTGCTGCGGGCAAATGTCAAGGAAAGCTGACTTCAGGGGTGGGTATTTGACGATATTTGAGTCATTTTTTTGTGCAGCGCTCGAAAACTCTCTTTACCTTGAAGGAGACCACAAAAGTATTTTTTTGGTGAAATAGAAAGAGTCAAAAGAACTAATAATGAACTATGAAGGAAAAAATTGCCAAAGATGGAGAGGACTTAAAAAGAATTTAAGAAGGAAACAGCGCTCTCCTTCCTTTCTGTTATGCATTTTGCCAGTGTCCCTAAAAAGCTTGCATGGTTTCAGGTGTGGTTAACAAACACAAACGAGAGTCTTCAGTAGTGGACACGTCACGCGCAGGTGCCAGGGTGACGTCAGCACAGGCTTGGTTAACCAGCTCTCAGTTACAAAGTCACCTCATCAGTGCTGTGAGCGAACTGCAGTCGGCTCTCAACAAGATGAACGAGGCAGAGGGTGGAGACTCTAGGAGGGATGAACACGGTAGGATATTTGCCAAGAGGGGTACTAAAGTAACTAGACCCGATCAAACATTTTTATCCGTGTGATTTTTATCTCCTCTTTAAAAGAAAATGTGCATGAAAAATGACTGCTGGCCGCGTTTTGAGACTGACTTTTCTGTCAGGCACAAGATCAGAAGAATCAACTTAGAACTTACTGCCAGAATAACATATCGTTTTTGTTTGCAGTTAACCCAGGATTAGTTTAATGCTGCGTTGTTTACTCTTCAATTTATTTCACAGATGGATCTAGCAGAGCACAGAGTCCTTCGACTGGGAACAATATAATAGCAGCAGCCAGAGGTGCCTACAGCAAAATTATCTCTAGGCTTCAAACAGAGTTCTCTGGACGGGTGATAGGAGAAGAGGCTTGGCACGAGAGGTACTCAGGCTTCCGAGGGGAGATGATGGCGTCTTTGGGCTTGGGACTCCAGCAATGGCTGGCTAAAGCACCTGTGCAAGGATTATCTTACATATCGTCTCAGGTGAGAGACCAATTATGTGTATAGAGTTCTTTTCGACCGAGTGTCATACAATCAAAACCAAGGTTATCACAATGGCTAAGGAAGAAAGGAAAATACCTCTAAGAGCCGATGACAACTGAGAATGAAAACATCCAAACACTCTAAAGCGCGGGAAAAGGCGGGCGGCCAAGTTGTGATTGGTTTTTATTTTGCATCTGATTGGTTGAGAAAGTGGCGCGAGTTTTTTGGACCAATCACAGGGCGAAGTAAAGAAAAACCAAAGCAATCCTTGATTACTTTCGACATTCAAGTGAAAATTGCACTCTCCCTGAATCGTTTTTCACTGTGGGGATGTGAATGAAACAACAGAATTTCTCCTATTTCAAATTAACTACAAGATTCTATCGCGTTACAGTTAATGAGGACAAAGCTTGAATCAGCTATCACGCATAGAAATTGAGAGTGAATAATCTTATGGCTTTGTTATGAATCTTTCAAGTCGTTCAAAACTCATTAACAAGACAGGCTCGTGTTTTTATTGTATTTTGTTTAGAATCACACATTGTAAGACCACTCACTTTACTCACTGTTTATCACTGAATAGATAGCGAGTAGCGTGGCCGATCAGATCGCAGCATTTGTGATGGCACGCTAGTAGATCTATACTGAAACTTAAATTTTTAGCGCGAGCAGTGAAAAAGCCACTGTTAACTCTATGTAACTGTGACTTGTAAATAAAAGGGGAGCTTCTTTTCTTAGGTTTGAAGAAAATGATGGGAATTGGTATTCAACAGTGTGTACGGCCAGATCCAACGATTCCAATCTTAACCTGTAACAAAGACATCTGTTGGCTAACCAGTCACCTCCGCTAACTATGTTGGCACTATACCAAGCTACTGTTTCGAATATCTTTCTTTGTCTTTCTATAGCGAACAATTAGTGCACTTCAGAGTCAAATCCTTGGCTTTACTCAGCGCCTTCATGCGGCAGAAGTCGACAGACGTTCGCTCAGACTTGAACTCTCCAGAAGTAAACAGGAGACTGCAGAGATAAAGAGTGTCCAGTCCTCTTCTGAGACGCAGCATCGTAAGGCCAAAGAGGAAGCGCGGGGTCTGGAGGAGAGACTTCAGGAAATGAAAGAAGAGGTTTGTTTACACTTATCATTGCTGGGAGTTTTTCCTCCCGGCCTCTTCACATTGAATTTCTTGTCTCCACAAAAAGCATTTTTATAGAAAGGAAATACTGAACAAGAAATCGCCTCGCTGCTCAGGGGAATTACTCCAAAACATTTTCAGTCGCTTTCGGAAACTTGGAAAATAGTACTGAAATTTTCCAATGAGTAGAGAAAAAACAAAATTTTAGTTCGGAAAGATATACAAAAACCCAAATGGGAAAAAATGAACCCGAAAGAAGACAAGGATGGCGAAGATCGATACAGATTAAAAAGGAAGATTGAAAAAAGACTAAGCTGTACTTTCACGTGCATGTGATGTACAAACCGTTAGAGATCCTCTTTAAACACCCCTTTTCCCTCCCACCCAACCCCACCCCCAACACGAATCCACCGATCGATTGTTATTGTTGACGATCTCTTTTTCGCCCTGTTTTAGATGCTATCCATGGTACCTATGGCCCGTTTTGAAAATGTTTGCGAGGAGCTCAATAACGCTCTAAGGCGAGAACAACAGGCCCAGGCCCTTCTTAATGAGCAGACGACTCAGATGCAAGAGATGGGGGAGAGACTGGAGCTTCACGCCAACCAAGGAGAAGAAAAGGATGTCACACTCGCTGAAGCTGTCAAGGTACAAACCTCTTTGAGGATGCATGGTTTCTTTTAAGGCCAGCGGCCAGCAAAACTCGCTGGCTAATGCACCTGAACTCGCCACCTACTTGTCATAGGAAATAAAACCACATTCTACGAATAACACGAGAAACATTCGCACAGAACACGAGCCTTGGATCGGCAAAGTTTTGTCCTGAAAAACGAGAAAAGTCTTTCCTGAATTCTGAGTCATTTTGGGCGGCTTTTTCTGTTTCCCTGTTCTTCAATCGTTCCGTGATCAAAACAAAACGCTTTTGCTGAGTAGCCTTAATTTTACTGGATAAAAATTTCTACGCGCTTTCGATGACATTCGATGTTCGGCTCGAGTTCCACTTCAGCGCCTACTCGCTCGTGTTTTGCCACCTACTAAAATGCCTATTAAAAACCTGGAATGTATTTATTGGACACAGAGGTATAAAAGAGACATATTTTGGTTTTTAGGGTCTCACTGAGGCAAAGATGGAGCTTCGCCGTAAAGAACACGCCGTCCGCCAAGTCTCAAAGCAAATGACGTACATGGAAAACGAGAAAAATGCTTTGATAGACAGACTTAACGATGCCGAAAAAACAATGACTGCCGCGGCTAGGTGAGTGTAAACGACAATTATTTACACCACGAACGAGTTAGAAAGATTACATCGAATGCCTGTTGGAGAAATCGAACTGAAATTTAGTCCTGCTACGTGAATTTCCCCTCCCCTCCCCTCCCCTCATAATTGAAAAAAATATTTCTGTATGAACTTGCACAGTTTTACTGTAAGTTTGGCCTTGATTTTGTCATAACACTAAGTCAATAATATTTCTTTTTAAGTTATGAATTTGGCCCAGCGTTTTAAAGCTTCGATTGTCGCTCATTTCAGGGAAAAAGAAGCTTTAACAGGTTACTTGAAGTCGGTCGACAGAGCCCTGGAACAGAGCAAAGATCAAGTACGACTATCCAAGGGTGCCTTAGGGCCCTATGAGCACACTCTGCCCCAACTCATTCTTCCAGACGAGCGGTTAGCGATGGATGGTTTAAGCCTGAGTCCCGAATTATTATCTTGCCAGGTGTGCTTGTCGAATTAATGTACTTTCGCGGACGCGAAGGTCAATTCCGTCAACTGTTATTGTTTTCCTTGTATGAAACAGATAAGTTATGGCTAGTTTGTTTCTCAAAGTTTGTCACAGCTTTGATTAATTAGTAACAGGACCTCGTGGTTTACAAATTGGACTCCAGCGTCTCGGTCTTTCGATTTTGTCTGATTTGGTTACAGACCGGATTGTACTCCACTCAGTCCTATTAACTTTACTAATTTTCCGGCAGGGTCAGTTAATATCTTGATATTAACCCCTACTCTGTAGAAATTATTGTGTATACTCCCTAAAAATCTGAAAAAAATGCCGGCTTATACGGACCTATAGTCCATAATAAACCTCCCGTTTTATGATTGATTTTGTCGTCGGGAACTTACGACTGTTTCGTATTTCTTGGTTTCAGCATGTTGTGACGTCATTTATCGAGTGTCAGCAGCAGGCATTGGACCGTATCTCCGAGCTTGAAATGGATAAACAGCAGGCCTTGTCACGCGTGACACATTTGGAAGAAGAGATTAAGTCACACAAGGCTCACATAGCCACTCTGAAGAACGAGCTGGCTGCTGCCTGTAGAAGACCCATGAGTGATGACGGGCTGAGCGAACCTGGGCACTACATTCCTGGCGTGGTAACCTTTCTGACGTTATCTCTGTTGTTCAGAGTTTTAGTGGATCGATGCCAGTATCTGAGCGAACAGTGCATCTACCCCTCCCCTGATCCCACATTAACCCTAAGTCGGTATCAGTCGATTGATGTTGGGTTAGGGAAGGGGTAGGTGGGCAGTTTGCTCAGATAAAAGCATTGATCTGTTTTGGGGACATTCACACCCTACGAAATGTAAGCAGCTTCTTAGCACTTGCTACCATCTATTGTATGTGATTTTAAGGAAAGAATGTAACCACATTTTGTTCAAGGTGAAAACATGTAAAAAATAAAGCCGTGTTAAATCGTATTTGACCTGCAAATGTTTTTTCATTTTTCACTTCAGGATGGGTTTGCCGGCAAGGATTCTTCGCTGCATCGCTTTTCAGATCACAGAGATGACGAGAACTTCAGGAGTTTCATTCCTTTGTCGTAAGTAAAATTTTCTGTTCGAGATCACTCTCGGAGCTAGATGTTGCAAGTGCAGTCCAGCCATCTCAGACAGTTTGACCGCTAAGATTAATAGATGTTAGCGCTTCCAAGCACCACACACACCCTTTACCCCTTTTCGAATACATTCCTAATGGCGTAGGATTAACGATTCAAAGACAGTTACCCACAGAATCAATTTTAAGTATCTTCATCTTCTTGTTCTCTACGTCTTTTATTCTTCTCAGGGCTCACCGTGATTCTAGTGCAACTTTCAGGCCTTCGTTGGCCTCGACCAGCGGTTACCCAGACAGAAGTAAAGGCAGCTATGGAAGGTATAAGAAGTCGCAAAATTTATTTGTGTAGGGAAGTTCGAGTTGGCGAGAAATTAAGCTCGGATTTTTGAGATTCCACCGTAAATGGGTACCAACGAAGTGTCAAGGAGACGTGACGAAATGCCCGCGCGGGAGGAGGGGGAGGGGAAGTAACTTGCCATGGGAACTGGAACAGATCAAGATCAAATTTATTTAGACACGCTAGCCTATCATCAACATTATAAAAAGCTGTTTTCCAGTAGGGGCGTGAACTAAGTATAAAAGTTTAAAACTACTTAAAATATACATAAAACATACATAACAGGCCTCGTCGCAATGGGCCATTTGCCGCGTGTGCAGACTTTACTTTTTCCTGACGATCGCAAGATTTATACTTGTCTTCTTGAGTGGCTCATGGGATGTTTTTATTCGGTTAGGTATAAAGAGCGATCGCCTATGTTAAGCTTTTTACCTTTCTCTCCGCTCACCCTGATGTCAGTCCTCTGATGCAAATTTATTTTCTTTTAGTCCAAAGAGACGCTTAACATCGAGCTACAGAAAACAGGGGAAAAAACTTGGACAAGACTTCTCCAAACTGCTTGATCAAGGACTTTGAGAGCAAAGGCCATTTAAGATGTGTCCTCATCTGTTAGCAAAGATAGTTTGATTTTCAACCCATTGCGGTTTAACCAACCCATACATTCCTGCATGATATGAGTTTGGCGTTGGTGAAGGCGAAAGCAGAATAGAAACTATGAAAAATAACGGTACTTGGCACTTGCTTAGCTCAAATCGTCTTTCACCAAAAATAACGACGTCGCAATGAACATTCTAGTTGAAAAAGTGTGCCAGTGTGCGGGCGGTATCTGTCCTACGGAAGAGATATTTAATTCTGGAGCTGTATAGAAGAGGCTTATTTGATACATTTACATAGATTATTGAATTGTAGTTTGTATTTGAGAGTGTTGTAAGTTATTTTAGTACATTAAGGAGTTATGGTTTTAATTAAAACGGTAATTCTTCTCAATGAAATGTAGAAAATAAATGTGTTTTTGATACATGGCGAGGAAGAACTGCCTTGGATCACGGCTCGTTTGGGATAGAAGAAGGAGAAGCCGGTCGATTCGCCTGGAATGGCAGTTGATTCGCCTTGAGTGAAAGTCGGCTTGCCACACATGATGTTGACACAAAAAGAGGTTGGAAAAAAAGATGCGAAGGATATGCATATTTGTTGAGCTTTTCAAGTTTTTTTTTGGATTTCTTTTTGGCTTTGCGGAGGGAAGCATGTGTGTCTTTTGTCAACAAATCGTCCTATTTTCAAACAAGAATTTCTCTTCAAGAAAGAAGCAAAAAACCGCAGCAAATCAACTTTACCTCATTGGATGTGAATTCTGACTTCTTTCTGAGTAAATCACATCAGAAAAACAAAAGGGTATACGATGATCGATTTTAACATGCAGATGACTCAACCGAGCCTGAACCTTTCACATTGCTTTTCTCAATCTTCATTATATATCTGCGCTCTACGAGAAGTTCCTTGGCAACAATCTTGGAAGGCCGTGGAGGACCACCGTTTTCGAATTGCACCCCTTTTAATGCATCGGAGAACAAATTACGAACCGTGACATTCAAGATTCGTTTCATTTTAAACCAAGTAACAGTCTGACGACTTTCTTAAAGTTCAGAGTCACACGCTTGCAAAATTTAAGCACCCAGACTTGCTCCCTCGACTCGGGCATGATGTCAAGAGATGACGGCATAAACAAGTTACCATGTAAGCATCCATAAACACTTCACATATTTGTTATCACATTTCGGGTTCGGTGCTGTCTGTGAAACAGTAAAACAATGAATTTCTCGTATTTATCAGATGGTTTGCATGACGATAAAGGCAACGATATTTCAGGCGATAAAGGGTCTTCAGCAAAGTCCTGTTCAAAGAGAGTTTTCGATGAAGAAGTTTGTGATATAAATGGCGCGCACAAACTGCATGAATGACCATCTTAAAACGCGCTTGTGATGGTCAAGTATCCAATTACTTTTGGAAAGTCATGAAATCGCTTTTCAATGAAATCTACTAGTGCTCTATCAAAAATGCTGCAATGTGATTTGGGTAAGCTACTCGCTTTATGTTCCATGATAGACTATTGCGTAACAATGTGCGGTTATAAAAAAAATTCAATAAAAATATGAAACTGTCTCGTTGTTAAGTTTTGAACTATGAGTAGATTCATCTCTCTGTTTCATAGACGTATTTCCTCTTTTTCAAGTTAAGTATCTGTAATTCTCTTTTGCGCACTTGCAGCTAAAGAGAGGAAGGTCACTTTTTTTGAATAACCTCTCTCCAGGAAAGACAAGGAGATTGCTGGTCGCGAAGAAAACCTGTCCAAGCTACAAAGAGCTGGACAAAGAAATCAGTTTGATTTCATAAAAAGTGGAAACAATAGAGGAAAGGCTGAAAGAGGTGAGAAGTAATGTTGACGAACTTGAGGTTGCAGAAAACCATGAAACAAAAGTTGAATTAAGAATGCCAGACAGAACCACAAATATTCAATTGTAAATAAATGTCCAGCGGAATTTCACCAAACGAACATTCCGTTGATACGTTTTTAACCCTCTGCACCCTAACATGGGTATCCATATTCTCCATAGAGAATTCGTTGACCCCATCAAGAGCTCCTCCAGAGCTTCACCTCATGACCTTATGTTTGATTCAAGGATAATACCGGTAGAAGAAATTGGTAGCCAGTCACTCTTAGGGGTTCAAGGCTGAAGAGAAGGTCATTTCACTGATCAAAAATGCTAGAAAAATGGAGGTTATAAAAATCGTGGTAGAAGAGAAATTTCAACTATTTTTCCATTGAAAGGACAATAAGTCACTATATGTAATAACGTGATTTTGAGAGCAGTTTGATAAGTGCGAGTAAATGTTCAAAGACAAGTTCGTATTGACACCAACTTGCACAAGAAATCACGTTGTTAAGTGTTAGTAAACTACACGAAAAACGCATCACAGAAAGTCAAGAAGGACGAAATTTTGGTGGCACGCGCGGGCTAATTGAAAGTTTCACTAGGTTACAACTTTACAACTGCGTTACATGAAAAATGCACTCGTTTTCAGCCAAACAGGCGCGCGTAATTTTTTCACCTATATCATTATTTATGAAATCATGGGTCACAGCCATTGGCGAAATCAATTTTCTACAGTTCCCTTTTATATTCTGTTGACGACGACAAATCCCCCACCGTTCCCCCCAAAAATCCTCCGCTCCACCCCCCCCACCCTCCACTTCAAATTCCAGAGGTTTCATGAAAAGGCGAATTTCTACGCCACAAAATTATTTTAGAAACAAACTAGAATTACTTCATGAGGGACCAGTGACTCTTAAAACTTACGCTTCTTCTGTAAAAGAACACAGGAAGTTAGTGAATTGTCTTCCAATTGGTTGGATAGAATGAAAGGAAAAATGACTCATGATTGACCTAAGAAAGCTAGTTTTCTGATTGCTCCATTTACTGTCTTCTCTGCCCGTGTTCGTTCTGTAGCAAACCGGCAAAACCGGTGTCTCAGGCTTATATTTAGCGCGTTCTCTTGACCTTATTTGGAGAAATGACAAACGCGGATTTTGAAATAATCTTTTATGTATCGCTTGGGAAGCCCAAATTCTCACTAACGTTTTTTATCGTCTGTTCCTGTGAATATTATTCACAATGGATTTCCAATGGCTTACCCTTGCCGCAGGCCACTCAGCTCAATCACACTTAAAGTCTCCCCTCGCACTGGTATGTGACTAAAAAGGACGAATCTTTGCAAATCCATTTTAAAAATTATGTTCTTCCAGGGACGGGCTTATATCCTAAGGGCTCCTACATGCACGGGATGGAATGAAACCGAAAGAAGCTCATTTTTAAATGAAGTGGTAACAAATAGGCCGAAGCATAATATTGGTGGAAATAATGACGATAATGATAGTAATTATAACTGAAAACGAAACAGTCCCATCGATGTCTCGTGTAAGTGATTATCCCTGGAATATCTTTTGGTTTACTCATAGATGGGCGAAAAAACGGGATTAAAATTAAACAAATTAAGGTGAGGGGGGGAGGGTGTTTGAGCAGTTACCATCCCTAAGGCGCATAGGCCTTTACCTTGAAAACCTCCTAACAACATAATAATATAGTTTAGAACAATCCGCTTCTATTTCGGCTTCAGTATGAAAGTAATATGTTTCCATGTCTTGACTGTCGGTGTTTTTCTTCTTGATTTTCTACAGAATCAGGATTTTTGAGCACAACTTTGAACTAATGGTTCGGATTTTTATAAAAAGGCGAGTATGTTACCATCGAATTTATTTGCTTTAATAGCCTCGTTTAATGGAGATAGTTTTGACTAGGAGGTCAGTTTACCTTGAAGTTGAGACGTTGATATCAACTCTCTTCTTTTTCAAAAGATTTTTAATGCCGTTTACCCAAGTATAACCATTTCCTCATCCGAATTATATTAAAGTTGGAGTTTTCAAATAATTCTAGGTCATTTTCTTTTGAAAACTACCGTAAAGATTGCTCCATATTTAACCAAAATACTGAATCTTTGAACATCTTTTTCAAACGAGTTCGTAAGTGTATATCTTTATACTGCATTACAAAATTAGGGGTGAATGTCCAAAATCATTTTATCTTTTTTTTTTATATTCATTCAAATGTACGTACGTAGAATTCTAATTAGAATGAGATATGTTGTATATGATTTGTGCCCTGATTTCCCGATCTGCGGTTCAGCACACTGATTACCAAACCACCTCGGAAATAAAGAGGAAGCCAAAGAACTGAATTTTTTTTAGATTTATTTCATTTCTTTTGTGATTTTAGTCATCCTATTCTAAAATGCAATGTGTTGAAACACCGGTTTTCTATCTGAGGTGTCATCTTCATAAATAAAGGCTCGTATACACAGAAATATATCATAAACAGTTCTTTGCATCGTGTCGGTTATAAACCCCGTGACATTAGATTAGAAGGAAAAAACCTTTTATACACGAAGAAATATATTTTGAAGGCCTCTTATCACTTAACCTGTTCTCCTCACAGTTAGAAGAGTGCATTCTGGCATTTTTCCTTCGATAAGAATCTTGCATTTTTTGTACAAGACAGTTCAAAATCAGCTGCTCTCTGGGTAATACTTTCAAAAAATCTTGGATTCCATAGCAACGCGACTGTGATAGTGACGTCGTGCTAACTTTGAGAAGCTTTTAGCGCGAGAGAATGACGGACGTCTGCGTTGACTGTTGTTGTGTCTTCCGCAAAGTTTGTTCCTTAGAATTTAATTTACTGAATTGATTTGAGAAGGATAAATCAGAGAGAGAAAAAAAATTGGTGAAAGTATGCGAGTAATTCAGACGTTTAGATTTCTATACCACTTCTCATAAATACATACACTGTGCAAACACCACTACTCTAAGAAACGAGGCGGTTGTACGAGGTCTGTTCCCAAAAAATGGGCGACGATAATCACAAATTACATTTTCAACTTTTTCTTGACAATTTTTCCCGAAGTATTTTCCCTGGAAAGTGATCGTGATAAGTACATTTTTTCGATCCCGGTAGAAAGTTTGAAATAATTTTCCTTGACATGCGTGGTAGTTGAGAAAAACTTGCTGCTGTACACTATTAAAACAAACAATCCATTCTTGGGCTCCAGGTAAAAGTTTTCCTCTTCAAGTAATTTGCAATCATCACAGTGGCTCAAAGGAGGTCAATATGTGTCCTCTGGATCTTGTACAAGGGTTATAAAGTCGCCTTTTCAGTGCTGTCTTTCCAAAACACGTTCCATGAAAATGAAGATTCAACGTCTAGTTGTTTACTCTAAAATCCACGTGGATAATGAGTAAAAACACATCATAATTTAATCCATATTTGATTTCCAAAAACGTCACTCAGCCTCATTTGCAAGTGTGTTCGATCCACTCCTCTTTGCACAAATCACACTTCACCTGACAGCACCAGATAAAGGCACAGTTGCATTTGACGTCACTCACTCTGTTAACAGTGTTATAGCCTCGTCCGCAGCACAACTCGCGACAACTGTCCGAGCCAAGCGATGACTTATTGCACGTTCTTCCAACCGTGCCCAGAGCTCCGTATTTCTTGTCAGCTCGGCAAAAGTCCGGCGAGGCAGCGGCATACACGAGACTTGCCGGCGGGGGTCTTTTGTTGTTTGTATTCCTTTTCCGGCCTCTTCGTGATCGAGGCGTCCTCGTGAGCTTGGTTTTGTTTTTGTTTAGTTTCACCTTCACAGCATTATCAAATTTTTTTCGTAGTATGGAAGCAACTATTTCCATCTTAGGCATGGTTCGCCAACAAACCCGGACAGTGCATGAACCAGAAACACCATGGCACTTGCAAGTTTTGCCCATGTTATCCTTGATAACCTAAAACAAAAGACAAACCACAAATTTCAAACAAAATAAAGAAAAATAGAATACGAGAGACAACATTGCGTCAAGCAAGAATGTCTAGGAGTGTAGATTCACATCTTAACAAAGCAGCTATTTCTTCGAGGGATACGATGGTTTGACACTTTTCTATTTAAGAACCGCCATTGATTTCAGCTCAATGTTCCCCTATCTCCAACAAGTTCGGGGCCACATTTTCCATCATTCAATTCCAACTAGCAAATGAAGATTTTCCTTTTGCGGCTTTTGTTGTTTTTGTTGTTGTTTTTTTTAAAATTAAGTTTAAATATTACATTTCATATTCAGAGCCACATTGAATTTCAGTGATCAGATCTGCATGGATTGGCAAATTCGATATCTTTCATTCACCCAGACTCCTCCTTTCCAAAAAAAGACGAGACAAAAATGTGGGGGGAGGGTACTCATTGGAATTTTTGGTAGATGGTATGGCGTACACACAATGTGATCAAGAAGGAGTGCAAAATAGTAATTCAGTTGCGCCACTGGGTTTTTCCAGAAAATTCGTCTTCTGTTTTCGCCAGATATTGTTTATAAGGAAGTATGTGACATTTTGAAGAAATAACCATAAAATCAATTTGAAAATTTACGCCCTGCGGGAGACAAAAAAATATTTGTTTTCAAATTGCGTGCTTGAAAAGGAAATGAGTTTGTAATGTTAATAAGTTGTCCTTGGCCATTAAACATTGATTGATGATGTCGGATATTGAGAAAGATAAAAAGGGAAAAAACATACCTAAATCAAACATATTTAGGCAACGATTTCAGTCAACAGATTAATGTAAAATTCCTTTCTTCTCTCAACAAATGGTTAAAAAGATCCACACATGTATTAATAAGATGGAATTCCTGATTTTAAAAGCAATGTACTTCATGAAGAAGGATAATCACTGCTATGAGGTCGTAGAAGAAAGTTCGAATCCTTTTAAGGACAATACCTGATTTCCCACCTCATGTGGTAAAACTGTGATATTGTTATATACATATTTCAGGCGCTTGGTAGACTTTAATTAAACTTGGAGTCTACAATTCACTTAGGCAAACCTTGGACAACAGCCCGAGGGTTTAGGAATTGTGGCGACGGAGAATATTAACATAAGGATCCGTGCGAATTTATCCATACATAATTCTGTGAATTGTTTTCGAAGTTGAAAATCTGTGTACTAATCAACCTTCTCTTAACTTTGAATCTTCCTTTATTGTAATGAACCACTTACACACCTCTTGTTTGGGAAGGTACAAGATCTTCTAGTTTTATGAAGAACTCACACTATTAAAATCAATCCTCTCCCGCTGAGTTGTTATTAAAAAGCAAACATTTTGATGGCGAGCACGCTTCAGGCATATCGCTTTAAAAACACAAGAGGGCGTGATTTTTAAATAAAAAATAATGGATCGACTAGCTCCTAATTAAAATTTAGAAATGCTGACTAATAAAGACATTGTTTTGCAAAACGCAACGAGCCGTACCGTGATTTTAAGCTTAGATAATTCTTACACGTGTCATTGTGGATTATTTGATTATAGAGAAGGTTTAGAACAGAGTAAAGGTGGATGCGTTATGAAACAAAACTAAATTGAGCGATCCTTGTTCTTCTACCGAAAATGCACCATTTATATTGCTATGCTTTCGGTTGAAAATAAAATGTAGCAAAAACCTATGTTTGCTTACTTATTGGAACTATAGGCTGCACAGAAATGAGACTGTGTGAATTGAAAATGGCTCCAAATTTCGAAAAGTTCGTCAATTTTTAAAAGTAATTTAACATAAATAATAATCTGATTCACCACACCAAAATGGTTGTAAGAACCCCACATAAATTTTACTTATAATAGCGCATATGGCACTTTTTAAGGAAGCTAAAATTGAAAACAAATTTAATCACACGGACAAAACAAATAAATACACAATTATCAGTGCTCTTTAATTTTTGAAGGAGCAACAAAAATTAGGAAGCGGCTTCTGATCATTATTTTATTGTGGCCTACATTAAAGGGTTAAAACATATCTTAAAACATATCAGGGAATGAACACAGAGTATTAAACCTTAAAAACCAAAATATTAGTTTCGTACCACGGTAAAAGTAATAAAAAAGTCATTCCAAACACATTGATAAGAGTTCTCAGTGTTTAATTGTTAGCCATATAACAAAGTTAAGTATTGAGTGATCTCTGAAACACTGGACATGTTTGATCTTTTTAAAAAATCTCTTAATCTATCGAATAAGCGAAGGAATGCTTTTAGGAATAAGAAGATTATCTATAACCTTTATTGCGTGGACAGTTGATAATTACGGGAGTGATATCAAGATGATCGCCACAGCGGTTTACAAAGAAGGAAATGACAAAAATTTGATGAACAAATATCCTTATAGGAAGACCGTAGAGAAGGCGATAATCATGTTTTATCTGCATGAAAACCAAAGTCTGAAGTGGCGATTAGGCTGAACGGGCGATGCCCACGAAATTTCCGCGCGGGTGTCGATTTACGCGCGCGACAGTCGCAACCGGAAAAGGGTCAACCTCCTTCCTCGTGTTCAAATTTGTTTCGATTTACGTCGGAAGCCGCAAAATTTGTAACTTAAGACCCACGCTGGGTCTTAAGAATCATAAAATTATCAAATGCTTGTTAATTTAGTTGGAAGCTTTGAAAATAAACCGCCGCACAACAAAGAATTTCAATAGCCGCTCAAGTTTCTAATTATGGGAAAGGTGTTCCATGTCTCCTTAGGTTTTTTTCTTCGCTTCTTTAGTTTGCCGAGGAAAACAAAGATGTTTTAACGGAAGTTGTAAATTCTCTTTAAAAACTGTAAAAGAATTTGTCACGTTGATTTGAGCTCAAATTATTGTTTACAGAATTATGGCATTCGCTTGTAATTACTCTTTTCTGTTTGCGATAGTTATGAGCAGAACATGCTAGCAATCATCTTCTCGACTGCCCCTATAAACATGTTATATTGATGCATTTGACGATCTAGTCATCAAAGATCAATTCCTTAAGCTGGATCTGTAGTTTTCAAGCTTGAAAGCAATTCGTAAATCTTATCCTAGACATAGAAAAGACAGAAAACATTTGTGCGCTAGGAATTTAAGGCTTTTGAAAACGTGAGTTCCTTTCAATTTTTTACGTTTGTTTATTTCATTGCTATAGAAAAAGGTCTATCTCCGTCATCTGTAATCATCTTAGCATGATTACCTCATGGTTTCCTGATATTTGTTGAGTGTGGCTCTTGAAAATAAAGCTTTTAATTAGTGGTCTTCTATCAAGCTGTGTTTTAATGCTCTAAAAACTCGTTACTTAGTATAGGTAACCGCATCTCTCATGTGGCTGCAAAGGATTTTAAGTCAACTACAAGAGGTTTTTAGCCGACGTCCAGGGGTTTTTCGCCGACTGCAGGGTGCTTTAAGCCGACTTAAATGGAAGAGTCTGGATAGTTTAATAAATCATTTTGTGACAAAGGAAATAATTTTCGACTTGGAGCTCAGAACATGGCAAAGAGATAAAAAAATAGGAACAGAGACAGAAATGAACTAAAACGTAGCAAGAATTGCTGAGGATAAAAAATATTTCAACAGTCTGCAAAAAGGAGCATTCAAAATAATTCCAGGCCAACATTTGAAGTTCCTCGTACAACTAAACGCGTGTTAAAAAATTGCCGATAAAATAGCTATCAAAAATTAACATAAAAAAACATAGTCACTAATTACAAGCGATCACATCAGATATAGCGGCTTATCAAACAAACTGTTTAGAAAAGCGGCGCTTGTTTGACGAGACTTCGATACAAGTTGTTTGTCAGGAAACCACGGCATTGATGGTATTCCAATGGTAAATCTTTTAATTGTTTACGTTCAAGAGGTAACTCGGAAAGCAAACTACAAGATGACAAAGTAGTCAAAATAAACGGATTTGATGAGCACGTTCCTATAAATGTTGGACACGATACAGACAACATAGCCTGAAATTTATAAATTCATCTAAATTTGACTGAAATGGGCGGTGGTCACCTCAATGATATCTCAAAAGGTATCGTCAAGGATCGAAAACGACACAGTAGAACAAAGCTAAAATCGAATTAAAACGTGCTCCACACTGGTGTCCACGATTTAAAAGCGACAAACCGCAACACTATTAGTAAGAACACCTTCGGAAAAGTCAAAGGCATCTTTACCATTTTTCCACAGAACGGAAACATTTTGAAAGCGGAATACTTCACGAGTTGGTAACGGACCTGAAGTTTGGGCAGTGGTTTGATGGGTAAGAAAAGAGCAGAAAATTACGGTTACATAAAACAGGAAGCCACAGCTACCGCACATACACACGCCCTGTTCGTAGAATTAGCATGGGCGACGCCCAAGTCGGCGATGCCCTCGAACAGCAGATAGGAGGGCGCTTCACACTTCATAGGGAAACCCTTGAAATGCCGTTAGATCCGAAGTTGTAGGGTTATTAATAGCCTTCTCATGCAACCATGATATCATTTTAATTTTCTGCAAGTCAACTTATGCTATTGAGTAACACCACCATACTTTTAGCTCGGTGTTATAGATACCAATAACTAGCTGTTTTGGGAAAGAAACGTTGGACTTCAAAACGGAAACGCACTGGCTCCGAGCAAACGCATGAATTTCTAACTGCAATTTAACTATGGTAAATTATTTTCATACTTGTTGTCTTCTGTGAAAAGGTCTACTTTTCGCAGGAAGTCTGTGCGGCCATACTTGCACCGTAAAGCCATAAAAATTAAACAGGGTTGTGGGTAATGTTCTTCATCTTAGTGAGTTATTACGACAATAAAGTATAGTTATCTGTCTCATGTTGTAGTCACTCCGAATGACACAAACGACGAGGCTTGACTTTCTTAACCCATTAATTCCTAAGTTCGATTAGCATCTAACTCAGTTCTCTTTACATTGTCACCCCTGAATCAAACATAAAGGTCTCGAGAATTGAAGAAATGATCCCCAACGAATAAAGTTCTTGATTGTTGAACAAATTCTCCTTGTCAGCACCTTACGAAATGTACGGGGAACAGTATGGAGAATATGCATACTGATGTAAGAGTGCGAGGGGTTCATTTGCACCACCTCGACTGTCACGTGCTCCCTGATAACTCATTTTCAAGGCACTCTTCTGGCTATAAAGAACCGCAAAACCATTTGCTATTTCTAATGACTATTATCCTTTTTACAAACCACAAAATCAACTGACACGAGTAAACGTTCTTAAGAATAACCTCTAAAATAACATGGCGATGCTCATCAAACGATAAAAAAAAATTGAACATACCCTTCTTCCAGCCTCATTGTTGTGTCTTACGAGATGGTTTGATAAGGTTTTGTCGGCGTTCTTGCCCGGGTCCATAAACTTGGTAGAGTACTCGTAGCCGTACCGATAGTTCTCCGAACATCCACCCCATTCCCAGCTGGCCTCCCCTTCTTTTTTTCCTCTCCCTGTGGGCTTAGAATCGCAGCCACAGTCATCCCAGTTTCCCTGGCTGCAGCCCTTGGTTATCTGGAAGGTCACTCCTGCAGACGCTATAGCGTGCAAGTAAGAACTCTCTTTGTATTCTAAAGAGACGGGAGGAAAAAAAATATATGTTTTAGAGTTCACTTAAATACAGAAACATGGATACAGTGTGATGACAATGGCCAAACAGAAAAATGTTATATATTGCAAGGAATGACACAGGCGAGTTTCAAATGGTTTCAGTCACCACCTGTTTTAGTTTTTCATGTGATTGGTTGAAAGTGTCACATGACTGGTTTTTCCCAAACCGATCGCAGTGTGAGGTAGACCAAAAATAATCAAAAAAATTACGTCAAATCGAGACTTAAAGCTCTTTATAGCTGAAGTAAGAACTGTCACTGACATGTCATTATGTGCTTGTGCATCTTTTCCCATAATGCATGTTGATCAATGATGATAGTATTGGAGATGTGAAACAAAAAGACTTTGCGGCGCCTTGCGTATCCATATTTACATACAATGGTTTCATACCAACTTAAGCTCTTTTGAAGATGTCACCACCGTAATTTCATTTTAGAAGAGGACGGCACTTTGAACACTGATGTTGTGATCTACAGTTGTCAAGGCGTTTTATGGATTAATTGGCACGAATCAGACCGAGGTTCATTTGATAAATTAAGAGAAACCACTGTTTAGGTTCACACTTGGAAGCTAAAACAGACTTGAAGTCACGTTTGTAATGCTCATTTAGTAATCGTGGGCATTTATAAAGTCGTTTAAAAATAAATTGAGCGCTATCGTTATCTTTGACCACTGATGCAAGTTGATTTCATGCACCTGACGTAGACATTGTAGATTATTTGAGTGTGTGGGGTCGGTTCAGTAAGAGACGTGTGTAGAAAAATGTATGTGTCGAGAACAACTGAATGGATCAACGAAGAAGCAATCTTCAGAGTCACTAATGGTTCAAAAAGTTCAAACTTCCCAAAATTGTTTTTTATAGGGACCTGGCACTCAAGTTGTTGTCTGAATATCCTCGCAGGTGTGAGATGACTTAACAGGCTATAGATTATCGCATAGCTGAACGCAAAATCGTAGCGTTCTGTGGTGAAATGAGATGCTTGGACGCACCGCGACACTGCCCATCCTTCCTTCAGATGGCGCTGAAACTTAAGAATAACGCTTGTGAAATATCTTCGAAGGACAGTATCAAATTCATGATCGATCACCTTTGAGTCACGTACAAGTTCTCTTCAATGCTTTTTGATGAAGAGTACTACCAACGATGCAGTCCGTACGAGACATATTCAAATAGTGAATAACTTCTGCTTGGGAGAAATCAGGAGCCCGAAAGTTGTTTAAAATATTCAAGTTTTGTCAGAAGAAAAATTAAGGAGTGTAAAACATCGCCTTGCGATTGAAGGTTACATTTCAATCGAGTAAATTTTGAGACAATAAGGTTCGAACTTTCTGCAGATTAAAAATTAATTAAAAGTCGTCGGCTTTAAGCCGAGTGCACCAGACTGTCACATTTAATCCAGATTATCGGTCAAAGTTTTTGTCTGAAATACAACGATGATGCTCCAGAAGCGAAATAACCGCCCACAATTTGCGTCAAAATGCGAAGCGGCTCAGACAAGTCTGGACCGTCTGCTGGAAAAGACGAATAAAAAGCATTGACATATCCCTGTGAAATCCTGATAAAGGATAAAAGAAAGACTGATTAAACGAAAAATTTTTGAAAGAGAAGACCTTTCCGTAAGCCAACCGAGTAGAAATCTCGGGAAGGGAGATGTCCCATGTTAAAATTACGGTGATGCACGTTCCTTACACAGCAAACAATTCAAAGCCCGTACTATCATTTCAATGACCTTGGTAAAAATTTTTTACGGCGAGGACATGATAGTCCCCCCTACCCTGATAAACAAAGAGATCAAAGAGCAAAGAATGAAATCTGTTCAGTTTGGTTTTGAAACCGTGGGGCTAGTCGAGAAGGGAATGAAAATTTTGTTATAAGTTCCGATGATGTCATACTCTGTTCTAGGGTCTTCCATCGAGGTCTTGGAATGCTGATTGAAAACATTGAAAGAAAAGTATTTTCTGTTTGGTTTCACATACCTTGTCGTTAAAAAGTAGCAAGAATGCACAGCTGGAAACATTTCAAAGAAAGCATAGGTTTGCACGCAAACGGCAGGAGAAGCAGTTTTGTCGTGAAATATTACCTAAGCTTGACCTTCTCAAATATCAGTTTGGGGATGATACTTTATCTTAACGAATACCATAAATCTCTTGCCAAGATAGTTGAAGCATGGGTGGCCAAGAGATGACACATGGAAGAAAAAGTGTTAACAACTTCTTGTTTTCTTGTAATCTACTTGTTCGCTATGGCACAGTTATTGTCCTTTCTTATGTCAAGAAAAAAATAATTTGGATCAGAGAATCGTAAGAATATTTTAAAAACAAGAAGCGAAAATTTCGAGATTTAAACTTAGGCCAACAAGAGAAACAGCCAACAAGAATTTTTAACAGAATAAACATTTAGGGATTTTGTGAACAAACAGCGCGACCATCACCTAGGACAGTTTTCTGATTTGTTTTGTTTACAAAAGGCACAGAAAAAACTTACTCGTTTGGTTTCGTTTGGTTCTTAGCAGAACTTCAATGCCAAGCTTTTAACACAGGATAAGCAAAGGTATTCAAATACTATTCTTTTAAAACAACGCAAGACTAACCTGCCATGACAAAGCTATTGTTTAAAAGTTAATTTAAAAGAAAATTGGCAAAGTTTGTTTGAAGTTCTGATCGTTTGCACAACCCTCAATTACTTCGATTCTATGCAATTACCGCCCGAAGTTTTGTTTCGTGTTTCATGTTGAGCAATTTTGGCAAACGGCTATTTCACACAAGAACAAAGGTTATGAAAAGCAATTAATGCCTTTAGGGTATACACCTCGATAATAGCGAGAAGAGACCGCAATTATTAAGCAATAGATTAATGATACCTCGGCAGAATAGATATCTTTTGGGATTATTCATGGCTAGATAGTTTTTAAGGGTAATTTTCTTTAGTAAATTAACTCAAAACGGGAAAAAAATTGTCCAAGCATTGAGCGCCAATAATGTCCACCATTTCAAGGTAGACGACGCTTCTTTGTTATAACAACAAATCCATTCCACAATTTTTTACAACAGACATTTTGACTCCTGACTTCTTTCCGCAATAGAGAAAGTATTCCGTGTTTCAGTGTTTACAGAGTCAAAAGAAGCCAGACAAAAGTATGTGACGTCAATTACTTTTTTATGTTGCGGTAAATTTCACAGGAAGCGTAAAACACTGACGCAGGTGAAGCTAATTTCTGTAACTTATTCGCTTCTTCCTGAGATAAGCTTGCCCACGTTTGTGTGAAGCGCAACACGACCGGGGCATTTTTTACACTGAGCATTCAAAAAAGAAACGGCAATTGAGTTTCCAGCCGAACTTGGTCTTCCTAAGGAGGCAGACGCAAACACGAACATCGTACACACTGAAACTGTTCACCCCAAGTTGTAAAGTGTTTGTTTTCAAAATGCCTACCAGTGTTCTTTAGATAATTGTCGAAAGCCGCCAAAGAAAAAAAATGGTCGAGTGACGCGAGTTATCCGATAACTCTATTGAAAAGTGACCATTACGACACAGAAGTTGATACGAGCGCACTAGATTTGCTACACGACACCCGTTATAAACAAAATGACACTTTATGTCAAAGCTTTCCTCGAGGGGCATTAACTTATCGAGGCTGTGTACACATACGAAGACATATTTCAACGTCTGCGTGGCCCCAGATAACGTGGATAAAAAGGAATGATATAAAGTGATCGTGCTCCAGCCTTCCCGCAACTAATATCTTAAACAGCCGTTTTTCGCATAGCGCGTTTTCAGGCGGGCCTTTTTTGGGGTTGACTTCAGGAATAGTCAAGTGTAGTTTTCAAAGACAACAGAAAGCACGTTTTGATTGTGTTTGTATAGCTTGCAAAGGCCGCAAATCCATGAATGATCTCCCTCACACAATGATCTCCCTTAGCGTTTAGGTCGATCGTGGTCTGGTATGCAATCAACTTACAGGGTGAATCTCTGTTACACGGCACCCGATGAAATTAATATTTCCTCGGGAGGAATGCGATATTTGAGGCTCTGTGCATCATTGCAAGGAGGGACTAAAATTCCTAAAACGTGTTTGACTTTTGGATCAAGACTCTGTTTGCTTCGATGCAAATTCCCGAGACATTTCTCAAGCCTGGTAAATTCGTTTCACATGTGCAACACAGGTACCGATTAAGTCATATAGACAAGGTTGACGATTGCGAAAGCAGAAGTAGAATCGCCAGATATGTTTAGTCAAACAAAAACTTTCAGTAGCTACAAACACACAGTTATCATCGAGCGCCAAACAAAAACTGTTGCTGAAAGGTTGTTTAGAACTGTATAGAAACACAGATCACTTAAGGAGGGCGCTGAGATTTCCAAAAAACCAAAAAACCTTTAAATCTACTAAAACGAGCACCCCACAGGTAAATTGAAACGTGGAGCGTTGCGTCAAAGAGCGCGAGGCGGTTTAAAGCCTCAGGGCCTTCTCTGGCTTAGAAAAAGCCACGCAACATTTGCAGAGTCTGCTAAACGTAATCCAGACCACAATTTTGTGTGATAGACACGGTCTGAAGAGGTCCTTAGAAGTGCGAATGAAAAGGATTTCTGCAACAAAACATTTTCTCAGATGTTTTTTTTTTTCTTTCCGTCTGGTCAACACACATCTGTTGTGCAGTTGGTCCATGTCTGTATATACTCACCGCAAAGAGGCCAGTTGTAATACAAGTATTTCCCACCTTAACGATAGTTAAGACAGTAGCGAACAAGGCAGCTTATCTCACCACTTGGCTTTTAAATAAATCTTAAGAGATAACGAGTGGACAGGAAATTTGTTATGATATTGTAACTGTAGAGAGTTGCTAAGCGGAAGCAAGAAGGGAACGCTAGAACGAAGTGGGTATTAAAAGGAAAAATTATACCCAACTTACCAGCTTTGAGCATTCTTTGCCTTTGAAAAACGTCTGCAATGGTAACACCTGAACAGTTCCATCGATGATCCTTGAAATTATTCCCGCACTCTTTTAACGCCAGTTCGACGCCATCTCGCGCGGACAAGCCGAGCAGAGGTTGCGCTTCGCACTTCTTTTGTTGGTTATCCTTGAGCCATGAACAAAAGCTCAAGGCATCTTGGCTGCGAGGTGGCCTGCAAAGTATAAAGAAAGACTACTGAGTCGCGAAAGTTCAAAGTAAATCTACGGCTTAGACTCGGAGACCAGCCAATCGTGGTTGATGAAGACTTTGCACGCGCTAGCAGTTGTGTTGCGGAGCATATAGCTCGCGACTAAAAATTTCTCTTCGAGAGTCAATCATCATCCAGGGAATTCTCGCTTCACGGTGAAACGTTCACACTTTGAAACAAATAACAAAATAGTAATCCACTCACCTGGTTCTTTTACGACCGTCTATCGCTGCGAGAACGATGAGTGAAACAAAGAAGAAGAGACAGACTCGCGCAATCACCATGTCGTTTTTTGTATGAGGCCCGTTCAGTTGTCGAACTCGGCTTAGCTTACAAGTGTCTCACTGAAAAGCTTGCGATGAGCAGACTTGTGTGATTGCTTAATGGCTTGTATCTGTCAATCTAAGAGGTCGCTTGAAGTTTTCACTTGAACTGATTCAAGTCGCGGTTTTCGCGCTCTCGTTCCCGCGGACCTGTTCGCACGTTCTCAAATAGCGTTGACTTAACAAACTGGGGCAAACACTTCTGGTATACTTATGTAGCGCTCGAGGTCAAGATGGTACTTATCGACAACCAACAACAGATCTCACCGCATGAACGCCTTCACACACCAGTAATCTTGGCAATTTCGCGATTAAATTGAACCGAAACAAGGCAATCGGCCGGAAGAATGGGGCTTGAACAACAACGCCCTCTGATTGGTTCCTGTATGCTTTGTCCGAGATCGCCTCTATTTTCCCAATAAATCAACTAATAACATCGAAACAAAAAGCTTGTCAAAACAAAACCCCCGACTTAAGACCGAATTCAAATTTTCAAGGGCCGGAAACCACGGAATGGTTGTAGGTAATACATTCAGCTGTCAGACAGTCATGTATAATTTGATCAATAAACTCCAACTGTCCCGAGGAATGAGTGTTGGTAATTTCGCTAAATCCGTTTTGAAGAAGGAAACGTTGCCCCGGCCTCGTTGAAAATTCTAGTACAATTACCCACTCAAACCTTCACTAATTAAACGTTTCTTTGTTGTTTATTAAAGTTGAAAAGTGCGACCGCTATTATGATCGATTCCAAAAGTAATCTAGCCGTTTGCGTCCTAAAATCGCGTTGCTTGGCGAGTTGAAGTATTTTGAGACGTCTGATGGTATCTGATACGCTTCTCGTCTTCGTAGCGACAGATCATCATTAACAGAATAAGCGATCTCGTCCTGTCGACTGAGTGATACTCACTCATGCTGAAAATAACTTTGGTGTAAATGCAAAGTCATTCTTTGTCCTTCGGCGACTCTTTGAAATTATAGTTTGAGAAGATAGTGGGCCAAACCTCAGTAGCTAACAGGTACAGGCTACCATACTCAGCGCATTTTTCAGCAATATCTTCAAGAAGTGTTTTTATTAAATGTAACCATGGTCAAGATTTTGGGGAGTTGAATCAACATCCACTCGGGTCATCAGATCAAGGTGATTCAGGGGTAATTAAAGCAATCTTCGCTCGATAAAATTAATCAAAGGGTCGAGATAATTTCTCTATTGAGTCCTGACAACGTTTATTACCGAAAATTACTGAAACCTGATTGTGTCGAAAACATATCAAGGCGATTATGTAAGTCGGGCCGTCTTTGGGCTTGGTTGTGTTATTGAGCAACCATTTACGGAATTTCCATAAAAAAAAATCTCGGTTACAATTAAGCAGACTGATTTGTTTTCAAAACGGCTGCCGAGAGAGCCCAGAGGTTATGGACAGAGCTAGAGCCCCAACTTGTGATAACATCAACGAAGCTCACTCAATGAAGTAAAAACGACAGACACCTAGGTGAAACAAATTTGGTTCCACACAAAAGTACAAGTATTCCATTAGAGTCGAAATTCAATATCCGGCGAATGATATCTTCACAATGTGTTTTTTTTGTGTTCTTGGCCGACCATTAAGAACGCATAAATTGCCGAAACGCCTCCGTTTACCGCGTAAATATAGGCGAGAAATATTAAAAACTTATTCGCTCGAGCGTGCCATACCGGTTCTTTAATTCCTTCCCAGACAAATTGTCTTAAGGAATTTTATTGTCCCCAGAAATTGCAAATGACGGCAAATGCTTAAAAAGTTACTTCCACACAAATAGATCGAAGTTCTTTTCTCAAGAGACCGAAATGCATAGAGAAAATTTAATAATTCGCATAAAGAAATGAGCTAATTCATAAGGCACAACAAGGTTTTAAGGAAGTTGGAAAAAATTAAAGTGGCATAGCGTCGTTCGCGGTAATATTCAATGCTGTTTGACGGGATAGAAAGAAAAGTTGTAATTATAAGAGGAAATTATATCAAATAAAAATAAATACCTCTTATAAAGGATGTTTGCCAGCAATGCTTTAATTATCTCCGAATTAATGTCAGCAAAAATCAACAAACCTGTCTAGTATTAAGACACAGATATAACAAAGTGTATTTATAGAAGGATTCGTCAGAAAGTGAGGGGTTACGCGCGAATGGCATAGCGCCAGCGCCAGCTAGATGAAACAAATGAAGTAAAAATAGCCATAAATTCAAACACAAATTGACTTCCCTGTTATCCTCCAAATCAAACCAACAGGATGGGCGCAAACTGGTATGTCATTCAAATTATCATTTTGCTATCGGAAAAAAATGTACCGCAGACATCGTTAATAGTATTTCGGCCCATTTTCATCAACATATCTTGACATCTATCTTCAAGGAAAAAAAAGAAAAGAAAGAAAAACTGACATAGCTGTCGCCTTTAAGGTTAAGTCTAGCGTCAGCTTAACGCAAAGTGTTAAATAAACAAAAAGATTTAGGTGCGGTAAACGTGGGAATAGTTAAAACGCACAGGGAGTTCTGAGGCCTTACTCAGTTCGACAGGTGTTTTTCGCATTTGGAAGTTCCTGCACGTCCCAATTAAATTCTACGTAAAACATCATTATGTCTATTTGCTCTTTATTTAAAAACTACAACTCAGACCTGCCGAATTCACACAGATTGTAAAGCTTTTTTTCCATAGCTTATTTTCGATGATTATTTGGTTGGTTCAAATTGTAAAATAAATTGTGTTATCGCACTTTGCCAGAACATTCTTCCCAAACTTCAACCAATTTAAAAGGAATGTTGTTGCCTTTCTCCGCTGAAGGCCTTCGATCGAGTTGCTTCGTTAAGGAAAAGGGTTTACATTCTGATGTTTTTTTTTTTCACCCATTTCAACACTTTCACACTTTGTTCGAAAAATGAATAACAAAAAAATGAACTAAAAAAAAAATTAAAAAGAATGAGACAAATGAAGTAGATCCAAATTCAAAACAGCTCGAAGCTGAACTGGACCAGCCTGGTTAAATATTCGCGATAAATAAATAAACTGATAAATTAGAAAGTGCAATACCAAACGTAATTGAGCTGGCTTCATTTCGAGGTCGAAACGGCACAAAAACATTTTAAACAAACACCAATTGCAAAAAATCCCTTCGAAAGTGTAATGGAGTAGTTGAAAAGAACAATAGTTTCATTACAGGAAAGATCGAAGTAATGCTTACTACTGATAAAACTTTGCGGGGGCAATGAGGAACAAAATTCAACATGAAAGCCAAAATAGCTAGAGGCCCTTGGCACGAAACACCATGTCTGTGACGTTATGAAACACTATTAAAAATTAAAAATGAATGTTGAACGCCGATGTAAGTCAATTCCATTGAAATTCCGCCAGCTGTTTTACGTTCAAGTTGGAAAGAAATCAAAAGCACATTCTTAGACGTCGTGAACGGTCAGGCCTAGACAACAACGAAATCGAACAGCGGCAGATCCTACAAGTGATTCATGTTTAAAGCCTAGTTTGCAACGCTCATCGTTCTGATCGTCTCTGTTGATCGCTTTAGGCGATCCTAAGGCGAATAGGGCCGGATGGCTTTCGTATATAATCGCCGGCTCGGATCAATACAACTGTCTCAAGTGCCCAGACCACACTAATGTGTTTTCTATAGTTTTTTTTTTTGTTTTTTTTTTGTCTCAGATGAGCGAAGCAAAATATTTTAAACTACATTAGTGTAAGTTTTTGTTTTGCTCTCAACCGCTCTACTACGTTTTATTTGGAAGCGTATACCTTTAAATGCATCTTTACCTTTCCCTCACATTAAAAGGCCCGAAAACGCTGGTGGAAGCGACAGTTATACTAACGCTTACTTCGTCGCAGTTTTCTGCAAGCCTATTTCCACCTGTTTACACAAGCAACGATGTGTTTCAAAAAACGGTGCGTTTTTAAAAAACGTGTTTGTTTTTTAAAAACAGTTTGTTTCAACCTTTTCGCTGGTAAGTCTCCGTTGTCATTGGTGTTTTCGAGTGTTTAAGCGTTCGGATGATTGGCGAAGAACGCCTTATAAAGCATGCGTTTTCGAACGAAGACGCATTAGAGCAGATGGGGAAAAACACGAGCGATTTACACCATACGAGCGATTATTAAGATGCCAGGCCTAAAGCATGCAGTAAATCCAATTCGTTGGTTTCCTTTGAAAGTTTACCTGGCGCTCTGGAATTTGTTTATAGTTGAGTTTAAGGGATATATATATAAAAAAGGCTTAAGCAAGTTTAACGCGCCAAACACAGAAAGTTTGAATAGTGCAAACCGAGAGCTGTATTCCAGAGTTGAAGGAAAGTGTTGTTTAGGTTTATAGCGTTGCAGCCAGTTTTCTATAGTGAGCAATAGGATTAAAAGCAGCAAGACGTTGGCCCCATCATACCCTTCTCGAGCAGAAGAAAGGAAATAAAAGCTCTAAAATTCAATCCTTAAATATTGGGGCCCAAGTTTATTTGAAAACTTGTCGAATTCGTTGCAGATGCAGCAATAGAGAGATGAAGATTGGCCTGCAAGCTTGCCAAGACGACTGTTTTATTTTCAGTTACACAGAGATCATGACGATTTTAGAGATATGTTTGTGAATGTTCACCTGTCAACATAGTCGGTGTCAACACTCTTTCCGGCAAACAACACAGAGAGAGACCAAGCAATCAAAACGAAATTTCACATTTTTAAAAACTAATTATTAAGGTAATTGCACGCAAATAGTAATCTGTCAACCGAAAAATGTGGCAGACGGAGCAAGCAGTTACCATCATTTTGGCTGCTACATTGAAAAATCGAATCTAAACAATTCTAACGAGGAAAGGTTAAATAGTGACAGCTAGCTAAAGCACCCACAACCCGGTAAACTTGGGGCAGAATCACGCCAACACATGGTACCGACTCAAGACCAATACAGAGATAAAATGAACAACTATTTCATATGGCTTGCAGATGGTAGCTATTCCTGGAGGTAGCCTCGATCCCGCACGCAAGTTTTATACCCTTGACTCACTCCCGAGCCCTTTGATATACTACCAGGTTGCTAATTTTGGCCTTAAGGCTACAGTCACAGAATTCTTTCCATTTTCGTAGCATTTTTAGCTGTGGCACACTGCCGTAACAATGACTGAATGTGTCCTCACATCCATTCAACAGTCACTGATACCGAACGCGATGACAATCTAATGATGAATTGCTGTTTGTGTTACACTCACTCAAAAAGCAATAAAGAGATCTAATGGTTTTGATAACTCCACCACCTCGAGATAACAGAAGTCACTGATCTTAGCCACGAGAGACAAAAAAAAGGCTTCATAAAACAACATGCGGCTGAAAAAAA